GCGAAAAATTCCTGAACTTAAATAAGAGAGAGATTTCGAAAGGAAGACTTGCCGGTAATTAGTCAGGGGGGAGAAGTCTGCTAGTTTCCCGCAATCTGGATCTTCCTCAAGACTCTGTGTATCAAGTGCAACCCTCCATACTTCTCCATCATGCCAGACAACAGCATCAATAACAGGCCCTTTGTCTTCATATTTCTACAGAGAAACAATGCATTTACAGCACAGATTCAATAAAACAACGAACAAGTATACAGCAACAAAGCTAAAGGAAAGTCTCTAAACTTACATCAGCTTGTTTCTTTAGGAAATCAACTCTGCTTTGCAGGTCTTCACGTGTCTTCTTCAGTTTCATATCATCCGCCTTGCTGTGCTTCTGGAGGCAAGAATGACAAAAGAGGTTACGATATAATCTGAATAGCACTGTCAGACTCGCAACATTCACAATACAACAAACCAAATTAAGCATCTCTGTAGCACCTGATCGAAATCATACAGATTCTTTACAGCCTTTGCAATTTCTTCCTGATTCTTTTCATCCCAGGTTTTCCTTCTCTCTTTCTGCATGACAGAAAAACAGATATAAGTTTTAAATAGGACTGCAGACCAGATACGTAAAACTTAGAAGTCTTAAGATTAGATGTAACTAATCCAATGGGAAAAAGAAATGAACACAACTCTAATGGCTACCTTCACACGAGAAGTTAAGTCATCTGTAAATAGCTGGTAAACCAACTTGCAACCTACACGCCACTCTCCAGTGGGGTTTTTCCATGAAGAATTGACAACCAAAGGTGCCCCTGTATCAAATTTGTTAAAAACAAAAGAAACGATCAACGTATGGTATATGGCTAGAGGATGGACAAAAAGCCAACATGAGCAAGAAGACTATCATGCAGAAATGGAAACTATCCCTTTCGAGATCAAATCACCAACCTGATGCTCCACGAATATGACCATCGTCATTGGCTTTCACCACTGTGGATATATCTATGTCCCCACTTCCAGTGCTGAATGAAAAACAAAAAAGGATCTCATCAGGTCACAGTCACTCAAATGAACAAAGAACACAGATGAAAATTTCAAATTTACCAGTCAATGACGTCCAAAACCTTTGGTTTTCCATCAGAAGTTACATGCAAGCCAGCAGCAGAAGGATCGAAACCAGAATCTAGAAAAGATCAAATATCACTTTGTCAGTTCCTCAATCAGAATTTTACTTGCAAAGTTACAAAGATAAATCAGAACAACGTCTTCGGAACCAAGCAATCTCCCTAGTGATCTGATCCTACCTAGCTAAACATAAGCCTCATGCAAATTTTCCCCATAAACAAAACAGACGATTGACAATTCAATCGAAGAAACAAACAGTAGAGGATACAAAAAGAAAGGGAAGTACCAAAGATAGCGATAACGACGCCGCGACCGTCGTACTCAGGATGAGCTTCGACGAAGCTATCCGCGCGGATTTCTTTCTTAGGCATGAGAGAAGCAAGGAAGGTTGATTCGTTTAGCTTGAAATTAGCGACAGAAGCATTATCAGGTCCAGCACCAACGACACTGCCACCTCCACCTCCTCCGCCACAACCGACGCGAGAAGCCGTAAGAGTCTCAGAAGAAGAACAAGGCATCGCCGAGAAACCACTCCGTCTTATTCGAATTCCGCGAGAGCGAGAGCGAGAGCAGCTTCTTCTTCTGAAGGATTTGAGTCTTCGATGGAGAAATTGAGGAGAAGAAATGAAATCGCGAGGAAGAGAGAGTGACGTGGAAGAAGAAGCCCAATAACAACACGACGGGCCTTCGAAGAACGCGCCGTGAATCTGCAGATGCATACTCATCAGATCCATCTTCGGGATGCGTGTTAATAAGTGATAGGGGTAATTTCGTAAAGTAACAGCTGAGTCGCTGCACCGAATCTTAAGTTCTTAACTCGTGAGAGTCCTCTTGGTTTATGTCAATGGGGAGGTAGGTGGCTTACTCTCACTGGTGTGGCTTTGCTCTAAAAGATAACGAGATTATTTTGGACTTTCACTCTAATTTCTTAATTATCGATAATAGAGTTCGAATTATTTGGTGCGAGTCACAACAATCACAACTTCTCTGATTTCATCTCTCTCATAATCACAACTTGTTACCTTCAATTGAGCCAATACAATAAATTGGACATCTCTGGTGTTCGCTCGCTCGTTTATGACATTGTTCTTCATTGTTGTCGTCTTAGTTTGAAAACCAATTTAAAAGTTTCTTTTCTTGTTGATTCTTGATAAATGAGACTGATAATGTGTGGTGAAAGTTAAGACAAAATTTGATCGGTAGTTCCGTAGTTAGATTTATGACCTATTTTAAGGTGTTTGCGTATGGATTTCATTTGAGTTTGATATGACCCTGTAATTACTTTTTAAGATATGGAAACTTCACATTTGCGGGAATCTGATTTCCATGACATTTTTTTTTTTGTACATTTTGAAGTTTGTCCTTACTCATCTATTTCAACTTTCATGTTTGTTGACATTGTTGTCGTCTTGCAGAGTTTACTTTCTGCCTCGAACTATAGACTCTAGAGTATAGCTAGGCAAATAGTGTGAGTAATTTGACAAAGCTAGGAATGGATAGCATGTTTTAATTAAGATTTTCTATGAACTTAATAAATATGTACAAATATATGTTTGGTTGAGTTAGTTAGGAATGGATATACTCATTTATATTCTCTAAGATCCTATGTGATCCTACTCTTGTAACCTAGTTATCCACAATACAGTGAACCATCGACCTCTGTACCAACTTACACTTACATGTATTTGAGGACCGTCAAAATAATTGAAATGGATATAATTGTGTTCCTAACATTCTGTACAATACTTGAAATGGGGAAAATTTTGGTTAGTAGCGTTTGCAGTGATCCTCTTTTAATTTTGTATCAGAAGAATTCTAATGGTATGCACGTCAAAAATTATGTTTGTCAACTTCCATAAATCGTTTCGATTAGTCTTGAATGTTCTTGTTTGTGGCTTTTTAGACTGAAAAGTTAAGTGCAAATTAGCAACAAATACACTGAGGTTTGGCAATATGCCTGACCCTCAAAGTCAAGACTTTCACTAAAATTCATTTAAGCAAATCTATTATGCGTAACCCTACTATATTTACTAATTCACACGACACTAAGACAGCCTTCAATTCATCACCGACTTTTATTCTTAGCAAATGGGGAAAACACTCTTTTTTTCTTGTACCGTACGGTACGATTCGTACCGGAATAAACAGTAGAATGAGACTTCCTCATTTGTATACGTTTGTTAACGAGTGACAGTAGAATGACACTTCATCCTACTCAATATTGTATCTCCCAACGAAAGAGACTAATGACACTTCCTCATTTGTATACGTTTGTTAACGAGTGTCGTCACGTCATCTTTTGTCGATCATATGCTCTTCCCTTTTTCTGAATCCTTGTCCTCTCCATCTATGCTACAATTTCTTGTTCTTACAACCTTTTCGTTTTTATTGTTTTAAGACTCCAGCTCATAACTTAAAAAAAAAAAAACTCTACAAGAACACTCACTTTGACCTTGGCAAAAAAAAAAAGTATGTTGCGACAGCCTCTTATACAAGACTTCCATAATGGAAGTTCCATCTATCATCAATCCATCTTATCTGGAAGACGACTTCATCAGCGTTACCCCAATATCTCTTCATCTGCTTTAACCTTCATAACACCCTTTATTTAGAATCTTGGATACTGTATATAGTGACAAAAGATGAAGAAAAAGACATCTAAGAAGAAATAAAAAATCGTTTTCCATATGGTCTTGATTAAGACTATTTTTCCGCGTAACTTTTGTTTCTTTGTTATATACTTATATATATCCAAACAATTACGAATCTTGATCAGGATTGGGTACCTGTGGTTGTGAGAGAAGTACAACAACGACTCCATTAGTAACACTATAAATCTATAATCATGCAATGTACCACCAGACTTCCAGAAAGTAAGAACATTGACACGTTTTTAGCATTCCGTAGAGTTGACATGACATCATGCATGACGACGTTAAGTCCTTAACGCTTCATTTCTTTTTTAACAATATAGATATTATCTTAAGACAATAATTTTTTTTTTAATGAGGTATGGGATATTTTTGTTTTCCTTTGAATTCAAGAGTATCAAATCGTTTACTTTTCTTTGCTTCACATTAACAACTTCATGTATATTAATTTGATCTATATATCTACAACCTCATCCTATAATCGCTTCCAAGTTTTTCTTAAGGAAAAATGAGTACTTTTTTTTTGTTTTGGTCGAAAAATGAGTACTTTAAAATTAAAATTTGTTGACTTCACACCGACACCGTATATTTAGATTTTAAACTTTAAGTCTGATTAGTCATTGTTAATATAGAAGATCTTGTTATCCAAAACGAATTACCCAACAAAAGCTGTAAATAAGAACTAGTGTTATTCGTATTTTATAGTATTTAGGTGTTATCAGCTACACCATGAGAGGTGACAAACCACCAATCACTAGTCTTAAAATGGAAAACCCTTCAAAACGCTAATTCTGGTTAATCTATTTAAATTTATATTATTTGCTTTTTATAACCATGGAGGTCTACATCTTATTATGATGCGCAAAATTATTTTCAAGCAAGTAATAATGATCTCCACGTTTGGAAATTGCAATATTTTGCTAGAACGCGTAATAATTCCATATATGGTTCTCACTATTCTCCATGTCAACTTTGAAAACGTCTTCTTTTTTTGACTCTTAGCTAACGTCTTTGTTTTAGCTACTCGTCAAATATTCGTATTATATTTCTAAGTAATGACGTTAATTAAATAATCTATCCCAAAATTGAAATATTTATTTATAGTCTTCTCAAACCTTCTTCTTTGCAACTCATTCACTTTTCTCAACCAATCTCAGAAACATTTTAAACCAGACAAGAACAAGAGCACTACTACTTTCCTTTTTGTCTGAAACTTCAAACACAAGAAACAAGAAAAATATGATAGAGCTTGCTCTGTCTCTGTATCTTTTCTTCTCAGTTAAATATGTCAATTCTGTTTATTCTCCTCCGACAAGTGAACAGTTTCAAAGTTGCTTGTCGTCAAATCACTGCAATTCAACATTCAAAAGCCCTATAAATCTCGCCAAGGTCCACACACCAGATTCAAGAATCTACACTGACTTTTCCGAATCCTCCTCATCCCTAAATTCAAGTTTCTTCAGTTTGAATTTCACAAGCCTGAAACCGATTCTTACCCTCAAACCGAAATCCGAAACGGAAATTAAAAAAGCAATCCTATGCAGCAAGAAACTTGGAGTGCAAGTAAGAACCCTGAGTGGTGGCCACGACTACGAAGGTCTCTCTTACCTCTCACAGTCTCCCTTCATAATCATCGACCTCGTCAACCTCAGATCGATCAACATCAACCTCAAAGACGACACAGCTTGGATCCAATCCGGAGCAACACTCGGCGAACTCTATTACAAGATCGCTAAAGCCAGCAAGATCCTTGCCTTCTCCGCAGGGATATGTCCGAGTGTTGGAGTTGGTGGCCATATAAGCGGCGGTGGATTCGGCACAATAATGAGAAAACACGGTTTAGCGTCTGATAACGTCGTGGACGCGCATTTGATGGACGTAAACGGGATAATCCGCGACCGGAAAGCAATGGGAGAGGATTTGTTTTGGGCGCTTAGAGGCGGTGGAGCAGCGAGTTTTGGCGTTGTCTTGTCGTGGAAGGTAAAGCTTGTTAGGGTTCCTGAAAAGGTAACTTGCTTCATAAGTCAGCATCCGATGGGAGAAAGCATGAACAAGCTTGTTCATCGATGGCAATTCATAGGAGCAGAGCTAGACCAAGACTTATTCATCAGAGTCATTATCGACAACAGTCAAGAAGGGAATCAAAGAAAGGTCAAAACAACTTTCCAAGCTCTGTTCCTTGGAGGGATCGATAGACTGATTCCTCTGATGAACAAGAAGTTTCCAGAAATCGGATTACGAGCTCAAGACTGCTCAGAAATGAGCTGGATCGAGTCGATAATGTTCTTCAACTGGAAGTCAGGACAACCGTTGGAGACCATGCTCGACAGAGACCAGAGGTACGAGGATCTTTACTTCAAAGCCAAATCAGATTTCGTTCAAAAACCAGTTCCAGAGAACGTTTTCGGAGAAGTCACCAAAAGGTTTCTCGAGAAAGAAACTCCACTGATGATCTTAGAGCCGCTCGGTGGGAAGATCAGCGAGGTTTCAGAGACAGAGTCTCCATATCCACACAGGAGAGGGAATCTTTACAATATACAGTATATGGTGAAGTGGAAAGTGAATGAAGTCGAGGAGATGAACAAGCATGTGAGGTGGATGAGATCTCTTTACGATTACATGAGCCCTTACGTTTCTTCATCGCCGAGAGGAGCTTATCTGAATTACAGAGATCTTGATTTGGGGACGACCAAAGGGATCAACACGAGCTTCGAAGATGCACAGGAATGGGGTGAGAGATACTTCAGAGGTAATTTCAAGAAATTGGGTTTGGTTAAAGGGAAGATTGATCCTACGAATTTCTTCAGGAACGAACAGAGTATTCCTCCTCTGTTTTGATGCTTTCTCAAGACAAAATCAGATGTATTGTTTATGTAATTCTGTTTATAACAGTGATGATGCAAAGAATCAAATATAAACCGAAGATTTGAAAACCAAGAAACCTGACCAAGCTGATATATAAACGGTTTAGGCACCACTAGATATGTTCAAACATGGTGATAAAAGTTTATACAAGAAGTTAACAGTCAATTGAATCACCTGATATAATATCAGAATACACAAAGATCAGTGAGTTTTTCGACAGCAATCTGAAAAAGGGCAAACGCAAATCCGGTTTAGCTCTTCTTCTGTGCGGCTTTAGTACCAGGAAGTGTTCCAAAGACTTTGTCCCAGAGAGATGAAGTGATTCCATATCCTTTGTCGTGGATTCTGAAGTGATGATTCAGGTGGTATTTCTGTGAAAACATCAAAACAAAACCTCATAAGAAATTCAGAGGACTAAGTTTGAATGCGGAAGAAAGAGACTTTTCAAGATATGTTTTGTTACCTTAAGATGTTTAAAGGTTGGTACTTTCGGTTGACCATGGTGTACATAGTAATGAGTAATGTCATACATCACATAGCCAAACAATATGCCTCCAAGCATAGCAGGAGCTGTTGCCGGTGTAGCTACGAGATGGAGAAGCTTCCATAGCTAACAATGAAAAGGAAGAAGCGAAGAACATCAATAAAAAGATTCCGTTTTGAAACAAAGAATGAATGAAAACAAAGAAGCTGGTCTTACAGGAACCAAGAGAATAGCTGTTGCAGTAGGAGGGAAGACAAGACGAAGGCCGTCTTGTGGGTGCTTATGATGGCATCCATGAAGAAGATAGTGCGCGGTGTTTGCCCTATAGAAAACACAATCAGCTTACTGATGACACGGTTTTATCTTTATGTTGCATAATCGATCACAGATATTGAACTTACCAGTAAGTCTTGGTTTGGATGTGGAAAAGGAAACGATGAAGTGTGTACTCGAGAAGTGTCCACGTGAGTACGCCAAAGGCAACTATCAAACCGATCTGGGGAAATGTAAGTCCCTTCCTCGCTGATATCGAAAGAACGTAGCAAACAACTGGAAGCCAAATTGTTGGGATTGCCCACCAAACCGTGCGAGTTAAGAACTGCTCAAAGTTCCAAAACAAGAGGATTTAATCAAAGCATAGAGGAGGATAGATTTAGAAAGGAAGAGAGTTGTTACCTCCCAGAAATCACTTTGGAAAAAACGAGGACCCTCTACGCAGACTATAGGTTGATGAATCCATTCCTGATATTCTTCGCCAAGATGACCAACCTGACATGGGAAGAGGTTTGATAAGTAAATTGATGCATTGCAAACACCAAAGACTCCTTTGGTATATGATGAATGCAAAAATGGCTATGTCAAAAAGAAGTGATTGAGAGCATCACCTGAAAGACAAGTGGCTTATCCAAATCGACTGTGAAGCGTTCTGCAACCATCTTTTCTACTTTATTGATTCTGCAGGCTGGAGGAAACCAAAAAAAAAAGTGGACACATTGACCAATCTGATGCAAGAAGAACCAATGCATAAACGCCTATATATGAGCATACATATGTACAAAGGAATAAAAGCGTTTCTTAAAAGATACTATGATTCAAAAGATTGCAATGCTGTTGAGACTTGAGAGAAAACATAGAGGATGAACAATATATATTCAAAGGTAAACCAAGATTCAGATTAAGAAGATATAATTGCTTAGTCGTAGCCAGTCGAATTGATCCCAAACCAAAAATATATAATATTACTGTGATGCTAATTTGAAACTGCACTCCTTCAAATACAATATTGACAGAAACTAATCGTTAAGACCTTCATTTGACTAAACCAGGAGCCAAATTGAAAAAATCAACCTTAAACAAAAATTCCCAGAAGCTTGATTGCTTCAATGGAATCTAAAACACAGAAGACAGCATTTAGCATTCGGGGATTTATCAGATATGAATCTAAAGCTCGATTCGCACAAGGGACCACAAAGAAGAATCTCTCATATGGCTCAATGATCCAACAAAAAGGTAATGTAATTGCGAAATTCTCATCATCATACCTAAAGACAAAAACCTTAAAGAACAAAACTTTCAGAAGGAGAAAATCAAATCAAACACCAGATTTCTTCGGGAAACCAAAAAACCCGTCAAAGGAAAGGAAATTCCAACGATGAATACGGAAACCCTAGAGAGAGAGAACAAAAGGCAGCATTTTCTTCGGAATTGACGAACAAAATCCCGAGCTTTTCGAAAGAAAATAAATCGATGAGGAAAGAGAATAAGATCTGGAGATTTCTTTACCTTAGAGGAAAAACAAGCCTCTCTCTGCGTAAGAGACTCGCTTACTCTCTCCAATGAGATTTGAGGGGGAACAACAACACTCTGTCACACAACGATGGGTTTTATGATTTATGGCTTTATGCTTCTCTTCTTGATAATGTTTCGGCCTACGTTTTCTATTTTCTCTCTGTTTTCTTTTTTTGCCATTTATATCTTAGGTTATACTGTATTTTTAAAACAATTCGCTATTACAGGTTGGCAAACAAAAATAAAGGTATAGTTGCTAAATTTCAGAAAAAAAAAAGAAGACAACTAAACAGTAATATTAATTTTATGCATAAAAAGAAATTGTTTTTTAATCTATATTCTAAAATATAAATATATTTTTCTTTTTAGGTTATACCATAAATAGGAAGAATATAAATGGTTATTTTTCTATAAAAAGATTGCAAAAAAGAATAAGGGATATAAAAACAAATTTACTTGTTTGGGTCTAATTTTGCTATAAAAAAAATTCCGTAATAGTAAACTACAGCACAATCCCATTGGTCTGTAAGGCAGTCACTGAGTTTTTAAATCTTTATACTAAATCAAATATTTGTATAGTCTCTCGGTAAAATGAATATAATATAAGATTATAAATGCAATACGTATATAATTCTCAGAAGTTCCTTTTTACAACAAGATCACCAACCTATATAAAAAAGACAAATATATGTCACAACTCACAAGTTAAATGTTAATCCCATTGATCGTGATTCGTGAAATCACCTTTTTTTGTTGCTATAATTATGAGTTCTGATGAATTTCACAGCGAAGCATGCGAAAGTTTTTTTCCTTTTGCCAGCACAAGGGATACGTAGAAACTAAACCATCATATGATGCATATCTGTGGACGATGACTAGTGGACTTTTACTTGCGTATACATCACCAATGGTGTTTTTAAAACAAATCATGATTTACGTTGACGCAATTGTTGCACCATTTATCGAAATTTATCTACACGGGTATACGCATCACGATTAATATCTTTTATAGATAAACATTTTTTAGAGACTTGGTTGGTTTTAATTTTCATTAGTGAACTTTTGTGCTGAATACAACAAAGTATGAATCTTAGATTACATATTGTTATTTCACCTGAATTATATATGAACTCGAACCCAAATAATTCTGCGATGACAACATGGCGGTTTTAAAATAAAGGGATATGAATCATAAGTAGTAGAATATATAACTATAGGAAATGAGTAAAGGTTCAGTGGTTCAACAGACTATAGTCAAATAAAAAGATCTAAGAGAGACATTAATACTGTAGTATAGATTTGGATGATGTGTTGTTCTTTGTTTAAAAAATTATCTATATACACATGGGTGGTTCTTTAGACTCTTGACATGTGTTGGGAAGTGGGAACTACTCAACTACGCAACTAGCAAGTCTATTATTAATATATACATGACCAAAACCTTAATGGTAGCCATGATATAGCATCGAAATGAGGCTTTCCACAAAATAAACAATAGTCGTAAACATTATGCACTTTGTATCAGGTCGAGATTTCATTAAATGCAATTCCCTCATACACCATAATATATTTAAAAATTAAAACCATATACATCAATCATCATTGTTTTCTCAATAGTCCACGACTAGGATATTTTTTCACAGATACGATTCAACGTAGAATATGCAATGCTACATCGTTCGCAAATTACTTAAAAACAAAAGACAACGTTTCTACATTCTCTTTAAAGTTTATTATCTCTACGAGGATTGAATCCAACTTCGAAAAAGTTGATTCAAGAAAAAGAAAAAAAGAACGCTAAAGCCTCATGAGTCACATTTAATTCGCGGAGGACACATCCGATTCAATACGTCATATCAAACTCTGGATGTTTCCAAATGCTAAAATAAACTCAATAAAATTCGAAGATATGGTCTTTAGACGACTAATAATAAGTAAATTGGTCAAGTCATGATCATCATCATATGCCTCCGTCGATATCGCCACATAAACTAACAAAACTCTTACAAAAGTTAGTGCATTGGTTTTTTCTGGCCGACACAAACCTTAATGCTCGCTCTGCCTCTCATTATTAACACTGACCATTTAAAAAAATATTAATTACTTTTTTCCTCCTTCACAGTAAACAACAACTTTGACTCATTGACTCACCATATAATAACAAATATTCACCGTTTCAAAAGCTTTTTAATAAATAATTTACAGTTTCATAAGCAAACAATCGTAGCTTCGAACTGCCAACCACCCAACAACACTCCCGTCAACGCCGTCACCGTCAGTAGCAACTAACGGCAATCCGTGGGGCCCACCACTGCCACGGAAACACAACAACAACGACAAAAAAATTTCCCAAAGGCTGATTTTTTCTTTCTTCTCTCTGTTCAGAGACGGGTTTGAATTTCAGATTTGGAGCAGACAACTCTCAGAATCAGACACGAAGAAAGCGTTAGACCAATAGCTACGACTTTCCCGCTTAACAATCCAGCAAGAGCAATCACTATCAGAACAATCGCTTTCATTAGATCCCCTTTCGATGATCCATCATCTTCATCTTCTCCTTCAACAATCTCTTCACAGCTCTCCAGCAATGGCGGACTCGAACTTATCTCCTCTCTCTCAGATATCTCGCTCTCGACTCTGTCTTCAGAAAACAAGCTCGAAACTTCCGTTACAGACTCTTCCTCTCCTTCCTCTTCAACTATCTCTACCTCTACCTCTTCCCCACCTTCTTCTTTTTTCATCATCTTCATCATCTTCCTCTTCTTCTTGTAACTCCTCAACTTCTTCGGCACTATCTTCTTCACAATCTTCGATTTCAGCTTCGCGCTTTTACTCTTCTCCTTCTTAAACACCACGTCCCTAATCGTCAGCAATTCTTCCTCTTTCTCCTCCGCCACAGGATTCGCCTTATTCATCCGATCCGACGTCAACGACTCCTCCGTATTCGATTTCTTTTCTTCGCTGCAATCTCTCGATTCCTCGAAAGTTTCGGTTATTTCAAACGAGACATTGTTTCTTCTTCCGTCGTTTGTCGATGATGACGATGACTCTTCTAGCTTCTCTTGCCGTCGCCGCTTCCCTAAGAGCTTTCCGATCAGCGAATGCAGCCGAACATGCGCGCCGGGGCAGAGATTCAGGAGCGTGAAGACACGCGCCACCGCGAACTCGAGGAATATGAGGGCGAAAGCGGAGAGAGTAATCCCCACGGCGAGCTTCTTCGTGCTCAGCGCGAGCACAGCCACCACGAAGACCTTGAACACCACCACCATCAAAACGCACCCACCTCCGCCGCTGTTATCGCCGTTTCCGCCGTCGGCATCGTCGCCGTCGTGCCTGTTCTCCGATGCTAAGCCACCGACGAAACTCTCCTCGATCTTACGCGTCGGGAGATCCTCCGTAACCGACGCCGGATCAAGCTTCGCTGGGAGAGAGCTACGCCGCTGCAGAGGGAGAGGAGGAGGCGGAGATGAGACACGCCGTCGTGGCCGATTAGAATGAGAATGAGAATGATCCGGAGTTTGAGCCTGGGATTTGCTGTTGCTGCGTTTCGAAGAGTTTTTTTTGAGACGATCGCGATTCTTAACGAAGAGATCGATGAGAGAAGTTGGGAATCCAGTTTCGACGACGAGAGATCCGCCGTGTTTCGGAGATTGTTGGAGGTCCGATACGAATCTCGAGATCCGACCCGATTTCGGTTTCTTCCAAGGCAAAGGCATGGAGAATTCGAAGAAGAAGACCAAAATGGAAATGGAATGAAGACAGTTTTTTAAAAATTATTTTACCTCTCCGAAGAACCCAGGAAATAGGGTTTGTCGAAGAGATAGAGAAGATCTGGTTGGAAGATCAAAACCATTAATAAGACATGGAGAAAGGAAAAGGAAGAGAAACAATAAATGGAGAAGTCTTTTCTTTGCGCAGAAAGTGAAGGCTTTGGAGAGAGAGACGACGCGAGCTATTATGATGAGAAAACCCGCTAAAAAGACATTTACACGACGACGCGTGCCTCTTTGCCAATTTAATACTACAGTATTTTTTTATTTTTAAGTGTCAACATTTATACAATTCATTTTTTTAATTTTTATGTAGTACTCCTAAACAGCAGTACTAGGTAAAATTTTAAGATTCAGCATTTTAAACTGTACCAGATAAAATCCAGAACTAAAACCGTACCAAAATATCATTATTCGATCGTTTCTTCATAGGACATTTGAAAACGAAACGAATTTTACACTCGGATAAAACTTTTGATAAACAAATCAGTTTCTATGTAGATCGAACTTCAATTGAATTAATCATCGACGAAAGATAGCAAGATATACATATATATACTTTTTAATGTTTAACGACTATAACACTAGCTTCGAAATCTGATTTCATTTCTTTATATTACGCTTGCTTTTCGAGAGTACTAAACCAAACTTGAGTTAGAATAATAACCATTCCGAATAAGATTTATAAATTTCGTAAACCAACAAATCACGTACTGTAACTCGAACTAAACTACACTGAAAACCCAACATATTAATCCATATTATTATTTGTAGACATTGGCATGATTACTCGGTTTTAACTATTTTATGATCGGTCCTTGCGTTTTTAAACATCATTTTGTACAGTTTCTTCTATCGTTGAAACTAGTAACTATCAACAAATTTTGTCTATAGTTGGGTGTTAGAAAACTTTCTGATGATAGCCAACAAATTTGAACCGTTGATCCATATCATAAACTACTTGGAAGCAACTCCTCGATATTACAAGCAACATTTTCTTTATTTTTGTTTTCATTTGAAAAATATGCAACAGATTACCATAATAAATCGTCTTTTTCTAACTGAGTGTTGTATTCATACTCGAAGTATCTATATTAAGCATTTTTATGGGTTGGCAACTCTTAGCATTGGCCTGTAAGCCATTTATGTCGAGTTTCTATTGTCAGCTAATATCTATTATTATGGCGATTTGCTAAATAAGTTTATGGCTATTATTAGTGTAAAAAAGATTAAGATGAATCAACTTACTAAATTAGTTGAAAACAACTAAGGAAAATCCACTGATGACGCAGATTCGAATCTTTTGGTCTTCAATTTCAATATCCGAGGAGAAAAGGATCTAATCATAAATCAATAATTTATAACTAAACAATTAGAATATTCAAGTGCGAAAGATTATTTTCTTTAATAAAAAACATAGAAAACTATTGCCTTTTTTATCTTTTCACGAGTGATTTTAGTTTTATATTAATAGCAAAATATCTATGTAAAGATATTTTGTTTGATTCGCTGTCGTACAGCACATAAAGAAACCAAATCGAAAAGACAGAAACTATATATAGGGGTACTATCAAGAGATCGAGAAATATCGAAGGACTAAACTATAAATAACTGAAGAAATTTAAGGAGAAAAAAGACGTAAACTATATATAGCTGATTACTACCCATTCATAGATTCTTTTGTTTTTATACCCCTCAATCAAACAATAAACAGAGGAGTCGCCAAATTTTCTCACATTTTCTCGAGAAAAAGACAAGCGATTCCAAGGAGAGAAAATACCTGCTGAAAATGAGAGAAATCCTTCACATCCAAGGAGGCCAGTGCGGAAACCAGATCGGTGCCAAGTTCTGGGAAGTTATCTGCGGCGAGCACGGCATCGACCACACCGGTCAGTACTGCGGCGATTCAGATCTACAGCTCGAGAGGATCAATGTCTACTACAACGAAGCCAGCGGAGGCAAGTACGTTCCTCGCGCCGTTCTCATGGATCTGGAGCCTGGAACCATGGACTCTCTCAGATCCGGGCCGTTCGGTCAGATTTTCCGGCCGGATAACTTCGTCTTTGGGCAGTCTGGCGCCGGGAATAACTGGGCGAAAGGTCACTACACGGAGGGAGCTGAGCTGATTGATTCGGTGCTTGACGTTGTGAGGAAGGAGGCTGAGAACTGCGACTGTCTTCAAGGTGAGATACGCATTTCATTTTCCAGTTTCCGAATCCATATTTTGTTTGTTCGTATTTGATCTGTTTAGGTTTTCCTCTTCCGTATCCATTCGAAACCAGATCTGCTATTAGATACCTTTCGATTTCCTCGAGCTTCATTTTCGTCTCTGTGTGCTTACTCTCTAAGAAATTCTTTGTCAACTTAATAAATATGATCTTGCCTGCATTTTTTGACAAATGATAAGAAGAATCAACTTGGAGATTTCGTAGATGCGTATTGTTTCTGAAATTTTCAGCGACACGTGAAGCCGTACCACCTTCTTACGGTGCTTTGTTAGCGTCCGATGTCCTCGATTAGATTTGTGACAGGCCATTCTCTGATGATCTATATGATGCTTTGTTAGCGCTTCACGCCTTGATTAGGCTCGTGACTCATCATTCTCTTGACTCATGATTGTGGAACAGGTTTTCAAGTTTGCCATTCTTTGGGAGGAGGAACTGGCTCCGGCATGGGAACACTTCTCATTTCTAAGATAAGGGAGGAATATCCAGATCGTATGATGATGACCTTCTCGGTTTTCCCTTCGCCTAAGGTCTCCGATACCGTGGTTGAGCCATACAATGCTACACTCTCCGTTCACCAGCTTGTTGAGAATGCTGACGAATGTATGGTTCTGGACAACGAAGCTCTCTACGATATCTGTTTCCGCACCTTGAAGCTCGCTAATCCTACTTGTGAGTTTCAAAAAACCATTTCTCCATTCGTTTTCCAATCTTCATGGAGTGTACTTTGAAAAAACACTAACATTGTTCTTCTTTCTTCTGTTGTTCTTTAGTTGGTGACCTTAACCACCTCATCTCAGCTACCATGAGTGGTGTCACATGCTGTCTCCGTTTCCCTGGTCAACTAAACTCCGACCTTAGGAAACTCGCTGTGAACCTTATCCCTTTCCCACGACTCCACTTCTTCATGGTTGGTTTTGCACCATTGACATCAAGAGGATCACAGCAATACAGTGCCTTGAGCGTCCCTGAACTCACCCAGCAGATGTGGGACTCCAAAAACATGATGTGCGCAGCTGATCCTCGCCACGGCCGTTACTTGACAGCTTCCGCTGTGTTCCGTGGAAAGATGAGTACTAAAGAGGTTGATGAGCAGATGATGAACGTCCAGAACAAGAACTCGTCATACTTCGTTGAATGGATTCCAAACAACGTGAAGTCAAGCGTCTGTGACATTGCTCCCACTGGTTTGAAAATGTCATCCACTTTCATCGGAAACTCGACTTCGATCCAGGAGATGTTCAGGCGTGTGAGTGAACAGTTCACTGCCATGTTCAGGAGAAAAGCTTTCCTTCATTGGTACACGGGAGAAGGAATGGACGAGATGGAGTTCACTGAAGCTGAGAGTAACATGAACGATCTTGTTGCAGAGTACCAACAATATCAGGATGCTACAGTCGGTGAAGAGGAGTATGAAGAGGAGGAAGAAGAAGAAGAAGCTTAAGAGAAATATGATTTGATTTACTACTTTTGTAAGGCTTTCACACAAAGCTGCAAGTCGCTGCACTCATTCCTTTTATCCTATATTTTTTATGTTTGTTCCTTGAACTGAAATTTCTCTCTTTTTTGTGCTTTGTGTGTTTTGTTATTGAATCTTTTTCTCAAAAAGAAAAAAAACAACTAAGATTTGTTCTGGAGTGTAATCACATATGCCTATGCTTCTTTGTTTTGTCTATGAAAAATTAGTACAATGTCAAAGCCTATACAATTTCTCTCTGACCAAAAACTTGATAACCTGTACAACTAGAACCTAAACCTCTGTTGCTTTAAGCTCTTCCTGCAATCTCTTTGCGTTTTCTTCTTCTTCCTCTTCAGCGATATCTGCCCAGCTTTTCTTAGAACCACTATTCATACAATCTGCAGCATCTTTGATGAATTCATGAAGACCATGAATCATGTTCTGGTCAAGTCTCTTTCCCTTCATGGCTTCTTCTTCTTCTCCTCTCTTCAAAATCCTAACATGCTCAGAACCAAAAGGTTTCCCAAACGATAGCTTTCGAGCTGCACCTCTCGTCTCTTCTTCATACATCCCTTTCCTCTGATCCCATTTGCATCCTCGTGGTTGAGTAAAAAAACCTGCCGAGTTTTGTCTAGCAGATGCTGGAGAAGAAGGAACATTCCGGTAGTTCCTGTTTGCGATTCCAGGAGCTTTAGCAGCAGATGCAGGAGAAGAAGGAACATTCCAGTAGTGCTTGTTTGCGATTCCAGGAGGTTTGTTTTCCTTCATCACGTTTGCAAATGAACATCCCGCATAGAACTTCTCCGCAAGATCATCACCTTCTGGTTTTTTCGATTCTGTTTCTGCTAACATCTCAACAGCTCGATCATAAGACTTCAAGAATGCTTCTTCTCCGCATTCACTCTCTACAGTAGTTACTTTTACTTCATCAATCAGAGATTTAGCTTCTGGAATTCGACCCGTACGCATCAAGCAGATCGCCAGGTTGCACATTTTGTTCTTGTCCGGTTCCAAACACAAAGCTCTCCTGTTCATTGATAGTTGCACATAAGGAAGAAAGACTCATAAGATCAATCACAATTTGAAATTTGGTAACAAAACTAACCTGTAATGCTGCTCTGCAATTCCATAGTTATGCAGCTGTAAATGAACCCATCCCAAGTTCCCTAGGATCCTAAAATGTTCGAACAACAATGGAAAACTCAGTTCAAGAGACAAAATACTCACAGAGATAACACAGAGAATAGACTAAAATTTTCACACCTCGCCATCTCTTGCTCGATCGTCATCGTGACATGTTTCCCTTGGACCTTTTTCGCTCTGATGACTCTACCACCAAATCCCATTCCTTGCTCGAGTGTTTTCAGCTTGTGCTCAAGTAATCCAGCTTCTTCTTCGATCCTCCCTGACTTCTGCGAGATAACACAAAGCACATATCCAAGTTTTAACACTTCAGAGACTAATATCAAAAACTTCACATAAGAAAAGATGTGGTTTTTGTTACTTTGAAGAGTTCGAGAAGTAAGTTATCAATGGAGTCTTGGGCCTCCAAAGGACAGAGATACCGAAAGGATTTGATAGCTTCAATTCCTTCATCAGATCGGTTTAACTGTTTCATCACAACGGCCATGTCCTTCAACGCACTATCAACTCGATCTCCAGCGTTGATCGCAGCCCAGAACAATGATATTGCTCGATTCGGATCTTTAGATACCAACTGTTTAATCAATACAATATTCTTATCTTAGAGAACGATCATAGACAAAATCAAGATCAAATTGAGTTCAAAGACTGGATCAGCTACAAAATGCGAACGCTTTAAGAGAAATCTTTCACATGTTTGGGATTGAAATCGGAGGAGAATTTAGAAACCCTAAATTAGGGCGAAAGAAAAATTTCCCTTTTTTCTATTTTCCCGGGAAAGTTCGTACCTGCGCATGTTTGGCTCTGACGTAAGGAGAATCACCGGAAGGAACCTTGTGAATGATGTGGAAGGGATCACGGTTCTCCATAGACGGTGGTCTCCTCCTCTCCGACATCGGCATCGCCGCCGCATAATCTCTTGTTCTCGTGTTGGACGTCGGCGGCGGAGTCCAGAAAGCTCCAGGCGGAGGAGGACGACGGTCTTCGCAAGGACACATTTTTCGCGATTCTCCTCAATTTTTCTCCGAGAAACTTCGGGAATTGTTCACTACCTCGTGAAAGATCAAGAACCCAAAGCAAAATCGCAAGATGAAAAAACCCAAATGCTCTCGTTTAGAAATCTCAGCGTCGGAGAAGAACAGAGACTACTACTAAACTCAGAGGCACAATAAAGCGGTAAACTGGTTAAAAAACAACAAACTTTGACGCGGAGGGCAAAAGAGTAATCTTCATTAATCTTACGTTTAAACTTCAGTGGTCACTGCCTCACTGGTCAGAAGACCAGAGAGCCAATAGGCAATAGGCAATGGATGTTTTTAAACATAAAGGTTCGATTTTTACGGTTAATACTGCAAAAGCTAAGGAAAAAGAGCTAAAAGCAAGCTTTGAGTTTAGTAAGATGAAGATAATCACATCATCAGATCGCTTGCACTTATAAGTGATCAGTCTTTCTTTTCACCATCATCTTTCTTCCATTCCCATATGACTTTGTAAGGCTGCAACGAGCCTTCTTCAACATTCTCAGCAGCAACAACTTTATCTGCAGATGAAGAAGAAGCTTCCCGTTTGAAAACAGCAATCTGAGAAGCAAACCCAGGTTCAACTCCACCAGACCCACCAACACCGCTAAACTCGACGCTGTAGTTATGGCGTTTGGCGAGATTCGAAGCCCATTGGTTAAACTGTTCTCTTGTCCACTCGAACTTGTGGTCATGGTTCCTGAATTTTGGAAGCTGTGACTCTGATTTCTCTTCTTCGGTTGCTGGTGTAGACTTTTGGAGAATTGTGTTGTACTCAAAGTTTGGTGTTGACACAATCAAGAGCTTTGGCCGAAACAAGCTTAAAACTTTCTCCCCAAATTGACAGGCTTCATCTTCTTCCATGTGTTCAATGACCTACAAATTATATATGTAAGGCAAAACCAGACAGATTTTCATTTGAAGAACATGCACAAACATTGAAGTACCTCTAGGCAAGTGCCGATGTCAATGTCGTGTAGCCTTGTATCAAACTCGAGGATAGAACCATCGTAGAGTGTAGCAGATTTGACATTTCCAGCTTCCTTGTTTAGTTTTGAATGTAGCATCTGAAAATTGAAACAACAATATACAAAATAACCAACCATCTCTTTTCGATAACATAATATAGAGATGATCAAACAGATATCATCAAGTTATGTCAACCTTAGCAGCACGGGCAAGACCTTTTGGTGAGATGTCAACACCGATAATGCTCTGAAGTGAAGTTGGATAGTCAAGAAGAGAGTCTAACAAACTTCCAGAACCGCAACCAAAGTCAGCCTGCAACAGAGAACAGATGTAACAATAAGGAACAAAAGAGACTGAAACGAATGTACAAGATCCACATAAAAGAGTACTGAATTCAGAATTCCAATAAGCAGAATGACATTCAGATCAAAGAGCGTACTAGAGTAGAAGCTGATGATTCTTTAATATGTTTCACTGCATATTCAACACGCTGTTTCGAAAGTGGAGGTTTAAAGAAAGCAGCTTCCATTCGTTCTTCAGTCGGTCCTTTCACTCCCAATAAAATTATACTGTAAACCAAAGCTGGACGTTCTGTGTACAAAAAGCAGAGGAACTTATCAACATTACACTGTTCATGGAATCTCTTATCTCAGTGATCGATATATCAAAACAGTGTAAACATTAGAAGCATTTACCTGAGAGGAGGGAGCGGAATCTCGCAGTATCAGTGACAGTAGCCAAAATCAAAGCTTCAGCATATTCAGGCAGCGTAGTATTAAAAGAAGCATATTCACCAACAGTCATCTTAGTCACAGCTGATTCAATATGTGAATTCATGGCTCCAGTCCCCACCTCAAACTCTATCTCTTCATTGCTTTCAATGAGATCTATTGAGTACTCACAATTCTCAATATCCTCCTCAGACTCTACATCTTCGTTTCCTTCACTGCCTTCTTCACCACCATCACTCGAGTATTCAGGATCCACTTCTAAAGACAGAGAATAGCATATGCTAACCACTGAACCGTTTGTTATAGATTGAACACCCTTCTCTCCCGATGATGCCACGTTCGCGGTCTGGTCGTCATCTGTATCATTAGGCTGCTCTCCATCCACGTCCAGCTCATCGAAATACTTACTAAACCATAACAGGGCTTTCAACGAAACATTTTGAATAGCATCATTTTCCTTCTCATAGAATTTCCTCGGTGAACACTCCAAAACCACATCCTTGGACTTTGTAAGGATCTTCACCTCACATCTAAACCCATGCTTTAACCTTGGTGTATCATCCTCTCTTTCCTTCTCATCACCGGCATCGTCAGATTCTAAAACCTTCAACTTCTTGTGAGATCTGTATATATCAGACAAGGATTTCACAGGAGCAGTAGATACAGTAAAGTCAGGCTCTGCTAGTCGGTGCTGCTGGCAGAACATTTTGAGGATATCCCTGGGGAGTGGACCTCTCCAGTTAGACTTTGTAGTGAATGAAAAAGGCAGCTGTGCAGCAAGTACCGCTTTTCGGGCGATCTTGTAGATTCCATTCGGTGACATACCGCAACATATCCTGCACAAGCCAAAAAGCTAATGTGCTTAGCCAAAGACTAACATCAAATACATTACTTCAAAGTTCACAAACGTAAGTTGGTAGGAGAGAAAGGACCTGTAAAATGACTTGACATTTACATCATCATAGTCAAGATCATCAGTCTTCCATCGGTAACCAACAGATGCCAAGATTGCATCCCCGTGAATATCTTGACCACAAATGTAACTTGCTCTTACATTCTTCCGAAATTTTTCAGTATGAGCTGATTCTTCAGTTGAACTTCCCGCGACTTCTGAAGAATTATCCGAGGACTTAAGCTTAGGAAGAGCGGAGTACAGTCTACACTCAGAGCCACATGAAGCTTTGCCAAGAGTCCTATTGAAAACCAAAAGTACTTAACACAGAGAAAGCTCCATTTATTTGATAGTAGAAAACAAAATTTAACCACCTTGAGATCATCACTTGGCTGCCATCTTTCAAGCAGAGCCTTTCAGCAATACTATCCATGTAATACTTGCCTGATGAAATATCAATAGCATCTAACTCAACAACCTCCTCACCGTCACATGGTATATACGCAGCTTCGACTTTTCTGCAATCTTGGGAATCAGATACATGAGTAGTAGCTAGTGCTTCTACAATCTCTGAAGGGTATGCGTTTTTCCTGCGGAGTGAAGCTACGTGCGGAGATGCAACAACGTAGTCTGACAGCTTTGCAGCAGCCTTCATGACACAGGAAATGACCAAGAAAGGATCTGATTCCAGAGAAGGGTTTATTATTTTACAACGACTGTTGATCTTTGCATCAAATGTAGCGATGACAGAAACAGGAACCGAGCCGCAAGAATCACCCTCCCTTCGCAATGATGCTCTAAGGTGAGCTCCTAGAGGATGTTCAGATGAAAGAAACTGCAATTGCAGAAGCTTAAAACATCAAAACACTTCATAATACAGAAGATCAGAAATATCATTTTAATGTACTAACCTCATCAGAAAACATATGCTTAATGCGTCCAACAATATCATCCCAAGCCTCATCCACAGTAAGATCATCATTCTGAGGACGAATGCCTAGCTGCAACATGAACAGTAACGGTCTTCGTTAATATAAGAGAGAACACATTACATAAGAGATTGACATATATATATATATACATAACAAAGCATAAACCTTATCAAGAGCCAATTCAGCAGCAGACTGTTCGGAATCCTTCTTCTTCTTGAAGACAGTTGACACAACAGAAAAGTCTGGTAGCTGCAAGTGGCAGCGATAGAGACACGGACCTTTACGCGGTATAGCTAACCCTGGACAACCACTATCAGAAGAGTCATGGACTTCCTCAATTCTGTAGACTGCATTAGCACCAAACTTCTGATGTATAACTGCCTTTGAAGAAAGCTTCGGTTTCCCTCCACCAGCCATCACAAAAACTCACTGTAGCTTCTCTAATACACAGAAGCAAACAAAGGGTCAATGTAATCATTGCCAAAGATCAGGAAAGATGGTAACTTTTTTTTTGCAAAATGTGACAACTCAAACCAGAGCCATAGAAGATAATATCAAACAACATCTATTTCAATTCCCGCATTCACAATGTTGTAAATCTAACAACTTGTCAAATTGATCAGATTGGAGATTGATCAGTGAATTCTAAGTTTCAATGAGTCTTCGTTTCCAAAACAAAAATGGTGGAAACCCAAACAAGAAATCTGTAATCATTAAAGTTACAGAAAAAAAAAAACAATGAAGGAGGAGAGCAGACACAATCGATTTCTGTGATAGGTTATACGCACATGCGACGGGAAGCAGAGAGACAGAACACAAGGAAATGAGCCAAGTAACGATTTTTCGTTCGCAGGAAGTACAGTTAAAGGGTTTTGAGTAACACTAAGACAAACGAATCGTCCTGAGCAGAAACGATGGATCAATGAAAATGAATTTCAGGAAAAATCCCAGAATTTGCAAAACGATGCACAGACACAAACATAAAGCACAGAGAATAAAAAACGAACCTTTCAAGAGTTTAGTTTTGTTTTAGTTTAGCGGAGGAGAGAACAGAGAAAAGGTTTTAGACGGAGAGGAAGAGGGTGTTTAGGTCATTCCATGTTGTAGAATCTAGCAAAAGTCCTTTCTATTTCTTTTCTTGTTCCCATTAAATTTCATGTCATCTCGGAAAAAAAGTCATTTCTATTTCTTTTTCTTAAACTGTTCCCATTAAATTTCTTAATTTTTTTTGGGAAATTTCAAAACTACACCTTTTGAGTGCAAATTTTCAAAAATACACCTCTATGGTACCAATTTTCAAAAGTACACTTGTTTTCATTTAGTAAAAGAACTCTAAGCCCTAAAATATAAATCCAAAACCCTAAAATCTAACATTAAACCCTTAAATCTAAACCCTAAACCCCAAAATCTAAACCCTAATATAGAATTAGTGAACCCAAATATATATATTAAAATTGAGAAAAAGTGTATTTTTGAAAATTTACACACTATAGGTGTAGTTTTGAAAATTTGCACCTCAAAAGGTGTATTTCATAAAATTTCTCAATTTTTTTCGGTAAACGCTCATTTTATTCATAAACTATACTCCCTTTATTTCAAATTGTAGGGGGTTTAAGGTTTTTGCACACAAATTAAGAAGCCATTTAATTGTTGTACTTTTTGAAATAAAATATATTTTATCATCAATTTAAAAACATTTCAACCAATGAATAACATATCTGCAGAATATAAATAATCTAAAGTAATAAAAACACATTTAATTCTACACTAAAACTCTAAAACCCTTTATATTTTGAAACAAAACTAAAAGTCTAAAACCCCTTATATATTGAAACAGAGGGAGTATAAAATTGTATATTTTATTTTTCAATTATTGATTATATAAATAAATTTCTAAAAATGTTGTTGTTTTTTCCGAATTGGATTTCAATTAGTTAACAATGAACATAGAAATTGACTTCATTAAATTTATAATATTATTCGTCGGGATTTCCTGTTCTAACTTAAAATTTCAAACCTAGAAATCTTAAGAAAATTCCCGGCAAACTCTAACGACTTTTAGCAGTTTCCAACACATTTTGATGATTGTACTAATTCCAAATTTGAACTCTGAAATTTGCTATTTAAAAAAAAAAAATTGCTGGAGCTCAGTGGAAATTCCCCTAGAATTTGTAGGTTTTGAAATTCTGAGTGTAGTACAAAAAATCTTGACAAATAATGTTACAAATTTAAGAGAATTCATTTTCATGTTAATAGTTCACTAATTGAAATCCGATTTGGAAAATCAGTAAAACATGTAATTTCCGATAGTTGAGAAATAAAATGTTCCCATATTTTCTCCTTAATTTGTTGTGAAGGACAAAAGGAAGTTTAAATTATTTTTTATTTATTTGAAAGGTGTGAGACCAGTAATGTTTAAATGTCGCTGGAGATGTACCCAAGTACCAACGACAAAAGAAAGTTTACATTTTCAAATTCTAACAACCCTTCGAAGATTTATTCTTTCCAGTGAAGATCAACAATTCTAAATGCACGAAGAACCAATTACTCAGACCTCGGATGCGTAATATTTTGCAGGGTCGTTGTAAAGATATTGTCTCAGACTTCATCTTTGCCATTGTAGAAATGTCTGAAAACACAAGAGAAGTCCTTTGTTTCATGCCCATCCTCGCACATCTTTTTGTAACTGCAAAAAAGAAGAAAACTCCAACTTAATGACAAAAATGCATTGTCGTAAAAGACCTTTAAACATAAGTTTTTAAGTTTGTTTTCAGACCAACACATCTTTAACTTCTACAAGAAAAGACTACAGAAGTACTCACATTTCTTGTGCTTTAGATATCAATGGGCCTTTGTGTCCAACTTCTTTAGCTGAGGCTGCCGCAAGGTTTAGGTCTTTAGCCTGCATTTTGAAATATAATATGTGTTAAAGGACTTGTGTAGCAAAAGAAGTGTGCTTAAAGGAGATATCTGGATCAACAACATAGAAACTTGTTAAGAAACTTACCATAAGTTTTGAGGCAAAACCGCCATTGTAGTCCCTTGAAGAGGGCACACCTTTCAGTACTCCAGGAACTGGATTATATGTGTCGCTGTGGTTTTAAACATATAACAAAGTTAAGAATTTTGGAGTCTGTACTTAAAAGGTTTGAAGAGGGCATATCATGTACCTACCTACTCCAACATCGGCCACTGGATGTGTTTAACACTTGTGTTAAAGTGCTGGGAGATATTCCAAGAGACTGACCAAGAGATAATGCTTCTGAAACACCGAGCATACTCACAGACATTGCCAAATTGTTACAAATCTTTGCAGCCTAAGTTTGGATAAAACATGTCAATGCAGATCTACATCAAAAAGATACTAATATACTAAAACTAAGAAAAGAGAGATATTGTCTAGCAGTGAGCTTACAGATCCATTTCCTGAAGCACCACAGTAAATGGAACTTCTACCCATTGACTGAAGTATTGGTCTAGCGGCTAAATAAGCATCTTCCGGGCCCCCAACCTAGAAAATGTAAAACTTGATCAAGTGTATATAGTTATGACTTATGAGCATATAAAGGATGTGATTCAAGTAATAGAGATGATTAAGAAAGAGAGTAAAAAATATACCATGAAAGTAAGTGTACCTGCTTCTGCACCAAGAATACCTCCAGAGACAGGAGCATCCAACATGACTGGCTTTTCCCAGCTCTCTGAAAGTTGAAACTATTGAAAATGAAACAAACTTTTTCCCAATTATCTGCATCATAAGATCCTATCCATGCTTTACTTTACCTCTCTTTTCTTTTAGATAACAATTAGAAACAGCAAGCGAGATTTTCCTGGTTGTTTGTGGATCAATAGTGGATGAATCTATTAACAAAGCAGGTCTTATAGATTTTTCTCCCTGAAGCAAACCATTTATTCCTGTGTACACATCCGTCACCTACATAAATTACATAAGTTCTTCTTAAAAAAAACATCCAAATCAAGAGAACAATGCATGTGATCACAAACTGTTCTCATATAAAAACTCTTCCTTAGAGGCAATAACTTACGTGAGATGATGAAGGCAGCATTGTGATCACAACATCGCTATCTTGTGCAACTTCATAAGGAGTGTCTCTAGCAGAGACTCCCATTTCCGTGAACATCTTCATAACATCACGGTTTCTGTGAAATCAAAACACAAGTATATGAGCAAATAGCAATGCTCATCAAATGAATCAACATTTAATCCAAATATGAGCAAAGGATGTTACATGTCATGAACGGTAACTTTATATCCAGCTTTAACTAGATTATTCACCATTCTAGATCCCATGTTTCCAAGCCCGATGAAACCAACATTCTGGTAAGCAAAAAAATGAATTACAGAAAAATGAGATTTCATTTACATAAACAGTACACACAAAATTCAAAACCCACGAAACCTCTGAAACAGAGAGAAAAATTAAAAACCAGAACCTGGAATTGATTTGCATGCTGTGATGACGAAGAGAATCGGTGAAGCCTTAAACTGGACCCCAACACGAAATTGGTTTTGAGTTTGGAAAGACAAAGTAAGGTCTGCGCTCTGCGAATTGCCATGATGATGACAGTAGGTGAGATTCAGACGGAGCTCTCTTTCTCTACTAGTCCTATGATCCGATAATATGAGCTAGTCACCAAATCTACTTTTTTGAATTATGACCCCCTTAATTCTTAGTCTTTTCTTAAAATAGACTATTTACCTTTAAAAGAATCAGTAAAACCCCAATTAGTTAGGCAATGGTTTTGTCTTATCCGGTCTTTTCCTTGTCATCGCTGACTAGGAGTCAACATAGTCAGCATGTAGGACCCATTATCCTACGTGGTATTTGTATCTACATTTTACTGCTAATAAATGTATTTGGACTACTCAAAAATTCGAAATATTCATTACTCTTTTTTTTTTCTGGATTCTGAATTCATTTATTCCACATTTTCCTTAATTCATGCGCCATTTTATCGCTTATTTTTCCGATGCCGTCTCAGTTTCTGTATGGACGTAAATGACATTTTTAACCTTACTAGAGGCAAACAAAGAAGAGCCCCTTAAAAAAACCATATTGGATAAACTCTTTGGCGTCCACCATGCCCACTCACTAGAACAAAAACACAAGTAACTTTTTTAGATTCGACTATAAAAAAGTAAATAAAAATTTATAATGTCTTTCTCGTGACCCGAAGAAAATAATATAAAAAATTTCCATTCGTATTTTTCCTTTTGTTTTTAAATTTAGGGTTTTTGATTTTGGTATTTTTTTTCCCCTTCACACGCTTCAAGTCAAGACTTATCAATTTACCCCAGTTTACGGAGTCCTTGTCTTTCTCGTTCGTCGTCACTGTCGTACTTGAAAACCATCAAATTTCCTATCTTTAGTTTTGTTTTGATTCTCTTTGTTTGGTTCTTAAACAGTTATAGTGACTATATCTTAAGGGTTTTAAAAAGTGACCCACAAAGATTTTCCTCACTCTCTCAGTGGCTCAGTCTTACTGTTTTGAGCAGCCAAATCCAAAAACTCTGCAGCATTGCATGAGCTAATGAACAAAACGATTCTGCTTTAAATTTGTTTGTCTTCCTTCTTCTTCAACTGTGTCGGCATTGTTATTGCAGTGAAGGTCTCTAATTTTTTTCATGCCTGTAAGTTAAAAAAACCTTCCTTTTTCTCTTCTTTTTTATCTCTTTCCTTTGTGGTTAGGTTAGATCTCCGGATGGGACCCAAATATTGAATAGCCCATTGTTCATTTATTGTGATTTTCAGCTGATTCCCTTCGGCTCAGGATTCTCTCTTCTCACTCAGTAGCATCCTGCATTTTGTTTGATTGGAGATCCTCTGAAGATTCGTCATTGAAGGTGAGATTTCTTCATTTCGTGTATTGCTGTTTTTTGGGAAAGATTGGAACTTTTTCTGGATTGATTTTAACTTTAGTTCGTTCATTAACTTTCCTGTCAGATTTACTTGGGTTCCATGAATGTTCTGCGTTGTTGAGCTGGAAAAGTTGTTTGCTTTCTACAAAGATTGAAGCTTTGAGGGAAAGATTTTGAATTAAAGGATGAATCTTTTCAGGATTTCGTTACTACTATCAATGCTTTTCCTGTCTGCAATGGCGCAACTTCCTTCACAGGACATCATGGCACTGCTTGAATTCAAGAAAGGGATCAAACATGACCCAACAGGGTTTGTTCTTAACTCCTGGAACGACGAGTCAATCGACTTCAATGGCTGCCCTTCTTCTTGGAACGGAATCGTCTGCAACGGTGGTAATGTGGCTGGTGTGGTTTTGGACAATTTGGGATTGTCTGCAGATGCTGATTTCAGTATGTTCTCCAACTTGACAATGCTTGTCAAACTCTCTATGGCCAACAACTCCATCTCTGGTGTCTTGCCAAGTAACTTAGGCAGTTTCAAAAGCCTCCAGTTCCTGGATTTATCTGATAACTTGTTCTCTTCTTCACTGCCTAAGGAGATTGGTAGATCAGTGAGCTTAAAGAATCTCTCTTTAGCTGGTAACAACTTCTCTGGTGAGATTCCGGAATCTATGGGAGGGTTGATTGCTCTTCAGTCGTTGGATATGAGTCGAAACTCTTTATCTGGACCTTTGCCAAAGTCCTTGACAAGGCTGAATGATCTGCTGCACTTGAATCTGTCCTCTAACGGATTCACCGGGAAAATCCCAAGGGGGTTCGAGTTAGTTTCGGGTCTTCAAGTTCTTGATCTGCATGGGAACTCTTTTGATGGTAACCTTGATGGGGAGTTTTTCATATTGACGAATGCGAGCTATGTTGATTTCAGTGGAAACAGATTGGTGACGACGTCTGGGAAGCTCTTTCCTGGTGTTTCTGAGAGCATCAAGCACTTGAACCTCAGCCACAATCAGCTTGAAGGTTCACTGACTAGTGGGTTTCAGTTGTTTCAGAACTTAAAGGTCTTGGATCTTAGCTACAACCAGTTGTCAGGAGAGTTACCAGGTTTCAGTTATGTCTATGATCTCCAAGTACTCAAGCTTAGCAACAACAGATTCTCAGGTTCCCTTCCCAATAATTTGTTAAAAGGTGACTCCTTGCTTTTAACAAGTCTGGATTTGAGTGGCAACAATCTCTCAGGTATGCTCTTTGCTTTATCTTCTTCTATAGAGTGGGAATAGTTGCATGTTAACCAAAAATCTAATCTTTTGTATCGGTTTTAACTTTGTGTTCCAGGGCCAATAAGTGCTATCATGTCAACAACTCTTCAAAGCCTTGACCTTTCTTCAAATTCACTGACCGGAGAGCTTCCTCTCTTGACTGGGAGCTGCGTTTTGCTTGATCTCTCAAACAACTTGTTTGAAGGAAATCTGTCAAGATGGTCAAAATGGGAGAATATCGAGTATCTTGATCTCAGCCAGAACCATTTCACTGGGTCCTTCCCAGACGTAACTCCCCAGCTTCTGCGAGCAAATCATCTCAATCTTTCCTACAACAAGCTCACAGGCTCACTTCCAGAACGGATACCTACTCATTATCCGAAACTTCGGGTTCTTGATATAAGTTCCAACAGCTTAGAAGGGCCAATCCCAAGTGCATTACTGTCCATGCCCACTTTGGAGGAAATTCACCTTCAGAACAATGGCATGACAGGTAACATCGGTCCTCTGCCTTCTTCTGGCTCCAGAATCCGTCTTCTTGATCTTTCTCACAACCGGTTTGACGGCGATCTTCCTGGTGCATTCGGATCTTTGACCAATCTTCAAAAGCTGAATCTCGCAGCAAACAATTTGTCTGGATCTTTGCCCAACTCCATGAATGACATTGTCTCTCTAAGCTCATTAGACGTATCTCAGAATGATCTCACCGGACCACTCCCAAGCAACTTATCTCACAGCCTTGTGGCCTTTAACGTGTCATACAATGATCTATCAGGAACTGTGCCAGATAATCTCAAGAACTTCCCTCCGCCTTCCTTCTATCCTGGAAACAGCAAGCTCGTCTTGCCTGCTGGTTCAAGTGCATCAGAAGTCTCCAAGAAGAAACCAAGAAACTTACTAATCAAGATTGTTATAATAGTCTCCTGCGCCATTGCTCTAATCATTCTCATCCTAGTGGCTATCCTCCTGTTCTGCATCTGCAAATCAAGAAGACGGGAAGAGCGTGGTATCACAGGTAAAGAAGTTAACAGACGAGCTCAAACAATCCCCTCAGGCAGTGGAGGAGGTATGGTTGTCTCAGCAGAGGATCTTGTTGCTTCAAGAAAAGGCTCTTCATCCGAAATCCTCAGTCCAGATGAAAAACTAGCCGTTGCAACCGGCTTCTCTCCTTCCAAGACCAGTAATCTATCTTGGTCACCAGGCTCAGGAGATTCATTCCCACCTGATCAGCAACTAGCACGGCTCGATGTTAGGTCACCAGATAGACTAGTGGGAGAGCTGCAGTTTCTGGATGATTCAATCAAACTGACTCCAGAGGAACTATCGAGAGCACCAGCTGAAGTTCTTGGAAGAAGCAGCCACGGGACTTCTTATAGAGCAACGCTTGACAATGGAGTGTTCTTAACCGTGAAATGGCTAAGAGAAGGCGTGGCAAAGCAGAGGAAGGAGTTTGCTAAAGAAGTGAAGAAATTTGCTAACATCAGACATCCTAATGTTGTGACTCTCAGAGGGTACTATTGGGGTCCAACGCAACACGAAAAGCTTATTCTTTCGGATTATATATCCCCTGGAAGCCTTGCTAGCTTCCTTTACGGTAACACTTTCTTTCAATAAATTTCTCTAAGTATGATAATATATCTTCACGAGTTTCATCCAGCTGATGATTCTTGTTTGATTTTCAGATCGACCAGGCAGGAAAGGCCCTCCCTTAGCATGGATCCAACGGTTGAAAATCGCAGTTGATGTGGCTCGTGGTTTAAACTACCTCCATTTTGACAGAGCTGTTCCACACGGTAACCTCAAGGCAACAAACATTCTATTAGACGGAGCAGAGCTAAACGCTCGTGTAGCAGACTACTGCCTCCACCGTCTCATGACACAAGCAGGCACAGTGGAGCAGATTCTAGACGCAGGCATCCTCGGCTACCGAGCTCCAGAGCTAGCAGCTTCGAGGAAACCGTTGCCTTCTTTCAAATCGGATGTGTATGCATTCGGTGTGATACTTCTTGAGATTTTAACAGGAAGATGTGCAGGAGATGTGATCACAGGTGAGCAAGAAGGTGTTGATCTAACGGATTGGGTTAGGTTACGTGTAGCAGAAGGCCGTGGCGCGGAATGCTTTGACTCGGTGTTGAGTCAGGAGATGGGAAGTGATCCGGTTACAGAGAAAGGCACTAAAGAAGTTCTTGGGATTGCATTGAGGTGTATAAGATCGGTTTCTGAGAGGCCTGGTATCAAGACCATTTACGAAGATCTTTCTTCGATTTAGGAAACTATTTGTTTCTTTTGCATTCTGTTTTTGTAGGTTCCATTGGAGTTTGGTGTCGTCTCTCTCAATGTTTTTAGCCTTTGTCAAGTTTCATGCTTTTGTTTCTGGATAAAGCATGTTCTTGATTCAAGGTAGTAGTGTGTTGTGTGTGTCTTCTTCTTCTGTTAGTTTTTTTCTCTTCTTTTCAACATTTTCTCTGTAAAAAAACAAAATCTGCTCATGTCTCATGAGTGAATGAAATTTCATTTTTTTTCATCAGTTATATTCTCTGTTCAACAATAACTTGCAGTCAAGTTCGCTCACATCAGAGTGAATAAACAAGCTTTTCAAGAGTTTGTTGTTTGTTGCTGTTTGAGTTTCAGTCGCTTTCTTCATGTATATCACTCAATACTTTGGGTGTGTTATGTTTTGTGAGCCACGAATTCAAAGCTGGGCCAGAATTGGTGTATGGCCTCTACTATTCGTATCTAGATTAGATTCTTTGAGTCCCAGAAAACTTGTATTGGACCAAATATTTCCACGGTCTCTTACGAGATCATCTCCACCGTTGGTTGCAATGAATATTAATCAAACAAGCTGCCAAACTAGTAGTTGAGAATGCAGCCACCGACTGTGAGAGAGAGAGAGAGAGAGAGAGAGAGAGAGAGAGAAACAAGTCGTTGCATTGCATCATCATAAACCCTTTCATTCGTAAGCCATTGGAGGGGACCTCAGAAGAGAAAGTTTGATTCTTTTATCTCCACGACACTTTAGCAGTTTACATCGAAGACCAGAGGAAGAGAAAAGGGGGCATTTTTTTCCTGTGTTTTGATTGTGAGAGAGATACGAGGAAAAAGAACAAACCTTTAGGGTCGTGGTATCGTGATTCGCCGAGGCTCAGTTTGAATTGGGATTGTTTGGTGAAGAAAAGCCATCAGATTTCGAAAGCGGAGCTCTTTCGATTTCCGTCGTCTGTAACAACTAGTCCAAACAGTGAGTGATATGCAGATCACACGTCTCCCAATTCCGATTTCCTCCATCACTCCTCGAACCGCGAATCCAGCTTTATCGCTATCCTCAAACCCTCGCCGCATTTTCAACCTCACGAACCCAAAACGCACCATATCTTTTACAAGATTACATAAACCCCAAACTGCTTTCAGCAATCCTGGTTCTGTTTTGGCTGCGATGGAAACTGAACAAGGAATCGAAGCTGATGTTGATGCGTTTTACATGAGGAAAAGCGTGGAGCTGGCGAAGAGAGCAATTGGGTGTACGAGTCCTAATCCCATGGTTGGTTGTGTGATTGTTAAAGACGGCAAGATCGTTGGTGAAGGGTTTCATCCCAAAGCTGGTCAGCCTCATGCTGAGGTAACAAAATTGCAACGTTTCCTGGAAATGAGAAAACTTTCACTCTTGCTTGTTGTGATATTTTGCATTGTGTTTTTGTTCATTGTGAAATTGAAGGCGAGTAGGGTGTTATTGAGTTTGATTTAATGGTGCAAGTGTGGTTCTTGGCATTGTTTATTAGGTGTTTGCTGTTCGAGATGCAGGAGAGTTAGCTGAGAATGCAACTGCTTATGTCAGCTTGGAACCATGTAACCATTACGGAAGAACACCACCGTGCACTGAAGCACTGATCAATGCTAAGGTGAAAAGAGTTGTGATTGGGATGGTTGATCCGAATCCAATCGTTTCTTCTTCAGGTATCAGTCGTTTGAAAGATGCTGGAATCGATGTCACTGTTGGTGTTGAAGAAGATTTGTGCAAGAAGATGAATGAGGGATTCGTTCATAGAATGTTAACAGGACGGCCTTTACTCGCCCTCAGGTAAAAGTTTTATCCCTTCTCTTGAGTGGATACAACGAAACTGAGTCATGAGATTGTTTTTAAGTTTTGAAAAATCTTTGCAGGTATTCAATATCTGTCAATGGTTGTTTTGTGGACAAGATTGGGGAAGGAGCTTCGGATACTGGTGGATACTACTCAAAGCTGTTACAAGAATATGATGCGGTTATAGTTTCTTCTTCGTTATCTGATAATAAACTCTCGAGCATTTCCTCACAAGAAGCTAATGTTTCGAGCCAACATATCCAAATCATAGTAGCTAGCAATGCACAACAGAAAGTTGTATTGCTCACCAAAAAGGAATTGGTTGCAGAATCTGGAATCAGTACTAACGAGGTTGAAACTGTGGTTTTGGAAAGTTTAAACTTGGATTCAATTTTGGAGTACTGTTATCGCTGTGGACTATGCAGTGTCTTGTTGGATTTGAGGGGGAATGTGAAAGACCTTGAAGTGCTTCTGAGAGATGGTATTGAGCAGAAACTGTTGCAGAAGATAGTGGTTGAGGTTTTGCCGGAATGGTCTGCGAATGATGAGAGACAGATAGGGTCGATGAAGTGGTTAGAATCAAAAGCTGTGAAAGATTTGCAGTCTAAGCAAGTAGGTGGAAGCGTTTTGCTAGAGGGCTATTTTTGATGTATGAATGTAAGTTCATGAGCTTTTACTTTTTTTGAAACCATTTTAAAGGTTTTACAGATTGTTAACCGGAATAATGAAAGATTTTAAAAATCTTACTCAATCCATTTCATAAAGATGTATGTTTTTTAATCAGTTTATTCAAGTATGTGAAAACTGACAATCCTATAGAGTTTGAAGGAACGGAGGACTATGTTGCTATGTTTCATTTCACATCTTAAATAAGTGATTCGACTTTCTATGGCCTCTACATGATTGGTATCCTAAGGATGTTTGTGGACTACAAAACATTTGACAAGTATTTTGGATGCTGGTGGGAATATGAACCAATGGACAACAAACATATAATTGAGCATATATCAGTTGAAACCAATATATCTAAGAGAAGTTCACAGATTTGGATATTTGTAATTCTCATAGTCTTATAAAAAAACTTACTCTACAATTACAGCTAGATTATCTCTCCTAAAATGACTGTTTCAAGTTAGTTTTTCCTGTTCTAAAAAGTGTAATGCAGATGACATAAAATAATATCAATATAGTATATGTACATAAGAAAAGAGAAACACTTGATAAAGATTCATCTACAATTACAAATTGGTGATGGGAACAATAAAGTTGCAAGCATGTTTCAGTGTCGACTATGTTCGAGTGGTTTAACAACATCCACGCATTGCCTTAGCGAAAAAGTTGACCATACAATGCCCACCACAGTCCATTTCATACAACCTTTTCTTTTATCCTTCTTCTTTTTACATGCATTATACATATAGACTCGTTCACATAAACCTTAGCGAATGTGATTTTGATATCGTAAGAGTTAATGAATTTTATAATATACAACCAACAGTTAATGAATAGATTGACTCATAAAATAGTGTTGATCTCTTCTTACTTCCCATAGAACAAACTCAATATATGTAACTGCATGTTAAGAAGCCAAGAATTATATTTGCTTAAAGAACTTGCTTTTTTAAACTTTGTCTTGCTTTTCTTATCTTCTATATTACTTTCTTCTAAACCTTTTGGTATATATACCCTACTTACTTTACAAACACTTTCCACTTAACTAATTGTTATTAGCACAAACTAATTATCATTAGGAGAATCAAGGTCGATGTCACTTAAACCAACTAACTTCTTTATATAAGTGTGGTGAATATTGAGTCTATCATCATGGTCTATGTGAAACCATTCAGGAAGAATAAAGAACAATATGGATCAGAGCCATTCAAATACAAGTCAATCAAGATATACAGATCGCAAAACGATTGAGAAAAACAGAAGGATTCAAATGAAGGCTCTCTACTCAGAACTCAACGCTCTTCTTCCTCAAACTTCTAGGGTAACTAGCTTCTTCTTCTTCTTCTTGGTCCTATGATATGCATATATAATCTATGATTCCATGTGTAATATACTAATATAACAATATATAAACCCATTTTCTTGTTTCATGGGTAGGAGCCTTTAACACTGCCTGATCAGCTAGATGAAGCTGCAAAGTACATCAAGAAACTACAAAACAACGTGGAGAAAAAGAGAGAGAGAAAGAGGAAACTTGTTGCGACTTCAGCTTCCGACAAATTGAACTCCACTGGATCTTCATCCATGTCTTCTAGTGTTGACCACTTCGTGCCTACAAGGATGCCAACAATCGAAATTCAAGAAACCGGTCCCATTCTTCAGATCTTCCTTGTGACAAGCTTGGAACACAAGTTTATGTTCCATGAGATTATTCGTGTTCTCACTGAGGAAATAGGAGCTGAGATCATTCATGCTGGATACTCAACTGCTGATGATGCCGTCTTCCACACTCTTCATTGCAAGGTATAAATCAAGGAAACATTTCTTTTTAATCTAGGATTTAGAAATCAAAATTTGCTACTACTACTACTACATCAAAATTAGGTATAGTCCAGATTGTATACAGAGTGGGAATGAGATCAAAATTTGGTCACTGAACTAATACAAAGTTAGTTAAAAAAAACGTTTTTTCAATTGGTAGCTAGAAACCAATTGATAAGTAACTACTTTGGTCCCATTTGATTGTAAGTTTATTAGCTAGTTTATTCCTAGTAATATTCAGATGCACTATTTTTTTTTTTTTTTTTGTAATTTACATATAGGTGGAAGAGTGTGATTATGAAGCCAAGAGTAAAATTTCTGAGAGACTGAAGAAGTTTGTGAACGGCGATTATTGATATTTTCTCTAATTTGTACCCCCTATTTTTGTTTCTTTCGTTTCAATATTCCAGTTCCCTTTTCTTGATTTTTTTCGTCAAATTTCTTTTGTTATGTATGGTAATGGTACTGTGAAAGTGATGTTTCTTTGTGAGGATAATGTATACCTTTAATCTATACTAAAGTTGTGAAGTATATGGAATTGAAGATGATACACTTTTCAAGAACGAAACCAACGAAAATCCGAAAAAGCAATACATGAACGAGAAGCATATAATCCTTAAGTTTATATATGGGTCCAAATAATATTATTTTAAAGCCCATGAGCCCAAACATTAATAAAATAAAACCGACGAAATTAAAAAAATACGTTTTCGGTTTTCTCCTTCGTGCCTAAATCCTAGGGTTTCCGCTTTCCCAGTCACTCAGCTGCAACACAATCTTCTCAACAATGGTAGTCGAAGCTTTCGAAGTCTGCGCCGTGCCCTTCAATTCCGATGGCTGGGGTCCTCCTGACGCCTCCGACGTTTCTTCCTCCGCCTCCTCCACCAGCGTCGCCGCCGCAAACCTTCTCCCGCACGTTCCTTTCGCCTCCTTCTCCCGCTCGGAGAAGCTCGGCCGTGTAGCCGATTGGACTCGCAATCTCTCTAACCCATCCAATCGCCCTCACACCGGATCCAAATCCGATCCTTCCGCCGTATTCGATTACTCCTCCTTCGCAATCGACGAAGGATTCGGCCTCACTTCTTCCGGTAATAATCCCGACGATGACGCAGCTTTCCGTCTCGTCGACGGCAAGCCTCCGCCGCGTCCGAAATTCGGACCTAAATGGCGATTCAATCCTCACCGCAATTGGAATCAGCTCCCCCAGCGGCGAGACGAGGAAGTCGAAGCGAAGAAGCGCGACGCGGAGAAGGACCGAGCTCGCCGCGATCGTCTCTACAATCTCAACAACAGAAACAACGTCCAGTACCAGCGCCGTGAAGCCGCCGCTTACAAATCGTCCGTCGATATCCAGCCGGAGTGGAACATGCTCGAGCAGATCCCTTTCTCGTCCTTCTCCAAGCTCTCCTTCTCCGTTCAAGAGCCAGAGGATCTCCTCCTCTGCGGCGGCCTAGAGTACTACAACCGCGTTTACGACCGCATAACGCCCAAAAACGAACGCAGGCTCGAGCGTTTCAAGAACAAGAACTTCTTCAAAGTCACCACCAGTGACGATCCCGTCATCAGACGTCTCGCTAAGGAAGACAAAGCCACAGTCTTCGCCACCGACGCCATCTTAGCAGCTCTCATGTGCGCTCCAAGATCCGTTTACTCTTGGGATATCGTGATCCATCGTGTTGGCAGCAAACTGTTCTTTGACAAGAGAGATGGATCACAGCTTGATTTGTTATCTGTTCACGAGACGTCTCAAGAGCCATTGCCTGAGGCCAAAGAGGATATCAATTCGGCTTATGCTTTAGGTGTGGAAGCTGCGTTTATCAACCAGAACTTCTCGCAGCAGGTTTTGGTGAGAGATGGGAAGAAAGAAACGTTTGATGAGGCGAATCCATTCGCTAACGAAGGTGATGAGATTGCTTCTGTTGCGTATAGGTATAGAAGATGGAAGCTTGATGATGATATGCATCTTGTAGCGAGATGTGAGTTGCAGAGCGTTGTTGATCTCAACAACCAGAGATCGTTTTTGACTCTGAATGCTCTTAACGAGTTTGATCCAAAGTACTCTGGTGTTGACTGGAGGCAGAAGCTCGAGACGCAGAGAGGTGCGGTTTTGGCTAATGAGTTGAAGAACAATGGGAACAAGCTGGCGAAATGGACTGCTCAGGCTATGTTGGCTAATGCTGATATGATGAAGATTGGTTTCGTCTCTAGAGTCCATCCTCGTGATCATTTCAACCATGTGATGCTATCTGTTTTGGGGTATAAGCCGAAGGATTTCGCTGGACAGATCAATCTCAACACTTTGAACATGTGGGGGATTGTGAAGTCTATTGTTGATTTGTGTATGAAGCTCAAAGAAGGGAAGTATGTTTTGGTGAAGGATCCGTCGAAGCCTCAAGTGAGGATCTACGAGGTTCCTTCTGATGCGTTTGAGAATGATTATGTTGAAGAGCCTTTGCCTGAAGATGAACAAGTGAAACCACATGAAGAGAACGCAGAGGGTGCAGAAGCAAGTGTGGCTAATGAAACAGAGGATGAGAAAGCTGATGAAGCTCAAGCTTGATGGTGATAAAGTCAGGTAATTTTATACGAACGAGTCAAAAAGTGTTTTCCTTTATGCATGCATGTTGTGTTTGATTAGAATTGTATGAGACATCATCGTTAACAATTTAGATATAATATTTTGTTTGAAGCAGGTTCTTTTGAGTATTAAAGCTTCAACAAGACAACAACAATGGAGGTTTTGGTTTTCTTATTGTTTTTCTTGTCCAAATTTTTGGGTTACTGCTGTAATTTTGAATGAGAAATGACAGAAAATCATCGAACATGGTTTAAATCATCCTGCACCACTATGTTTAGTTATTTTGTTTAAACAGATTAAGATATAATATCTGTTAACTTTATATATAGTTTGGCAGTTAAATTTTCCTTTGTTTCACATTGAGCAATGAGCATATTCTCATTTATATTCTTTCAAACTGTTCACATTGATTTAATATTGATACCGAAATTAGAAAACTAACCAAATTGATCCAATGAATTGTCTTTTATTCTTTTCTTAGTTCAGTACGATATACCAACCTATTATTAACTGAAATCGCAGCAACTGAAAAAACCAGAAAAAAAAAACAGCTAAACAAACCTTGCAAAACCTCATTTAAATAGCTCATCTCTAAACTCTTCAATGTCCAGAAACATACTCAAGAACATAATAAACAAGCATCAAACAAAATCAAATCTCACAAGAACACAAATGGATTCGAACACAAAAACAAGGGCTTCTTTCACTTCTAGTACAAGATTTGTGGTCAAATACAAAAGTAGTCTCCATTGTAAAATGTGTTTTTTTCTTCCTCCTCTATCCTCATCATAATCAAATAATAACGGAAATGCCATTACTTTTCCACACGAAGTCTAACTGTAAAGTCTAATTTAAAAAAAAATTATCCAAAGTAACCTCATCTTCTTCATGTATTCACGAAAATGCCATCACCATCAATTCGTCCAACAACCATTCTCAACCGAAATGAAGCTTTGAATGCAAGATTTATTCTTGAAACATATCTACCAACTCATTCTATCATCTCATAAACTTAGTTCATCATCTTTCTTCTCCATTTTCACCCAAAGAACTTAGTTTTTCATCTTTTCAAAATTAAGGTTCTTAGATCTTGCCATTTTCGGTGTCTGAGCTCATTTTAACCGTTGGGGAAGTTTGCTGAAGCTCTAAAACGAAGTTCTAGGCCGTCATAGAAACTTAAGATCACGGCAAGGTAAAATTCTGATAGATCTGAGTGAATTTCATATTTTTGCAGGTCCTTAGACTTCATAGCGAAGTCTAACAAACTAGTTTTGCAATTGAGTTTTCAAAAATTTTAGAGAGTAGACTTCACAATGAAGTCTACTCCAAATTCGTTTGATAACAAAAAAAGACGAGTTAAACTTCCCGAACTTTATTATGAAGTCTAACTCGAAATAGACTACTTTTGAATTTGTTCGCGAAAATCTTTTTACGAGAAGTCTAACCATAAGTTTGCTTAAAATAAAAGACTAGTTTTGCAATTGACCACGTAAGACTTTTCTGTAAAGTCTATTAATGAAGTCTATTTAGACTGTATTAGACCTCATAAGGAAGTCTACTCATGAGTAGACTTCATTGCGAAGTCTAATATATGATAGACTTCTTCATGAAGTCTAATAGTCAACGTTTTTTTAGATAGACTTCCTCGTGAAGTCTACATACCGAAGTTTAAAATTTGGACTATTGCAAAACTAACCCATATGAAGTCTAACTCTTTCCGTAGACTTTACCGGTAGACTTCATTATTAAGTTAGACTTCAAATTGAAGTCTAAGTACATTGATGAAGTCTATTCCGAGAAGTCAACGTTAGGTCAATTGCAAAACTAGTCATTTTTGAAAAGGTAGACTTCACGGATAGACTTACCCAAAAACAATTTGTTTCGTTAATTGCAGAACTAGTCTATTAGACTTCACAGCGAAGTCTAATATTTAGAGTTCACCGTGAAGTCTAATATTTAGAGTTCACCGTGAAGTCTAATATTAAACGTTTTTTTTTAAAACGAATTATAACAAAATGTATATCGAAATTTATAATTTTGTTTAAACAGTTAGTTGTATTAGTCTATTAGTTGCTTTTGTGTGGGTTTTATATGCTTATTCGTTATATACTATGTTAAAACGGTTTTCTTTTTTAATTAGCAATTTAGACATTAGTAAGTAGACTTCATGAAGAAGTCTATCCTGGAAGTTTACGGATAAAGTCTGTTTTTCTTTGCATTTCTAATGTTGTTTTGCGGTTGTTAACTTGCAGAAAATGGTCAACATCGCTTCTGTTTATGGAGAATGGGTGAGAAAGGACAATATGGCGTCGGTTTTTGAGGTTGACTATCGCAAAGGAGGGAGAATGTTCTGTTTGAGGGATGGATGTACACATGATGAGCTTGTTCAAATGGCCTTAGATGATTATTCGGTGAACAAGCACGGACTGGAGTTATCATATTCATTACCAGAACTATTCGTGCAGCAAACTCCTTCAATTGATTCTCCGCCTGTGTATGTCACAAACGACAGACAAGTCTATAGCTTGATCGAGCTAAGTCGAACACATGTTGTACGGCTTTGTGTCTCTAGCCATGGGAATGCTGATGTGGAAGATAATGTACATGGACGTAAGAGTGAAAACCATGATGATGAGTTCTCTGATGATTGTGATGAAGACTGGGCCGCGGACCCAGATGAAGTGTCGAAAGGAGGAGAAGATGCGGCTTGTGATGAGGGTGATGACAAGAAAGATCCTCATCAAATCGATGATGATACCCACGCGGACTATAGTCAGTATGGGAAAGTGGAAGATGAAGACGAGCGTGAGACAAAGATTCCTTTCGATGATCCCCGTCTTAGAGGGCGTGGTCAACGCAAACGAATGGATAATTGGGAAGACAATCTTTACGAGCACCAGAGTTTTGATAGCAAGGAAGAACTAATGTCGGAGTTGCGTTTGACGGCGGTGATGACAAGATTTACATTCAGAGTAGCTACGTCTACAACAAAACTGCTTGTGGCCAAATGCAAAGTGGCTGGATGTGCATGGATGGTTAGAGCGGCTGTCAAGAACGAAGCCACCACGTTTTGGGTGACTAAGTACTCGAAGTGGCATACATGTTCTGTGTCTGACCGAGTAAGCAAGCATACACGTTCCAGCTCGAAGTATATTGGGAAGCTATTTATCGAGCGAGTTGGAATCATCGATGGTATTGTGCCGCAACACATCAGAGCTCTTAAACACGCACAAGAGTTGGTTTGGGGAACAGCAAAACAAGGTTACGCTAATCTGCCTGCTTACTTGGAAAGAATTAAGGAAGCGAACCCTGGAAGTGTTACTGATCTTGTGCGTGACCTAGACGACCGTTTCAAGTACTGTTTCTTATCATTTGGAGCTTCAATAGCTGGTTTTCAGTACTTGAGAAGAGTCATTGTGGTGGATGAGACTCATTTAACAGGGACATATGGGGGAGTTCTATTTGTCGCCGCCGGACAGGACGGGTACTTTCAAATATTCCCCTTAGCTCTTGCAATTGTCGACGCTGAGGACAGCGAATCATGGGAGTGGTTTTTCAACAAGCTCCGAGATTGCTTTATGCAGCATCCGCCAATGGTCATAGTGTCTGACCGAGCCAAGGCCATTGCTAGAGCATGTGAGATCGTGTTTCCTTGGGCACTAAGAGGAATATGTTACTATCATCTCCAAGGTAACATAACCAAGGATTTCCATGCAAAAGAGATCATGTATATGGTTAAGGGTGCAGCTTACGCTCATACAGTTCCTGAGTATAACCGCTACATGGACTTCATTCGAGCTGCAAAACCTGAGTTGGCAACTTACCTAGAGGAAGCAGATCCGAAATTGTGGTCTAGAGTTCATTTTCCCGGTGATAGATACAACATAAAGACGAGTAACATCGCCAAATCAATTAACTCGGCTGTTCAGAAGGCAAAAGGATATCCCATTCCAAAGCTTTTGGAATTTATAAGGGAGAAGCTTGGGAGATGGTTTACCAAGAGGCGTGAGGATGCTATGAGTCTCACAACTACCCACAGCAGAGGAGTTGAGTACATTTTAGCTGTGCGTTCAGATTATGCGGCAAGTATGACCGCTGAACGCATAGACACTTGGTGTTATCACATAACGGGAGGAAAACGTGATTGCAATGTCGACTTGTTCCGCAGAACGTGCTCTTGTGGGGTGTATGATGTTGAGAAAATTCCTTGTACTCATGTCATTGCAGCCGCAGCCGCATCAAACGTACTAATGTCCCATTACGTGTGCGATTCTCATTCTAAACTTTGCTTGTATTCAACCTGTGCACATCTGATCTATCCTAAGGCGGGATCTGACTCACACGTAAAGAAACAACCGTGTTTGATTCCAGTTGAAAAGGTCCCTCCTGGTAGGAAGAAGAAGTCGAGGTGGCTAACTTGGCTAGAAATGTCGAGGAAGAAAAACAATAAACCGAGGAAGATGCACAAGAAGTACAGCTGCTCTAAGTGTGGGGAAGCAGGACATACTCGCCCAAAATGCGTAAGCTCATCACTTATATCCTTCTTTTGTATCCATCTTGAAAATCTTTAACAAGTATCTTGGGAATGGTCGAACAGGTCGCAGAAGACTGATGTGAAGTTCGATGAAGTCTACCTAGGCAGTCTACATATGAAGCCTAATTCCGCTTCTCTTCGTGTTTTTAATACTCCTGAAGTCTATCTATTAAGTTTTAAGATGAAGTCTACCATCTGTTCTTTAGTTTGGCCGTTTTAGGGTGGTGAAATGGAGGAAAAACTCTGGTTTTTTGTTGTTTTTAAAATATTGAAGTCTACTCATGAAGTCTGTTCTTGAAGTTTTAAGATGAAGTCTACCATCTGTTCTTTAGTTTGGCCGTTTTAGGGTGGTGAAATGGAGGAAAAACTCTGGTTTTTTGTTGTTTTTAAAATATTGAAGTCTACTCATGAAGTCTGTTCTTGAAATCAGCGAATGAAGCCTATCATACACGTACCAAAAGCATAGTTTTTAGGGTACATTAATCTAACATCATACACGTACCAAAAGCATAGTTTTTAGGGTACCAAAAGCATCAAGTACAAAAGAGAATAGTTTTGGGTTTACAAAGACTCAATCTAACAAATCAAGTCCTTCCCAGTCTCTTGGGTCCTCTATCGGTCCGCGGCAGTCAATTTCATGAAACAAATAAGATGCAATCTTCTCCCGTGCTGTTGTGGCGTTGGCCTGGCAGAATGTCTCTGGAAATGTGGTATATCCAAGTGCTAGGCACTCCATGTACTTCAGGACAAACAGACTACAATCTCCACCATTGTTTTGGTATGGCACACCCTTTGTTGGAAACTCTACAGTGTACTTATCTAAAGGGAAGTAGGGTTTATCATCTGCCTTAGCAGCTTGTTTCATCAGGTTCGGCATCATCGCAGCATAAGGTTCGACAACCGACTCCATTATCTTATCTTCGATCGAGCCCGGTAAACTGTCGTAGACGACAATGTGCCGTTTCGGGATGGAGACATGCAGGGCGACCCAATGTGTCTGCGAGACGCTAAGAGGGATGTATAAATCATCAATATCATAGGCCCATCTCTTCCCGGTGGGGTTGCTTCTCGGGAGCTTCCCAAAATACCAGTCCAGTGACTGGGCAGGAAGAAGTTCACAGGCCTGGAAATTTGGCCAGTCCCTCGCCCAATACTGTGTGATCCTACTGTCAAGAAACATGATCCTATCACTCTTAAACCAGTCCGGGTGCGTTTCCAGGCGACGAGCCATCATTCTGGTCCAGGCACTGACATGCTACAAATAAAAGAAAAAGTTATTTGATCCAGGAATTCTCATCAAAGTCTAACTACAAAGTCTAACATTTCCAATTTCTGAAGTCTATCAAATATCTCTACTCCTGAAGTCTACCTAAGAAGTCTATCTACAAATGAACTTACAGTGTCATCCAGCCACTCTTCCTCAGTTAGCAGAGTCCACCACCAATACCAAAGTGGGTAATCATGTTTATCCGGCGCCTTCATCGGATAACCCCTGAAACAAATCTAGTTGTGTTAAGCTCCTTCCGTTATTCAAATGGTAAGAATATAGGTACGGGCGACTTACGGTAAGGTGGCACAGTAATCAGCCATTTCTTTCTTGCTTTCCTCGGCCGCAACAGCAAATAGATCATACCCACCAGGTACTTTCAAAACCGCTAATTTCGCTGGTGCTTGTTTCACAGATGCTGTTTCTTTCGCAGCTGCTTCCTTCGCAGCAGCTTGTTTCGCAGAAGCTGCTTCCTTCGCAGCAGCTTGTTTCGCAGCAGCAGCTGCTTTCGCATCAGCTTCTTCCTTTGCACTAACTTGTTTCGCAACACCTGCTTTACCACGAGTTTGCCTCTTCGGTTTAGTGATGGCCTTAGCTGGTTTCGGTGCCTCCGGCGGATTGTTCAGGACTATCCTCCTGGCGGTGCTGTTTCCTAGGTATGCACCTGTCTGTGTATGCGACAGAGTCCGAGTTCTCTGACTCTTACCTCGTGCTAAACGATTTTCCTGCTTGATCTGTTCTACTTGCTTCTTCTTCTCCGCGTCAAGTTCAGAGGCACTCGGATAATGGGTTCGGAGAAAATTACATTCCGAGTCTTCCTCAGCAGTACCGCAAGCATCTTTATCCTCTTCGCCGTTTTGCTTAATATTGATCAAACACAAAAAGATATACACTATATAAGGAGCATGGGGAAAGAACAAAAATTTTATTGAAAAGGTACGATTGCATCAAGGGAAAGTGTACAACACACCATAATACATCAAGGTTCTTATTCATTCAAACATACATGAGTAAAAAACAAAGGTTTCAGGGGTTTATTTGTTCCCCTTCAATCTACGACTTCTACGAACGAATTTTTGAGCACATTTATCACCATTTTTAGATGTATGTGGAGAAGGAACTGTACTAACCGGCTCACCAGGAGGATCCTTCTTCGCATCTGACCCACCAGGAGGATCCGTCGCATCTGAGCCACCAGCAGGATCCTTCTCATCTGACTCACTGGACTTCACATGCTCGGCAGAAGTATGAAGCGAACCCTTCTTGAAAATCCTCCCCAGGATAGCCACTTGAGTAGTAAGTAGTTGAACCTTCTTCTCGACATTCTCTAACCCAAGCTTCATCTGTTCAGACTGCTTATCGGAGAAGTCTTTAAACAGCTCCTCCATCTTCGACTCGAGACGGTTCCAGCCATCACCAGAGGCCTGCGCAGCTGAATAACCAAAGGTCCGAGCCCTTTTTACACTGATTGCTTCATCATCCTCATCAGAGATACTCCTCTTGACATGAGACTTCTCTGACTTCACTGCCTTCTCGGACTTCACAGCGATTATCCCTTCGTTTACCCAGTCAGCTGGTTTCCAGTTCCATTTTCCACCAAGTTTCCCAAGCAAAGCCTTGATGATGTTGTCCACCTTCTGGTCATCAACATCCTTATACCAACGTGGGTACACGTCTTCCTTGTCCACCATTACCATGTGATTGAACAGCACCTGCAAAACAGTACACAGATAAGTTAAGAATTTGTAAGGTCTAATTATAAAGTCAACTATAAAGTCTAATTATAAAGTCTAATTATAAAGTCTAATTATGAAGTCTAATTATGAAGTTAAATGGATTACCTGCTTCTTCATGGTTCCGATCACATATCTCTTCCCTTTGATTCCCTTGAAAGCTAACAGCGGTGGCTCAGGATTAATAGGCATGGGATCACCACTCTCTTCTCCGAATTTCGGCATAGCATGATACGCCCAAACTTGCAGGGCTTCAGCGAAACCGGCGAGAATAAATGGCTTCGACAAGTCTGCTTCCTTAACAGACTTGATGAGGGTGTTGAAAGCTACTCGCCCCCAAGGATAGCTTTCAAACCTCTCCAAGTCCATCACTTGGCTAGCCAGTGCTAAACTTGTAGGAGTTGAAGATTTCTGGGCATCAATAAAGCCAGCGTATACGGCCAGGTAGCCAAGCCTCAGCCTATCCTCTCTGCTCCAATCTCCGGCCCACTTGCAAGCTGCTACGAGATTGTCAATGCTCGGACCAACCTTGATATTCACTCCAAGCTTCCGCCAGTACTCTTTCATCTCGTCTGTCTCAATAGCTTCTGGCTTCGTCAAAGCAGCTTTATACTCGCAGTTGAGCCCGGTAATGCGTTCAAACTCGTTCAATGAAAAACGCAGTGGCTGCACACCCACGACACTCCAGATCTCATACTCCTTCTCACATACCACTTGCATAGTGAGCATACATCGTATCACAACCGATGCCCATTTAAAGTCGAGCTTTGTGAACATGAAGAGGGGTCCCAGATTGGAATTCTCAAGCTCACTCCACTCCTCCTTCAGTACAGCGTGCAGTTTCTGCCACAGCTCAGTGTTCTTGCTGTAGTAGCCAACGCTGCGGTCATATTCTGGTTCTTCTCCTTCTGTGTACAGCCTCCTAGGAAATGACACCAGGTCCATACTGGAAACACAGTAAACAGAGGATAAATAAGAAGTCTATAAATGAAGGCTAACTAAGAAGTCTAACTAAGAAGTTTAACTAAGAAGTCTAACTAAGATGTCTAACTAAGATGTCTAACTAAGAAGTCTAACTAAGAAGTCGAAACCATAATTCCAATTAGTCAAACTGAAAAGCCTAACAAAGAAGTCTATATTTTAAGTCAGTGACAAAGTCCATCTAAACCTTATTATTGTACACAATTTTACCTTATTAAGTACGGCTAATAGGACAATTATTGTACACAATTTTACCTTATTATTAGCGGTTATGAGGGCCAGCAACGGCGACGGATAGGAACGACTCTATTAAATCTGCCAACATAGACCTGCGAAAGATCTACAACCGTTTAGGCGACGGTTTGAGGGGGGTAAAGAGAGAGCCAATAGTGGAAGGGGGATAGCTCACCGGCGTTGAGAGAGAGAGAGAATAAGTTGTGCGATACAACAGCGGCAACCACGGACAGCGGCAACGAAGGCGGCGGAAAGGTCCATAAAAAAGGAAACAGAGTGAGTATGAGGGAAAGAGAGACGCGTATATAGATTGATAGATGAGTATGACTTACAGAAGTATACTTCAGCGGAGGAAGAAGAAACGGCGGCGGCGACGATGATGGCTCTTTCTGGATTCGACGGCGACGGTAGGCGAAGAACATGCAATCGCCTGAAAGAGAGAGAACGGAACGGGAACGGCGGTTGTGAAAGTGAAAGTGAATTGTGAACTTAGTTTACCCTAATTTTGGGTTTGTAAAATTGTGATTACTGGTTACAACTTCCGATTATGTCCGGTTCAGTTTGGTTAAATCCAATTCGCACAAACATTTCGGTCCAGTTTAAAATTCGGACTTCGAATAAAGCCCAAACAACAAAGTCTACTTGGGAAGTCTAATAGAAAAAGTAAATTTGTCCGCGTATATTTCCGATTGCCGCTCAAAATATTTCCGGTTCCCGCCCAAACTATTTCGTTTCCCGCTCGCTTTTTGAGTTACAGACTTCTCAGAAAAGTCTACCCCTGAAGACTACTAGTGAAGTCTGACTTACCCTAAACCCTAAAACGAATTTTTAAGATCAAAACTATAGGAAACATTAATTATGTATACATAATCACGATTTACATTAGAAACTACAAATTGGTAAGATTTAAATCGTTAAACGAACCCCAAAAGTTTTTTTTGGTCAAAACTATCTCAACCCTAACAATGCTCATGATAAACCCTATACAATATACCTTAAACACTAACATGTTGATTTGTTTACTCATGAAACTTATAAATTGATTCATTTTCAAGAGATTTTATTTTTCATAGGTAGGACATGTCTTCATTTAAATTATGTATAACTTTTTTTTATCAAAATTGTTTTTTCTTATATTTTAAACTTTAAATTTTATATTTTGGTATTAAGCAAACTTCATCAGTAGACTTCATCTTTTTTGGGAATTTTATCATAATTTGTCTTACTTGATCTAAACTGATCGGTTTACATGCAAATTTATTTTTCATGGATACTAAATGTTGTGTTAAAGTTATGTGTAAATTTATTTACAAAAATATTTTTTAATACATTTTAAAATTTAAATTTAAGATTGTACTAAATAATAGACTTTGAGGGTAGACTTCACACAGTTCAGAGATTACAAACCAAACTAATCTTAGTTCACTTAAATTGATTCATTTATATGCAATTTGATTTTTAATGGATGAAAAATGTTTTCATCTTATTTATGTATAATTATTTTTGATCCAATTATTTTTCGTTAATTGTATAATTTAAATTTAAGTTGTGATTAGGGGTTAGACTTCCTGATGAAGTCTACGATGTAGTAGAGTTCATGATTAGACTTTAAATAGGGTAAAACAGACATTATGACTCTCGTTTTTTTGTTTGTTCATAAGGGTGGGTTTTGTAATTTGCCATGATCAGAAGACTAGTTTTGACATAAGTGCAATAAGGGGTCTACTTTTGCATTTCAAAGCAAATTGTGTATTATATTGAGCAATTCCCCCCAAAAACAATGCTTTTTTTCGCTTTATTTTTTCTCTATTTAACTTTCCCTAATATTTCCCTCGCTAGTGATGGTGGTGAAGTCGGTATGTTTTCTTTTCTTTTACCAAAATTATCAAAACTCAATACTTGTATAATATGATTTGATTGAAATTAATTTTTGAAAAAAAACAGTGGATGAAACGCCGTTTACGTATGAGAAAACAACAGAGAAAGGACCTTTGGGGTGGGGCAAAATAAATCCTAAATGGAAAGTTTGTAACACCGGAAGATATCAATCTCCGATCGATCTCACTAACGCAAGAGTTAGTGTTATTCGTGACCAAGCATGGACAAGACAATACAAACCAGCTCCGGCTGTAATCCAAAACAGAGGACATGACATTATGGTAACATTTTTATTTCAAATTTAATTAAATTCTTAACCATATTGTTATTGGACTAACCATGACAAATTTTAATATGGAATAAATAAAAAAGGTATCATGGAAAGGAGGTGCTGGCAAAGTGATGATACGTCGAACGGCCTTTAAACTGGTGCAGTGTCATTGGCATACACCGTCTGAGCATACCGTTAACGGAACTAGGTAACCATTTTTATTTGTATCGTTTTTTTCTAATGGGAGCAATAAAAAAAATTAAACTCATTTACACCAAATCTTCCACGAAAATAGATAGATAACCATTGTTTTATTTTGTTTTTAAAATGTGCAACAGCTATGATATGGAGCTTCACATGGTTCACATGAGTGCGCGGGGCAAACTCGCAGTGATTGCAGTTCTTTATAAAATCGGCAAACCTAATGCATTTCTCGCTAAGGTAAAAAAATAACATGTATTTACATATATAAAGGTCTTATGCATGGTTATAACATTTTTTTGTTTCTTTTTTAAATGCAGCTTCTAAAAGGAATAAAAACAGTGGCAACAGAGGAGAAGAATGTAGGGATATTGGATCCAAGAGAGATTAGATTTCAAACCAAAAAATTCTATAGATACATTGGCTCTCTCACTGTTCCTCCTTGCACTGAAGGCGTTATTTGGACCATCGTTAAAAGGGTAAATTTTTATATATTACTATATGATAATTTCTGTATTCATTACACAATGCAAAATCCGAAATTTTTGATAAAAATAAAAAATTGTATATGCAGGTGAACACAATATCATTGGAGTAAATTACAGCTCTGAGGGAAGCCGTTCACGATGTAAGTACTCGTAATTGCTAATGTGATTTCTTTAGCTGATATTGAGTAAAATTTTAGTACTAACCAAGTAATTATTAACTGAATAGGGGTTTGAGACAAACTCAAGACCGGTTCAAGACCCAAAAGGGAGAACAGTTTGGTTCTACGATCCAAATGTTTGATATATTGAATTTTTGTTTTATCTTGTAATATCTGAGACTCTTCAAGGTCGAATAAAGAAAACAGTGAATTGGATCAATACCTTTTTTTTTTTTTGTTATCGAAACTGAGATGAAAAATGTAAACCGCAAAACAAGAGGGAATAAAATGTCGGAATTTATACAGATATCCTTCATTTAGTAAGATATTACCAAGAATTTGAGCTGATGTCGTCCAAAAGGGTCTCTTATTTACTGATACTGATACACAATTTTGTATCACTCCGAAGAAACTAGAGACTAGAGTGGGTGACAGGCAGAGACTAAATGAGAGTGACATTGTAATAAGAAGGCAAGAGAGAAAACAAACCAATGATATTACAATCAATGATTTACTAAAAAATTGAAAAGATAAGTCAATGACATGATTAGGAAGAGTATTCTAGTTCCGTACAACCAAATGACGACTTATTACAATCTGTTTTCATCTTTCTTTTATAACTATTGTTAGTATGGTTGTTACGTCCTATTTACGAAAAGACCAAGTCACCTTGCTGCATCTCTCTAACTAAGCACACACATTCAAAACTAGAAACACCAAAATAAGCATCTAAAGATAAAACTGTCAGAAAAAGAGAGAGACGGTCCAACTATAGTAGTCATCTGAGTGGGCCTGAATCGTCTGATGGGTCAGTATACTCCAAAAAGGTTTGGTTCAATTGAGTTTTTCATTGGAATGTTCTTTGCTAGAGTGGTTCTTGTGATAAAAGAAACCAAAATTGTTCACGTCTAAAACACGTGTCATCACATCCACACGTGTCATATACTTAGGCTGCCAGCTTCTGCTGTCGGATCCATAAGCTGCAACGTATTATAGAACCGACCTCCAAGACCCGTTGCAAAAAGAGAAGAAAAGAGCTCTCCATCGAATTGAAACGTAGCAAAAGTAATCTCGAATAGACGAATTGAAAGAAAATATTGTTTCTTGATTTTGATGAAAATGTCGGCCATGCAACTATCAAGAACTGCTCTCTTTGGACTCTCAAAGGCTTTCCCTAGAGTCCAGTCTCCTGCAACTCTAGCTGCTTCTACCCGGAAAGTCTCTCGCGTATGCTTCGCCTCCTCCGTCAGCCATACCGAGGTAGTTACTGCCTACACAACTTTGCTTACAATTTTTTTAGATATTCATATGATATTTACGATAGAAGAGCAGTTTAGATTTTCATGTATGTAAGATCTTGTGAAGAGCTCTAAGGTCACGTTTTAAATTTTAAGAATACGTCAGAGATGCATATGTCAAAATTGTGTTGTTAGTTTAACCTATACATGCGTGGTTCTTAAGCTAACGTGTTGTAGACGTTATTAACCCTAGCAGAAATATGAAGTGCACATGTTTGTATTTTTTCAGGGAAGAGATCCGGTAGAGAACTCTAGGGACTCGAAAGCCGATGTGGCTTACGGTTCACAGAAATGGAGGGAGAATACTGGAGAAAACTACGCCCAAGCGGCTAAAGACAAGGCTAACGAAGGAGCAAGCAAAGCTGCGGACAAAGCTTACGAGACCAAAGAGCAGGCTAAGGACACAGCCTATGATGCAAAGGAGAAGGCTAAAGACTACGCCGAACGAACTAAAGACAAGGCCAACGAAGGAGCCAGCAAAGCTGCGGATAAAGCTTACCAGACCAAAGAGCAGGCCAAGGACACAGCCTATGATGCAAAGGAGAAGGCTAAAGACTACGCCGAACGAACTAAAGACAAAGTAAACGAAGGGGCGTACAAGGCTGCGGATAAAGCCGAAGATACAAAAGAAAAGGCCAAGGATTATGCAGAGGATACAATGGACAGTGCGAAAGCGAAGGCTCAAGATGCGAAAGAAAAAGCCAAAGAGTATGGAGAAGATACCAAGGAGAGAGCAAAAGGGATTAAGGACACCGTGAAGGATAAAGCTGAGGAGCTTGGAGAGAAGACGAAGGAGACAGTGAAAGGAGCTTGGGAGAATACGAAAAACGCTGCAAGGACTGCGACTGAAGCTGTGGTTGGGCCTGAAGAGGATGTGGATAAGGCACGAGCTGATATCGATAAAGGCGTGGAAGATTTAACGAAAAAGGCGGAGAAAAAAGCTGAGAAAGATCAAAAAGAGGACGATTTCATCACATTTAACTAATGAGGAGGAGATACCTCTAGCTATATACATGTGTTTCTTTGTTTTCAAGTGTTTTTATCTTTGTTGTCAGTTTATTCTCTGTTTTGTAACCTATGCTTGATCTAATGTATGTGAGATACTGAGATGCATTGGTACATAAATAAATAAATATGTACTTATGACTTTTAAAGTCTCTGTTCTTCCTCCCACTTCAACAATCTTGAGATTAATCACAACTATGGGTTAAAACTTGATACTAAATATTTGGCCTCTGAAACCCTTGTTTCTTGGGCTTTAGTCCATTTTACATGTAGAAAAAAGTTATAAGCAGATTTTTTTTTTTTTTCTTTTTTTTTTTGTGAATTTATTTATTGAACTCAAATACAATTTTGTTTTTCCTCTTAATAAAATAGTATAAGATCAATAATAAAGTTTTATTTTTAAATAAAAACATCCATTTGAACAAGAACAAATGTCTCATTTTCAAACAAGAAAAAAAATCGAACGTTTGATTTTTATGATAAGATTTTCCAATGTGCCAATGAAAAAACACAGTCGCTCACACACATTAATTTTCCCAAATCACTATTAAATTTTAATAAATTTAGTTATTAATGTGTTTTGTCAAATATGAAAATATGTTAATTGACATAAACATATATCTTATTATTCATATCTTCTTTCCCCTTTTTTATATAAATCCAAGAGTAAATTCTAAGAGATGAGTTGGTTTTTGACTAAGCTTAGCCTAAGATTTTATGGTGTGAAGATACATATTCTGATTTTCTTAATACAAAATCTATGACACATTTTGCTCACATATCGATCACTCTTCTTAAATCTGAAACTTATTTCTTCTTCAATCTCCACTCCCCCAAGAGCCTATATAAGAATACACTCCGCACAACACCAAATACCATAACAACAACAATAAGAAAATTAAGTAGCTCTTGAGAGCAATGGATAACTCTAATGTTTTCAGCTTGCGAGGAGACAATCAAGTGAGTAAAGAGAAGCCTCCACCGCGAGTGTGTCCAAGGTGTAACTCAGACAACACTAAGTTCTGCTACTACAACAACTATAGCAAATCTCAACCACGCTACAACTGCAAGAACTGTCGTCGATTCTGGACTCATGGTGGAGCGCTAAGGAACATACCGATTGGTGGAAGTAGCCGTAAATCCAAGCGTGCAAAGGTAGACCAACCTTCTGTTTCTCAGGTGGTTTCTGTTGAGATCCAACAAGTTAATCATCACCAACCTCTCTTACATGTTCAAGAAACCAACGAGCTTGTTGAATCTTTTGGTGGCTCTTCTTCTACTGTTGTTTCTGTTGGGAGCAATTTCGGTTCTTTGCCTGAAACTCATGGTGAAATGGTGCTTCCATTTCGAAGTCTTCCACCAATGGATCGCTTAAATTTCTCTGTTGGATCGTTTCAGCAAAATTATTACGCTGTTGGATCAAATGATTTGATAGGTAATCCTTTGATTAACCAATCTTTTGGTAGACATGTTGATAATTTCAACGGTTATCGCATAAATCAAGAGGATCGAAACAAGCAGAATCAGAGCTTCGACAATATTATGAACATGAATCATAATGGCGCCAGCACCAGTGGAAGCATAGGATCTTCAGGCTCTAATTACATGAACATGAACAACAACAACAACATCAGAAACAACAATGTGTTAAATTCCTTATTACATTTGGAGAAGCATGGTCCTTGAATGTAACCGTATTACCCGTTGTTTTCTTCTTAAGTGGTTTATGTTTTAGTCTTTCTTTTATGTCTTTTATTTTTTCTTTATGTTTTCTGTTGGATCTTTATTTATTTTTTAAGGTATGAAAGATTGCATCTTTGTTTTACAAAAGATTAAGGCATAAGTTGCTTGTCCGGTCTTTTAAAGTTTTAATTTAATATAGTATAGATATTTAGTCCTGTCCAGTTCGTTTTGTGTATATAACATTTATTTGATGAGTAATAGAGATATACTAGATTAAGGCCCGTGTATACGCGGATTTTTTATACAATTTTTGAAATAAACAATATACAAGTAACACTGCATGACAAATATGGAAAATAATTAAATTTTAGCATGAAAACAATACTGTATAAGTTGACGGTCTTATACTGAAGGTTGACAAAATCCTCGTACGTCCGAAGCCAAAATTTTTCCAAAGGAATTTGGGAGGCACTTTGGCTGATAATTTTGATTTTTGTTCTTTCTCTCACTCTTATGAAAGACTGATGGCTGGAAACTTTTGAACAGCAGACTGCAGACTAAAATTTTGAATTTCGATGATGTTTCCTTCGGCGATCTGATCTCCGAAATTTTGAAATAGTAAAGGATGCACAAAAACTTAAATTGTGTTTTCTTGTTTGAAACAAAAGTAAGATTTTAATGTTAATCAATGTTATGACTATATATATAGATTTATATAATCTTATTATATAATATAATATGTTACTAACCTTTTCATCAAGTAGTAGAAGCTCAACTCCCATAAAAATATTATTTTCTTTAGGATTTCTAGCTTTCAACTTTCGAATAACATGTATTATAGTACGGCGGTAATTTCGATTCGATCCAATTGACCTAGAGTCATATAATCTTCACTATTTTCTTGAACTGTGAGAGACATGATTTTTAAATTAGAGAAAAAGAATCAGAGAAATTTGATGAATTTGTCAATGAGAAAAAGAGACTATTGTAACTTTCTATTTATAGGTGTTCATATAACATATTCCATGCAGCTATAGGAAATATAGTTTACGTACCTATTTCATATACCAATAGGATTTTATTTATTACATTATTTTCAATCTTATTATATAATTTGATGAATGAGAAACCTTTTTCTGTTTGGATATGACAAAAAAAATTATTCCTTTTGATATAATAGATTAAATTAAATTTCGTTTTTTTAATTAACATTTTTCTGGAATTTTTTTTATAAAAAATCTTCTTTTTTCTAAAACACATGTCGCGATCTTGAATTTTATAAAAATCCTACGTTGCGCCGCTTCCAGTTTTATATAATAAAATATGTGATTTCAAGTGTTTATTTCTTGATATGCATTGCACTGTTTTTAGTCTAGTCTATCGTCTGTGTGACTGTGTCTACCTATCTCATGTTTCTGAGATTCACTAGCGTATAAAATAAAAACCTATGATTGACAATTTTTGTTGACGGTTTAGAATTTTTTACTCAAATTTTACAAACAGATAACCGATGTATTGTGTCGCCAATCCTTTTAGATAGAATATGTAAATCTATAATTTTTAGTTTTTGTCATTAAAAAACGTAATATGAAAAAAACGAAAAAAACAAATAAAATATAAGTAAATGTTGTAATGGTATCAAATTCAAAACATTCCATGAATATTAATCAAACTATAAAGTTTAGTTTTTGATCCTCAGCTACCATTCCAATCATTTTTTATTTATTTATCTACAGCTACAACAATTTTACGTATTTATATAAGTTCTTAACCCTAATAGATTTTACTTTTAAGTTTTAACTACATTAATTATATATTCATATAATTTATTGATTACTTATAATAATAATAAAAAAAGAGATTTAACCTTGCATATATGACACGGGACAAACATCTAAGTATTAATAGATCTCTACTATAATTATCAATTTATGTTTTGTCATTTTCGAAAAATAGGTGATTTTATTTATGGTTAAATTTCTTATTTCCTTGATACCGAGTGTTGTTGTTCTACTTAACTGTTTTCACTTTCACTTTGTATATATGCTAAATATGAATAAATCAGGGAAAACGCCCAAAAAAATCATGAATTTTATGAAATTTCACGTTTTATTCTCCAACTCTTGATTGCACAAATAATTCCTCAAAGTATGGTTGACTTTACCAAATTGGGTTTCAATTAGTCAACATTTAACATGGAAATTGATTCCTTTAAATTTGTAACATTATCCGTCGGGATTTTCAGTTTCAAACTCAAAATTTCCAAACTTAAAAACATAAAGGAAAATTTTCCGGCAAACTTCGACGATTTTTAGCAAATTCCAACATATTTTAGTGATTGTATCAATTCAAAATTTGAGCTCCGAAATTGGTTGAAAATTGCTAAAAATTTCCGGAGAAAGCCGGAAATTCCTTAAAGTTTTTAGATTTGGAAATTCTGAATTTAGAACTAAAAATCCCGACGGATAATGTTACAAATTTAAAGGAATCAATTTCCATGTTAAATGTTGACTATTGAAACCCAATTTGGTAAAGTCAACCATACTTTGAAGAATTATTTGTGCAATTAAGAGTTGAAGAATAAAACGTGAAATTTCATAAAGTTCAGGATTTTTTTGGGCGTTTTCCCAATAAATCAGATAAATATTCATTTATATGAAAAACCAATGTAATGCAATGAGAGAACACGTGAAGACACACACTTTCACACACTGGTCCATTATTGTTAATACTCGCAATCTATGCAAAATTTTCCACTTTCAATATCTCTAGATTTTGTTTCTGCTAAATGACCAACTCATTTGACCATATCTTCTCAATTTTCCGTTTTTTTTCAAATACGGACAAGAGTTCATAATAAGAGAGACTTGGTTTTTGGCTAAGCTTAGCCTAAGGTTTATGGTGTGTATATAGATCTTCAGATACAAAATCTGTGACACGTTTTGTTCATAATCTTAAACTTTTAAAACCCCAAACGTATTTCTTCTTCAACTTCCACGCCCCAAGAACCTATATAAGAAGACTCCCCCATACCAAAAAAAATCATAAGAACAACAAGCTCTTATATAATTAAAGACTTGTCTTTCTAAGAGAGAATCAAGTAGTTCTTGAGAGAAATGGATAACTCGAATGTTCACGGTGATGAAGTCAATCAAGTGAATGAAGAGAAGCATCCACCGCGAGTGTGTCCAAGGTGTAACTCCGACAACACCAAGTTTTGCTACTACAACAACTATAGCCTGTCTCAACCTCGCTATTTCTGCAAGAATTGTCGTCGATACTGGACTCATGGTGGGGCTTTAAGAAACATACCGATTGGTGGAAGTTGCCGTAAAGCCAAGCGTCAAAAGATGGATCATCCTTCTGTTTCTCAGTTGGTTTCTGTTGAGACCGAACAAGTCAATCATCACCAGCCTCTCTTTTCTGGTGGTTCTTCTTCTGCTTCTCCTGTTGTTGCTGTTGGGAACCATTTTGGTTCTTTGCATGAAATTCATGGTGATATGGTGCTTCCAGTTCGAAGTTTTGGCCAAGTGGATCGCTTGGATTTCTCTAACGGATCGTTTCAACAAGATTATTACGATGTTGGATCTAATGATCTGATTGGTAATCCTTTGGTAAACCAAACTATTGGTAGACATTTTGATAATTACAATGGTTATAGCATTAATCAAGAGGATCAAAACAAGCGGAACCAAAGCTTCAACAACATTATGAGCATCACTCATATAGCGGGCAATGGAAGCAGAGGATTTTCAAGCACTCCTCATATGAATAAGAACAACAACAATATCATAAACAACTGTCTGTTTATGTCTTCTTACCATTTGGAGAAGCATGGTCTTTGAGTCTTAATTGTATTACCCATTTTCGTTTTTCTTTAGTTTATGTTTTTTTATTTTCCTTTATGTGTTATGATGTTTTTTTTTAAGTTATGAAAGTTTGCATCTTTGTTTCCAAAAGATTTAGAGGTAAGTTGCTTGTTTGATCTTTATTTTATAATAATATAAATAATATGAAGTTGTAACTAGTTTCTCGTTTTGCAATCTGCCTCTTGAATCTTGAGTTAGTTAAATACAACTATACAAGTATACAAGTAAATGTAAATTTTTAATAAATGATGACAAATCAACAATGTTGTGATACTTATGAATTTATTAAGTTTTTCAAATATAATGTTTATAGTCTTACTTAAGTTAATTTTGTAATCTTTTAATAAATTTCTGAGTTTAAATTTTTTGATTGCATGTTCTGAAAATGTAGTTTTGGATTAAGAAAATTATTTATGTTCATGTAACTATGCATATATGGTTAAGAAATAAAATAACTAACATATAAAGTATGTATTAATATAATTATATAGGAAATAAAATATATTAATTAAACTTACAAAAAAATATTAAATGTTAGAAGTTAACTAGAGTCGTTAGGTAATCCAAGTACATATATTGAGATTTGTTTTTATAAATACAGATGAATCAACAATGGTATAATACTAAAACGTTAGTTGACATCATTGTTTTTTCAAATCTAGTTATTATAGTCTTAAATTTTTTTCTCTTTTGTAATCTTACTTAGGAAATTATGTAAAAACTAATAATGAATTTCTCTATTTTCAACTTTTAAAAGGTGGTTGATTAAAAACGGTGATTCTGGATCAACAAATTTAGTTATGTAGTTATGAAATATATTAAATATGATTAAAAGCTAAAAATATAACATAAATATGTAAAGTTGTTCTCTCAGATTTTATCACAAAAAAAAAAAAAAAAAGAAGAAGTTGTTCTCTCAGATTTCCTAAAGCCAAACGGCCACTTTCTAAGAACAAATACTTAAAAGCATAACAATGACATAAAAGAGGTCCAGATTTTGCTGACCGACACGTGGATGCTATGGCTCACCACTAAACTAAAGGGAAAAAGCTCTATTTTGTCAGTCACCGATCCCGACAAAGATAGAAGATAAGGTCTTCCACAGTTAGTTTGACACGTGCACATTATCCCTTTTTAGTTGTCTTATTTAACTCCATCATCGTTACTATTTTCAGAATTTGGCAAACGTTTTTGCTGTTTTTCTTGTTATTGTTCTGTAAAGTGTAATTCGTAGATCATTAAGCAGTTTAATTACACTTAGATTTACGATTCTACGAGAGATTTTAAGAAGAGTCAGTACAAAATCCAGAGATTTTAAAGGAACAATTAAAAAGTTTTCAAATTCCGAAAATTAATTAAATTACTACGATAAATCAAAAACAAATATTTGTTTTGTCAACAATCAAAAACAAATTAAGACGTACAAAACACGGGTCCATGCATTTAATACCAAAAGCTATTGACGGTACAAAACGTTAAAAACAAATGCCCTTCGACGTGGGTAATTACACAGCATCAATGCATCATCTACATATATATAGAGCTTCATATCTCGAAGTATTCAATCATTAAACCAAGAATTCCCAATCATTCCTTTAAACTTCTTTACATACTTTTCTTGTTAATTTGACCAACCTCAAAAATGGCTACTTCACGTCTAGCTAGGTTTGTGTCAGAGGTTGCTCCGCCTCAATTCGTGACGGTGATGAGGAGGCATAGAGCAGCGAAGCAGAAGCTCGACACAATCAAAGAAGAGGAGACCTATAAAGAAGATTGTTTCGGTGTTGGAATGATGATTAGGTCTAATAAGATGATGTCTAGTACTAAGATGACATCATCTCATCATCAAGCTTGTGTTTCTTCCTCTACTTCGGTTTCTAATTCTGGATCTACCTCTAAGAATTTCTTTCTCGAGGTTCGAAGCTCTTTTTCTGTCTTCGAAAACTAAGATCTCTATGTGTATTTTGTAATAATTTCTCGGGTCGATATTTTTGTATGCACCCGTTTATATTTATATTTTACTTAAGATTCAGACCTTTTTTTTATTATCTGAAAGGTCCGATACATATACGTGTTCTATGGTTGTATTTCTGAAAGAGCATTTGTATGATTAAGCGTTCTACACTTCTACTTCGTCATATTGTAATTTTCGACCCATATGTATAAATAAAACTGTTGCCTATTAAAACATTGATTGAAGAAGACACTGCACAAAGCAGAGTGAGATTGCAATAAGTTGTCATTTGGTTGTACGGACCTAGAAAACTCTTCCTAATCATGTCATTGATTTATCTTTTCATTTTTTTAGTAAATCATTGATTGTAATATCATTGGTTTGTTTTCTCTCTTGCCTTCTTATTCCAATGTCACTCTCTTTAGTCTCTGCCTCACTCCCACTCCAGTTTCTTCGGAGTCATGATCCAAATTTGTGTATCAGTCTCTTGACTTTGATTTTTTTCTTGCTAAGAGACATTTAGACTACATTAGCTCATATTGTTGGTAATATCTAACTAAATGATTGAAATCTTTATAAATTCCAGGATTTTGTTCCCTCTAGTTTTGCGGTTTAGCTTTTTCATCTCAGTTCCGATTAAAAAAATCAAAATAAAGTAAAAAAAAATTGCATTGATCCAATTCACTGTTTTCTTTTATTCGACCTTGAAGAGTCACCGATATTACAAGATAAAATAAAAATTCAATACATCAAACATTTGGATCGTAGGACCAAATCGTTCTCCCTTTTGGGTCTTGAACCGGTCTTGAGTTTGTCTCAAACCCCTATTCAGTTAATAATTACTTGGTTAGTACTAAAATTTTACTCAATATCAGCTAAAGAAATCACATTAGCAATTACGAGTACTTACATCGTGAACGGCTTCCCTCAGAGCTGTAATTTACTCCAATGATATTGTGTTCACCTGCATATACAATTTTTTATTTTTATCAAAAATTTCGGATTTTGCATTGTGTAATGAATACAGAAATTATCATATAGTAATATATAAAAATTTACCCTTTTAACGATGGTCCAAATAACGCCTTCAGTGCAAGGAGGAACAGTGAGAGAGCCAATGTATCTATAGAATTTTTTGGTTTGAAATCTAATCTCTCTTGGATCCAATATCCCTACATTCTTCTCCTCTGTTGCCACTGTTTTTATTCCTTTTAGAAGCTGCATTTAAAAAAAAAAATGTTATAACCATGCATAAGACCTTTATATATGTAAATACATGTTATTTTTTTACCTTAGCGAGAAATTCATTAGGTTTGCCGATTTTATAAAGAACTGCAATCACTGCGAGTTTGCCCCGAGCACTCATGTGAACCATGTGAAGCTCCATATCATAGCTGTTACACATTTAAAAACAAAATAAAACAATGGTTATCTATCTATTTTCGTGGAAGATTTGGTGTAAATGAGATTAATTTTTTTATTGCCCCCATTAGAAAAAACGATACAAATAAAAATGGTTACCTAGTTCCGTTAACGGTATGCTCAGACGGTGTATGCCAATGACACTGCACCAGTTTAAACGCCGTTCGACGTATCATCATTTTGCCAGCATCTCCTTTCCATGATACCTTTTTTATTTATTCCATATTAAAATTTTTCATGGTTAGTCCAATAACAATATGGTTAAGAATTTAATCAAACTTGAAATAAAAATGTTACCATAATGTCATGTCCTCTGTTTTGGATTACAGCCGGAGCTGGTTTGTATTGTCTTGTCCATGCTTGGTCACGAATAACACTAACTCTTGCGTTAGTGAGATCGATCGGAGATTGATATCTTCCTGTGTTGCAAACTTTCCATTTAGGATTTATTTTGCCCCATCCCAAAGGTCCTTTCTCTGTTGTTTTCTCGTACATAAACGGCGTTTCATCCACTGTTTTTTTCAAAAATTAATTTCAATCAAATCATATTACACACGTATTGAGTTTTGATAATTTTGCTAAAAGAAAAAAAAACTTACCGACTTCACCACCATCACTAGCGAGGGAAATATTAGGGAAAGTTAAATAGAGGAAAAACAAAGCGAAAAAGAGCATTGTTTTTGTGTTCGAATCCATTTGTGTTCTTGTGAGATTTGATTTTCTTTGATCCTTGTTTATTATGTTCTGGAGTCTGGACATTGAGAGGGTTTAGAGATTAGCTATTTAAATGAGGCTTTGCAAGGTTCGTTTAGCTGTTTTTTTTTTCTGGTTTTTTCAGTTGCTGCGATTTCAGTTAATAATAGGTTGGTATATCGTACTGAACTAAGAAAAGAATAAAAGACAATTCATTGGATCAATTTGGTTAGAGTTTTCTAATTTCGGTTTCAATAGTAAATCAATGTGAACTGTTTGAAAGAATATAAATGAAAAAAAAAAGAGAAAAAAAAAAGAATATAAATGAGAATATGCTTTATTGTGCAAATGAAAATGTGAAGAGGAAGGAAGAAACTGTATTAAGTTTATATTGTCACCAAGAAGAATAACGTTTAGATTAAGATCATATAAATTATGAAGAAATTGTTTTCAATCATGTTCTTGACACATATTTATATGTATCTATCTATGCTAGAAACCCTAGTTACATATTGGGCTTGTGCTCTAATACTATACACGTACAGAAAATATGTTCCTCAGCATCGGAAATTGACAAGAGGCGATGACATCGCCTCGATAGAATGGTTATGGTTTCACAGTTTACGGTTGCAACTTGCAAGGGCCTAAGGAATTATCAATATCTCATGTATGAGGGATGCATTAGTCTATTAAAAAGATAAATTTACGGTTATGCCTAGAATATTAAAGTTCCGATTTCTTCTATTTATGTGTTCTTTTGATTTCAAGTATTTTATCTCTCCTTTTGTATTTCTCTGTTTTCATTTTTTACTCTGTTTTTAAACTAGGTTTGATCTGATGTATATGTGAGATGGATTAAGTTTAGAATATTAAGATGTATAAATCTAGGGTTATGTCAAGAATTTTAAGTTTCTATTTCTTCTATCAGTCACAATTTGGATGACCGTTGAAGGTTTGTTGTTCTAACTTCTAATATTAAAATGTGAGTGTTCGGTGAATTTATATCTTTCCACAATAATACTCTGGGCTTTTTATCCTAGCTAACTACCGGTTATTAATAGTTGTTGATGCTTTTGACCACTTTACTTTTGAGCTTCTAATTTGTAATCCTTGAATAACCGTTATATTCTGGCGGGAAACTTTTAAGTTTCTAGCTTAAGTGTGTACTTAATCTCATTACTCTCTCAAATGACTTTCAAAAATCATAGTTGTCATCTTTTTATTATGCATTTATCTAGATGGTATGCCAGTTTTCAATATTGGTTATTTGATATAAAGAAACTTCTTGTTTTGGTTGAGTCTCTTCTCTTCATGGTATTGGTAGTATACATAATTCAACAATTTGTGTTTATTTAAATAAGAAAATCTATCTTTTTGAACAATAATAATTGTCTCCATTTGAACAGTAACAAATGTCTTCATTTTAAATATGAGAAAAAAATCTTAAACATTAACTTTTATTATGATAATATTTTCCGATTCGCTAATAAAAACACACGCGCTTGACACACATTATTTTTTCTCTATTTGTGGAACTCACTAAAAAGTTTTTAATAAATTTAGTTATTTATATGTTTTTGTCAATTTCCCTTGTATTCATATCTTCTTCCCTTAACACATATACATCCAAGTTAATTATAAGATAGATGGTTTTTGACTAAGCCTAGCTAATTTTTATGGTGTGAAGATAGATATTCAGATTTTGTTGATAAAAATCTTTGACACGTTTTGGTCAATCATCACTCTTCTTAAATCCAAAACTTACCTCTTCTTCAATTTCCACTCCCCCATGAGCCTATATAAGAAGTGACCCTTAAACCAAAGACCATAACAAAAACACCAATAAGAAAATCAAATAGCTCTTGAGAGAAATGGATAACGTTAATGTTTTCTTGCAGGGAGACAATCAAGTGAGTAAAGAGAAGCCTCCACCTCGAGTGTGTCCAAGGTGTAACTCCGACAACACAAAGTTCTGCTACTACAACAACTACAGCCATTCTCAACCACGCTACAACTGCAAGAACTGTCGTCGACACTGGACTCACGGTGGAGCGCAAAGGAACATACCGATTGGTGGAAAAGGCCATAAAGCCAAGCGCGCAAAGGTAGATCAACCTTCTGTTTCTCAGGTGGTTTCTGTTGAGATCCAACAAGTTAATCATCACCAACCTCTCTTAAATGGTGGTTCTTCTTCTTCATCTTCCACTGTTGTTGCTGTTGGTTCTTTGCCTGAAATTCATGGTGATGTGGTGCTTCCTACTCGAAGTCTTCCACAAATGGATCACTTAGACTTCTCTGTCGGCTCGTTTCAACAAAATTGTTACGATGTTGGATCCAATGATTTGATTGGTAATCCTTTTATTAACCAATCAATCGGTACACATGTTGATAATCACAACGGCTATCGCGTACACCAAGAGGATCAAAACAAGTGGAACCAGAGCTTCAACAATACTATGAACATGAATAATAATGGCGCCAGCACCAGTGGAAGCAGAGGATCTCTAGGCACCGATCACATGAACAACAACAACAACAACAACATCATTAATAACTGTGTGTACAAGTCCTCATACCATTTCGAGAAACATGGTCCTTGAACCGAACCGTATTACCTGTTATTTTTCTTATTTTTATATTTATGTTTTTTTTAAGTTATGAAAGTTTATGTCGTTTCCCAAAATATTCAGACATAAGTTGCTTGTCCGATTTTTTATACTATTTGTAATATAATATAATTATTTATTTACTCGTGTCTAGTTCGTTAATTTGCATTTTGCTCTTTATTGTCAAGTCTTGATGTAATTAAGTGGGATCTTGATTACATGCAAAACAAAATACGCCCAACATAGCTATAGCAAAATACGAATTGCAACATACGACCAACAAATATTGACATGTAATCTCGACCTGAGATCTAAGCCGGGCCTAAGCCCATGCAAACAATACTTTGTAATTTCAATATGTACAGTTCTAGGTCAGGTCAAGTACTTTGTAATTTGAATATGTAATCTCGACAAAGAATTCTAATGTATTTCGATAAAAAATAAATAACCGTTATATTTTGGCGCGAGACTTAAGTTTCCCGTTCTTTTTTGTTTTGTTTTTTTTTGGAGAAAATTATGTTTCTGTTCTTCCCTCTTTACTTTTAACACTCTATGAGATCTATCATAACTATAGAAGTAAATTTGGTTAAACTGCTAAAAGGTGATTCATGGAAAATAAGTTACTTAATATAAACATATCTAGTATGGTTGTGTTTTTTGTCTTCTTGGAATTGGAAGTTTAGGCTACTCATGCATGCACTCACTCTACACATTTTTATAAATCTTAGACATATTTTTCATCGTAACTTTCCTATATGTGCCATGAAAAACAAGTATGAACATATATACCCTATACATACATCAATACAAATCACATTTATCTTTAGCTTCAGTGTATAATGTATATTTAATCTTGTTGTTTTAATTTTGTTTTTTTCTTAACGACTTATAAAATCATAGGTTGTAATTAATCTTTTTTTTATTTATCATGCATTTCAATAGAATAATCTTTACCAAAAGAAAAAAAAAAACTAATTATATTGTCCAGTAAAGTTATTAATCTAGTAGGTACGCCAGATTTCAATATTGGTTATTTGATACAAATAAATTTCCTGTTTTGGTTGGGTCTCTTTGTCTACTTAGCATTTCTCACAATTTGTAACTATTTTAAAGGTGAAGATCTTTAACAAAAAAAAACTATTTTAAAGGTGATAAAATGCATCCATTTGAAAAATAACATATGTCTCTATTCTGAATATGAAAACATCTTTAAAATATATATATTTATGATAAGATTTTCCAATACACCAATAAAAACACGAGTGAAACACACATGCTTGACACGCATTATCTTTGTAAATTCGCAATAATTTTTAATAAATTTAGTTATCTATGTGTTTTTGTCAAATCTGAAAATATGATATTTGACATTAACACATTTCCCTTTATTCATATCATCAATCCCTTTTTAGTATACATCATCCAAGAGTTAGATGGTTTTTGACTAAGCTTAGGTAGTGTTTATGGTGTAAAGATAGATCTTCAGATTTTGTTAATACACTTTGACACGTTTTGATCTAGTATCACTCTTCTTAAGTCTGAAGCTTATCTCTTCAATTTCTACTTCCCCAAGAGCCTATATAAGAAGGCACCCCCACAACACAAATACCATAACAACAACAAAAACAAAACCAAGTAGCTATTGAAAGAAAATGAAAAACATTAATGTTTTCTTGCAGGTAGACAATCAAGTGAAGCCTCCACCCACGAGTGTGTCCAAGGTGTAACTCCCACAGCACAAAGTTTTGTTATTACAACAACTACAACTATTCTCAACCACGCTACCACTGCAAAAACTGTTGTCGCTACTGGACTCATGGTGGAGCGCTAAGGAACATACCGATTGGTCGCAGAGCCCGTAACGCCAAGCGTGCTAAGGTAAATCAACCTCCTTCTTCTTCTTCTTCTTCAACTGTTGTTGCTGTTGGGAACCATTTTGGTTATTTGCCTGAAATCCATAATGAGATGGTGCTTCCAATTCAAAGTCTCCTACCAATGGATCACTTAGATTTCTTCGTTGGATCTTTTTAGGCAAATTATTGGCGCTAGCCCCATGGAAGCAGAGGATCCCTAGGCACTGGTCACATGAACAACAACAACAACAACATCATAAACAATTGTGTGTGCAAGTATATAATTTAAAGAATAATGGTCCTTGGATCTAACCGTATTATCCGGTTTTTTCCTTGTTAAGTTTATATTTTATTTTGTATTTATGTTTGGGTTTTGATTTTAAGTTATAAAAGTTTCTGTCGTTGTTTCCTAAAAATTCAGACGACATAAGTTGCTTGTCTGATCTTTTTATGTATTTTATGATATAATATAATTATCTAGTCGTGTCTAGTTCGTGAATTTGCAATTTGCTCTTGACTCTTAAGTCTTGATGTAAGAAAGTGGGATCTTGAGCCAAATCGCAAACTACATTTTCAGTATCTTTAGCTAACATGCAAAACAAAATACGTCCAATAGAAGCAAAACAAAAAACGTCTAATCGACATGTAATCTCAATACAACATAAACTTATTTGGATAGTTCTTTTCTATTAGTCAAAATTTTGGTTACTCTTAAAAAATTTCAAATTTGGTAGCAAAATCAGAGAGGTAAAAAAAAAAAAAAAAACAAAAACAAAGGATCTCGCAACCATTGTAGAGATTATTATTAAGTTTCTGACATGACTGTAGGAAAATTGGTTTAATCGCTACAAAGTGATTTATGAAAAAATTGTTACTTTAACTGTTAATATATATTGTTGTGTTTCTTGCCTTGTTGGAATTGATAATTTAACTCACGACTCTCGCACAAAATTATAAAATGTAGACATATTTTTTCAGTTATAATAACTTCCTATATGCGCCACAAAAAAAAAAAGAAAAAAAAAGTATGAACATAGATACCCATATATACATCATACCTCAACTTAAAAGAAAAATATTTCTCTAACAACTTCCAAAACTCTAGTTTATATTATCATGCATTTCGATAGAATACTCTTTAACAAAAGGAATAACGAATTATATTCTTTAGTAAAATTATTTATCTAGATGGTATGGCAGTTTTAAGTATTGGTTATTTGATATATAAAAAAAATTCTTGTTTTGTTGGAGCCTCTTTGCCTATGCAATTCTCACCATTTGAACAATAAAATGTTTCCATTGTAAATCTGAATCAAAATCTTACATGTAAATTTCTACGATTTGATTTTTTGGTATACCAATAGAAACACGAATGAAACACACACAAGCGTCAAGCACATTATCTTTGTATATTAATTGTTTTACTAGATTTAGTTATTTATGTGTTTTGTCAAATTTGAAAGATGTCATTTAACATAAACACATTATTCATATCATTAATCCCTTTTGAAGATACAACCAAGATATAGTTGGTTTCTGAAACAAGATCTTATCTGTAAAATTCTGTGGTTATATTTTCTGGTATACTAATAGAAGCACAAGTGAAATACACACGCGTCAAGCACATTATCTTTGTAAATCAATATTAATTGTTTTACTAGATTTAGTTATTTATGTGTTTTGTCAAATTTGAAAGATGTCATTTGACATAAACACATTTCTCATTATTCATATCATGAATCCCTTTTGAAGATACAGTCAAGATTTAGTTGATTTCTGAAACAAAATCTTACGTGTATTCTCTGGTATACAAACAGAAACACGAGTGAAACACACATGCTTGACACGCATTATCTTTGAAAATCAACATTAATTTTTTTACTAGATTTAGTTATGTATTTGTTTTGTCAAATTCGAAAGATGTCATTTGACATAAACACATTTCCCATTATTCATATCATGAATCCCCTTTTTAGGATACAACTAAGATTTAGTTGGCTTTTGACTAAGCTTAGCATAATGTTAATAGTGTAAGCTGGATTTTCAGATTTTACTAACACAAGATTTTTGACACGTTTGTCTTGCACATAAATCTTCTTAAATTTGAAACTTGTCTTCTTCAGTTTCCACTCCCCTAAGAGCCTATATAATAGACACCCTACACAACACAAATACTGTAACAACAACAATAAGAAAATCAAGTAGCTCTTAAGAGAAATGGATAACATTCATGTTCTCTTGCATGGAGACAATCAAGTAGTGAAGGAGAAGCCTCCACCACGAGTGTGTCCAAGGTGTAAGTCCGACGACACCAAGTTCTGCTTCTACAACAACTACAACGATTCTCAACCACGCTACAACTGCAAGAGTTGTCGTCGCTTCTGGACTCATGGTGGAAGGCAAAGGAACATACCGGTTGGTGGAAGAAGCCGTAAAGCCAAGCGTGCAAAGGTAGATCAACCTTCTGTTCCTCAGGTGGTTTCTGTTGAGATCCAACAAGTCAATCATCCCCAACCTATCGTAATTGGAGGTTCGTCTTCTTCTGCCGTTGCTGTTGGGAACCATTTCGGTTCTTTGCCTGAAATTAATGGTGAGATGGTGCTTCCATTTCAAAGTTATCCACAAATGGATCACTTAGATTTCTCTCTTGGATTGTTTCAACAAGATTATTACAATATTGGACCCGATGGTTTGTTTGGTTATCCTTTGATTAACCAGACAATTGGTAGTTGTGTTGATTATTACAACGGCTATGGCGTAAATCAAGAAGATCAGGACCAGAACTTTGCCATCGCTATGAACATGAATCACAATGACGCAAGTACCAGTGGAAGCAGAGGATCTCTCTAGGCACTGGTCACATGAACAACAACAACATCATAAACAACTGTGTGTGCAAGTCCCCATACCATTTCGAGAAGCATGGTCCTTGAATCTAACCGTATTACCCGTTTTGTTTTCCTTTTATGTTTTTTTTTCCATTTCCTTTTATGTTTTCTGTTCGGTTTTTATTTTAATTATAAAAGTTGTTGTCGTTCATGTTTCCCAAAAGTTTCAGACATACACATATGTTGTTTGTCTGATATTTTTTTCTTAAAATAAAATATTATTATGTAGTCGTTTCTAGTTAATTTGCAATCTGCTCTTGACTCTTTTAGTATTTGTTCTATTTAAGTGGGATCTTGAGCAAAATTGCAAGCTAAATTTTCTGGATCTTTAGATAATATGTAAAACGAAACAAGTCCTATAGAAATCGACATTATTATCATTTATCAAACATGTTTTACTTTTTAAATACATCTAAGTCCAAATGTATGTTTCACCAACCAAAAATCTCATAATTAACTATAAGCAAATTCCATAACCACAAGAATACAATATATCATTTGGTTTAACATTTACTACTAGTAAACTACACATTGATACTGTAATAAGGATTAAACCTTAAAAAATTAATGAGTTTAAATCCTTTCAAATCTTTTTACCCCTTTATTTTTTGAACTGACGTGACATTTATTCATGATTGTTAGATAGGAAACAAATATGAATGTTAGCTAAGAGTTTGATCAAAAAAATGAAATTAGATAAGAGAAGAGAGCTTTTTGAATTTAAAAATGAAAAAGGTTCCTTCCGATTTCTCCTTCATCTCCGTAGTGGGTTATTTCGCTTCTAGCCCTAGATTGAAGGAGACAAAACCGCTCAATCAGGTTGAGATTTGCTCTGTTTCATTGGGGTTTTGAGTTTCTTCGCCCCCTCTTACTGCTCTTTCAAATTCTGCCAAAAGAGAGTTTTTTTTAACATCAGACGAAAACAAATGTCCTCTATTTGAAAGACGCGTGTCGAATTGAGTCATTTGGGTTGATTTGATTGGATTTCGTGGAGTCAATCAATCTTCAGGTCGTGCCAAGCTTTAACTGTTACTCTGGGTTTTTGGATCCTTCTCTTTGCTAGATTTTAAAGTTATATTCTTTAGATGAAGTTGTTCGCCATTTTCAGTTCTGACGCACTAATTCGACTTGTAAATCAAAAAGTCGAGTGATTTTGATTCGGGTAGGTAGTGATTTAGGCTATTTAGCAGACCCTAACGATGAAAAGGGTAAAAAGCGAAACTTTTAGAGGGGTTTATAGTTCCAGGAGGTTCAAGTTGTCACATTTGCTTCTGGCTATAGCAGGGTTTTACTTGGTTTTCTTAGCTTTCAAGTTCCCACATTTCATCGAGATGGTTGCTATGTTGAGTGGAGATACTGGACTAGATGGAGCATTAAAGGATACGGCAGAAGTTAGTTTAAGCGGGTCTCTACGCAGTGACATGTTGGATAGGAAGCTAGAAGACGAAGAGAACCGAAGTGGACCTTTTACTACTCAGAAGGTGACACCAGAAGAGAAGATAAATGAATCTAAACCACCGATTCAGTATGGTCGAATATCGAAAGAGATCATGAGACGGAGGAACAGAACCATTCACATGTCACCATTTGAAAGAATGGTGGATGAGGCTTGGATGCTTGGTGCCAAGGCTTGGGAAGATGTTGATAAGTTTGAGATAGAGAACATCCAAGAGAGCGCTTCTGTGTACGAAGGAAATGTTGAGTCATGCCCTTCTCAGATATCTACGAATGGAGATGACTTGAATAAAGCCAATGGTATCATGTTGCTTCCCTGTGGTCTTGCTGCAGGGTCTTCTGTTACGATTCTTGGAACTCCGCAGTATGCACATAAAGAATCTGTTCCTCAGCGTGCGAGGTTGACAAGAGGCGATGGAATGGTTCTGGTTTCTCAGTTTATGGTTGAGCTGCAAGGGCTGAAGACGGGGGATGGGGAATATCCACCTAAGATTCTTCATTTGAATCCGAGGATTAGAGGTGATTGGAGTCACCGGCCGGTCATTGAACACAATACATGTTATAGGATGCAGTGGGGAGTTGCTCAGAGATGTGATGGTACTCCATCCAGGAAGGACACAGATATGCTTGGTAAGATCTTTAACATCCCTCATAAACTGTTTGTTTGCACTAATGTTACAGGTCAATGCTCATAAGTCTACGCTCTAAATACTCTTTATCTTTTCCAGTTGATGGATTCCAAAGATGTGAAAAGTGGACAAAGAATGACAACATTTACATGGTGGACTCAAAGGAATCCAAGACAACTTCTTGGTTCAAACGGTTTATAGGACGTGAACAGAAACCGGAACTCACCTGGTCATTCCCTTTTGCTGAAGGCAAAGTCTTCGTCCTAACTTTGCGAGCTGGAATTGATGGTTTTCATATAAATGTTGGAGGAAGGCATGTTACATCATTCCCTTATCGACCGGTATGTCTTATCAGATGAACATTCTACGTAAATGGTTTATTAATTGGTCTCAACAGTATAATTTTCATTCCAATGAAGAGAATTCGTCCTCCACTTCTTATGTCTGATATTGTTCATGTATATATTGTGATTTCTGGCTTCTCAGGGATTCACCATAGAAGATGCCACAGGGCTGGCAATAACAGGAGATGTTGATATTCATTCTGTTCATGCAACTTCTCTTTCAACATCTCATCCGAGTTTCTCGCCTCAGAAAGCAATAGAATTTTCTCCACAGTGGAAAGCTCCTCCTTTGCCTGACAGTCCTTTTCGCCTTTTCATCGGTGTTCTATCTGCAACTAAGCATTTTTCAGAGCGCATGGCAGTGAGAAAGACATGGATGCAGCATCCTTCTGTTAAAGTTTCACATGTAGTAGCCCGATTCTTTGTTGCACTTGTAAGTTCTTACTACCTTTGATACTGCATATTGGAACACTGAGATGGAAATTACTGATTTGAAGTTAGGAGGCCTTGGAATACTGAGAAGTGAACTTATTTTATCTTTGTAGAATCCAAGAAAGGAAGTTAATGCAATGCTGAAGAAAGAGGCTGAGTATTTTGGAGATATTGTGATTGTGCCCTTTATGGATCGCTACGAGCTAGTTGTTCTGAAGACAATGGCTATTTGTGAATTTGGGGTATTGTTTCTATTTAAATCTTTGCATTACTACTCTCTGATAAGGATCTGTACATTAACAGCTTCTCTTGTCGTAGTTACATTACGTGAGTCTGATTGTGATAGTGTGGCTTTCAGGTCCAGAATGTAACAGCTCCATATATAATGAAATGTGACGATGACACATTCATCAGAGTGGAATCAATCTTGAGAGAAATCAATGGAGTCTCTCTGGAACAATCTCTCTATATGGGCAATCTAAATCTTCGACATCGTCCTCTTAGAACTGGCAAGTGGGCAGTTACATGGGAGGTACTTTAGCTTGTGTGAATTGCCTTTACACACTCTTGTATGACTCATAAATCAGATACTAAATGCTCTTACTTATCTACTGTAACAGGAGTGGCCAGAAGCTGTGTATCCTCCTTACGCCAATGGACCTGGATACATAATCTCAAGCGACATTGCTAAATATATTGTTTCTGAGAATTCAAGACAGAAGCTTAGGGTCTGACCCTTTCTCATTTTCTTACTTTCATCACCATCTCTTACTGTCATGAGAACACGAGCTAAACTGTTTTGACATTGTTGTGACAGCTGTTCAAGATGGAGGATGTGAGCATGGGAATGTGGGTTGAGAAATTCAATGCTACGGTGCAGCCTGTGGAATACTCACACAGCTGGAAGTTTTGCCAATACGGATGCACACTGAACTATTACACTGCACATTACCAATCTCCCAGTCAGATGATTTGTCTGTGGGATAATTTGTTGAAAGGCCGAGCACAATGCTGCAACTTCAGATGACAAAAACAGAAACACTTAATTAGGATCAGGAGACTACAGGATTACAGATTTGGCACCTCGTGAACCCGTTTTATATGTTTGGTGCTTGTTGTTTAAACTTACACTATCAAGATAACAGTCTCTTATTGTACATTGGTGTCCACTGATAATTTTAGAATATTAATCTCTGAAAGATATGTAAGCAATTACACTGATATATCTATGCAAAATGATTTCAACAAGTTTTTGGCCTTCATGTTTAGTTTAAGTCATGGGTATATTTGGCTTTCATCATGTAGCATTCCCTTGATCATCTGCATTTCTTGCGTCGATTCTCCGAATGGTTCCAGCTTTTGCAGTCCAGGTAGGGAAATGGAGGATGACACTCACAAGATCCAAGTAATGCTGTATTGTCTTCTTCCTTTCCAAGTGCCATAATCCTTCATCCTGGAAATGTCACATGTCCATAGAGATAAAAAGCTTAGTTATTTAGCATACAGAGAGAGTCGTTCAGAATCCTGAGCAGCATGAATGAGTGATTGTGTAAAACAGAACACATAAGCATCAATCTTAAGAGTGTACATGTCATTAGCCGAAAACTCCAGACACAAATTGCTTACAACAACAAAACTGTGTGGCACATAGACTGCCAACTGATCTTCTCATGATCAGATGGATGTAGCCAAATGTGCTCTTTTATTTATCACCGTGTTTAAGCCTCACGCCGAAACCTCGTGGCCGTGAAGTTCTGATACACGGTGACTCAGTCAAGACGAGCAAAAGAGACAAAGGTAGAAAATTTTCCGGTTCAGAGATGTAAAATGTCACATATTTGGAGTTTGGGAAGCAGAAATCAGAGTAATGAGAGCTTAACTAAACCAAATTGCACAAACAGAACAATGAAAATTCTTACCCAAAAAGGCAAGTTTTTTGTCTGAAGAAATATGAATCGACATTCAAGACCTATCCTTTGGCTCGTCCATAACTCTGGATTCAACTCTGTTTCGCGTTTCGATATTTTGGATTCGAACACTTTGGATGATTCATCTTCAAAAGATGCATCTTTCTTCAGACACAGAGAATGGCGGCGGCTCTCGAAATTGAAATGTTTTTAGGGTTGAGGGATGTTTAAATCAGTTAAAGTCATTTAATAGTAAATGATAATGGACATCGTCTCGATACAATCGCAATTGACGACAATGCCCACACGAAACAGAGCAAAATGCCTCCATTCCCAGAAACCTCTGTTTTGCTACTTCCCATGGTCGAGAAATGCGTAAACCTCTTGCAGACCTATGGCTTCTCATCACTTAAAAAACTCAAGCAAGTCCACGCCTTTTCAATCCGCCATGGACTCTCAATCTCCAACGCAGAGCTGGGGAAACACCTCGTCTTCTACCTCGTGTCTCTTCCTTCTCCACCTCCAATGTCTTACGCTCACAAAATCTTCACCAAGATCGAGAAACCCATCAACGTCTTTGTTTATAACACATTGATCAGAGGCTACGCCGAGACTGGCGATTCCGTCTCCGCTCTTTCTCTCTACCGCGAAATGCGAGTCTCTGGTTTCGTCGAGCCAGACACTCATACTTACCCGTTTCTTCTCAAGGCCGTGACGAAAATGGCGGATTCTCGATTGGGAGAGACGATTCACTCCATTGTTATAAGAAGTGGGTTTGGCTCGTTGATTTTTGCTCAGAACTCTCTCCTCCATTTATACGCAAACTGTGGAGACGTATCGAGTGCGTACAAGGTGTTCGATAAAATGCCTGTGAAAGATCTTGTAGCTTGGAACTCTGTGATTAATGGGTTTGCAGAAAACGGTAAACCAAACGAAGCTTTATCGCTTTACACTGAGATGGATTCGAAAGGTATCAAGCCCGATGGGTTCACGATCGTTAGCTTGTTGTCTGCTTGTGCAAAGATCGGTGCTTTGGCGTTGGGTAAGAGAGTCCATGTGTATATGATCAAAGCCGGTTTGACACGAAACGTACATACGAAGAATGTGCTTTTGGACTTGTATGCGAGATGTGGAAGAGTCGAAGAAGCTAAAACGCTTTTCGGTGAGATGGTGGAGAAGAACAGTGTCTCGTGGACTTCGTTGATCGTTGGTTTAGCTGTGAACGGTTTTGGAAAAGAAGCGATTGAGATTTTTAAGGAGATGGAGTCAGAGAAGGGATTGTCACCGTGTGAGATCACGTTTGTTGGGATCTTATACGCTTGTAGCCATTGTGGGATGGTGAAGGAAGGTTTTGAGTATTTCAAGAGGATGAGAGATGAGTATGAGATTGAGCCTAGGATCGAACATTTTGGTTGTATGGTTGATTTGTTAGCTAGAGCTGGACAAGTGAAGGAAGCGTATGAGTACATAATGAGAATGCCGATGCAGCCAAATGTTGTTGTATGGAGAACATTGTTAGGGGCTTGCACCGTTCATGGTGATTCTGATTTAGCAGAGGTTGCTAGAGTCCAGATCTTACAGCTGGAGCCAAACCACAGCGGCGATTATGTTCTATTGTCGAACATGTATGCGTCTGAGCAGCGTTGGTCTGATGTGCAAAAGATAAGGAGGCAAATGTTAAGAGACGGTGTGAGGAAAGTTCCAGGTCATAGTTTAGTAGAAGTAGGAAACAGAGTTCATGAGTTTCTTATAGGTGATAAGTCTCATCCGCAAAGCGATGAGATTTACGCTAAGCTGAGAGAGATGACTGAGAGGTTGAGATTGGAAGGTTACGTGCCGCGGATTTCGAATGTTTATGTTGATGTTGAGGAGGAAGAGAAGGAGGATGCTCTGGTTTATCATAGTGAGAAGATTGCTGTTGCTTTTATGCTTGTTAGTACACCGGAAAGGTCACCGATTCGGGTGGTGAAGAATCTTAGAGTTTGTGCAGATTGTCATTTGGCGATTAAACTTGTGTCTAAGGTTTATGATAGAGAGATTGTTGTTAGAGATCGTAGCAGGTTTCACCATTTTAAAGATGGTTCTTGTTCTTGTCAAGATTACTGGTGATGCAGATAATAAATTCCTGTTTCAACACAATTTGTTCAAACTTACGGATTTTAATCAAACACACTCTTCGTTTAATGGAACCTTCGTGAGACAATTTGTAATTTCTGAAGTATTGGGGTAAAATCGTTGTTGACATAAAACTTGGGCTCAAATGTTATAAACTGATAAACTTTAGGGGGCGGAACAGAAATTAGTCTAAAATGAATAGACCGCGTTTTCACTTATTCTTTTGGCGGGAATGGAATTTTTTTGAAGATTTGGCGCTTTTCTGGTGAAATGTTTTATTAGCTAAGCTTCCATGGGAAGTCTCTTTGGAGGATACGCTTCACCGTATATCTATACACCCAGAGAGTCGCTTCGAATCCTGAATTTCTCAGATTGATTCGTTTCATTTTCTCTATCTGTGAAGTGAAGATCGAAAGAGAAGATGGGAGACACAAGTCCCTTGGAGAAGATGGGAACAGAACTCAAGTGCCCTATTTGGTAATCGCCGCTATCTATTTCTCTCTGAGCTAAATTTCTGACTTTCCAATAGGGGTTTTTCCGATGAACACGGCGAGGGGAAACCCTAATTTTTATCTTCTTCTTTCTCAATCGGAAAACCATCGTCTGTGTCACCGATCCCCATTTGTCTCATGAGCTTCTTCTATCGCTCTCTATATTCCGATTAATTGAAGTGAATTTTAATCCTTTTGCTTCTCTAACAATTTCAATTCGTGTATTGCAGCTTGGGTCTATTTAATTCAGCAGTTTCACTTTCGTGCAACCATGTCTTTTGCAAGTAAGAACCCTCCTTCCTTATGTTGAAATCCTTTGATTATCTTATACTCTGCTCTTTCTTCGTATTAACACGCGTCTCTTCTCTTGATTTCAGTGAATGTGTAGTGAAAACCATGAAAGTGGATGCTACTTGTCCAGTTTGTAAAATCCCATACCATCGTAGAGGTACTTCACATGCTCTTAACTCTTAATTGTTCTCAGAGTCAGCTTTTCCTATTGCCAAACCAAGTTTGCACTTGACTAAACTATATCTTGTTTTGATAATTATGGTATATCTTAGAGATTCGAGGTGCTCCTCATATGGATAGCTTGGTGAGTATCTACAAGAACATGGAAGATGTTTCTGGGCCATCAGGTACTTAACTGTTTCCTAGTAGGATTGATGCTTAAACAATTTTGATTATCTTGAATGACAAATAGGCTCATTTACTTAACAATTTTAGTAACTGGAGGTTGTCATTTCACTTGATTTTCTGTTTTATTAAGCTGATGCTCAAACCATATCTAAATGTGTTTCTCTTAACTCATTAAAAAAAATTTGAACAAAAACTATATAGTTCCTCGTGAATGATTCTTGTTTTGCTAAAAATTCTCAGATTTAATATGATTAAGAGAAGTACTCTTCTTTATGTGTTCTGTGATTTGTGTCTACAGATAAAGGAAAGAATGTGAGCGATGCTTCCAATGAAAAGGCAAATGATAAGAATGGTCAGGGATCTAGGAAGCGCCGAGCATCCAAGAGGAAAGAGCATAGCAAAACCAAGGAAAAAGATACCGATGCCCCTGGACCCATTGTTATGAAACCTTCATCTCAAACGAAGAAAAGGGTGCAGCTGTTGCAGAATCTGTCTTCTGAAAGTGTAACAAAATCTACTGAACTTGTTGACGTAGCTGAAGAAACTGTGATTCGTTTGAATGAGCATCCGTGTGTGAACAAAGAAGAAAATCTGGCACCCTTCTTTTGGCTGAGAGATGAAGATGATGGGGAGAGCTTAAGTCAGCCAGCTGGAAGTGATCAACTTTTAGACGTTACACCTGTTGATGTTCCTTCTTTCAGCGATTTGAAGGACTCGGATCATGAGAGCCCATCGAAAGTGAGTACTTTATTATACTGCATCATATTGTCCTGTGGTATTGGAACATAATTTTACTTACCCTGAGGTTATAGAGAATGTGTTTGACCCATGTGGTGGAGGTTTTCTTTGATCTAGATTGAATGATGCGAGTTTAAAGGTTCTTTTGACACATGTGTATAGCTCTCGTAAAAGTTTGATTCAGTTGCATGAAAATCCCTGACTAGTTCGAATATTCACAAACAGAATCGGATCCTTTGATCTGACTTTCTTTTTGGTGAGTGTTTCAGGTGGATGAGCAAGAAGAGCCCAATTCAGGAGACATGTTTGACAGTGAAATGTTTGAATGGACTCAAAGGCCTTGTTCTCCAGAGATTCTACCTAGTCCTCAGAAGTCCAAGGTAAAGGCAGTTCTTTACTCTGATACAGCTATATGTTTGTTTTCTTTGATAGTTTCTTCAAGTTGGTTGAAATTAACTGAAAAATCGAATTAATTTGCAGAACGTATGTAGAGGTGAGATTGATGTTACTAAAAGGAAAAAGATATGTAAATCAGCAACATCCAATAAAAAACGCAAAACAGGAAGTGCAAGAAATACAGTTGGGGTTTCCAAGGAAGATCACATGGAATCATCTGCAGGAGCAAGTATTGGTGGAAAAAAAGATAGTGGTGGGACTTCTGGCACACCTACCATGAAGGATGGAAATGTGGAAGCTAAACGGGCTACAAGAAGCAAGGACCAGAGTTCACGAGTTCAGGCTTGTGGAAATATATGCGTAGAAGCAGAGGGGGAGCAGGGAACAAAGAGGAAAAGATCCAGCGTTAAAAAATCCTCTCCAGATCACCCGGTTGCTGGGTCTAATGAGGTCTCACCTGGAACAGAAATTGTGGGAAAGGGGAATCAGAAACAAGCCAATGGTTCAGAACCTGAAAAACAAAGTCCTGCCGAGAAATCCTCTCTGAAAAAGAGAAGAAAATCCAGTGCATCCTCCTGTTCGAAAGATCTTTCTGAGAGAACTGAAAAGAAGTCTTCCAAAAAGAGATCAAAACTTGATTCCTGTTCAACTCCAAGCAAGAAAATCCTAAGTGATGAGCTGGATCAAGTGGATGAAAGCAATCATACCATGCAAAGCGTAGAGAAGCGCTCAACAAGAAGCAAGTCTCCACATCATGGAGGTAGTGTACTTTTGAGACGATGTGATGGACCTCCAACAAATAAATTCACATGTGCCTTTTGTCAGTCTTCAGAAGTAACAGAGGTAGCTTTCACTATCTCCCTTGGAGTTCTAGATGTAGACCTTTAGCTGTTTTTTTTTTTTATCATTTTCTGAATAGGAATGTTATATTGACAGGCTTCAGGAGAAATGGCTCACTACCACAGTGGTGAACCTGTCTCTGCAGATTTTAATGGTGGGTCTAAGCTCACACACGTTCACAAAAACTGTGCTGAATGGTAAGATCCACTCATGCCTTTTTAATAATTCAAAGTGCATGAGCATGGCCATAACATTGTATTGAATTTTCAGGGCTCCAAATGTATACTTCAACAAACGTACCGCAGTCAACCTTGATGTGGAGTTGACAAGAAGCCGGAGAATAAGTTGCAGTTGCTGTGGGCTTAAAGGCGCAGCACTTGGCTGTTACAATGAGAGTTGCAAGAACAGTTTTCATGTTACGTGTGCAAAACTGATGCCAGAATGCAGATGGGACAATGTAAGTGTTGCATAGACAATAGAATCTCTATATAGTCACTTATTACGGTTCGTTTCTTACGCCTTTTCTTAACAACAGGAAAACTTTGTGATGCTATGCCCTTTGGATGCATCCCTTAAGTTGCCATGTGAAGAGACAAGTCCAAAAGGAAGAAAACGCAAGCCTACTCCCAAAAAGTAATGTTACTTTTATCTACTGATAGGATTATGAGGTGATTCTAATTAGAGTTCTAACAATAACTCTGTCAATCTTCTCTAGACCACTGCAATCTCAGGCTAATCAAGCATCTGATAAAACTGACACCGCTGAGCTCCAGAGCAAGCCTTTCCACGGATTACCCAAGAAATTAGTTTTATGCTGTTCAGGACTTACAGATGATGAGAAGGTAATTTTTTTGTTTATATATACACTCTTTTAACTTAATGAAAACCTCTCTACTTTGAAACTTAAATTCCATGGATGGCTTGGATTGCAGAGTGTGATTACAGAATTTGCTGAACTGTCCGGAGTTACAATCTCGACAAAATGGGAACCAAGTGTTACACATGTCATTGTATCAGTCGACGAAAACGGAGCCTGCAGAAGGACCCTCAAATTCATGATGGGGATATTGGAGGGGAAATGGATTCTTAGCATTGATTGTAAGTCTTATTATTCTACAGCAAAGAAACATATATGAGATTGCAATCTTTGAAGCAACAAAATGTAACAGTGTTGTCTATCTTTTTCTCGCAGGGATCAAGGCCTGTATGAAAGACACAAAGTATGTAAGCGAGGAGCCATATGAGATTTCCATGGATGTTCATGGAATACGTGAAGGGCCTCATATCGGAAGACAGAGAGCTTTGAACAAGGTTAGTTTTGTCTCTTCGTGATGCTTACTGACAATTACAACAGACTTGAGAATATTTCTTCTAAATGGTTTCTTTCATCCTCCAAATATGCAGAAACCAAAACTGTTTAACGGACTGAAGTTTTACATAATGGGAGATTTCGAGCTTGCTTACAAAGGGTATCTTCAAGATCTGATTGTTGCAGCAGGAGGAACAATCCTGTGCAGGCGGCCTATTTCTAATGGTAAAGAAGAAGCTTCAACGATCATAGTATTTAGTGTTGAGCCAATCAAGAACAAAACTCTGACGCAAAGAAGAAGTGATGCTGAAGCTTTGGCTAAATCTGCAAGAGCCAGAGCTGCAAGCAATTCATGGGTCTTGGATTCTATTGCAGGTTGCCAAATCTTAGACTTAATCTAAAAATTATGCGACCATCTTTCGTTATTTATTTGTTATGTCAGTAAAATAATGGAGTTGTAGTATATTTTTTTTTTCTTTTCATTTGAACAATAAGAATGCGAATGCGAGTTCCTTGGATTTGTTTCGTCATTCATTTTGGTTGTTGATAGGAAACATTCATCTTATTCAAACTTAAGAAAAACAAAAAATAATGCTGCAAACAAAAACTGAGTTAAAACTGTGAAATATCACCTTCTGAATACAACATCTATAACTCCCTAAGGTATTATGTATTATATGGTTTTTCGATGACATATCAAGTGTAACCTCGGAAACTTTTTAACTCAAGTAACTGAAAAATCCTTTGCTGTGAGAGACTTTGGAGTGGGGGCTAGTGAGGTTTTGGAACAAACCCATCAACTGCAAAATTCCTAGTGGCTGAAGGAATGGCTAAACGTACTCCATCTAGCTCTGGTTTTGCTATGACTTGACATCCCAGTCTCGACCTATACACCATTTCAATGGAGCATATCAAAGACATTTTCAATGAAACTTAGTTGAGACCATTTCAAGCGTGAGAGAGAGAAGACTCACGTTTCTGTTAACCCAAAAGCAAGATCCAGCATATCATTCTCTTCATCTGTTGGTTCTTCGAGTTTGTTGTAGTATTCCGTGTCCTATTTCAATCACAGTTTTTAACTATTTGTTAAAGCACAATTCATTAGCAATCTATGTAGATGAGTGATTGTAAGGAAGAGACGATTTTACCATAACAATCACATGGCACGTTGAACACGCTAGAGAAGCTTCACACGCCCCTGAAGATATAGAGAAAGCAACCACAAAATTCCATAAAGGGATCAATCTGAGACACTTGTTACTATCATGGTTTGAGCAACAAAGCATCATCAGGCAAAAAAAAGAAGAAAAATTAATGGAAGAAAATCATGCCTTCGAGTTCTATGTCATTTTGATGAGCAGCTTCAAGGATGTTCATTCCAACTGGGACCTTAATATGAGTTTCCTCTCCATCTTTATCAACAAAGATAACGTTTATCCTGACAAAAATAAATGAAATGCATTTATGCTCTTAAATTCAGGCGACAACATTGGTGTATAACCTATCGTGTCTACATTTGTTGTAATCAAGAGATGAATATTATCTGAGATAAATTTGAACTTACTTTTCTGTTTCTTCGCCGCCTTTTTCAGAGACAGTGCTGAAAGATGTACACAGATTATGATTATTCGAGAAGAATGCTCCCTGAAAAGTCCTAGTTTGCCTCTCTAGTACAGGCTGTCAAAAAGAAGAAAGAGCAGAGATATCAAACCAAGATGGAGACAATATGAATCGAAACCACCCGACTTTCAAAGTAATTCAAATACATAATCATAAGATATCCAAGTCTTTGGTTAGCTCAATAAGCCAAAACCATACCTTTCAATTCTATCTAGTGACTGCAGAAACTCTAATTAGCAAACCCATTTCATGAAAATTGCATAGATGATGACATTTAGCTAGAATACAAAACCCAAAAATCAATTTCAACAAAGCTTGTACCTAATCCACATTTTAATCAGAGCACACTGGCTAAGAAAGAATACAAACTTTTATTTATCTTAACACTATCGAAACTGGGAAAGTGAAATGCCTACTCAATGAGCTAAGTAAGATGCAAGTTACAATAAGTTAAACAAAGCTCAGACTAACCGAAGATTGCAGATATTGGCCATAAGACCTTTGTAGAATCCGAATTCCACATACTGAGAAATGCCTCTCTGCCCAAAACATAAATAAAACACTAGAGTTAAAATCACGCAGACAATATCTGAGCTTTGCTTCCACCACCAAAACCATAAAAACAAACTCAATCAACAATTGCGAAAAAGAGATTGTTGAACAAAGGGGAAGTCTATCAAGATAAATTTCTAGTTGGAAGTATGATAAAATTGAGAGACTTGAAGATGATATACCTCTTGGAAGCTCTTTTACAATGCGAGAACCTAATCTTGATAGTCTATTGAAGAGCATGTTTTTGCCGCCGCAAAAAGTATTGCTAAAAACCTCGAAGCAATTCAAAATTAACTGAAATGAGTACAAGAAGAATAAGACTATCCCACTGCGTAACAGAGAAACATATTCTCCTGGACATTTTACCAGAAACTGAAGCAAATGATAAAAAGACAAATTACAGTACAAGAATTTACAATAATGAAGAATCGACGGAGCAAGCAAAGAGAGAGAAGGAAAAAAGTTAATACTTTCTTAGAAGATTCGAGAAAAGAAGAGATTTTTTGGGTGCTTAAAGATTTAGGGTTCGTGCGTGCGTGCGTGGAGAGAGACGACCTTCTCCGTCGCAGAATCTCAGCTTTCTCTCCACCTTCTTTCTGATATCTAAAACTTACGTTCTGACAATTTTTCTCAAAATCGTACCCAACCGGATCAGACCACTACTAAACCGATTTCTTTTGCACACTTTTGTTTGGTCAAGAAATTGGTTTATTATTACCATTTCTTTCTAGGACAACAACAAAATTGGTCTATCATAGAATGTGTACTTTCTACAACAGAAAATGTAAAAAAGAGATTCGAGTACCAAAACGAAAAAAAACACTTAAGTTCACAACTCTTACAAACCAAAAAAAACAGTCGAGAAACAAACAAAAACGATGTAGAGAGATAGAGCTTTTGAATATGCTCAGTGAAGCCTAGTGAGTTCCTCAACTCTCTTGCACAACTCTTCAACTTGAACATCCATGGCTTTAGAGATCTCTTCCATCTTACTCCTGCTAAGATCCAAGAACGATTCAATCAGATCTCCATCCAAGAAACCCTTCGCTTCCGCACTTCTTCTATCGTGGTTGAACGATCTCCATTGCTCGTGGCTCAACCCACCAACTCCTTTAATCACTTTCCTCAGGCTCGTCTGTAGTTTCTCCAGAAACGCGTACTGTTGTTGAGGCAGTGAAGCTATCACTCCGATCACACCATCGACGGTACCAAATATGACAGTCGGTATCTGACCAGTCTCTGAGTCAGGCAGCCTCATAACAAGAGAGCCGTGGCGGAACCGGTTCACAAATTCTCCGACGTGATACTCACCAACCACCTCCATAGGAGACCGTTCTTCATCTGCGGTGGATTCGCAGTTCTTCTTTACTGTGAATAAGTTGAAGCAATTGTCAGCGCCGAGGTATGTGTCATCGTCAAGTATCTCAACTGCTGTCATCCATTTTGCGTCGTAATCCCGAGCTCTCTCCACGATCTCACCTTCCTCGTGCTTCAAAACAAAACACAAACAGTCAAAAGAGTCCAGGTAAGTTCTTATGAACATAATAACAATCTAAGATGTGACATGTGTATTCACAAGAAGATGGAAAACAATTTTTGTACCTTGTAGATCAGTAAGGAGATTGATTTCATGAGGTCACCAACAATAATGAAGTCTCCACGGGTCTGCACATAGAGAGCTAGAATGTGGCCATGATGACCACATTCAGACTGGAACTCACGAGTGCCATCATCTCGCAACATCCACTTATACAACTGAATTTTCTGATTAATAGCAGCAAGAAGTTTGCCATTGAAGGCATTAAGTGAATAAACAGATCCCTTTGTCTCCTTCTCTGTGATCAGCTGCAATCTTCCTTCCTCGACTAAAAACACAAGTATCCTTCCCTACAGCCACATAAGCAAAGAAACAAAGAATCGGTTGGAGAAACAAATTTGAACACAAACAAAATAAAGAGTTGCGTGCTTCACTGAAATGATACCTTAGTTGGTTCACTTTCCTCAGGCAAAACATATGATGTACCGACACAGTAGTATACATTTTTGTCATCTGTAAACGAGCAGCTCATTATGGAGCAACCGTATTCAAAGGCATCCAAAGGGTACGTCGACAAGAAGCTAAAATTTTTGTCATCCAACAGATGGACAAAATGCATTTCAGATTCTTCTGCACTCGGTTGGTTTCTCAAACTGCAGATAGCAAATGTTCCTGTTTGTTCCTGATGGCAAATACGACGAACGTGCTCCCCAACAGGAATAGTGCGTATGTGAAGCTTCTGAATTTCATCGATGGTGCCAATAGTAAGCTCGCCTTCTCTGGCAATTGCTAGGCTGCCCACGGAAGAAAGTAGAACCAGATTTCACCGTAATGTACTTTGACCCAAAGGGAAAAAAAAAGAGAGGAAGAAATTAGTTTACCTGTCTGGAAAAGCAGCAGAGTTGAAAGGACACATATGACTAACTTCTTTCAAATTCACGTTGCTGTATATCAGCTTCTTGTTCTTGCTGTATATAACAGCCGGTCTATCTGATGCGGCAAAGACATGCGTTGCACTTTTAGATGAAAATGTACGCAGCGTTGTAGGCTGAGTCCCCAGTGATACTTTTTTCCGGTCTCTTAGTTCCCCACTACTCGTATCCAGCTGGAAGTTTAAGAGATGACCATCTCCAAGAGCACAAAGCAAGTAAGATATCTACAGAAAATGACATACAACAAGTTATTAGTATGGCAACCAACAGCTGCAGTAAAAATAAAGATGGTCGTTCCACAAAATATCGAAGAAACCCATACCCCTTCGAATGCACAAAGAAGAACAGATCTGGGAATTATCTCTCCTCCTAGATGCTCCTTAGTTATTAGTTTCAATTCCGGCAGCACAAAGATCCTCACACTTAAATCTGTCCACATCCCCACTGCAGCTAACTGACTGTAATTAGGATTATCGCCAATGGGGTTTATATCAAGACAAGAGACCTCGTACTCCAACAGTTCGTGCTTGACTTCAGTCAGTGTCCCATCTCCAATTTCCAGATAGACCAAATGCCCACCTCCAGTCGCCAAAAGAACCTAACAAGTACATCATTCCAAATCACATTGCATGTCTACAAACGAGAAAGATACTCCTAACATTTCCAGCATCGTTAAGTTTGAATGCACTAACAAGTTTGAGAACGAAACAAAATCCCAGTATCGTTAGAAACACCTCTAAATTCTTCTCTCTCTGGGCCAAATTCAAAATATACCAGCTACGAATAAATCCACTATATAAATACTCAAGGAAGACAAACAAACCTGGCTAGCATTTGCAGTTGCAACATTAACAGTGAATCCAGCTGGGGCTTCCCATTTATTCCGCAACTCTCTAGTTGTAGAACTGACTAATCTAACAGAATTTGAAGTAACCTGATTAAGAAAAGACAGTAGTTAGTGCATCCTCGAGAGAAAGATAGGAGAGGACGCTATAGCAGACAAAAAATACGTCTGAAGGAAAACACAACTATAAAATGACAAGAAACTACGTCAGAAGCACATCTACATTTTCTTCGCTTTGGAAGACCCAAAAGGCCTAAAGACTGACAACTGATTAACACTAACTAAATAACACATTATGATGCAGTGAAATAAAACAAACTCTATGTTGATAATCTTGACATAGACTTATCACCTATAAAATGGATTTCGATGAAATTTCCCTGCCATGTGAGATCAAACTACAAGCGAAGCATAGAAACTAATGAATGAGCACTGGCAAAACATACCTGAACAAGTTGGTTGTGGACAGCATCATGGCAAAATAAAGTCTGCACTTGTGACAAGAAACCCTCAATCTCTGTTTCTTCCAGTTCATCCTCTATATTCATGGCTAATATACGAGTTTCACTGATAAAACTAACTACAAGGAATGTATCAAAGGCTTCATCAACTGAAGATTTCAACGACCACATTCCTTTGATACCTTGAAGTTCCACAGACGCCTGTAATACAGCAGAAATTCTATTATTACATCAAATGAGAAAATTTCTCATACATCACACTGAGACAAAATGATATTCCTGATAGACATCAAACCTGTTCATTTATTCCTATCCCATTGCGAACTATGCGAAGAGAACCATCTTTATGTGCTCCAGAGCAAGTTACAACCTGACCTTGCCCCTGTCTCTCAAGGTCGACTACACAAAAGTCGACAATAGGCCCCAAGTTGACATACTTCTCTAAAATTTCTACATATGAACCTTTTGCATCCGGCTGCATGTTTAACTTTATAAGCTGCAATAAATAAAAAATAAAAACATTCAGATGCTTAATAGCATGTTTTTATACTAGAGCTCAGAGAGGATAACAAACCGACAGAAATAGGTAGGATAGTGGTAACCAAAATTGAAACGATTATGTAATGAGACCCATATTCAATCCTACCGTACCTGTGAATCTCCATAGCTTGAGCCAACATAGACGACAGCATTGTCAAGATAGGAGATGGTAGATGCAATAGAGGTTTCACCCAGAAGCTCCATTTTGAGGCCGGTGACCCTTGAGAAAAATAAAGTCAGAATATCCACATTGTCATTCATTTAGATAGAGCTTTGTAATATCAACTCACTTTTCTTTCTCGTGGGTTATAACAAGGAGGTGCATCAGTCCCGCATGGTCACCAAGTAGATACCGAGAGCCATCAACATCAACTCTCCCATATGCTTTTGTGATAGACTGCGCATATAAATCGAAGTTTACGTACCAAACTTAAAAATCAAAAGGGTACTCACGGAAAGGGCAAATATTTATAGGAATATGGCATGATGTCAAAAAAACTTACAGGTCTTATTGGTATTGCTTTGAATGCATTGGCACTACAATAGACAATTGTTTCTTCTCCAATGATAAGAACGCCACACAGAGGTGAAGGCACAGGGATCAATAAGTCAGCACCATAGTCAAGATTGTTCTGTGACCATGGTCCTTCAACAACGTCCTGCTTATCCTTTAGGGAAATTTCATACGTTTTGAGATGCCGAGCATCTTTGTTGTCCTGTAATCCAAAGCATTAATTAGTTCACCCAGCATACATTCATATTGTATTCACAAAGTAAACCAAGTTAAGAGAAAATTTGTTGTAATTCATTTGAAAACATAAAAGACAACAGAGAAAATTAACTCAATTTCCACCAGCTTATCAGCAGAGCGGGTATTCAGAGAGGAAAATGATTCCTTTGATCATTGTTGCTTACAGAACCAGATGGCAGAAACAAATATATATATGATATACAAAAATAACTTTCATAGCATAACCATATAAATATGTATGTTAACCTGATAAAGTACTGCGATAGTTGGCTTCGTGCATCCATACAGAAACTTGATATCTAGGACCTGCAACTCCTCCAGCCTGAAATTTAGGCAACATAGTCAAGATTAGCTTTAGTGTTGTGGTCCTCAAAATAACCACATGCAAGAAACCAGGAGCATTGACCGAGTCAATTGAGGAAAGAGTTGCACTGAAAAAAGGGTGTGCAAGAACACATACGATGTAGACGACAAACAAATATAGAAACAAAGCAAAATATAAGCTTCACAGCCTCCAAACTGCAGCATGTTTACTGAATCAGTACCTTAAGTTGAATGCTTCCTTGAGCTGTCCTTTATTGTCAAATGGAATAACCTAACCGAGAAACAAAGAAAAAACAAAACAAAGCATTATATAATGTGTAAGCCAATTGATCCATGATGATCAGTAACATGACATAAACAGCAAACTAGCATACCATACGTCAATTTTTTCTAGAAGACAATATCATACCTTGAACAAGCCGTCATACAAATGGAGACCAATCAATCTGCAATCAGGATCAATTATACCAATCTGCAAAATCCGTGTTAAGTAAAAGAACTCAGGCATGCCACAAATGAACTACAGCACCGATACGAGTAAAAAGGAAAATCAAACCACTATGAAAGATACAGTGCAGTACAACTGAACTCAATACCTGACCATTGTCTGTTGGTCGGCATATAGAATCAGAAACATCCCCCATTGCCCTAAAAAATGTTGATTTGATATTTAATCAGCGGGAAGGGAAATCACAATCAATTGGAATATTGACTAATTTAATTAACGGTAAGCAAAAACTATGTTACAGAAGTTTTTCTCCACGCTTTGGGTATACAGCAAAAAATACAAGTAAATAAATGGCTCCAAAGTAATTGGGATCATAGAGCACATTCTGAACAGATAGGAAACGTCATGCACATGAACAGATAGTTACGAAACTTCTAACACCAAATTCAAAGAAAATACATTACAGAAAGCATATCAAAGGAAAAATAACACATCCTGTTGCTTAAACACATCTGACTACATTAAATTTCATTTTCCATGGCATAAGCATAATGTACCTTGTAATAAGCTCAGAAGACTCAGAATCCCATTGAAGAACACAGAATTTATATTTCTCAGTTGCAATGAACAAAAGATCTTGCGTTTCACCCTGGAAAAGACGAAGTAAACTATCAATTAACATTGTCACTTACTCATGATCACATTTGATAAAAAAATTACGCAATAAGAAAACTCTACTCACATGGGGACGGAACAATTCCAAAGTTGCAATTCTCCCATATAGAGGAACATCCAGAATAGTCTGCAGAAGTCAAAATTACTCAATATACTTGTTCCTAATGGAAAACTCATTTTTGCGAGAACAAGACTTAAAGTAACCACAAAGTTACAGATTTCCACTCTAAACCCAAGGAACTGAATAATTGTTAAATTGAAATGAATATCTTAACACCACCGATCAAAACTAAAAGCAAAAACAGAAGAATAATTAGAACAAGTGATGTATGAAGTACCTGAAGTCCCTGTGGAGTAAGCAAATGGATCTCGATTCGAGTGCATTTCCTGATACAAATTTAACATGGCTGTCAAAATGAACCAGCTCCAGAAGAAGATACTAGATGATAAACAGAAAAACAAGATATCTTTCGAAACAGTGTACAGAAATGTATGCAAATAAAAAACTTGAAATTCCACTCAATGATGAAATTTGAATCTTCAAGAGCATTAACGTCCCTTCTTTAACATGAAATCAATCTCTGATAGATCAACTAGTGAATCGATTGGGTACATTTCCAACATAAAAAAGCATCCACCAAATCAGAGAATCCCAGAGAGATTAAAACCCAAATACTCAGCTATTGACGCAATGAGAGTAAAACTATAGAGATTGACCCTTGATGAAGAACTAGCTTCCCTATGAAACCCTAAACAACAAATTAACATCATCACACAGAAGGACGCAGGACAAGAAAGAAAAGGAGGTAAAGTGAGGGCATCTCCTTACGCAATTATGAGATTGAGCTCCTGGGGACTGGTGAAGTTTCCGACGCAAGAGTGACTGACGCAGGTGGGTTTGTGAGCCGTAACGACGTAGTTCCACACGCTCATCTTCTTCTTTTCGGCCAGAAACTAGGGTTTCGATTGCAATGCAACTCGCGCGAGAAACTTCCCGCGTCAGTTATTATAGGGAAGCGTCTGGATCAGACGAGAGAGAGACGATGGAGGCGAACAACGCAATAAAAAACAAGAAAGACGCCTTAAGAAGAACGGCCGGTTCAGAACACAAAATCGATTCCGGTTTGGTATTATGGTTGAAATGGAAAGAAAGACTGATACTCGGGTCAAATTGGGCTTCTGATTAATGACCGGCCCAAGTGATAACGCACAAAACCCAACCCTAAGACGATTCAACGCCATTTGTTAGTTGTTCTTCGTCATCGATCTCCGCTGCGATCTCTCTCTCCCTCAAACTCCCTTATCTTGTCGATTAATTTCACTCAAGTAAGCTTCTCCTGATATTTTCCCTTAGATCAGTCGTGGTTTTACATCCGTCCAGTGGAATCATTTCTAAACGTGAATTTTCTCCATTTAAAAGGTTTTTGTCGATTTCAAATTGCAGAGAATGAATGATAAACCTGATTTTCCCCGTGTTATTGCTGAAATTTCACCTATTTCAATCTGAATTTAACCTTAAAGTTTTTTAATTGCGTCGATTTGATCGCTGCGATATACAAACCCTATTTCGACATTTTGCACACACTCAGATCCAGCTCGGATATTGATTAATGCTTTATGATGGCCTTTTGATGAAGGACACCAATTTTTTTTTTTTTGATCAAAATGATGTCACAGGCAAAATTGAGATATATGCTCGTTATCAATTTAGTCTTTTGATGATGGTCATCAAACATTTTGGATCGAATTAATGGCACAGGCACAAATTGGATATGTGCTCGTTATCAATTTAGTGTTTCGATTTGAATACTACTTTATCAAATGATTTTGTGTTATCAGTATGTTCTTCTAAATAAATGCGTTATTTTTTATCTCGTATATTGGTTGTGCCCTTGAGTGATAATTGTTTGCCTTGTTTATGGGATTTGCAGATCATGTTGACTGAAACTCCATTTAGGCCGAGAGAGAAGCTTCTGGAGAAGCAGAGATTGTTCCAGAGCATCCAGAAGCACACTCACCTTAAAGGACCAATGGACAAAATCACCACCGTTGCAATTCCTCTTGCCTTGGCTGCAAGTTCTCTCTACATGATTGTAAGTTTTGTTATCTTTTCAATTCTGTGTTAATTTCAAAACTATGTATTCATGCTCGCCTTTGCCATCTGTTCTTCCTTATACTAGTTTGTGAAAAGTGTGTTTGATGCTTGAAGTTGAATATCACGCTTTAGAACTCGTTGGTTCCAATATCAATTGTGCTTTGCTAAAACCCGAATGCCTCTAGTTAAAATTGGACTCTTTAGATGTTATTGATATATGGTCACAGCTTTCATAACCTTGTTCATCATCTAACAATGGAAGATTCTCGTGTGGCTGGATACAGGGAACAGGAATCTACAACATGGCTAACGGAATCGGGAAAAAGGAATAAACAGCTTCATCTTTCGTTAACCTTTTTTTTATGCATTTGGAGGTTTCTCTATGTATCCCAGTGGTTGCAGACTAAATGTTGCACTGGTATTTTTCTTGAAGCTGTTTTATTGCGTTTTGCCAAATAATTGCTTAGTTGCAGACAATGTCGAAAGCTGAAAGATGTTTGATGACTTGATGTTATAAAGTTCCAATATTTTGGAGGTTTCTCATTTGCTTTAATAACAAGCTGAATTCTCTTGAGTTTGTTTCTTCCGTATCTGTGTTCTACCAAAAAAAGTATCGTTTATGTTCCTGAGTGATAATGCATTCACTGTGGTGAATGTTAATGGGTTGCTGTGGTGAGTGTGGTTGTGTTGCAGTTACCGAAAACAAAGGAAGAAAAGTAACATGAAAATACAAATATCACCGAGGGATTTACTTTGATTACTTCATGGGTTGTTTGTAATACAATAGCTCGAAATATCAAGAGAAGAAATTTCACATCCATGATCTCATCATCGTTTGAAATAATCCTAGTGTTGCGGTACAAAGTACAAAGTTTGTGATACAAAGTATTGGTACAAAGTACAAAGTACTACAAACCATAAAACCTTGTTATGGCACCTTGTTAGGATTTCGAAAAACGCGGTAAAAAAGGTAAAACTTTTTGATAATGTCTTTAGCCAATAAAATTTTAAGGATATCAGTAAAAAGTACGTGTATTAAATTACTAGACCGGCCCATAAACACTCGGTTATTTATTATATACAGAGCTCAAACCTAAAGAGGTTTTCGACGACGTTGGTTCTTCCTCCTCGTCCTGCGCCGCGATCTCTCCTCCTCAGACTCCCTCGTCTCCGTCGATTAGTTTCTCTAAAGGTAAGCTTTTTCGATTTACCAGTCTTTCTCCGCATCTTTGCAGTCGTTTCGTCTCGTTTCTAATTCTTAAATTCTCTCCCTTTTCTAAGTTCTGTGTCGATCTCAAATCACAGAGATTGATAAACCCTAATTTTTCCCTTTCTATTACTGAAACTCCACCTTAGACTGTTCTGGATTGAATCGGGATCTACTCGTTGCGTCGAACTGGTGATAGCTTTGTTGTATAAACCCTAATTTCTGGATCCCTACGTATCTATCCCAATGCGGAATTGATCGTTTCTATAAAGAAATATGAATTTGTTAGAATCACCCTTGTTAAACAATAATTTGAGTTCGTTTCGATTGAAGATTGGATACCACTTAGCTTAGTTTGTTCCATTGCCTAACCGTTGTGAATTTGCATATTCTGTAGAAAATGCCAAAGGTTAAGACCAACCGAGTCAAGTACCCACAAGGATGGGAGTTGATTGAGCCTACTCTTCGACAACTAGATGCACAGATGAGAGAAGGTTTGTTTCGATTTATGTATAAGTCTTCAGATGCTAAATTTTATTTCTTTACCTTTGCTTGTTTGCTTATGTGCTCTAAACCATTTGGTTTCTCTTGTGCAGCTGAGATGGATACACATGATGGCAAGAGAAAGTGTGAAACTTTATGGCCAATCTTCAAAGTGTCTCACCAGAGGAGTCGTTATGTATATGAGCTTTACTACCGAAGGGAGGAAATATCTAAAGAGCTCTATGAGTTCTGCTTGGATCAGGGCTATGCAGATCGTAGCCTCATTGCCAAATGGAAAAAGGTACGTTCTTGTTACATTCTTGATTGAAACTTTTATCTTTTACTTAGTTAGTTCTCTGAAATCAGCGTCCTGCTCAATGCACTTGCTTACTATGATCTTACCAAAAATTAGGCTCTAGAATTGAGATTGTTGTTTTGTTTGGTAGGGAACAAAAGAATTCTGGTAATTATACTTTGAACAAAAAATTGCTTCTAAAGAGATGTTATCTCTGTTTGCTGTCACTTACTGATATTGTGGACAATTCCGCCAAGCTTTGCCATACCCTGAATAGCTCTAACATTTGCCCCAACATCTTTTCCGTAACGGTTTCTCTTGAATATTTGATTAATAAAAGGCCTTGCTTTCTATTTGTTGATTGTACCATCCGGATACTGATCTCTTTGTTTTCCTTCTGTGAACAAAGATCATGTGCTCTTTGTTTGTTACTAACTCTTTGTAAACTCTTTATGTTTTGTGAATTGCAGTCGGGATATGAACGTTTGTGCTGCTTGCGCTGCATACAGCCAAGAGACCACAACTATGGAACAACATGTGTATGCCGTGTTCCCAAGAAACTGCGTGAAGAGAAAGCGGTTGAATGCGTTCACTGCGGTTGTCAAGGATGCGCCAGTGGCGATTAAATCTCTCACTGTTTTCTTCAAAATCCCTCACTGTTTGATTCCATATTCTATATCTTTGTCAAATCTGGTTTGTGTACCCTAAAACCCTGTCTAATTTCCCCTGCAAAATCTCAACACTGTGTTGTTGGAACTTGAGATTAGAAATACCTTTACCGGTTTGGTATATAAATGAATTAAGAGAATGATTCTCGGTTCGATTTGGGTTTAATGTTTATGACTAACCAAGGTGTCTATTCAAAACTATCGTGCTATCTGAAATGCCCAAATTGTGAGACGTGCATCCATCACTACGGTTCACAGTGAGTGAGACCTATAAAACGATAAGATTATAAACAGCTCAATAATGAATGAATTAGTTTCATGGAGAAATAATCAGCAATCCTTGTTTGACCAAGACGAATCTTGGATCCATGGAAAGTGGGTTGACTTCAAATTTCATTGGTCCCTACAGTTGACCTCAATTAATACAGACCATACGTCTTGGTTGTACTATGAAGTGTATGAAGAAAGAACTCTTCGCCAGCATTTTTATAGAAAACAACTTGATCAATTCTTACATGTCTAGTTTTATAAAGCTACAAATCCCTTAAAATTATTTAGTTATTTGTTACACAATGGTTCTTCAAAATACCAAGCCCTTTTCTAATTTCTCCGAATGCAACTCAATATTCAATGAACGTTCTTCTTTTTCTAATTTTGGTATCTAATTCTTGAAGTAGTTTTCTTGCCAAAATGTTTTTTACATAAACTAGACACCTCCCAATTCTAACATTATTATTTTCAAACTCGTTATTATTCTTTTTTTTTGTCCGTAAGAAACTAGGATTAGATTTTCTCATATTATAAACTTTGGTTCTAACATAATATCTCGATTTAATGCTCTGCTTCTCAGATGTCAGAACAACACATGGACTTCCTTCACTATTTCAACTTTCGGAGAGGTGGTTCTGCACTAAGTCACCAAATTCAATATAACTTTCAGTTTCCGTTCCAACTTCAATTCCAGTAACTTAACGCCCTTGTAACAACATACTAGTCTTTTTAACTTGAGATAGTTAAAAACTTACACACGTTAGTCTTTAAAACAAAATTCTTATAAAAAGAAATTCAATTAGTAGAAAAAAACAAATTGAATAACAGGTAAGTCCCATCATTTACATGAGGCACTAAAAAGGAGGAGCGTTTGTGGTAAGTGGTTGGTGTGACATTTCAGCCTAAACTAAGTCAAAGCATAATACTCAAAACGAAAATGAACAAAAAGGAAGATAAACGAAACTGTCCACACGAAGATCGTTGTGATCCGAAGGAGATTTTTGAACCACACGATATCTTATTATAGCTAATATCATCACGCACATATAGGAAATTCTGTTTTATTATAATTTAATTGCACATGCATGTTTAACAATATATATTAAATTCGATTTGCACCATTTAATGTTTATTTTAAAAATGTCAAAGAATGCAGCTACGTACTGACCAACAAGTGACCATAAATATATCATTTTACAAAAGGAAAAAAAAAAAAGCAAGTGACCGTAAAAATCTTGTTTTAAAGGTTTTCATATTCCATTTCCGTTTCGTTTTTCCAGCTAAAACAGTTAATAATTATTTACAGAATCTCTTAACTTATATTGTTTTTTTGTTTGGTCAAAGAATAACTTATATTCTAACGATAAAGAATATAACAATAGTAGTAGACTTCAATATCCAAAAACATTTTTTTCTCTCTCTCTCTCCTTCTCTGTACTTTTCCATGTTCTTTTCTCCATTCACTCCATGTTTTTTCTATAAAACCTATCTCAGAATCTGAATCTTAATTCAGAATCAGAATCTAAAAAAACGAAATTTCTCTAAAGAAAATGACATCGGAACACGGTGACGATGGGCTTCGTCGCCGAGGCTGCTCATGCACGAAAGACGATTTTCTCCCGGAGGAATCGTTCAAAAGCTTTGGGAGTTACTTTACAGCCCTCAAAGAGACACCGGCTCGGTTCGTGGATAGGGTGATGACTCGGTCGGTCGACTCGGCGGAGATTCACGAGATGAAGGCTCGTAGTGGTAACGAGATGAAGAAAACGCTGACGTGGTGGGATCTCATGTGGTTCGGAATCGGTGCTGTCATCGGCTCCGGAATATTCGTTCTCACCGGACTCGAGGCACGGACCCATGCCGGTCCCGCCGTCGTTCTCTCCTACGTCATCTCCGGTGTATCCGCCATGCTCTCCGTCTTCTGTTACACCGAGTTCGCCGTCGAAATTCCCGTCGCAGGTAACAAAACTTTTCACTTCCTCCGTTTCTTGAAATTTTATTTATTCAGTTAAAAAGTATCTATAAATATAGTTTTAAGAAAAATGAAGAAAATAGCCATATATTAACTTCGTTGTTCATCTCTGAACAAAACGTACAAGAACAGATCTGTGTTTTTGTATCTTCAATCATTAAACTGAGAATATCGAAATTCTGGTAACCAAAGATTTTTAGTATTTTTTATTAGTGGAAAGATAAAAATACTTGGAAACACTAAATCAGTTTGTTACTTAAAACAACACCAAACGCATTTCCGTATAATATCCTTATTGGAAATCGTATATTCGTATTTATATTCTACATATATAGTGTCATAATTAGGGAATAACTATTGGGATGCGTGTATATCAAGATCGAGTTAAATATGCAGTTGTACCTTACCATTTGTAACAACTTCATGGATATATAAAATTTACGTGATTATCGGTAACGGTAAGTTGTTTGTTTTCGTCGGTGTAAATTAAGCTTGTCCCATTTTATTGGAAAGTCCCTATCTAGTGGTTATAAAGTTATAACGAAGGAGACGTTTCTGTTTTGGTTTTTAAAGATACGTTTTGTTTTAGCAAAACAAAATGCTAATTAAAATCAAACGATCAAAACAGAAACACCGTATTGAATTTTTCAACTCTTCAGTTACGGGCACGGCGATACGGAATCTCCGGGTCAACTAGTTGACTTCCGAGGGTGATCCGTTCACATGGACAACCCGTTCACTAGTTGTCAATATCTCTTATCTTTTTATTTATTTTTATTCTGGTAGTAATTAGCTAGTGAACTGTTGAACAACAAATAACAAATTGCACCACGAGATGATTTAATATTTTTTTTTTAATTGAGAGCTTCTTTTTCTGGCTAAGAGTTAAGAACTAGCTAAGCGATTTAACAAATTGGACCACTAGAATGTTCAAAGAATTGTTGGCATGTATTATAGATTATTTGGAAGAAAAAGAAAGCTCATGTAGATTCTTTGTAAATATTTTATAGTATATTTTTTGGTGTCTACCGTTTACTTAGAAGAGTTTACATTCAGTGATGCAGACACATTTTTTTGTTGTTAATTCCTTTGAAACGGAAAGCAAATACTTGTGTCAATTATCTTACGTATGTGAACTCAATTGTCTGTCCACCTTTACGACCTTAATGGCTTGAACAAACAAAATTCGTCTTTACGACTTTTTGAAAAGAACAAAATATTAATTTTCCCACTAGAGATATAGTTTGGTCCTACAGAGTAGATTAGAATATGTTTTAAATTTATTATTTTAGCTTCAATGACTCGTACCAAACTCATGTTGGTTATAATTTACAAACTTACATGGGAAAAACAAAAAAAAACTCAAACCTCTATATGCTTTTTGAAATACAACTTATGAAAATACATATGCAAACAAATAGATAAAACCTCACTTTATTTCTGCCAGATTTTGTTTTTGGGTAAAATGTTAAGTTAATATCTTGAAAAAAAAATACTAGCAAGTAATATCTTTCGTGTTTACTATTTAATTCACCTGGCCATTCTTACCAATGTGTTTAGGCGGTTCTTTCGCCTACTTGAGAGTGGAGCTTGGTGACTTCATGGCATTCATAGCCGCCGGAAACATTATCCTTGAATACATCGTCGGTGGAGCCGCGGTGGCTCGGTCATGGACATCTTACTTCGCCACTCTCTTGAACCATAAACCTGACGACTTCCGTATAAAAGCTCACCATCTCAACGAAGACTATAGCCACTTAGATCCAATAGCGGTCGGCGTTTGCGCCATCATTGGCATTTTAGCCGTCCGTGGCACAAAAGGCTCCTCAGTCTTCAACTACATCGCGAGTATAATCCACATGGTCGTGATTCTCTTTGTTATCGTCGCTGGACTTACCAAAGCTGATCTCAAAAACTATTCCGATTTCAATCCCAACGGCGCTAGAGGAATTTTTAAGTCCGCCTCTGTTCTTTTCTTTGCGTACATTGGTTTCGATGCGGTCTCCACGATGGCTGAAGAGACCAAGAATCCTGGGAAGAATATTCCGATTGGTCTTGTTGGATCGATGGTCGTTACTACCATATGTTATTGTCTCATGGCGGTTACGTTGTGTCTTATGCAACCGTATCAAGAGATTGATCCTGACGCGCCGTTTTCTGTTGCGTTTTCCGCGGTTGGATGGGATTGGGCTAAGTACCTTGTTGCGTTTGGTGCTCTTAAAGGTATGAGTCACACACACCTTAATGTTCTTAACACAACCGTAAAAAATTTAAACAAAAAATGTTTTTAATTGTAACTTCAAATGGTTGGAGAAACTTTTATAATATTTCTTGGAAAAAACCGATCATATTTTAAAAATCTTTCTCATCTAAAACTATTGTGTGAAATGTGTAGGTATGACCACAGTTTTGTTAGTTGGAGCCATTGGTCAAGCTAGGTACATGACGCACATAGCCAGGGCACACATGATGCCACCATGGTTAGCTCAAGTCAACGCAAAGACCGGAACACCAATCAACGCGACAGTGGTAATGCTGGTAGCGACAGCTCTCATCGCATTCTTTACAAAACTTGGGATTTTAGCCGATCTCTTGTCCGTTTCCACACTCTTCATCTTCATGTTGGTGGCAGTAGCTCTTCTCGTGAGAAGGTATTACGTCACGGGAGAAACATCGACACGTGACCGGAACAAGTTTCTAGTGTTGTTAGGTTTGATTCTCGCGTCCTCCGCCGCGACTGCTATGTATTGGGCCTTGGAGAAAGACGGTTGGATTGGGTATTGCGTCACGGCTCCTATATGGTTTTTGTCTACGGTAGGGTTGAAGTTTCTTGTGCCACAAGCTAGGGCTCCGAAACTGTGGGGTGTTCCTTTGGTTCCGTGGTTGCCCTCTGCTTCGATCGCGATTAATATCTTTCTCATGGGTTCGATCGATAAAGATTCGTACATTAGGTTTGCGTTGTGGACAGGTTTTCTTCTTGTGTACTACTTCTTGTTTGGGCTGCACGCAACGTACGATACAGCGCAGGCGACGTTGAAGGAGAAGTTGACGTTGCAGAAAGCCGAGGAAGGTGGTGCTGTTGCAGACAAAACTGATGCTGCAAATTCAGATCACTAGCTGGTTTTGAAAAATGTTACAAAGGTTGGCTTAGGCTTTCGATTTGTTGGATTCTATTTCTGGGATCTAGGGTTTTTCATTACGTGCTTTTTACAAGTTTGTAAGATATGATTGGTTTGTTTAGCTTTGCGGTATGTTAATAGTTGTCTCACGCCTGCTTCAAACATGATAATCAAAGTCTGGTTTAAGCATTCTTGGTTTTTTCCCTCCAACATATATAGCTTAAAATTTCATAAGCTCTATTTTTTTTTTTTTTTTTCACGGAAGTATTGCGTTTTGGTCAATTTTTAAAAAGAGACCACTGTTCGATGTTAACAATGCACACCCTGTGTAACTATAACTGTACATCGCCATGTAATTGGGTCAATTTATTTGCTGTTTGTAGAGGTAGTGGTCTCGTTGCATCAGGAGCTGGTAATGGTTTTGTGCGTTTATGGGGTGTTGAAAGTGAATCTATAGCTAGAGCCATACAATCTTTATACGAGCTTCCACTTAATAAGTTTGTTTTCCTAGTTCAGATCTCTTATTGCTTACTTGTGTGATGCATCTGTTGGTTATTTTATTATTATTAAAGGTTTTGGATTCAATAGCTCTACAAAAATAGCAACCGGACGAAGGAAAACAGAGAAGCAGAGAGGTCATCAGATGAATTCTAGTCACACTATCCCACCCAGCCATGGATTCCCTGAAGACTATAGACAAACTATGATGAACTGATGATCCATGGTCTTGTAGCTCTAGCCTCTAGAACTCTTGCCATTGCACTTTACGGGGTAAAAAGCTCTAGATTGAGTTTGAAGAGCTTGAAGCAAGAACCCTAAAACATTGCATTTGAATGAAGCAGCACATGCAGAAGTAGGAGATGCTCTCCTAGATAACATTCTGCAGATCTTCAGTTATAAATAGTTCTCTACAAATGAATACATCCAACCTAAGCTCATAAAGCACAAACCCCAAATTCTCTTTTGGATTTCACTTATAAAGATCAATAAAGAAGTGGTACATGCACTATGGCAAATTTTATTTCAGATAGATGACAAAGTGAAGACTTTTGTTCCAAGATGTTTCTCTTGAGAGAATTTCAATGAACAAAACTCATCTCCAATTCAAAAAAACAATCGCGCAAAAGACAAATTCCTCTTAGCCTTTAAAAGATCATCTCAACTTTTCTTTACCTGAGTTCCTCCTCTTAGCTGCATTCATAATCTTCTCGAGATACCCTTCAATAGGCGGTGTGAGAGTAGCCGCACCCCGAATCGCCGGAAACGGAGTCAAATCCGCCATCTTCAGACCCTCCGGCAATGCCTCCACCGCCGCCTCCTGCAATTTCATCAGATTCTTCTCCGCCACTTGTTTCGCTCTGTGCTCTCTCATAAGCACTCTACTATACTCCTTCGCGAGTCTCTTCCCGTCCTCCACCGTCACCTTGTACTTCGGCAACTCGTCCTCCGTGAAAATCCCCAACGAAATGTAATCCAATCCCGGAGCCCCGATCCTCATCGGTTCGTCGGAGACTTTCGCTGAGAAATTTCCGGATTTCTTCTGGATCTCGATCTCTCGCTGCCTCGCCTTGCTGATTAGCCCGAGCTTCTCTCGCATCGCCTCTCGCTCTCTCTCCTTCGGCTTCAGGTAGCGAACAGGGCAAGGAGCGTTTATGCATTGATCGTATAGCTTCTGCTTCTCATCGGAGTTTCTTCCTCTTCCCTTACCCGCCTCCTCTCCATTTCCACCGCCGCCTTTATTGAAGCGCTTCAACGCTTGCCTTGTCTTCAGCTTGGATTTTCCCTTTGGGGTTCCACTAGCGTAACATCTCTGGAGAAGATTGTAACTCAGTGAATCGATCGTCAATTTTGGTCTCGCCGATCGGATCATGCTGAAATTCCGATTCCGATTTCCTCGAGGATAACAATGGTGGTGGTTGAGAAATGTATTCGGAGGGGGTTTAGGGCTTCTCGAAACGACGACGTTGTGATCGGAGTGTAGTTTAAGTTGAAAGGCGAGGGTAAATCGGTCTTATCAGTAACTGTCATCAAGCTCTCTCCACACTCATTTTTTTTTAGCCTTCTTCTTCTTCTTCCTATCGTTCAAAAAGCCATAGATCGATCCAACGCTTCTTCCACAAACCTCAGTCTCCGTTGACTACTGAGACTCACTTACTTCTGGTAATCCTCTTTGCGATGTGCCGATCTACTTCCGATCTGTAGAAATGCTTAAGTTTCTTCGTCTTCGGTTGTTTATTTTTCCGATCTGTTAGATGCGTGATTGTTTGGATGGAATTTGATTTGTTTGATTTTTCTGATGCAGTAATGATGGCCAGAGGTCACGTCCGATTTCTGGTTCTGATACTCGCCGTAGCAATCTGCGGTGCCGCTTCGGCTGTTCAGCCGATTTCAGACTCTCACCGATCTGCAGCTGTGGATGTCTTCGTACCAGTCGATGGATCAGACAAAAGGTTGGTTTATCTAAAAATCCACACTTTGATTTCGTTTCTGGAATGTTGTGGTGTTCCTTAGCTGCATTGTTTTGGTTTTCTATCACATTTTACTGATAAAGTCTTGGTTGCTCGTTAAAGTTTAGTAATTGTGTATGATTTTGTACGGACCCATCTCAATTTGCGTTTTTGCTATGATCAGCTTGGAGGAGGCATATGAAGCATTGAAGACTTTGGAGATTCTTGGAATTGATAAAAAGTCTGATCTAAGCTCAGCGACTTGTGAGAATGTGGTTAAAGTTCTTGGGTCGTCTTCTTCGACTTTAAAGGATGCATTCTACGCTTTAAAAGTTAATGGAATTCTAAAATGCAAATCGGGTGGAGATGTTCCTAAGGTAAACAATTGTCTCCTCTCAGTACGACAAAGGTTCTTCTATGATTTAAGCAGCTAAAGCAAGTTTCATATGTTCTTTGTTTTTCTCTTTTGAAGGAAGTTGTTTCTCAACTTCAAGCCGGCGTTAAAGATGCGAAGTCATTGCTTGACTTCTACTATTCTGTCGGAGGCTTGGTGCTTGTTAAGGTAAATACGAATTATACATTTGTTTAGATGTCTTGATTTGGGATTGTCTTCTCCTTTTTCTATATACTTTTAATAGAGTCCTCTTAGTTTTTTTCGCTCATTACTTGGAAGTATGATAATATTTTTGTAGAAGGTACCTGTGATCGTGATAATATTATTTTATTCAACTACATAGCTTTGGCTTCCTGCGTATACTTTTTGTTGGCTTCAGGTCTGACCTCGTCTTTCCATAAATGCAGGAGCAATTCTCTGGAACTGATCCAAGTCTTGGAGATGCCAAAGCCATTTTCCGTTCCATCAAGGTTTGAACTTGTTTAGCTGACCTTTTATTTCGTTGTTGTAGAACTATCAGCTGTTACATCATTTTTTTTGAACTATCAGTTATAGACTCTTGTAGAAGCATATACACTATAGCATTGACATGTTACCGATATCTAGTTACTATTAAATATACTATTTAGATTATCTTTCCGAGTATCATTTGCTGACACAGTCAATTTGTATCAGTCTCTTAGCCAGAATGATGGAAGATGGCGTTACAGCTCCAACAAGCCGGGATCAAGCACCTTTGCTGCTGGTAAGTAGTACATATTGGATCAGTTTTCCTACTTCACGATGCGAAACGTTTATGATGAATCCCTTCCTTCCTTGCATCAACCTGTTCACTTCTCTTCTCCTTTGTTTTATCCATTCTTCTCAACATAACTTTTTTTGTTCCTCAGGCTTAGCCTTCGAAACTCTTGCTGGAGTGATATCATTAGCACCTTCAGAGATTGATCAATCATTGGTAAGTGAGATCTTATTTCCACTTAACTAAATTTTACCTAAGAATATGTTTTGATGGGACATAACTACGAATCTATGATATCTTGGCTTAGTGTTGGTTTACTTTTGGTTCTGGAGTCTCTTAATAACTAAAACAAACAATTATGTTTTGATAAATTTAAATTCCAAGTGGTAGCTACACGGAAGTTTAGGCATGTCTACTGACTATTCATTCGGTTATGCTGGTGGTTTCTTTTTATTCCTTTTTACCATTTTATCTGGTAGTCTGGTTGATAAATCTTGGTCATGTGATGATAGTATCATTCATGTTTGTGATGCTGTAGATCCAGACACTGAAGACGGGTATCGTGAAGCTCTTTGACAGTATCCAAAAATATGGTATGCATTAAACTACTTGCTATCTTATGTGTATGCATAGGAGATTTTTCTTCAGTCACTTCTTAGTTTTTTCTAGTTTGGAGCTGCTTTTGTGGAGTTTGATTTTTTTTTGTCCTTTCAGACGATGGGACATATTACTTTGATGAGAAGGTTGTCGATGGACATGAAAGTCAAGGCCCGATCTCAACAACTGCATCAGTAATTAGAGGGATCACGTCATTTGCAGCTTCAGAATCTACAGGATTGGATGTATGTAATAATTATATTTCTACATCACGTCAGTAATTCTTCCATATGTGTTGATTATTCACATTCTCTATCCCATTCTCTCATGCAGCTTCCAGGTGATAAGATAGTTGGTTTGGGAAAGTTTCTTCTTGGTGTTGGAGTTCCGGGTGATGCCAAGGACTTCTTCAACCAAATAGATGCACTAGCTTGTTTAGAAGACAACAGGCAATGCTACTTTCATCCCTTATTTCAGTACACATCTTAGATGAACAGTTGCTTTTGATAGAGGAAACTGTTTCACTTTACATTGTCAAGATATCTGTAGAGAATAATAAAAGCTCCAAAGTTCGAACACTTGTGAAATTTAACCCCTTTCTCGTTTATTATGCTTTTGCTGAAACTTTATGGTTATAGGAACTATAATATTTTCTATGGTCGGTCCTTCTCTATCATTTCAGGTTCTCTGTTCCACTCATCTTGTCTCTTCCATCTACTGTCATTTCATTGACAAAGAAAGAGCCTCTGAAGGTATCCCGTCTTAAGCTTTGCACATCAAGAATGTTACAGGCATAGTTTGAGATGTTCTTTTTAATCTTTTCTTTTTTTAAGTTCTCTTCAGAGTTCTGGTAGTGGTACTTTTTATTGGGAAAGTCTTAACTTTGGATTTACTGGCTTTGATTACGTGTCCCTGTCGATTAGTCACGATAAGTGTTGGATATATTTTGGCCGGTATTTGTTTAGAGGCTCGTATATATCGTGTAGAGATATCTCATCTTGATGATGACTCAATCTAGTTTATATGCATCCAAATCCAATACTTTTTCGAACATGCTTTTAATAATCTATTCTCTTTACTTGGAACTAGGTCAAAGTAAGCACTGTTTTCGGTTCTAAGACACCAGCTCTTACTGTGAAGCTCTCACATGCTCTAACTTCCGGATCGAAGGATTCCTCTGTAATTACGAACCAGGTAAATAATGTGACTCTCTATGATTATTTGAGCTCACATTTGTAAATGTTCCTTATTCTTCGTATGGATCTGTTTTACATGTTTCCATGACATTTGCGCTACAGGAGCTTAAATTTGATGCTGACACTGCAACGTACTTCCTGGACTCCTTTCCCAAGAACTTTGATATTGGAAAATATACATTTGTATTCGAGGTACAGTATTGCTCTTCTTAGTTTAACATGGAAAGACTTCATATGCATGTATTTTAATGACATGCCAATCTTCATTACCTGCAGATTTTGTTGGATGATTCGGCAAATGAAAAAGCATACATAACCGAAGCTGAAACAAAAGTGCCTATAGCCGTCACAGGAGTTATAAGCATTGAGAACCCAGAAATTGCGGTACTTGACAGTGACATTGGGAGCGTTGAATCTCAGAAAAAGTATGTCACCTGTATTGTTGTTATATATCTTCCTTTTTTTTGCCTTCTACTTTTGCTTCCTAAACCATCAATCTTTTATTGTCATCTTTTTGTTTGTTGGTTCTCTTTGCAACTTTCGTAGGCTAGATTTAACTAAAGATGGAGCAGTATCATTATCAGCAAACCACCTCCAAAAGCTGCGCCTGTCATTCCAGTTAACTACTCCAATTGGCCGTGGGTTTAAGCCGCACCAGGTTTGTTCATTTCCCATTCTGCTTTATTGGTAGGTTGCTCTCTTCGGTATCTTGACTTGCTTACTCCCATGCAGGCATTTCTCAAGCTGAAACATGAGTCACAGGTCGAGCATATATTTCTGGTGAAAACTTCTGCAAAGAAGTCTGAATTAGTTCTAGTTAAGTTCCTTAAACTACATTTTGAATTCCTTTGTTATGGTCAAGTTTGGTGAAATGACGTCCTAAGTACAATATTAATGATAAATGTCTTTTTTTTTCCTTCAGGATTTTCTTGGTTTGGTTGATAAGCTCTACTACCTCTCTGGTAAATATGAGATCCAGCTAACTATTGGAGATGCTTCAATGGTAAATACTGTTCTTTCAGGTTAAATAACATTGATTTACGTCTCAGAAATTTGAAGAGACTTATTTTTTCCTTTCGTTTTCAACAGGAGAACTCTTTACTGAGAAATATTGGCCACATCGAACTAGACCTACCAGAACGTCCAGAGAAGGCGCCTCGCGCTCCTCTACAGTCCGCTGACCCTTTGTCAAGATATGGGCCAAAAGCTGAGATATCACACATCTTTCGGGTTCCTGAAAAGCTTCCAGCAAAGCAGCTTTCACTAGTTTTCTTGGGTCTCATCGTTCTCCCTTTCGTCGGTTTCCTGATTGGGGTCAGTCTCTTTGCACTAGTGAAAATGTTTCAGAAACGTACAATCCAAAAAAGTTCATGCAAACTTTTCTGTTTCAGCTTACGTGGTTGGGAGTGAACATAAAGAGCTTCCCATCATCGGCTGGACCTGCAATATCCGCTTTACTATTCCATGGCGGTATTGGAGCTGTTCTGCTTCTCTATGTGCTTTTCTGGTTGAAGGCAAGCTCTCTCAAAACCGCGCTTGATATTAGCATAGTCATTGTTGCATCAGAAATCTGTGCTCATTATTGTTTTGTTTGCGTTATACAGTTGGATCTGTTCACGACTCTCAAGGCACTTTCTTTGTTGGGAGTGTTTCTGTTGTTCGTCGGACACAGAGCACTCTCCCACCTCGCATCAGCGTCGAACAAGTTGAAATCTGCTTGAAGAATTCACTCTATGATGGATCTTTAGTCTGTGTGTTTCCATGGAACAGTTTTCTCTACAGTTTTGTAGCATTCCTTATAGATTATGGTGATAGCCATATTAAAAAGATTTCAGAGTTTACTCACTCTCTCAGTTTAGTTTAAAGTTATCAAGAAGAGTTTCTTTCCTTTGCCTTTTTCATTGAACCATGTTGCAGAACCAATCATTAGCTCATTATTAACTTCCGTAGTTAATTTACACTATCAGTGACATTTTTATTTATAACGTTCAAATACTATCAAAAATTGGATAAAAATAATACTAATTGATATTGAATGAGAAAAAGGAAACCAGAAAGTATGTCAACGACACTTGATATATATTTGGTATTTGACCCTTCACATGGCATCGTTACAACTTACATCACAACTTTACAGTTTAATTGTTGAGAAATGGGATAAAATCAAATAGTATTAAATAAAATTAAATAGAGCACCAAGTTGTCATTTATATATAAAAATTATTTTTGTTCATCTGGATTTTGTGTAAGAACATCTCTCTCTCTCATCCCTTGGTAAGAACGTCCAATCAATCGAATCTATATCTCCTAGTTCCTGTTTCTTGCATATTTTTTCCCTTGCATGATTTCTCTCATCTTTTCTTCATCGGTTATCCACATATCATCAAGTTTGAATTTTCAATCATTGTAAGTCGACTTTTCTTGTAGTTCGTGGTTTCGTCGTTGAAATGGTTAAAAGAATCAAAATTTGCCATGTCAAACCAAAATGGGATTTTTGTTTCCTTACAATTATTTTGAATCTCTGGTTCGTCGATATGCAATGGATACGGATGATCTACATTTGGGTTTATCCCTTTCCGTATCTGGTTTTGAAAACCATGTATTCTTTGTGATTCTGTGGTCATGGTTGTCCCAAATGTTTTGTTTTCAAACTTGCAAAACAGAGTCTGATCTCTTTAAGAATCATGAAAGTTTTGATTTTTCTAACACTGATTGGCATTTAACAGTTATTTGTTTCTTGTGTGTAGGCTTCTGTTTGATGATTGTTAGCTTTTTAGAAGAGCAATGAGTCATTCTGGAGCCGGAGGCTCAGGTAACCATTTGTCTGAGGAAGATTAGCTTTTGTTTGTGGTGTAAGATTTAAAATATTCTTCATTGGCTGTGACTGATTCACCTTGTTGTTTCACAGGTAAAAGGAGAATAAGGGATCTTTTAAATCAGTCTGATAACCGAGTCTGTGCTGATTGTGGTGCTCATGATCCCAAGTGGGCGTAAGTCATAACTGCTAACACTTCAACATATGTTTCTTCAAGTATATTTTACCTTTGTATGGTTCTCTATCTGTTAGCAATGTAACTAAACCGAAATGTTCATGTGTCTCTACTTGTTCATTTTCTGTTTGTTTCTCTTTTTGTATCCCAATTTTTGGTTGTTTAATTAGCATTGGTGGCTTATTACAGGTCAGCAAATATCGGAGTGTTTATATGCTTAAAATGTTGTGGTGTGCACAGAAGCCTTGGCACTCATGTCTCAAAGGTGATGATGACTCTTTGCTTCTCCTTCTATTTTTTTCTTTTCTTTTCTTTTGGTGCATATTTTCATTGGATTGCACTAAGATGCTTACAAATGCTCTTGGGGAAAAGTTATTTCTTTATATTGCTTCACCAACTTTTCTTGAGCAGAATATTTTGCAAGTGTATTGATAGTTTCAAATGGTTTACAGGTCTTATCTGTGACATTGGATGAATGGTCGGACGAAGAAGTCGACTCTATGATTGAAATTGGAGGAAATGAATCTGCAAATTCAATATACGAGGCATTTATACCTGAAGGTTGCTCTAAGCCTGGACCTGATGCTAGTCATGACCAGCGTATGAGGTTTATTAGGTAGGTTGCGATAACTCAATAAATAGTGTTTATACCAAATATCATTAATATGTTTGCTGAATATTCATATGCTCAAAATCTTAATGTCAGGTCAAAATATGAGCTCCAAGAGTTTCTGAAACCGAGTTTGAGGATCACATCCGGTCAGGCCTCTAGCACAAAGAGCTCAGCAAATCTTTCATCAACTGTATCTAAAAAGATCATTGATAGCTTCCGCTCAAATTCATCATCGCAACAGCCGGTAAAGCTTCTTTTGTTTTATCTCTTCCTTTCTCACTTTTTAGACACTGCTCACTCTTATGAGTTGTGAGTCAAGGTGTTTAAACACTTTCACATCTCGGTTTTGAAAATTTAAACAATGACAGCAACTTGAAGGCATGGTTGAGTTTATTGGATTGTTGAAGGTGACTCTTAAAAAGGGTACCAGTTTAGCTGTCCGAGATATGATGTCAAGCGATCCCTATGTTGTGTTGACTCTAGGAAAACAGGTAAAGTAACTGATAGTTAATATTTTCTTTCAAAACCAAACATCTCTTTGAATCTTGAAGCTGATCATTTTGTCATTGTTACCAGACTGCTCAATCTACTGTGATGAAGAGCAACTTAAACCCGGTCTGGAACGAGGAACTCATGCTCTCTGTGCCTCATAACTATGGCTCAGTGAAACTGGTAAAAGCTTGAGACTTAAAACATCCAAATCGGTTTCTATTTTCTTGATGAAACCTTAATAACAGTAGTGTTTTCTGACATTTGCAGCAAGTGTTTGATTATGATACATTTTCTGCCGATGACATAATGGGAGAAGCTGAGATTGATATCCAACCTCTGATTCAATCTGCAATGGCTTTTGGAGACCCTGAAATGTTTGGAGACATGCAGATTGGGAAATGGCTCAAATCCCACGACAATGCTCTTTTAGAGGACAGCATCATCAACATTGCAGATGGGAAAGTGAAACAAGAGATTCATATCAAGCTCCAGAATGTTGAATCTGGTGAATTAGAACTAGAAATGGAGTGGCTTCCTCTTGACCAATAAAAATATCAAACTTATTTATATAATAGGCTCATTACATATATTATATGGAAGAAAAATCTTATTATTATGTTCTTGTTTGAGAAATTTTGAAACTTTCCATCTTGAAAACTCTCTTTGGTGTTTTGCTGTAATGATGTTTCTACATATTAGACCATTTGTATAACTCATATGGATTATATATCTTTGATGCATGAAAGAAACTCAAAATCTGAACTAAATGTAACTATTTGAAACATGATATAAGACGTTTATAGGTTACTAAGTCAGGTTTCAACCCCAATCTCAACATTTCATCATGACATCTCATAGCTTTCTTCATCACCTTCACACGACACAACCCATGAACCATGATAACAAAACTCTTGCTGTTCACTGCATCCATCTCTTTCATGTACTCAAACACTCCAACCGCTTCTTCCACCATCTTTCTTTCCCTCATCATTAGCCGATCAAGAACCGCATTGTAAGCATTCACATCCAAACTTCCTCTCATCTTCTTTATCTTCTCATGTAAAGCCATCGCTTTCTCCAACTTCCCGCTTCTGCAGTAACGTTCCATCAACAACCCGCAAGAGAACGAATCGAAGTAAACTTCCATTTCCATAACCGAATCAAGAAGCTTCTCCGCTTGATTCCATCTTCTTTTCCTACACATTGATGCTAAAACTTCTGATAACTTTTTCGTACAAGGAACAAAACCTCGCTTTATTACATTTACAAGCAATTCCTCTTCTTCCTCTGAGCTACTATCATCATCTCTGCAAAGAGCATTCGCAAATTCTTCATAACAACTCTCATCAAGCAACGTAATCCCTTTCCGGCAAATCAACCGATACACATCGACAGCTTCTTTTGTTCTTCCTTCTCTAGACATTGCTTTCAACACACAACCGTATGTCACATCTCGCAGTCTCACTGCTCTACGGAAAAGCATCTCAGAGGCAAATGTTTTCCCCATAACGCAAAGCCTTTCGATGACTTGATCATTCACAGACGAATCATCTAAAGCAAGAAACTTTTTCTCCACCATTAAACCAAGAACCTTATCTATCAACTCAGCATCTCCTAATCTACAAGCATCGTCCAACACACAACCGTAAGAAGAGAAACTCAGCTCCAGTTTCTTCTCATCCATCTCATGAATCACACTAAACACATCATCGAATTCCTTATTTCTGCTGTAACATTCCACAAGATTAGTGTAAATCTTGCAGCTTTCAACAACTGTTTCCATCAATTTAACAACACTCTTTGATTTTCCAAGCTCACACAAAATCTGAGCTACCAAATCCCAAGTTAATCCATCGGAGACAACACGGTCCCGAACCATGGCACTGTACAAACACAAAGCCATTCTAAAGTGATTCTCTTTAACCAGAGAGTCAAGAAGAGAGTTATAAGCACGAAGCGAAGGTGAAAGTCTCAAACTTCTCATAAAGCCAAACACTTCCAAGCCGTTTTGGTGACTACCCTTTAAAGCATAACACTCAAGAACTAAGCTAAGCGAGATAGAGAGTGAGACTTCACCTTCAAACCACCGTTGCATCGATCCTACGATCATAGACGCTGAATGGGTTTCAAGCAGAGGACGCAAGAGTGTTTCTGCTCGTTCCAAGAGACCTGATTCGGTAGCAACTTCGATTACTCGGCAATGGGATTTAAGATCCGGCTCGAACCGGAGATGGGTTTGAGCCCAGTCGAAGAAATCGAGAGCGGTTTCAGGAGATTTTCGAGTTTCGCGGAGGATCTGGAGGAAAATCGGCGGTGAAAGTGTTGACCTTGGGAGTTTGGGTTTGACGTGTTTGAGATGAAGTGTCCAGTTGCGACGTTGTAAGAGGATTGAAGAGATTTCGGTGGCTAATCGGGATAAGTTCAATTGGGTTTTCCAGTCGGAAGCAGAGGATGTCGATGGAGTCGTCGAGGTCGAGAATCGTTTGAAAAAGACGACGCTTTTGTGGAGAAGAACCATTTAGTTGCTTTAGCTCTCACATTGGGGTTTTATGAAAAAACAACACTCAGCTACTGAGTTTTTGATCTTCTCTTTCACTTGCTTGCACCAATTCAGAACAAAATCTGTTTTTTCTTCTTAACAAAACTTAAAAATAAGTTGGATTCTTTGTGGATTCTTTGAACAAAAACCAATTTACAACACAGAGGTGAATACGAAACGATCCATCGCCAAACACAACCATAAAAACTCACAGATCCTTTGTGGATTCTTTGGTCTATAAGAATCTTAACAGAGTCAATGTCATTACTCAATTTCCTAATGCTCCAATTGATTTTGCCACGCGTCGAATTTTCATTGGTATCTCTGATTCATCACCCTTGATAAACCTCACTTCCTCTTGGTTGGTCTTCTTCAGTTTCGCAATTCGATTCTAAAATCAACAATTTCTTCTTCTTCTCAGTTTCTTATCGATTAAGGTAAATTTTTTCTTAGCTCGAATCCATTTCTGAATTTTCCTTGCATCCGTACGTTTTCCGGTTGTTCTTTGTAGTATAGATATTTTTTTGGGAATTATGCCCACTTATCCCTATCGATCTCCTTCATATTTGTACTTCTGATTGATCATATTGGTCCAGACATTTTTTTCAAGTATGAACAAAATCTGAAGCTAAGAGAAAAGAAGTTGTGATCGAGAAGCATAATCTCAATGGCTGATAAATCCATTTTGATATTGTTACAGGACATACGTATTTCTGGTCCTGTCTCTATTTCTTAGATGTCATCAGGTTATAAAACAAAGCTTTTCTTTTGTTGTTGTCTGCAGGATCTCTGATCTAGAAAGATCTTAAAAGGGTCCAAAGATGTCAGAACCAGAAGAGACTGGAGCGTTATTTCCCATTTTCATTCTGACGATCATAGCAATCCCATTGGTGCCTTATACATTTGTGAAGCTAAGCCGCGCTTTTTCCAAGAAACAAAAGAGCATACACTGTCAATGTCTTGACTGTGACCGTTCAGGGAAGTACAAGAGATCCATTCTCAAAAGGGTCAGTCTTTATCTTTCTTCCTCCCTCACTGAAAATTGTTTCAAAAAACCTTCTTTTAACTCTTTGGTTTGGTCTTTTTCTGCAGATCTCTAACTTCACTTCATGCAGCAACTTGACAGTTGTGCTACTCTGGTTTGTCATGATCTTCTTGATCTTTTACACTAAGAACATTAGCCGTGAGGTAATTACCATGATCCGAGATTGCTTGTGGTTAGGAATTGTTTCGTTTGCTTGATGCATTTTCTTCGGTTAATAATATTACAGAGCCAACTCTTTGAGCCATTCGGTATACTTGGATTAGAACCTGGTGCTACAGATTCAGAAATCAAGAAAGCATATAGAAGACTCTCTATTCAATACCATCCTGATAAAAATCCAGATCCAGGTCCAAAATGCTTTCATAATCCTTCCCTTTTGGTTCATTACAGATTTTGTTATATGTTTCATTATTGCTCATTTTGTCTACTGTAAACTATATACAGAGGCAAACAAATATTTTGTGGAGTCCATAGCTAAAGCTTACCAAGCTTTAACTGATCCTTTGTCTCGTGAAAACTTCGAAAAGTATGGTCATCCTGATGGTAGACAGGTAATAATCATATAGTCCTCACAGAATTACATGTTATAATACTAAGCTGTAATCAAGATGAGAGTTTCAGTTTTGCAAAAGTATTTCATGAAAATGTAAAATGTGATTGATGCAGGGTTACAAATTGGGAATTGCTCTTCCTCAATTCATTCTAGGCATGGATGGAGATTCTGGTGGGGTGTTGTTGCTGTGTACAGTTGGTTTCTGTATTCTTTTGCCACTAGTGATCGCCTCCATCTATCTCTGGAGATCATCAAAGTATACAGGGAGCTACGTTAAGCTCCAAACTCGTCAAGCATATTTCGAGTTAATGAAATCTTCTTTGACTTCAAGAAAAGTTATGGAAGTTTTCATCAAAGCAGCTGAGTACGCAGAGATTCCAGTTCGTAAAACCGACGATGAGTCTATGAAGAAACTCTATACATCTGTCAAAAGTGAGCTAAATCTGGATCCTAAGAAGATGAAGCAAGATGAAGCTAAGTTTTGGAAACAAGAACCTGCACTTATCAAGGTCAATATTTTTTCCTAACACGTTATATAACGCAAAGTATTGAACAAATTTTGAGAAAAAATGCTAACACATTATCTGCAACAGGCTGAGCTTTTGATACAGAAACAGTTAACTCGTGACTCAACAGCTCTGTCTCTGACTCTGCAACAAGATTTCAGGCGTGTGCTTGAGTTTGCACCACGTCTTCTTGAAGATTTAATGAAGGTCTTATACACAATCTCTATTTTTTCTTTGTACATTGTATGTATCTGATAAATTAAAGCTTATTACAAAGTTGATGATGATAACTTTATGATATTGTGAGTTTCTTGCAGATGGCTGTTATTCCCCGTGATGAACAAGGGCGTGGATGGTTAAGTCCTGCACTCGGAGTAATGGAGCTATCTCAATGTATTGTTCAGGTAAGACTTTTCCAAAATTTTCCCAATAAAGGTTGAGATTTTGTATAGCTTAGTTAGTGTTGTTGTTTAATTGCAGGCTGTTCCTCTTAGTGCAAGGAAGTCATCACCAGAAGGCACTGCTCCTTTCTTGCAACTCCCTCATTTCAACGACTCCATCGCTCAGAAGATAGTGTCCGAGGTTAAATCATTCCAAGAGTTTCAAGAACTGAGCTCGGAAGAGCGTTCTAAGATGCTCAGAGAGGCTGCAAGTTTGTCGGAAACCGATGTCCTAGACGTCGAAAAGGTGTTGGAAATGATACCTTCTCTGAAAGTAGAAGTGGCTTGCAAAACAGAAGGCGAAGAAGGTATTCAAGAAGGCGACGTCACGACTGTTCAAGCTTGGATCACTCTGAAACGTCCCAATGGACTCATTGGAGCTATTCCTCACTCTCCTTACTTTCCTTTCCACAAAGAGGAAAGCTTTTGGATTCTTCTTGCGGATTCGAACAGTGTCTGGTTCTTTCAGAAGGTTAGTTTCATGGACGAAGCTGGAGCTATAACCGCTGCGTCGAATGCTATTAGTGAGACCATGGAAAGTTTAGGAGCAAGTGTGGAGGCAAAGAATGATGCAGTGAGAGAAGCTGTTGAGAAAGTTAAGAGTGGGTCAAGATTGGTGATGGGGAGAATCTTAGCACCTGAGGAAGGTTCTTATAACTTGACTTGCTTCTGCGTAAGCGATACTTGGATTGGTTGTGACCAGAGGACAGCATTGAAAGTTGAGATTTTGAAAAGAACCCGTGATTTGGAGGAGGTTGCAGAAGAAGGTATGGATGAAGAGGAAGATGAAGTTGAAGAAGAGGATTACGAAAGTGAATACAGTGAGGATGAGGAAGATAAGAAGAGAGGTTCCAAGAAGAAAGTGAGCAAGAAGGAATCGAGTTCTGAAGAGTCTGGATCAGATGACGAGTGAGAAACAAAAAAAGATTCAACATTAGTTTTTTGGTCTTTAAAGATTACAGAATGATACTCAAAGACTTGACCTTTATTTGTTCTTTTGCCTTGGTTTTTACATTAGTTGACTCTTCAATTTAAGTCTTGTTCTTGACTCTCCTAAGCTCTTTACTTCAAAAAGTTCACAAATTTCTTGATCTTGTTTTCGTAAAGCTCAGGTCCAAGAAAGCTTCTTTGGAGACTTTGGCCGTCGATCTCTTTTCCTTAGTAGATACCATCTCAAAAGCTCATGAATGAAGCAAACACTATTAAGTCAAGAAGAGTCCAAATGACCAAGTCCGGAAGTTACAATCTGTACTTGATTCCCACCCAAAAGCTCTTTTTCTTTTTCTTCTTCTTCTTCTTCTTCCTCTTCACTGAGATCCTCACCATCTTGGTTTGCTTCCTCATCTGACAATATTTCAGATTTAATCTCAATCTCATTATCAGTCTTATCCTCGTCACTGCTAACACCACCTTCACCATCGCTCAGCTCACTTAACTGCTTGGCCTTGACCTTAACACGTCTTCCTTTGATGTATCTGAACTCCCATTGTGGTGGAGGATACTTCTTCATCAGCTTCTCGTACTTATCCGTCATCTCAAGTTTCATAAACACTTTCCCAACCATAGACACAATCGCAATGTTTGGCTTCACTCCAAGCTCCTCCATGTCAGCAAACACCTGAGAAAGAAAGCATCAAACACTAAGAAGAAGAAAGAATCTCTCTGGTGGTTGCAATTACTAAGAAGCCTTTTTACTTTACCTCGAAGAGTTTATGGTGCATGTCTCGCTTGTAATAGATAGAGATCATTTTGTTGAAGAACTTTCTTGGAGTTCCTTCTAAATGTTGCATGAACAGTTTGTTCCACAACTCCTCAGCTTCGTCAAGCCGATTATCTTCTGCTAAAGCATTTAGTAATGAGAAGTATGTTCCCATTGTTCTTCCTTGGCCTTTGCTCAGCATCCATTTTGTCACCTAACAAAATCACAAAAAAAAACATTTCTTTTTATCACCTCACTAAACTAAGAAGCTTCTTTCTTGCTTTGTAAAAAATTACCTGAATAATCTTCTTCCATTCTCTTTGATCTTCAAGAATAGCTAATGCCTTCTTAACTATAACAATAGGGAACTCTAATTCCCAGGCAATGAAGGAATCAAGCGCTCCGTAAACTTCTTCTTTAACATTTGACAATTCTTTTATCTGCAGATAGCAAGATTTTCATCATCTTAAGAACCATTGACTCTACAAGAAACATATGAAGAGACTGGAAGTTTCAAAGAGCATTACACAAGAAATCATCTTGGCAGCTTTGGAGATGCTTCCAATCTTCTTCCTTGTTTTCCACACTCGAGGAGATCGAGGTCTTGGACCTCTCGCCGCACAAACCTGTGGAAAATTATTCAACTTCGACACTAAGGGACTGATAAAAAAGTGTTTGAACAAAGAAGAGGCTTAGAAAATAAGTACCACAACGCTGTTAGGCCTCTTGGAGAAGAGCTTAGCTGATTCCCTTGTTTGAGGAAGATAAGGTAGTGAATATCTCAAGTAGAGCATCCTGAGGAGTCAATTCATACAAGATTAAGAACACAAAATCTTGTAAAAGCTTTCTCCTTTCCAGCTCACAATTCATAAACACTGCATTTATAACAAACTGAAAGCACCAGAAATTTTTTTAAAAATGAACATCGCCCACAAATGAAAATCCCTGTTCACTATTTTATGAATCAAAGGTTGCTTTTTCTCGAAAATCAAAACATTTAAGTGTTCGAGTTACCTGTGGATACTTCACAATTAGGCAAAATGTACGATTCTTCTTCTTCTTCTTCTTCTTTCTCTGACTGAAATAGTTGCGCTTCTCTCTGTCCTCAATTTTCCTTCTGATGACTGTCTGATTTTTCTCATCCAAAGCATACTATAAACGCTGCGTTTAAGAAAATGAATAAGGCCCATTAACCCAATAAGTTAAACAAGGCCCATTAATATGCAAAATTTGACCCGGCTCTTTTCTCATAACTTCATTGACTCTCGTTCGATCGCTCTCTCTCTTTCGCCATTTCAGTGATTCTGAGGTCTGTAGCTCGAATTCAGGTGATAGACACCAAATCAAGGTAATTTACCTTTTCTCGTTCTTCATGATTCTTCTTCGATTAGGTTACTTATTTTGATTTCAAACCGATGTGTTATTGAAATCATGTGGTTCTCTCCTGTCTTGTTAAATTGTTAAAATTGAATCCATTTGATCTTCTAACGCGTGACCCTGATTGAGATCAGAAACTCCAGATTACATTTTAGGAATCGTTTTAAGAAAAATGGTTACTTCTGATTTCTGAGTAAAAACAACCATAGTCTCTTTGGCTTGCTCCTCTGACTCCGAATCTGGGTTTATGCTTTATATATTGGTTGTGCTTTTATTTCCTTCTGGGTTTTTAGCAGAGTGGTTAAAGATCTGATTTTTACCGAAGTTGATTTTCTTTCTTTTCTTTTTCTTACAGAAGTAGAAGATGCATCCTCCACTTACACCACATAGACACCCAATGTGTTTGGAGGTGAGTTTATGTCATTTGCTTTCGTTATATGTTTTCTAGTGCTGCTTCTTAGATTTACTCTCTTTTTGTAGTTGATCTCCTCAGTTAGTGTTAACCTCTGCGTGACTGGTCTTTATGAATAAGTTCTTAGTTTGTTTATCACTCTTATTATGGTTTAGACAGCTGTGTGCAAAAATAGGATATGAGAGCTTTGTTAATCATATGAAAATGTTGGTGATAACTCATACTTGTTGCCATAATCTCTAGCTTTTGTACATTTTTGCAATGCAATTAAACAAAATTGAGTGGAGTCAGAGTCAAGCTACATAACTGCATTTGGCAAGAACAAACCTGTTGCCAAGAAATCAATCTGATGTCTTTTGTTGTTCTTACTAATTCCTCTGTTTGTATGGCAGATAATTGAGGAATTTCAAAAGTGCCATTTAGATCATCCAATTGGGAAATTCTTTGGAGACTGTACAGAACTTAAAGTAAAGCTTGATCGATGTTTCCGCAAGGAGGTAAAGTTACTAATAGCCCAACGCAGTACTTTTCAGCTCAAAGTTTTCTTCTTCTTTCTTTCTTTTTGTCTTAGTTGGAGCTATCTTACAATATTTTTGCAGAAAGCTGTGAAGCGGAAGGTAAATTTCGAACAAAGCAAGAAACTTCAAGAAAGACTTAAAGCTATTAGGAAAGAAGAAACTGCAGAGACTTGAGCAGCGTCTTGGATACTAATCCAACAGAAGACATTATAAATTGGTTTCGAAATAAGACATTATAAATTGGTGCGGAAAGAAGAGTTTGATACATTTTTCTCGTAAATTAATGAAAAAAAAAACATGGTATTATACATCTAGCCAAAACTTCATCGACTTCTAAAGTTCATCGATATTCTCTCTGACTCAGAAGAGATAACCGTGCAAGCTCAAAAAAGATTTTGGTCCCGGTTTCTTCTCCTAACTTTCCATCTGTGCGATGGTCACAAGTTTCAGCGGTTGGTCCTAATATCTACGCCATCGGCGACGCTAGTACGCCTTCGTCTAGGGTCATGGTCATGGACGGTCATTCGGACACATGGTCTGACTTCCCAAGCATGCATGGGGCCCGTGGTCTATCCCGTTCTGTTTGCGTCCGTGATGGAAAAATATATGTAACAGGAGGCTTCAACAACCCCGATTCAACGAACTGGATCGAGGTTTTTGATACCAAGACACAAACGTGGGAGTTTTTGCACATCCCTGGAGGGGAGAAGATATACAGCGCCGAAGGTGATGAATTACAAAGCGTATGGTTTGAAGGAACCTTGTATGTGAGGTCTGTGGTAAAGGATAAGGATGTGACTTACAAGGTGCATAAAGGTAGATGGAGGGAGGTAGACCGAGAGATGAATTACGGATGGGGTAAATCATTATCTTACTGTGTGATAGAGGACGTGTTCTACAGCTACAGCTATTTGAGGAAGATCCAGTGGTTTGACTCCAAAGAAAGAGTATGGAGGACTCTCAAGGGTTTAAATAGTTTGCCTATCATTCCTGTGTATGCACAGTCATACGTTCGCATGGTGGATAATGGTGGGAAAATTGCAGTTTTGTGGCAAGCGTATGTGTCTGGCAAGATCCCTAGAGAGAAACAGATTTGGTGTGCGGAAATTGCGATTGATAAACGCCAAGGAGGCGAGATTTGTGGGAGGGTAGAGTGGCTTGACGTCGTGGCTACAACCGATGCGCAATATCATTTAACGCATGCTCTTGCTACGACCGTTTGATGAATAACATGGTGCATGATCATGTGAACATTGTCATTTACCGATGCAAGAGGATTATTAATATGTATATCACTTTGTTTGAATTTTTTTTATTCTTGTAGTGTTAGCTCGATGAATAATTTGTTTGCTCTTCTTGAACGTGAATCTGAAGAAGAGGTGGAAAAACAATGGAAAGATAAAGTAACAGAGAGCTCTTTAAGTGTTTCAACATTTTGAAGAACATAAACTTCCCCTCAACTTATTAAATGGTGGAAGTATTGTTATATATAAATTAAATAGTGTGACTTACAAACTAGATATAGAGGACTGAGTTAATGAAATGTGATACACATGTTTGAAGCTCCGTTTTGAAAATTTATGGGTTGCATTGAAATGTTCTTACAAACAAGCAAAAGAAACATGCTTATGCAGTTTTTCATTCCTTTTGTTTAGCAAGTAATAATACGAAAATCGCTCATAAAATGTTTCAGGCCGGATCTTAAACATTTTAAAAAATTCTGCTCTGATTCAGTACCACTGATATAGAGGTGGTATAGGGTCAAGACTCAAGTGGGAAGATCATATTAACATTTGACATTAATAAATATAGAGAACATTAGGATTCAGTTTCTTGGTTTTTGAGGCAAATATCAGATCATCAATTTGTTAGTTTTCTGTTACACACTGAGTTGTTGGCACGTGAGAACTTTCTTCCAGAAGTCATCAGAAGACAGAAGCAGAAGGCAGCCATTTGACTAATCAAATAAGTTATTTCACAAGTACCAAGAGAAACTATTTTTTAAATAGAAAAACAACAATGGACATTGATGGAGAAAAACAGAAGACAGAAGCAGAAGGTAGCCATTTGACTGATCAAATAATTTATGCATATATTTGCATCTTGGAAAAAATGCATGTGATTAAGGAAGTCACCACGTATGACCCGACAAGGTTTCAGGGTAACGGTTATTATGTTGGATCTTATTCTTATCATCACATGCTTTGCTTTTCTTTTCTACTTTCATTGTCTATGATTTGTTGGACCAAGTCAAGACCAGAAACCACCTCCGTATTTACATGAGATCATTTGTTATAGTTATATATAGACAGTTCACTATTCATTATTTGCAAACTAGGCACTTCTCACTGATATTTCCTCTTAAAAGAAATTGTGATTGAGGCTCTAGATCAAATGATATAAGTTAAAAGAGTTCATCTAGTGGACGATTGTGAAAGGTACGTGGTCATCTACTTGGAGGAGTGTGGTCGTGGGGCTACGTGAGGTGATCCGTCCCGGATGTGGGTGGGTTGTTGGTGATGGTCGGAATGTGAACTTCTGGACAGATAAGTGGCTCGGGGGCGCTACTCTGTTTGACACAGCGGTGGAGGAAGGACCAGGGGATATGAGGCATCTAAAAGCGTCAGACCTATGGCTGGAGGGTTTTGGGTGGGACATGTCAAGGATAGCACCGTTTGTCTCCGCTGAGACAAGACTAGAGTTAGCAGCTGTAGTGGTTGATCGTGTGTCTGGGCGAGAGATCGTCTATCATGGACAGAGACGTCTGATGGTCGGTTCACGGTCTCCTCAGCATACCGGTTCTTGTGCCGGGATAGTTCTTTCAAGCCAAATATGGGTCTCTTTTTCAAACAAGTGTGGAGTGTCATGGCGCCTGAGAGAGTACGGGTCTTCTTTTGGCTAGTTGGAAATAGAGCCATCATGACGAACCAGGAGCGGTTTTGTCGACATATTGGAGAGACTGAAGTCTGTCAAGTTTGTAGAGGTGGGGTGGAGTCTACTCTACACGTGCTTCGAGACTGTCCGGCAATGGCAGGGATATGGATGCGGATTGTGCCACGAGGTAAACAAGAGGCTTTCTTTGATATGTCCTGTTTGGAGTGGTTGTTTGTGAACCTTAGCGACAATACGAAAACGGAAAATGGAGCTTGGTCAACGGTGTTTGCCGTGACAGTTTGGTGGGCATGAAAATGGAGGTGTGGAAACGTTTTTGGAAACAACACCCTCTGGAGAGACCGAGTGAAGTTTGTGAAGGATTATGCTAAAGAGGTTACAGCCGGAAGAAATGGAGCTCATCGTGCGGCACCAACCAATAGGCAGGAGCGACTAATCTCATGGAGTCCGCCATCGGTGGGTTGGATGAAGCTAAATACTGATGGAGCTTCTCTAGGTAACCCAGGTGCGGCAACAGCTGGTGGAGTGCTACGAAATGGGGATGGGCAGTGGTGTGGTGGATTTGCTCTGAATATTGGGCGCTGTACAGCGCCGTTGGCAGAGTTGTGGGGTGTGTACTAAGGGTTTTGTATTGCTTGGGAGAAGCAAGTCCGGCGTTTAGAGGTGGAGATTGATTCACTGATGGTAGTTGGGTTCTTGACGACAGGGATTTCAGATACACATCTCTTGTCTTTCCTGGTACACTTGTGCCACGGCTTTATATTGAAGGACTGGGAAGTCCGTTTTTTGCATGTGTATAGGGAGGCTAATCATTTGGCGGATGGTTTAGCCACTTATGCGTTTTCGTTGCCTTCGGGTTTGCATGTTTTTGATTTAGTTCCTCCTGACTTAGCGACAGTGTTGCGCGATGACGTTTGTGGAGTCGCGCAGTCACGGCAAATTCATGTGTAATAGTTTTTTTTAAGTAATGAAATCTGGGAGCTTTGCTCCCGGTGCTTCACCAAAAAAAAGTTAAAAGAGTTCAAATCCTTATTTCATTTTTTCTTTTGGTTGGTTCTTATGTAACGGCTTTAATTCAACTTCCTGCAAGTATAAGAATTTTAATGGATTTTTATCCATGAAACTTTTTTCGATACTTCATGCTAAAACTTTATAGTAATATATCGTTTCTTTCGTAGAACGATAATCACTAGATGTTCACTTGGCATTTTGGCAAGCAAAGATCCTCAAGCACAAAAAAAATCTAATAGACATGTGTTTTAAATGGATATTTCGTGTGCACTTACGTGTGAGGCCTTAAGGGATGTATTTTTTTCTTTTTGATAACTACGGCTACGGGGTGATTCGGAATTTTATCACATAATCTTTCTAAGATGAATCTTATATACTCCCTCCGTTCCTTATTACTTGATGTTTTAGAGTTTTCACATAGATTAAGAAACAATAAATGGTTTAAAACATCAAATAATAAGGAACACCAACAAAATCTAAAACATCAAATATTAAGGAACGGAGAGAGTATAATAGGAGAGTTGCTCTCTCCATCTAGGCTATCCACATCAGCAAAAAAGTTCATTAAATTGTTTTTAAGATATTTAATACATGACTATTCATATTTCTTTACATATATTTATATTTTAAATATAAATAAAACTAAGAAAAATACACAACTAAATTACTTAATTAATATAAAGTATGTGATATCAAAAAGTTTGAATATAAGTAAAAATATATTTAACTTGAAATGGTATATATTTACCTTTTTATTAAAAGGATTTATCCTATTTCAAAATGTTATAATGTGTTTACAAGTTAAAAAGTTGAATATAAATTAATTAAATAATAAAAAACCAATGAGAAATTAGAGTTAGAGTTTGCTTTTTTAAAAAATAGAAGTCGAGTTTTTATATGTAAATTTAATTGCAGTGAAAAACATGAAAATTTTAAGGATTGTGATATGTTTGTTTCAAAATATATTCAATTACAAAACTAACATAATAGAAAATAATCAATGGTCATGAGCTCATATGCTACCACAACAAAGTAGATATGTAAAAAAGTATATATATTATTTTTTTCATCTTATTTCGGTGCAAATGCGATTTTACATTATACTTACAAATTTTAACGTTGAGTCAAATACATATGCATGTTTATAGTCTAACAGAAGTAAACAAACATAATATTTATAACATGCTAAAATGTTAAAATAGAAAACTTCGAGATAAAGTGGGGTGTTAACATCCTAATAAAATAAAATAAAAGGACGTGCGATGTGAGATAAAATATAAATAAAACTAAACAGAAAACTATCGCAAACAACCCCGCGCTTGCGCGGGGCTTCAAACCTAGTATATTGTAATTTGTAACCATCAAGATATTTGTCATCTTATTTTTTTTTTTTTTTTAGTAATGGATCACGTAAAAATATAAGATTATAGAGCATGTGATATGTGGCCTTTCCAATATGTGTATAATAATGAACCAAGTATCCCCCTTATGCCCGAGGCACGTTTCGAACGTATGTGGGTCAAGTACCGTATTTCTTTTCATTTCTTTAGTTCACATCTCATTTCCCAAATCGATATCGAATACTCATTACGGCGTAGAATGTAATGTGTGACTTACGAGTTACGGTAAAACCCATTTAAATGAAATGATTTTTGTTTGTTGACAAAAGTCCTTGCGAGTTACGATAAAATGAATTTAAGTATGTACCAAAAAACAAAAAAAAAATATCCATTAAAGTTGTAATGGCGTAAAGTATGTTCTCACTCCATAGGAGAATAATTGAGCAGATCCAGTATTGCACAGGAAACCTGGTACAGTGCTACGATTTTTACCAAGCATCCACCGTTGCAATTTAATGGATTTTTTTGTAATTGATTTCTTCGTAGAATATATTTGTTCATGTTGTCTCTGTTTTATCATTCTTCCAATCTCCATATCATATTTTCAGGTATTTGAGTTTTTTTTTGTTTTTAATTACATTTTCAGTTCGCAAATATTTTTTCTATAAATATAGTGTAATGGTTTATGTTAGTGCCCTTATTGTATTATCACCCAAATTAATATCTATATAATACATTACATGTTGTTGACCAAAATAATACTAGTACATAACTTTCTTGGGTCAACAATTCGGAATTAATACAATAGGTTTAAAATATGGAACGTGGTTCATGCTAAATACCCTAGTTCGGAAAACTTTAATCCAGAAGAAGATTTTGCTCAGCTAAGTACCACTCCGTTTGTTTTTTTTTTTGGTGGAACACCGGGAGCTAGCTCCCAGAAATTTATTCAAAACAAAAAGTACTACAAACGGACTTGCCGTGGACACAATTCGCCACGCTCATCATCCCACAACACGCTTAACAGAGTTAAAGGAACAGAATCAAAAACATGCAACCCTAGTGGCAAAGAAAAAGTATAATTAGCCAGTCCATCAGCTAGACGATGGTCACTAACGGTCATACATTTTTATTTGTAGTGACCTATTTTCTGTACGTACAAAACATGAGAGTCACATTCTATCAACAATTACGGAGAAAGGTTTTGTACGATGTTCTCATGGTGGTGATATTATGCGATGATACGATGTGACAAGAAATGCACAGTTGGGAGATTCCATTTATACTTGATTGGAAAACAGATATATATATATACATGCAATTTTCCATTTCTGATGACATGATCATGATATCTTGACCGACCTTACGTCTCTAGTTAATGGATGTATTTAATTTGATTCGATTGGTTAAATTAAATTGTCGGTTTTTCTAAAACTCAAAATCAATCGTGGGCTAAGCCGACCAAAAAAGAAAAAGAAAAAAAAAAAAAAAAAAAAACTGGTAACGGAAATCGAATACCGGGGGTTTATTATTAATCAGGAAAAACTCCGAAAACACTAAATTTTGATTAGAAACATGTATTTTTTCTTTTATTAGAAACATGTCAAGAAAATACTTTGATATGTTCATTTGGTTCTTGTTCCTCCAAGTCTCTTCATCCTACTCCTCAATATATGCTCACACAACAAATAAGAAAGACTATCATTTACATCATCAATTGCTACACTTGCATATCTTTGGACCTATATGTATTTTTAAAAGAAAACGAGGGAAATTGAATGGAAAACAAATCATGAAAAAAGATAATCGGCTGATGTATCATTATATTTTTATATTTTTATCATTTGGAACATCATTTATATATTAGTAATCTGAATTTATAATCTTTTGACAAATAATTATCTCAGCTAAGACAAATGGATCCAACATTTTTACGGCATTTAGAAAGACGATGAATATCTGTTCGATGGACGATTTTACAATAAATATTCATATAGTACAAAAATTCTTGAATTACGGTTTTACATGCATCACACTAGACAATTGTACCACGTATTATCATTCTATATATATACACGGCTAAGCTAATGAGTTTAATATTCCCTCCGTTCCTTATTACTTGATGTATTACTTTTCATTTTAAATAACTACTAATCAATCAAAATTATAGAATTCTTTAAAAGTTTGCAATTTTGTAACATTTATTATCAAAAAGTACATTTAATGGTCTAAAACACAAATAATAAGGAACACCAACAAAATCTAAAACATCAAATATTATGGAACGGAGGGAGTATATATTTTTTTTTTGTCGAAAGTTTAATATTTTTGTTTATAAATAGAATTCATAATTTCAACTTTTAATTAGTAAAATATTTACTTTGTCTTCTTAGTATGTATAAAAACTCTAGAAATGAGTATAATATACTCGAAATGTTTTTTTATGTTGCACATCGCCACATCGGTAAGCAAACATTTTCCTAACAACTTGACATATTCAAAAAAATGAAGTAAATGTAAATTTGCTATAAAATGCTATATCGGGGAAAACTCTAGTACGAATAATATGCATAATGACATTTTTAAAAATATCGTGAATTCTTATTTTTCTCACGACTTAACGCCGCTAAATTAATGTATCAGAAATGTCACAATCAGGTTTTAATTCATATTAAATTTTGACTTCTTGTAGAATTTTAATTGGGCCACCACCATCTTCCAGTTATTTTAAGTGTGTTTCCTAAGGATTTTCTAAATGTAAATCCTTAAGGTTGCCATATTTATGTCAAACTTGGGAATCATTAAGGTTGTCATCATATTTATGTGAAAGTCGGGACTTGTTGGGAAGTGGCCAATTTAACTTGATCAACGAGTATTTTATTTGCATCACCATTCAAAGCTTATTTTAGATATTTAATTCTACATTTAAGATGTGAATGGTATACAACATCGGTATTCACTGTGCATGTATTATGTATCTCTTTTCAAAGCCAATTAACCTATATCTTCATAATTTTTGTGTCGATTTCCATCTAGATCCAAATTATAAAACAATTCATTTGAAGTTTGAACTGTATGCGCCGGAAATATATAAAAGTCGCGTCGAATCATAAAACAATTCCTTTTCAGAGATCTATTTGGAATGATATTTTTTTTAGATGAGTGATGAAAACTTGAGCCACCATGCAAACAAATAATCTTTAAATATAAAAAGTAGTGTAGCCCCACATGCGAGATTCTATGGGTTACATCAACATTATCATTGCAAACGATTGGACTTGTTTATCAAATTAGATTTCCGACAACTCATTTTCTTTCACCAAAAAAAATATATAGATTTCACAAAAAACAAGTTATTCAAGAAAGTAATTGCAAAGTCAACAATTTTTTCTATTTTTTTCAAGAATATACTATATACGGAAAAATAATATCGGAGTGCTAGTTGGTATTTGAAAAAAAATGAAAATTAATTTCTAGATAGTATTGTTGCTTTTTTGTGCATCAGTTAGACGTGGAAAATAGAACTTAGCTATCTATTGTCGAGGTTCCTATTTGCTGTATTACTCTACAAACGAATCAATGCTCCAAAGCTGTTTACGTGGGGGAATTTCGATGTTACAACAACTTGTGTTTCTACCCAGGGCAGGTCCTGAAAATTAGGGGGCTATAAACAATTTAGTGGGATTTTAAAATTTTGGGAGCCAAAAATATTTTTTTTACAAAATTTGGGGGCCAAAACTTAAGTAAAAATCACTCTAGAAAAGTGGGGACCAAAACAAAAGTTTCGGCATGCAGCCCACAGGGCCAGCCCTGTTTCTACCAGAGAGACTTTCACCAAAGGCTATCGAAATTTCAAAAGAAAAAGTTTTTAGGAAAGAAAATCATATCGTGGATGTTACGGACCGAAGTTTCTTAACACTCGGATACAGCTTTTTAGATTTTCCGATTGAAAAATAAAAAATCACAAACTAATTCAAAAATTTCGCTCCCAGGCACGAGATTCGAGAACGGTCTTTACCCAGTTCCCATCACTTTCGATTACCACTTTATCCAAAAGGTCTTTTCCCGAATAAGCAAATTTTTCAAAAAACCCTAGAACTCTGGTTTAACGTGCCCGGGTTCCACCCCCGACTCGGAGTCGGAGGGTCCTCAACACCGCCGGTAAGCAAGTTTTCTTCTCTAAAACCCTAGTTCTCCATCTACCGCTTCCATCTACCTTCCGGTGCTACATTCCCGCTACACATACGAAGCAAGAAATACTTGAAGTGAGACTCACACAACCGCTTAAAAGACGAAAATGGCGACAAGAATCCCGTACGCAGACAAGGGTAAAGGGATTGCTTACCCGACTGACTCCAGCCAACGGAAGCAAATAAGAGCTCCGGAACTGGACACCTCAGACCTGGTCAAAGACAATGCGCTCACGCTCATAGGGCGACTGACAAATCCAAGGGAACAGAAACTACGTGCTATGTTCTCGTTCTTCACAGATCGCTGGGAACTGAAGAGTAGCTTTGAAGGGTCGGACCTGGGATACGACTGCTTTCAACTTAGATTCAACCTACAGGAAGATCTACACAAAGTCCTAGAGAATAGACCATACCAGTTTGGAAAATGGATGGTGGTCCTCCAAAAATGGGAACCGATAATTTCCACAAGCTTCCCATCCCAGATCCCTCTCTGGGTGCGAATCAAAGGGCTCCCGCTCCACTTCTGGAAGAAAGAGCTTCTCTGCGACATCGGTAGGGAACTAGGAACCTTCCTAGGATACGAAATCACCAAACTTGAAGCCAAGATCCATGTCTCCATAGACGCACTAGCCCCCATCGTAAAGGAAACAGTAGTGGAATTTGCATCGAGGGACGAAACCCTAGTAACGCTGGAATATGAAAGACTGGATTTCCACTGCTCTATTTGCAACAAGCTAACACATGCTTCAAGAGAGTGTGGAGAAAAAGCTACTGGACCTACAGAAAGGGCTGACCTCAATCAAAGAAACATCACCAAACCGCAGCAAAATCAAGATGGAGGAAGAGGAAACAGAGAGAGTAGAGGCGACAGAGAAAGGTCACCTGACTTTAGTCATCGGAGGGATCGACATGGCAGAGCGTACGGAAGTCGGGTCCAGTACAGCAACCGGGGGAGTGAAAAAAGTAGAGAAAGGTCCATTGAGTCAAGCACAAACCGTAGCTACAGAACGACCAGAGATACTCAAGAGAGACGCAGAGAATACCCAAACCGGGAGGTTGAGACCTCCAACGGAACGGGAAGAGATATGCGCAACTACCTACAAGACAGGAGAGAGTCAACTGGTCGGAGACACCTCCCTGAACTACAATGGAGAGAGAAACCCGGAAGCAGACATCCAAGAGAGGAAAGCTTACCAGTGGTAGCGGAGAACTCTATATTCAGGACGCCAACAAGAGAAATAGGAGAGGAGGTACAGCGAACCACCTCAATCCCCACCACGGAAGAGGTGATGGAAGACTTACAGGACGTGACTATCCAGTATGCAAACTGTTCTGACCCCATTGAAAGAGCTGCAAGATTAAGAAGAATACTCCAATCAGAAGAGCAAGGGCTGATGGCTACAACTGCGGCACAAATAGTAGCTACAGCGACTGAGAACTATTACCGGACACTCCAGTACGATCAGGAGGAACAGCCACCTCCAAGAGTGGACCTGGCTGAGGTCTTAACGGAAGTTGTAACGGAGATGGTACCGGAATCACAGAACGTCCCGAAGAAAAGAAGAGGCCGACCCTCAAAGAACAAGAGGACCAGTCCCATGATTGGAACAAGCCTGAAAGCGAGAAGATTCACATCAATCAATGGAGGTACATCAAAGGGTGCGGGACCGTCTAACAGAAATGGAATGGCAACAAAGAAAAAAACAGAAAGAGGGAAGCGTCACAAACCCTGTGGGTACGATCGTACCAGCTATCTCAAGAACAACGGTGGATTTTTGGCATCCACCAAGTTCAATTCCTTAAAAATAGCGAGCTGGAACTGTTGTGGGCTGGGAAATCCCATGATAGTCCAGCGACTGGGAGGAATACGCTCAAGTATTCGCCCTGACATCCTATTCCTCATGGAAACAAAGAATCCCGATGACTTTGTCCTACAAACCCTACAATGCGAAGAGTATGAGGCACATGTACTAGTCTCACCCCACAACCCTGGTGGAGGAGGTCTAGCCCTATTCTGGAAAAAAAGATTTGGAGGTTGAGGTTCTATTCACCTGTCAAAACTTCATCGATACACGCATCAAGGCGCAGGGGAAATGTTTCTACGCCTCCTTTGTATACGGGGAACCTGATCAATCAAAGAGACAAGAGGTGTGGCAAAGTATGATGGATAAAACAAACGGTAGAACAGAACCGTGGATACTCACAGGGGATTTCAACAACATCATAGAATCAGTAGAGAAGAAAGGAGGGCCAGTACGGCCGGAGAGCTCTTTCACCAATTTCAGGACATTTATGTCTGAATGCGATCTTTATGACCTCCGTTTCTCCGGAAACTTCTTCTCCTGGAGAGGACAATGAAATGATCATCTGGTTAGATGCCGATTAGATCGTTCAATGGCAAATAGTGCGTGGGCGGAAGAATACCCCACAGGAAGAAGCGAATACATACGCTTTGAAGGGTCAGACCACAGACTGATCATCACCATATTCGACCCCACCAGAAAGAGGAAGAAAGGCCTGTTCAGATATGACCGGAGACTGAAGGACAATGAGGAAGTGCAGAAACTCATCTTTGAAGCCTGGAATACAAATGAGATGGACACAGTGGAAGAGAAAATAAGCCACTGCAGGAAAGAGATAATAAGATGGAACAAAGAGAAGCATCGAAATAGCAAAGAGAAAATAGAAGTGTTCCAAGAAAGACTGGAAACAGCAATGACTGATGAACTAAATAATGGTGCACTCATTGAGGAACTAAACCGGGGGCTAAGAGGAGCTTACCAAGAAGAGGAGGCGTTCTGGAAGCAGAGGAGCAGACAACTCTGGTTGGCTTTGGGAGAAAAGAACACCAGCTATTTTCACGCTGTGACAAATGGGAGAAAGGCGTCAAACAAATTCTCAGTTATAGAAGATGAAGACAATAATGTAGAATTTGAAGAGAGTAAAATCACGAAGGTAATTACTGATTATTACCAAAAGCTGTTCACCTCGGAAGAAGGAGAAAGGAAAGAAACAGTTTCCCAAGCGTTGAAACCCTGTATATCGGAGGAGACAAAACAAGGCCCTAACACGGCTACCATCACCGGAGGAAATAAAAGAGGCGTGCTTCTCCATTCATCCGGACAAGGCCCCGGGACCGGATGGTTTCTCAGCATGTTTCTTCCAGTCCAACTGGGAAACAGTGAAAACAAAGCTCATCTCGGAGATACAACAATTCTTCACCACCGGGATCCTACCAAACAACATCAATGCAACTCATGTCAGACTAATCCCGAAGATCACAAGTCCGAAGAAAGTCTCAGACTATAGACCCATAGCCCTGTGCAATGTCTACTTCAAAGTGATATCGAAAATACTTACCTTGAGGCTCCAGCCGGTCCTCAATGGTATGATATCAGAAAACCAATAAGCCTTTGTGCCAAAGCGAGCAATTTCCGACAATGTCCTCATCACACATGAAACCCTGCATTACTTGAAGACATCAAAAGCCAAGAAACAATTTTACATGGCGGTCAAGTCAGACATGACAAAAGCATATGACAGAATCGAATGGGAATTTGTCAGACTAGTGCTACAACGACTCGGGTTCGATAGCAAATGGGTCCAATGGGTAATGCAATGCCTAACCACTGTGTCATACTCTTACCTTATCAACGGAACAGCACAAGGCATGGTTAAGCCGACAAGAGGGATACGTCAAGGTGATCCACTATCCCCGTATATCTTCATATTGTGTAGTGAAGTACTCTCAGGGTTATGCAACAGAGCCCAAGAAAATGGAAGTTTACCGGGAATAAGAGTGTCCAAGAGAAGCCCCAGAGTAAATCATCTCTTATTTGCAGATGACACGATGATCTTCTGCAAGGCGAACCCAACGACCTGCAACACCTTATTAAACATTCTCCGCAAGTATGAAACGGCTTCAGGGCAAAAGATAAATCGCACCAAATCTGCCATTACGTTCTCAGCAAAAACAAACGCTGCAGTTAGACAACAAGTTAAGAATGCACTCGGAATTCAACAAGAAGGAGGAGTGGGCAAATATCTGGGGTTACCTGAGCATTTTGGAAGAAGGAAGAAGGACCTCTTCAGCCAGATAGTAGACAGAGTGAAGCAGAGAGCCCAAAGCTGGTCCACCAAGCGATTATCTTCCGCAGGATAGCTAACTATGCTCAAGTCAGTCCTAGCAGCAATGCGAACGTACACCATGACGTGTTTCAAATTACCGGTATCCCTCACAAAATGCATCCAATCGGCCCTGACAAGATTTAGGTGGGATGGAAACGATGAGAAAAGAAAAGTATGCTGGATTGCATGGTTAAAACTCACAAAATCAAGAAAGGAGGGAGGACTTGGGTTCAGAGATTTACCATCTTTCAACAATGCTCTATTAGCAAAAGTGAGTTGGCGCATACTCACACAACCAACGTGTCTCTTGGCACGTATCCTCCTGAGTAATTATTGCCATGAAGCCCCGTTTCTAGACTGCAAGATACCCACCACAGTGTCACATGGATGGAGAGGCATATGTGAGGGAAGGGAGCTGATTAAGCCGTTTGTAGGCAAAGCAATTGGCGATGGAAAAAGTACAAGAGTCTGGCAAGACCCATGGCTGTCTTTGGATGACCGGACAGCCCCAATAGGACCACCTACGGAGGAGGCACAAAACATGTTAGTCGCCGAACTAATGTCACCCCACACCGGGAATTGGGACATCGACAAAATCAGAACCACTATCCCAGAGTGGGAGGCTTCAATTCTAGAGATTTAAACAAGCAAATTGGGAGCAGAGGATACCTTTGTATGGCTCCCATCAGATTTGGGTGTCTACACAGCAAAGTCGGGGTACTACGAGTCCCTGAAACAAACCCAATCAGAGTTAAATGAAGACCAAGGCGATCAAGGAGAGCAGGTGCAAGGGTTCAACTGGATAAAGCATATATGGAATATACACAGCGCACCAAAACCAAAGATGTTATTATGGAAAGCTATGAATAATGCCTTACCAGTGGGAGAAAACCTCAAAGCACAAAACATCAACTCTGAGATGCGATGCCCATACTGTGGAGAAGAAGAAACAACGGCACACATGCTCTTTCACTGTAACCACGCAGCCCAAATCTGGAGAATAGTGCCTTGCAAGGATCAAATCGAGCCATTGAGTATTGGGGATATTAGAGCAGGAATCGAAATGTCACCATATATGAGATGCTTACCACCCATTGGTGTTGGAGAAGGACCGATTTTTCCTTGGATTGTATGGAGGATTTGGATAGCAAGGAATCAGCTCATGTTCGACAACAAGCACCAAACTATTGAGGAAACGGTGAACCAAGCGATAATCCTGGCAAAAGAGTGGCAGATGGCACAACATCACACAAGGAGGAAGGAATCAGCGGGAGCAAAGCGGATCCCCACACTACGGAAGATCTCAGGAGAAAATAAGATGACATGCAAAACCGATGCGTCTTGGAGAGAAGACAAGCGCTCGGCGGGGTTCGGATGGATCATGCTCAGGCAATCGGCCAATCAAGCGGAGGAGATAGTAGAGCAAGGAGGAGAAGCACGAGATCACATCAGATCACCGCTCACGGCGGAGGGAGTGGCAATACTCACGGCGCTCACCCGAGCAAGAGACATCGGAATCAAACAAATCACAGTCGCTTCAGATTCACATCAGTTAATCAGGGCAATTAACAAGGAGTTTCTCACCAAAGAGTTCCATGGGATTCTCCACGACATCCTGGATCTATCAAAAGTGTTTGAGAAAATCGAATTTGTTTGTACCTAGGGAGATGAACAGGCAAGCCGATAATCTCATTAAACGAGCATTTTCCGTTTTCTGTAAGGACCCGATTTAATTTTTAATGAAAACCATTTATTTGCACAAAAAAAAAAAGATTTTCCGATTGAAATATACATTTCCATCCTAAAGATGTTGGTTCAAGAGAACCAACCATCCCAAAGGAATTACACCTTGTTAGAATAAATTTTTTCTTCAAAAGAAAACATTATTTATTTTTCTTATGAAAGAGGAAAGGATTTTTTTTTTTTTTTTTTATGACAAAGACGAAAGGAAAAAACATTACATTAGAGCGAAAAACCAAAAAAAAAACATCACATTATTAATTGGAGGCTCAGTTGAGAAGCCGCGAGATCGAAGCCGGATGGCCCACTATTGACTCTAGTTGTCAATATTAAATATAATTTCAAGTGGTCCTTCTAAAAATTTGGGGCATTTGCATTAGAAGAAAAAAAGATGGAATTAGCACTATAAAAAAAAAATCAACCTTCACAACTGTTTATTTATAACCAAAATATTAATTATTTCAAATGTCTTTATTTGGTCGGATATTTTTATTGCAGATGTCAAGGAGAAAAATCAAACATAACTTAAGAAGTGTTTGTGACGTAGCTCTAAACTTCATATTATACACGCATATTGTACGATTAGAAGTATAACGCGAGATCAAAGAACCCACAAAAACTAAAGTCACGAAACAATTATAACCGAAAATGATATGTGGACTAGTCAGCAAAGTGCTTTCCTAGGCTTAGGCTTAGTGTTAAATCATCACTTTCTTGAATTACTATTTTCTGCACTTATCCACGTTTTATTAATTTATTTGGATTGATAGACAAATGGGTAGAAGAAAAAAAAAACGTCGGTAATCCCATAGCCGTTTTCGCTATGAAGAGCAACAAATTGTGAAAAAAAATTTATCATCATGCTAACCACACATGCAGTATAGAAAAGATGAGATGTTATTTATAGGCAGAATATTTACAGAAAAAAAAACAAGATATGTTAAAATCATTTGAAGCAGAATATGTTAATGTTCTGCTTACTATATTTTAAATCATTTCTAATATATATCACCATATTATAGTTCGAAGTATTAAAAATGCATATCACAAGTATTAACATGTTTTATAAGGATTTAGCAACTCTTAAAATATGCAAAATATTTATTTTTAATACACGCTATTCATTAAACAGACATCGTTTAAATTCAAAATGTATAAGTGTGAAAAGTCTCGCTGGTAACATAGAAACAATATGAAATGGAAAAGTAGTTAAAAATGTAATAGTTTCACTAGGCAAATAATTATTTAGTTCTTTGTGAAACCCAATTATGTAAAGTTTATTGTAACGGAGTCGTATCGCCCCAAACTGATAACTCCAAAGTGAGAGAATCATAGTTGGAGTCATCTAGATGTGGTTTAAATTTAGGGAGTGTTATTTCGTCATGTATTTAGAATAAAAATTTATTTAGGTTTTATAATTTTTTAGATTTAAATTTTTTGTTTATTGAGTTATTTTGAATAGCATTGGATCTTAAAATATTTTAATAATAGATTATAAATTATATATCGAATAACATTGTATTTAAAATCATAATTTAGAATAGTGGATTATAATTGAATTTCAATTCATTTCAAATATAACATCTAATAATATCCTCTTAGAATTTTTCTAACATATATTCAGTAGATTTTTTTTAACGTATATACAGAAACAAGAATTTATAAGATTAGACTTTGGGTCTAAAAACTCTATCAACTGTTAAACAAGGTAATTTTTTTTTAATAAGATTAGTTAGTTTTATGAAATCCCCACCGTTAAACAAGATAATAAAAAAAAAGAATTAATACACGTTTTTATGTCAGAGTACCATATAGATGAGAAAGCAAAGTTAAAGTCGCCGTGTTTCTTTTCCTTGGAGTCCAAGCTTCTCCGGCTTCCATAAGTTTCTCTTAGTTACTTACAGCTTCTAGATTAATGTATACTGTTGATTGTTAAACAGCTGCATAATCATGTTTTAGAATTATTGGGTCTTATCCAGTGACGCAAAACGCATTGTTTAATCACTTGATTAATAATTGATTATACCAAAAATAATAAAGAATGATTAAAAAACAAGTAAAAACAGTACAACATAGAAGGAAGTGAAAAACATTAGAAAGAAAGGACGGTGTCCAGACAAGCAAATATTCAAACCTTTGAATATGAAACAACATCATGTTCTCCAAGACAACCCCAACTTAATTTATTCTAATAATACCAAATTTATTAATCCCCATTATCGTATCTTGTCCACCATATATATGCATGTATATATACATCACCCATATCGTATTTTTCTAAGATTTCTTCATTCGTATCGAATTATACATCTCATACCAATATTTGAGAGAAAAAAATATTATCGTAGAAGTAAAATTTCACTTTGAATTCTAACTATCCATTTTCAACTATTGATTAATCGCTACCTTTTTTTAACTCAAAATCATACACATTTAGACGTTGCAAACAAATGTGCTTAGTATATATAAATGTCTATGTCTAGTCATTACTCATGTTAACTGTTAAGTAAGTAATTAACAAGGTCAATGGGCGGCAACAATTTTTATTTTCAAAAATTCTTTATTTTTTTATCATCAACATGGTATACTTAAAATCAAAATATGAACAAATTGCACTCGTATATATACATATATGCATATGGGTGGACGTGTATATAAATGTACGAATTGTGTCTCTCATCACAACACGTATTTTGATAACCTTCACTTCCCATAATCTCTCTAACTCTCGCTCTTATTCAGAGATCTTTCTAAGTTGATTCTCATGGATCCACCGTTCAACGAAATATACAAAACCCTCTTGTATAACCAGATCACAAACACACAAAACAATGTTCCCAAAACACCCTTTAGCTTCTCTGTCACGGCCGTCGTAGAAGAGGTGGAGCTTCCGGTGATTGACGTCAGCCGTCTTATCGATGGAGCCGAGAAGGAGAGGGAGAAATGCAAGGAAGATATTGCGAGAGCTTCGAGAGAGTGGGGATTTTTCCAAGTTATAAATCATGGAATATCAGTGGATGTGTTGGAAAAGATGAGACAAGAGCAAATTAGGGCTTTTAGAGAGCCTTTTGACGAGAAAAGTAAGTCGGAGAAGTTCTCTGCCGGGAGTTACCGGTGGGGAACGCCGACAGCCACTTGTCTCCGGCAGCTTTCTTGGTCAGAAGCTTTTCATGTTCCCATGACAGATATTTCTGACAACAAGGACTTCACTACCCTCAGGTACATGAATATTGTTATTAACTAGACTTGTTTAATGGTAATAAATATTTAAAATTCTAATTATTGTATAGAATAAATGTGGAGAATATCCCCAATAACAAGAGGGAAACCAAAATATACTTCTCCTTTAACAAAAAACTTGAATTTTCGTTAGCTAATTCTAGACTTCTAGTAACACCTAGAAACATAGAGATTTACTGTTTCTATTAGAAACTTTCTAAGAGTAATGATGTAACTAACACAATTTGCAGAGCAATTTCATTAATTAGTGAAAGATTAGGAATATGGGAGTCAAACGCAATTTTTTTTTTTTTTTTTTTGTCAACAGCCTAAATTCCTATACCGGTCCGGGAAGCGGAATCGGGGGAACTGAGTTTATGTAATACACATCATGGGGCTGAGCTCGAGCACTCCGTGCTAGCTTGTCTGCCCTTGTGTTCTTCGTTCTGGGAATGTATGTGAGGGAGAACGCCTGGAACATCCCTCTACAATGCTCCACTTCTTCAAGCAAGATCGCAAAAGCTGGCCACTCGGCAGGTTTGGACACCATCTTCACCAACTGAGCGCTATCTGTTTGGAAATTCATCCGTCGTTTGTTATGGACTAGCATACTTTGCATAGCCCAAACCAATGCCTCCAATTCTGTTTGAAGAGGAGATAAACCCCGCCGTAGGTTGCTAGACCCCATCAGGACAGAGCCCGAATCCGGGTCAAAATTGTACCATCCAAGTCCAGCCCGACTGTCTGTCACTTTCCACGCTCCATCAATCTGACACCACTCTCCCGGTGGGACGTGGCCGGAGTTGATGGAGATACTATTGGATACTCCGTCTGCTACCGTTTGTGCTGCTACCCATGCCCGGGATTCCGTTATCGCAGATTCCATTACTTCCTGCGGATTTTGATCATCATTTGAGAAAACTTTGTAATTACGAGCTTTCCAAATAAACCAGAGTAACCATGGATACATCAACATGTCATCATTGTCTGGGAGGTTCCAGAATAGATGTGCCATATTTGAGTACAGTGCTCCCGTAGGAAAAAACTGGGGAGGCGTAGGTATGGGAGAGAGTGCCCAGGCCTGTCGGGCCGGGGGACACTCAAAGAGCATATGATTGATAGTCTCATCTCCCATACCACATCTCACGCACAGTGGGTCCACACGCATTCCCCGACTACATAAACGTGCGCCAACCGATAAACATCCGGTAATAATTTGCCAGAGAAAATGTTGGAGTTTTGTGGTGCATTTAACCTTCCAGGATTGCGCTTGCAATCTCCGAGTGTCCGGTCCAAAGACTGGTAGTGTCCCCTCATCGGAAAGCTCCTGTAGCACAGTATATCCCGATTTAACCGTATACCGACCCGTTGTTGTATAAAACCAGCCCCAGGTATCGGGTTTATATCCAGTAGCCACTGGTATACCCGTAATGCGAGTGATTTCCTCACTCTCAAAAAATTGTTGCAATAGTGGTCGATTCCACGTTGAGGTCTGGGAATTAATTAACTGATTCACCGTGAGGTGTGGGTAGTAATTAATTCCTTTACAGATAGCTGGCCTCGGGCAAGAATCGGAAATCCAGGGGTCATACCATACAGATATAGATGAACCTGAACCAACTCTTTTAATAAGTCCTTTGCATACCAGAGGTCGAGCTGAAACGATACTCTGCCATCCATAAGATGGAGAGTAAGAGCGAATTGGGTCCAAGGGGGTTGAGTTCCGAAAATATCTCCCCTTGAAAACTTTAGCAAACAGGGAATCCGGGTTATCCATTAGGCGCCATAACTGTTTTGCGAGTAGCGCTGTGTTAAAATCTTCTATTACCCTAAATCCCAGTCCCCCGTCAGTTTTATGTCGACACAGCTTCCGCCACGCGAGCCAATGCATACCCCGTGTTTGGGAATTTGTGCTCCACCAAAAATTTGCTACCGCACTTGTTAGTTTATTTGTTACTCCCTTTGGTAATCTAAAACATGACATGACATGTGTCGGCATCGCCGAAAGTACAGACTTGACCATTACTTCTTTTCCCCCTTTAGATAGAACCTTAGATGTCCAGCCGTTTATCCGCTTCTGCTGTCTATCGATCAAGAAACTAAAAATCTTTGTTTTGGCACCCCCCAAGCTCTCTGGGACACCTAAATAGTTACCAACTCCCCCGACCTTATGTATACCTAACATCTGATGAATCTCCGCACGTACCGTTGTCTCCACCGTATGGCCAAATTGGATAGATGATTTATCAAAATTTATTTTTTGGCCTGATGCCCGTTCGTAGTTCTGAAGAATTTGTAGTAAAACTGCACTCTCCTCAACCGATGCCTTGCAAAAAAATAAGCTATCATCCGCAAATAGTAAATGTGATACTGGTGGGCTTGCACGAGCCACCTTCAGACCCGTTAGAGATTTAACAGATTCTGCCCGTTTAAGATTTGATATCAAAACTTCTGTACAGAGAATAAAGATGTAGGGAGATAAAGGATCTCCCTGACGTAGGCCCCTATTCGGAGTTATTTTTCCCCGTGGTTGCCCGTTGATGAGTACTTTATACACAACCGACTTTATGCATTTCATGATCCACCCGATCCATCGTTCTCCGAATCCCATCTTCCGCATTGTGGCTTCAACAAATTGCCACTCAACTCGATCATACGCTTTGCTCATATCAGTTTTTACCGCCATATACTTTCCCTTACAAGACTGTTTGTCCTTAGGCCATGAAACATTTCTTGTGCTATCAGAATATTGTCCGAGATCAGTCTCCCTGGGACAAAAGCTGACTGGGTCTCCGAAATTAGCTGGGATAGTACCGTTTTCAACCTCTCACATAATACTTTAGAGATAATTTTATAGCCCACATTACATAGACTAATTGGGCGCAGTTCCGTCATCCGGGTAGGACGCTCTGTCTTTGGGATTAAGCAGATGTTCGTCAAATTTAATCTGTCATCAAAGGCTCCCGTTATCAAGAAATCATTAATAAGCCCCAAAATATCCGTTTTTATTAACGGCCATGATTTTTGAAAAAATAAGGCCGTCATCCCGTCCGGTCCGGGAGCTTTCTCCGGGTTCATCAGAAACAGAGCCGCCCGCACTTCCTCTTCCGACGCTGGGCGTCAAACGCAATTTTAATTCAGTATATCGCGGTTTTGAAGCACATAATAGAGTACTGTCATTTGTATATTTAATTACTATTTTATTTGGTACTTTTAAATAAATAAATAAACAAATCCTTGAAATTCAAGTTGTTGGGCATCGTTGGGTCAAAGTTTTATTCTCCATTTCTCATGCGCTTCTATGTTTTCCCAGTTTTGTATTACTAATTTTTTAATACGTCTAATTTCTAGATACTTAGATAGCAAGTTGGCATGTGATATACAAATGAATAAATAGATACAACTATCAAGACTTTTCAAGCAAGAAAAAAATAAATATTGTCTTTGATTTAAAAATCTTAAAATAGTTATTTGTTTTATTTTTATTTTTTTTTCGTTAACAAACATAGTTATCTACTCTTTGCTTCTAAGTATTCGTAAGAATTTCGTTAACTTCAATTTCATGCTAGCAATGTTTGATTTTCGAAAACAATGGCCTTTTAAACTGCACTAGCTGGCAGCTGTGCCGCGGAATAGTTTTTCTAGACATCAGCCCATTGTTATGTACCAATTGTTGTCATATTTTCTCAATAAAAAATGGGATTCAGACCAACTGATTTTGGTCGGTTTTTGTCGACAGAAAATAATCGAGTTGCTTCCGGAAAAAAAAACATCAACCAAAACTCATTAGAAAACATTTGACTGGCGTTTACATCTGAAATTATTTAAAACTTTTAGCATGTCTTACACAACTTCAAATCACTATACCACATACCTGTCATGAACCTAAAGTACATCAACTGCGCTTTTATATTTAGGATATCTTGGTTATAACTAATAACATATACTTAGGACTTGGAGTATATTATAGTTTATCAAAAAAAAAAATATATGTGGGATAATGTTACCGTTTTCCGGCAATGTAGATTAATTAGTATTCATAATTTTCTTCTTATTGTGTGATGTAAAAAAAAAAAAAAAAAAAAAAAAAAAAAAAAAATCCTGAGAACCTCTAAAAACTTTGGTACGATCCTTGAAACACAGAAACACATATAGTACACTTAAATAATATAGATTACAGTACTACATGGTGAGGAAAGAAGGAAGAGTCACGAGAAAACTGTCTGTCTGTTTAACAAAGAGGGATAATGGAAAGGGAAGAAGAAGTACTCGAACATGGCAGGCATATTTTATATACACACACATATATTATCTTCTTGTGATTAGCATGCATCATAGCATGTATGAGTATGTGCTGGAATCAGTACACATTCTTACATGTACTTGCATGCATGTGGTTATCTTACACATCTTATGCATTGTTTCAGCTTGTGTGTGTGTGTTTGTGTATACGTGTGACCACATATCTTTGCCACCTTTCATAGTTGGCGTCTCTTGATAAGTCACTTTTAGTAGCAATTTGACAATAAAATCTAAAGTTAAATTAATATAACACCCCGATTCAATACATTTTTTTTTTGGGGGGAATATTTGCATTTAGTTTTCAAGTTATGTTGAATTGTTGTGTTATAACTAATTAAATTTTGGACTTTAGAGGCAGAAACAGTTTTCTTGTTTAGAGCTCTTAGTATACTTTGGAACCTCTATATGATTTTTATATTCATTCTACAAAATGTTCAACTGTTGATCCATAATCTCATCGAACTGAAAAGCAAAACCTTTTTTTGTCTAATTTAATCTAACCGGTATATAGTTCAATACAGTTTAAAAATTCTAATGATATTCAAAGATGATGTATATACAATGTATCCAAAAAGAGAAATGAATTAGAAAACCCAAAATTGGGAAAAGGGTCCCATGTTCCTAACAGGTAGGAGATATCTCTATCATAGAGAAGCAATGGGTTGGACACGTACACGTACCTCTCTTCCCAACCTGGTTAAACCCCCTTATCTTTTCCTTTTTCTTCTCGTCTTGTTTCAGTCTCTCCCCTGTTTTGGGACCCTTCTCCATTACAACTAACACATGTCTCTCAAACTTTCCTGCTATTTCACCATCTTACGTGTGAACTAAATCACGTTTTACAGAAATTAATTTCTTTCTATATGTGGTCATTATTTTATTTTATATATGTATGTTCATATTTAGAAAAAAAAAGTTCATCTTTTGTCCGTAATCAGGTTTGAACCAATAAGGCAATAACTAACCATTATCACTTTATCAGTAGAGAAATGCAGAACGATATAATTGTTTTGTTCTACCCAATAAAATCATCATGTAATAAGAGATTTCTGCTATGTCGCTTACCATTTTGATTTTATGGTTTCATGGTTTTTTTTTTAAAGCAATTAACGATTTTATTACTATATGATTTTGCAAAGTTTTCACCTTTTTATAACAATTTTGCCATTTCGCAAAATCAGTTAGTACAATTTTTCTATGAATGTATTATATTTTACACCTTAATGTACACAATATATTGATCATGTCATAACTTTTTCTAGCTTTTGTATCACAGCTCAACTATGGAGAAATTTGCTTCAGAAGCGGAGGCTCTAGCGTATAAGTTGGCAGAGGTTCTTGCAGAGAAATCAGGACGAAGATCAAACTTCTTCAAAGAAAACTGTGTGCGAAATACTTGTTACCTAAGGATGAACCGTTATCCACCTTGTCCGAAACCATCGGAGGTGTACGGATTAATGCCACACACGGACAGTGATTTCCTCACAATCTTGTATCAAGATCAAGTTGGAGGACTCCAACTCATCAAAGACAATAAATGGATCGCCGTTAAACCTAATCCTCGCGCTCTCATTATCAACATTGGTGACTTATTTCAGGTAATTAATCTTACATAAGCTTAAGGGTTCTGCTGAACAGAACAAAAAAGTTTTTTTAGTGTTTTAAGATTATTACGCGAAACTCTATCTAATCAAGTGGTTTCGGTATTTGATCATTCAAAAAATTATGTTTTATTAGGCATGGAGCAATGACATGTACAAAAGCGTGGAACATCGTGTGATGACGAATCCAACGGTGGAGAGATTTTCAACGGCGTATTTTCTATGTCCATCATACGACGCTGTTATAGAATGCTCAAGTGAGTGTCCTGCCTACAGAAATTTCAGCTTCAGAGAGTTCAGACAACAAGTTCAAGAGGATGTTAAGAAGCTTGGCTTTAAAGTTGGTCTCCCTAGGTTCCTTAATCATCTCTATTAATTTTACATTTAAAGTTTTCTTCATTATTTTTTATTTATGAAAGGTAGTTTTTTTCTTTATTCTTAATTTAGGTATTATGATTCATTTGAATTGTTTTTGTTCTGATTTTTTTTCATAATACTGATTTTTCTTAGTAGTAGACGGTTTATAAAGGTAAAAAATGAACTTGATTAGATATCATTTGAAATCTTTCTTTGGATCAAAGTTGTATTGTAACAACTTAAAGCAAAACATTCCATTTTCCTCAAACTAAAATCAAATGTATAAAGTTAGAAGTTAAACCGAAATCGAAAATGGTTCGTTTAACCAAAATTAATATGAGTCAAATGTATGGGATCCGGATAAGAAAAAAAAAAAAAAGAGAATACGAAAATCCTTTGAAAAATATTTTGTATTTTAGAATTTGTTTCTATTACAAAATTTCCAAAAAATTTCAGAAGATATTAGACGAAGGGTCACGATAAATAATTAGATAAAAACAATTTAAAAAAAAAAAGAAAAAAAAGAAAAAGAAATGGCTTTCCTCTCGGCGATGAAGTTGCAGGGACGTCCGCCACCGATTTCGTCCAACCTCAACCAAAATTCCAAACCTGCAAGTTCGGATTCCGTTTCCTTTAACACCTCCGAACCTGGCTCCGAACAACAGCCTCGGAAATTTAGCTCGAAGCTCAGTCGCTGGAACAGAGCACGGGCCTTAAAGTCCGGCGTTAAGCTTGACCGTCCGGTTAATAATGGTTCAGACAGCACGACCGGTCCGAGGCGTCCGATCGTAAATTCAAACCCCTCTGATATTTCGACACTAGACAGTGACGTGTCACCAAGTGACGGAGAAATCGAAACGGATTTGACGGCGGCTAAGTCGATTTACATAGTCTCTGACGGAACCGGATGGACGGCAGAACACGCCGTTAACGCTGCCTTGGGCCAATTCGATTATTGCTTGGTCGATCGTGGCTGCCCCGTAAATACATATCTCTTCTCAGGGGTATGCTCGTCTTTCACTTCTCTTATTTTCAGTTTTGGCTAAACCGAACCAAAGTCAGTTTACGGATTTTTAAAAGAACCGAGAATTAAACCGAACCAAATCAGTGGTAGACCTTATTCTGTTTGAAAATGTCGGTATTTCAATTTTCACAACGCGAATAGTTCGGGTTTTGGCTCAACCGAACCGAAATCAATTCGATTTGATTTAAACCGAAACTGAATCAATTTGTTTGATTTGATAACCGAATCTTCAAGATTGAGGATGGAGAGAAGCTAATGGAGATCATAAAGCAAGCTGCAAGAGAAGGAGCAATGGTGATCTACACATTAGCTGATACATCAATGGCGGAAGCAGCCATGAGAGCTTGCAAGCTATGGAGTATTCCTTCACTAGACATGCTCGGACCAATCACACACGCAATCTCCTCACACTTGGGAGCTAACCCTTAAAGCAAGCTGCAAGAGAAGGAGCAATGGTGATCTACACATTAGCTGATACATCAATGGCGGAAGCAGCCATGAGAGCTTGCAAGCTATGGAGTATTCCTTCACTAGACATGCTCGGACCAATCACACACGCAATCTCCTCACACTTGGGAGCTAACCCTTCCGGTCTTTCACGCGGCGTCACAAACTCATCTCTCAACGAAGATTACTTCAAGAGAATCGAAGCGATCGAGTTCACAATCAAACACGACGACGGTGCCTTGCCCGACAATCTTGAGATAGCAGACATTGTTCTTGTAGGTGTCTCTAGGACAGGCAAGACACCACTCTCTACTTACTTGGCTCAGAAGGGTTACAAAGTCTCTAACGTACCGATCGTGAACGGTGTAGATCTTCCCAAGACTCTGTTTGAGATCGACCAGCGAAAGGTTTTTGGTCTGATGATTAATCCGTTGGTGCTGCAAGGGATAAGGGAAGCTAGAGCCAAGAGTCTTGGACTTGGCTCGAGTTTTAAGACTCAGTACTCTGAGTTGAGTTCTGTTAAGGAAGAGCTTGAGCTTGCTAAGAGAATCTTCGCTGAGAATCCGACTTGGCCAGTGATCGGTAAGACTAAATACAATGAAAAGAAATTTAAAAGAATTTAATTAAGAAATAAAGAAACTGAAGTTTGTATTGTTTTGTTGTTTCAGAAGTGACAGAGAGAGCAATTGAGGAAACTGCGGCAGTGGTTTTGAGGCTTTACGACGAGAGACAAGGCAATCGAGCAATGCCTCGCATCTCTAAATCCTACTAAGTAAAACATTTCTTGGAAGAAATTATAGAGACAAAGATACTAGTTTGATAAAACCCCATTACCATACTATTGGGCCAAATTTTTAAGTCCATACAGATACTAGCCCAAGTTGGAAACTGCTGTGTGCATTTTTGTTATTTCCACAAAACTATTAACAAATAATCAAATAATCATTTTTTATTTTAGTTTATAAATTCTCAAATTAATAACTAAGCGTTAAACTCTTAGCAAAAGTATATGTAGTAAACTATATTATTCCTTACCTACTTTGATCTTAGATTGTGATTAGCAGTTTAGCACAAATCCCCCGATTGCAAAAGTATTTATTTATATATATTATAGCTATGATGTTATCTTTACAGTTTACATGTACTTATCATATATGACATGATGGAACACTAATTTATATAGTATATGATATGGATGTTAGTAATGTGACCAATAGCAGTTGTAACAGTATGTAATATGAACAGTCTTGTTAGTCAAGAAATGTAGGTGTGGTTTTGACCAATGATAGTACGATCATAGTTAAAACAATGAAACAAAATATTTAATTTTACAGATAATGAAGTGTACAATTTTTTTTCCCACGTCAAATGTGATCAACAACTGGAATTTTCTATTTCCCCCAATCGGATACCCCATTTATCATACTCCAAAATCCACGCCATAACTTAAATGGAGAGGTTTGGATTTGTTTGGCAACATTTCAACATCCAACTTTTAAAAGCACATGTCAACTTTGGTTGTTATCAGCAAAATTCAAAATGTGTTATATGATGTATATACATTGGTAGGTAATATATTCTTTCAATTTTGTCTATGATAGTGAGATGATACTTTATGGTGATCCAAATACTTGAAGACACCTAAATCTGGTAATAGCTTAGGTGAATAGCATGTGGTGACACTTCAATCCTTCACGCTTATGTAGGTTCTTTTTGTTAAGATGGTCCATATTTTACCCCAAGTTTGAATATTTATTCTTACAAAAAGCAATAACTAACATCAGATCTTTAGTACTACACTACTACTACATGGGGAAATTTGGTATAGATCCCGGCTAATTCTGAATGAGTTTCATAATGGGAAATGCCTTTTTATGAAATTATTAGATCTTTTAACAGAAGTACGATTAGATGGGGCATGAAAAAACCAAAGCCAAACTAAAATAATTGATAAGATAATAAAATTTGGATTATGAATAAAAGATATATTAATGGAAAAAGACAAAAAATCACACGAGCGGAATAAACTCAACTTCATTTAATTCTAGGTAACACGACTCAAATTTTCTCTATTTGAAACCCAAACCAAAGCTAAAATCGCTCACGACAGCGTGCCCACTTCCCACTTTCTCTCTCTTACTGTTTTCTTTTTTTCAAAAAAAAAAAAATTATACAGAAATTATAATTGTCACAACCTTACGCTCTTCATTTTTTTGTAATGTTCTTCTGATTCATCTTCTCAAATGTAGGTCGGTCAGATTTTGGCATGTGCTATAGCCACAAACTTAGGTCGGTCCATATCATATATGTGTATATATATATATGCTCTTCTTGTACTTTTACTATTAGTCTAGAGGCATATCTCCGGGATTAGACTTGCTGATCGAGAGAGTAAATATGATTAGCAAAATTGATCCCATGCTTGACCTGTCACAAGAATTAGCATTCCATCAGTACATATTCGTCAGAAACAACTTTACTTATTAAACTGTGATAGATACTCTGATTTTCGGTAGCATGTCGTATATGACTTAATGTCATATACGTGTTGATATGTATTAAGTCAAATCAGAATTCTAAACATAATAATGGCTAACAATTATTTAATTGATCCAAAAACTGGAATTGACAAAACAATAACCCTGAACATGTTTTTATAGTAATTAATTATAGATGCATTTTGAGTTCTACAGTTTTAAACATCTTATATTCCATGATTAACATATCTTTTCGGTTAATTAAATAAATAAATTATGTTGAAATTTGAAAAAAGGAAGAGAGAGTACTTACAAAGTTGCAAAGAAGAGGACGATTTTCTTCGGATCAAGCATCCAAGAAGAATAAGAACGTTTAAAACTCGACTTTCTTGCAAAACCAAATCTTCTTTCCCTACTTTGGTCGGAAATTATATTTCCAGCGACGGCAGAAGCCGTAGATACGGTGATCTGATGAAGCGGCAAGACTGAAACAGCGGTGGCTGCGGTTGTAACCGTGCCTGCATGATCTGTTGGCCCCACGTTGCTCGGCTTTTCCGGCGTGCCTGACCCTACAGCACATCAAGGATTCAAGATGCCATACCACAAGCTTTAATGAATAACAATGAATGATTCTTTTTCTTTATTTGATAAGACAAAATAAATTGAACCGTAACATATTCATTAGTAATTGTGTACCGAATTTAATAATAGTATGAGTGAGCATGCGGTGCAAGAGACTAAAAAGTTGGAACTTTGGAATATTGGTTAGTTTGTGGTCTGCATAAAGCTATCTAGGCAATTACTAATATATATCCAAAATAGTAATCAAGAAAGAGATAAAACGCTCCTATAATATATATCCAAAATAGTAATCAAGAAAGAGATAAAACGCTCCTATTCGTTGATCTTGTAAATATGTATATACATAATGTATTAATGTGTCTTACATAGATTACAAGCATGACGTACAAAGTTAGGTAGTATTTTATGGAAACAAAAATTAAAAAGAGAACTGGTGAAGTTTCGTTCTAAAATACATATATAAATCTTTTTAGTTACGGTCCACAGCTAAAAAAGCATGGGTTGGTCACATTAACTAAATCCAACCTAACACTTTTCAATTCACACCTTGAAAAGGAAAATCATTGGTTTTAAGAAAATATGTTAAACTTTTATTTAGATTAGGCAAACCGATCCATCTTACATTGAAGATAACAATACCCAAAAACATTTCTTGAAGAGAAAAATATCCCAAGAAAATTGTTTGTTTCCATCCTAAAAAACCCAAATTACTTGTCAAGTCTTACGATTTTTTATTACTACCAGTCACAGATAAGCCCAAACCGAATTTATTAAAAGAATCTGCTAGGGCCATTTGATACAATGATACTATTAAGTAATATCACATAGTACCAAAAAATGAGCAAAGCAACAAAATGTACCATTGGGCTCTAGAAAAATGCATTTGTTCACATATGTGAAATGAATCTTTTTTCAATTTTAATTTTATTGAAATCTAATCGATGCATCAAGTATAAAAGGAAATTGTATCAGGAATATGACATCTACATTAATTTACGGATTATGGACATTATATATCAAGAATATTGAAACTGAAGAAGAATTAATTAAATTTTACCTCTAAGTGGGGACTGAGGAAATGAAGACTCCTTGTCATTACCATTTGCGTCACAATGGAGTTTCCTCTCGTTGTTGCTTCTTGGAGACCCTTTCCTCGAAACACTTCTCTGCAGCTTTTTTAAAAAAAAACTCAAAATCATTTTCCATTTCTCATTTTTCTTATTTTATAGCTACAAGAACTTAAAATCAATAATTGAGTTTCAGTAGAATCACTCCAAAAGAGAAATTAAAATATCTAAAACAGGCTTCAGGCCAAATGCCAGTTACAAGAAAGGAAACAGAGATATCCGTGAGATGATAGTAGTTTTGTGATTGCACGGAAACATATTTATGAAAACTGACACACTAAAGTCAACTTTCGATTAGAGTTTTTATTTTTATTTTTACTGAATGAGAAAATTGAAATCGACGACGAGTAGTTGGAAAGGTTATGAACGATTGTTTCATGATTCTCACAAACATTAAATAACCAAAAGACAAAAAAAAAACAAAAATAGAGTTTTGATGATTGAATATGAACAAAGTTTGGATTTTTAAAAACTTACAGTAATTCTGGGGCTGGACGAAGCGAAGTCTTTGTGGAAAACAGGAGAGAAACTTTCGACATCGATCGTCACAAACCCATCTGGGTTAACGGGTTTTTGAAACCCGGATCCAGTTTCCTGACTCGGAATCGCTCCACCGGTTTCCATCGGTCTTCGACTGGAACAAAACTAGAGAGAGAAAGAAAGAAACGATCATCAAGTTCATGAAGAAACAGAGAAGATCAAATTCTCGTAATTCTCTGTTACTATTTGAAATTATAAAAGAAAGAAGGAATCAATAAACTTACTTTTGAATTCAAGAGAGAGGCTTTGTAACGATTAAGACAGAGTCTATCAACGTCTCTATAGTGCTCTGTTATGCTCTGTTTCACGATGAAGAAAGGTGATTAAGGTTTTTGGTTGGAGACAAAAAGGGGAGAGATTCTGGGGAATGTCGAAACTGAAAGAGAGGAGAGAGGCTTTTTTTACTCTTTTATTTATGTGGCGATTTCTTCTAAATGGGTTGGTGCCTTTTGTATTTTTTAATAATTCATTTCTTAGAGATAGGAAGTAGTCACACGCACGAGAGATAAGAGATAGACTAATGAGTAATTACTTATTCCATAATCTTGATTCCGATGTTTAGTTTAACATTAGTTGATCTTAGTGGAATGATAGATGGAAGAATATGTTTACATTTTCTACTATTATCACGAAACCTTTGATTTAAAGTTTGGCTATTATGGGTTCGATCGTTTTTGTTTTTGTTAACTTAAACTTCAAAGGTATAACAAGAGGGAGTCCATCTTCTTTGATTACAATAATAAATCATAGAAACGATAAAAACTATAGCAAAAAGTTTTTACAGATAGATTGACGGCGAATTGAAGACTAGTTATGAATGCATCGATATAACAAACCTTCATAGTTATAAAGTCTTAAAGTTGAAATTTAGTCACTAGTATAATATATGATGTTGAAAACTAATTTTTTACTTTCTAAATCCGTCAACGAACCCGGTTGAATCTTCAAACTCCCATATAAATTGCTACGTACGATGGCAAAACGGTAAAAAAGTTGAAATGTGTCATCGGCAATAAATCAAAGAAATATTTTGTGTGGTTACAACCATTTTTCTATTAGTTATAGTCTAATCAATGTTAGGATTTTGGAGTGAACGTTATTAAAGTAATACTCTAATCAATGTTTAGGTTTATCGATTGTTTTCTAAGAGAGATTGGTTATCATTTGAGGAATATGCGATGAATCATCATTAAGGTGGGCAACTAACTTCCTTATTTTATTACATGCTTGCCTCAGAAGGAGTCCTCTATTTTTTTATTTCTTCGTTCGACTCTTATTTTTATTTCCTTTGTAATATTTCCATGTTGTAATTTCAAAATTGTCAAATCATTGACGAGTTTTTATGAATTTCATATGCACGTATTTAATTATATGCGCATAACAAAATAAATGGTAAGTCAATGACAAATATTTTATCTAAACCTAAGAAAATACAACAACTAGCAACATCAACAATTAATTTGCAGAAAGTCAGTTTTAACTTTTAAGATGTTTTCTAATACAGTAATTCATTTGTTTGCAGCTTAATAAGTTCGGGAGTTTTTTCCAAAAAAGGAAATTCCAAAAACGGCCAACCGTGTAAAATATTAACATTTTGTTTTGTTTCAATTTGATTTCACAGTTTTCCACCACGCTTAACAAACACGATCACATTTAAAAAAAAAAGCAATAGTGAAAAATGTAAATGGTTATTTTTGCATACAAAGATGGAATTCGCCACTCTTCAAGATATTTTTTCAAAGATAATTTGGGGTCTTGCGGGCGAAAAAACAAAATAAACCGAAAACAAAAATGAGAGCCATAGGCGACAGCGAGAGGACTCGAGCTCTATGACAAAAAGATAATAGAAAATCACAAATAATGAAATATGTTATCGAGTGTTGATGAGAAATTGAGAATTCAGAAGAATAAATATATTAACTGACGACCAAAAACACAAAAATAAAATAACAACTAATTATCTGTTATCTAGAAGACGTTTGGTCGTTAGAAAAAGAATTGTGCTGCTGGACATTATCTCCTCTCCTGACTCCTCGCATAATATTTTTTTCGTATTACGGTAAAAGCAATCCAAATACTTGTATTATAAATCTATGTTTACTGATTATGTTACCTAAAATTTGTTGATAAGACTACCGTCTAAAATCGAAACCGAGATTAGTATTTTAAAATTTTAAATTCTTATACAGACAAGACAATTAAACGAGTTAAATAAATTGTCTTAAGAACGTACTACGAGGCTACTAGCTCGTAGCGATTACTAAAAAACAGGATCACAATATCCCCAAAACATTCCTTTCTTAGATTCTACGGTGGAAAAAGTCACTTGACTTGTTTGATTATAAAGCCGGATTAGTGCGTCAGAACTGGAAATAGTTACCTAATTTGTAGCCAATTCATCGAGCAACTTCATTTAAAGAATAATCTAGAATGGCAGTTCAGCTAAGAGAAAGACTTAAACACTACCCTGGCCTACACAGTTAAAGGAAGTTTCTATTATTATTCTATAGGATAGATTTATGCAATTTTGATATGTTCATGTTTATACAAATTAGATATCTTTATACTAGGTTATTAAGATTTGGACTGATTATCAGAAAACTATAATACTAGTGGCTACCATAAAACCATGCGATAAAGGGAAATAAAAACATAGTGGACCTCAATAAACGAAAGAGATTAGAGAAAATAGAAGAAAAAAACATTTGATTGATTAAGGGAAGTGTCATACTAATGAATTGCAGCCAGAGACGCTGTCTCACAAAAATACATTTGATAGTTTGAATAATGCAACCCACCCATTACACGTAGTCCCATACTAATAATACTACCAAATAAAAATAAATATCCAACTTTCTATATATATAAGTAGAGAGACAATTATATCATATAGTCTAATAATTCACATCTTGCTGTACTATTTAACTTTGAAGTTTTAAACCAGTTGTTGTTGGTATCGACGTAAGAAACAAAACAAGTCTTTCATGGAAGACATTCGAAACAAAACTACATTTCTGTCTTCTCTTTTCACTGTCCTTTCTTTTTCTGAAAAACAAAAAAGTATGGTAAAAGCAATTCAGCATAGAGACCGTTGGATGATGTCTTCAAATCTTAGTGTATTTTTTTTTTTTTTTTTTTTTTTGGATTTTCGTTCACAATTGTTGACTAAAAAATGGCACGAGAAAGGAAACTCAAATAATTTTCATAGAGTATACTTGCTTTCTATGATGTAGCTCTAAATCACTGTTAAGTTTACAATCTTCACTTGTATTTCTACGCATCTTGTTTTCTTGTACATATCAATATATGAAAATCAGTTCACACCAAATCTTAACTCGATTGTTGTTTATAGTTTTTAACCACCCTTGTGTTGTTACATTGATATGCCTTTTTTCATTAGTTTCTGATAAATGTATCTTCATCATAAGAAACACATGAAGCAAAATTAGTGAAAACTTAAATCAACTGACATTATATAAACGCTCAATTTTATTAACTCATTTCAGGTTATTCTCTTGTTCGAAATCTGAGCTTGAACAATCTGCTTTCTCCATTCGTGAATTGGGACCTGAGATCAGAACAAACAAAAAATCTATAAGAGAGACAATTTCCTAAATCTTTAGAGAACCCTTTTTATTTATTATTTTTTTTTTGATAACTCTGGTATCCGGACAACCACATTCCCGACTATCCCCACAAGTGGGATCCAGCGCCCCAACGGAAGGGATGTTAAATTCGTTGTGGCCGAGACTCGAACCCATGTGAATACCTCAGCTGAGGGTCCTTTACCACTGAGCCACTGGTTCTTTTTATTTTTTTTATTTTATTTTTGTTCAAAAGAGAACCCTTTTTATAAGCTCTGTTTTAGTTTGAAGAAACAAACTTCAAGATCTTGATGAAATTGGAAAACATAAACCAGATTTAACTTAAGAGATCGCTTACAGCAGGAAAGCCTCCAAAATCTCCTGGCTCAGTAATGTTTCTAGTAACACAACTATTAGCCGCAAGTCGAACCTACACACACACACCAAAAAGAAGTTTTTGTGAACCAAACCGCACCAAAAACCGCATTTTTGAAACCGGTTAAAGCCAATAATTACCTTGGATACAATAGAGACATGGGCTCGAACAGCAGCACGTCCTCCTAAAGCTACATAGTCACCAATCCTACATGAACAAGTTTTTGACTTTTAAGCCTTGAGAAACTATACAAAATTGTATCTTTCAATGGAACCAAAAAGGGTTCAGATTTGTACGTTACAGAACCAGCGATGCCTACTTGGCCACAGAGCAAGCAACATTTTCCTATCATCACATTATGACCTATCTGCAAAAAGAGACAAGCGATAAAATAAGCATTTTTACTGTTTTCTCAAATCAAAGAAGGCAAGAAACAAAAGAGAGACAAAACCTGGACTAAGTTGTCTATCTTTGTATCATCTTCGATCAGAGTATCTCTCCAGCTGCATAACTTGTTATAACGAAGCTAGTGTGAATCCAAAAATAGCGTTCTTCTTATGAAAGTTAGTTACTAGATGCAAATCTGTTACCTGCCTCTATCAATACATGTGTTTGCTCCAATCTCCACACGATTTCCAATCTTTACCTTTAAAGTCTAACGACGACAAAGAAAGAAAAAATAATTAAAGAATTGTTGTCTCTGATTCAAGAAATGCAGTAGAGGATTATTACTTGAGGCTTTTTCACCATGCTTCCATGTTCATCCACATAAAAACCAAAGCCTGAAAGAAAAAAAAAGTAAACAACCAATCAAAGAATTCTTGATCTCTTAAAGCCTATGATCTCTGCTAATCTATGTGACTTTGGTTCATACCATCTTGACCTATGCAGACTCCATTGTGGATAACACATGATTCACCAATACTACAGTTGCTAACTGAAACATTATATCTGTAGAGAGAAACAAAAAACTGAGCAAATAGAATCTTTTAAAGATGCTGAATACAACAACAGTCTATTCAAAACGTATACAAGAACATGTTTAAGAATAGAAAATGTTACCCTATTCTTGTGGAAGGATTGATTGTAACTGATGGTCCAATTACAGTCCCGGATCCTACATGAACCTCTGCACCTACAACAGCTTTTTCATGAATTACTGCGCCAAACTCAACCAAAGCAGAGGAATCAATTACAGCCGAGCTATGACATGTCCCTCCTCCATTTCTCCATCTTAAAAACCCATCTTTTACGATATCACCACCGGTCACTAACCCTTGATATAACAATCAATCACAGGACTTACAATTAGTTTCAACACCTTGAGACAAGGATCCCAAAATTTCTAACATTAGTGCATCTTCAGATAGCTTATACACATACATACAATCTCAGTAAAAAAACTACAACTTCATCAAAATCATGGAAAATTTTGAATTTTAGTCTCATCATTCTCCTGTAAATCTTAAACCTTTTTATATTTGGATCAGAAAGATCTGTCATTAGCCACTTATCTCAAACGACTGAAATATACATTTTCTTGGTATTCAATATTTCACATTTAAATGAAGCAGTATATTCTCAGAGGAATTTTCACAAACACTTGGTGTTCCCAATAAATTTTATCGAATTGAATGCAAACAAGACTCGAAATAAGCGATAAAACCGCAACTAGACTCACCTGCATTTGAAGATTTCTCAGAGCTAAGCTGAGAATCTGATGAAACAGATAAATTTCGAAAAATCGAAGGAAGACGAAGCTGTTTCCGGATATAGGGTCTGTTATAGAAGATTCCTTGAAGAGAATTGGAGATTAATCTCTGAAGAGTAGAGAGATGAAGAAATTTAATTGAAGTAACTGGGTTCGTTTTCTAAAGTCTGAAACTTTTGTTTTTGTTTTCCCCAACTAAAAAGCTTTCAACTTTTACAGCGAAACATATAACTAAATTAAGGGTTTTAAACAGTTGAATCGTCTATGCTTCTTCCTCTATAGTTGAATCAGGAATCAATCTATACATTGTGTCACTGCAACTAATGAACACTTAACGTGCAGATAAATCCGTGAGAGAAACATCGTTTACAGAAATCGAAAACGACGTCGAACTTCTGAAGAAACCAGGCTGCGATGGCTTTGGGAGCTGAAGAGACTCAGAATCAGAGCTAAGCATCGAAACAACTGACTCCATTGTTGGTCTTTTCGTAGGATTCTCTTGAACACAAGACAGAGCAATTTCTAGGCATTGCATTGACTGTTTCTTATAGCAAGATTTCAGAAGAACAGGATCTATTAGATCCGTTGATGTTCCTTCAATCCAATTCTTCCAAGCCTGCAACAAAAAGAGACAAAACATCACTCAATCAATCTCACTCACTCCTTGGACTTTGTTAATCTGTGGTTGTGTCATGTGTGTATCTTGTGACTTACAAAAGTTGGGAGATCTGTGCCTTCACAAAAACCAAACCCACTGTTTCTTTTACCTGTAATGATCTCAAGAACAAGAACTCCGAATCCATAAACATCTGTTTTCACTGAGAATCTTCCGTGCATTGCATACTCTGGAGCCATATATCCACTGCAGAAAACAAGACTTCAAGATTAATTCTTGTTTATGTCTCTTTTGTAATTTTTGGTTTGAGTAGCTAAGACTTACTAAGTTCCAACAACTCTTCTTGTAACTGCTTGAGTCCTATCGAAATCGAACTGTCTTGCCATACCAAAATCTGAGATCTTTGGTTGCATTTGTTCATCTAAAAGCACATTGGAGGTTTTAAGATCACGATGTATTATCGGAAACTCTGTGCCTTCGTGAAGGTAAAGCAATCCCTTGGAAATTCCTACGATGATTTTGTACCGTTTTCCCCAGTCTAATTGCTTTTGTTTGATAGGATCTACATTCATTAGTAGAGGGAAAAAGATGCTCAAACAGAGAAGTTTTTATAGAAAATCATGCAAAATCATAGAAAGGAGAGAGTATTTATTACCGAACAAGAACCGATCAAGACTTGTATTAGGGATAAACTCATAGACAAGAAGTCTTTCAGATTCTCTGATGGAGAAACCTAAGAGCTTAACAAGATTCTTGTGTTGCAGTTTAGTCATTAAGAGTACTTCTGTCTTAAACTCTGCATTGCCTTGTCCTGAGTGTATCGATAACCTTTTCACTGCTATCTCTTCCCCATCTTCAAGACGACCCTGATGCATTTGAATTACAGAATTAGTTTAGTTAACCTAGAGATTAGAGAATTAGAGCAATGAAGAGTATAATAAGATGATTATTTACCTTGTAGACAACACCAAAACCACCTTCACCGATCTTATTCTTTAAAGAGAACTCATCTGTTGCTACACTTATGGCGTCAAATTCAAAATGAAATGAGTCTGCATTCTCTATTTCAGCTGCAGATCAAAATTTGCAAGCGGAGTAAGCAACAAGGAGAAGTAGAATAGTCACTAAAATCAGCTTCACAAACTTACTTTCAGCTTCTTCCTTCATATTTTTCTTCTTCTTCTTCTTCCTCTTCCTCACTAAGCAGATAAAGAGAGAGATAAGAACTAAGACAGTTGTCACAACGGGAACCACCGCAAAGACGAGAGTCTTAGACCGGTCTTTACCGTCTCCTGCAAGAAACAACAGAGAATCAAAAAGGTACATATCAAAATTACTAATCCACTTGATTAGTGATGACATTAGCTTAACTTGTAATAGTACCTTGATCACTTGTTCTGGTGTCATTGTTGTTATGAGGAGTAAGAGGTTGTCTCTGTTCTGGAATAACAGAGAGATCGAAGAACGGATAATCTTCAAACCGGAAATAGCAATTCGGATTCATCCACCAACCACCTGTCTTTCCATCACAACAAGTAGGAACTCCAGCAAAGATCTGAGAAAGACAGATTCTACAATCTGATTCAGACACATCTGGTGTACACTGAACTAAAGCGTAGATCGTTCCTCTCACTCCTGCTGCAAATTTTAGCTCACGTGTCTCGCTCGCCTCGATTTTAGCCCCTAATGATTCCAACAGCTCACCTAAACCCTTGCTGAAACCTTCCTTGTCGCTCACGTTAACGTTGCTTGAGGTGTGGTAAAAAGGAACCGGCTCCAAAATACCTAGAATGGTTCGACTTGTGTAACGGAACATGCATTTCTCGAGCCAGATAAAGGCTTCGATGATGTTAGGACAGTTTTGTAAGAGCTGTTTCGCTGCGTTTGATATGCAGCTGATGCAGTCTTGATTTGGTTTGAGATCTCCTCTGCATAAAGCTATGGCGTTGACTTCACCACCGACGGAGAAGTTGTAGAAGCCGTTGGTGGTTGGAGTTAGATCGGGTAGAGAAGAGATGAGACGGTTGAGGCTGAGAGAATATGAAGAGTTGGATGTGAAGTTTCCTCCTCCGCAATAGGTGTGAACGGTGACGTTTTGCTGAGCGTTGGTCAAGATAAAAGTCAACATGAAGAAGAAGAAGAAGAACACAGAGGGAAGCATTATTGAAGCAGAAGCCATGAATGAGATTATGAGAGACGACTAAAATCTGATTGAGAAACAAAGTAAAAAAGTCTAAAACCTGAGAGTGACATGTTTCTTTCTTTTCGCTTTTTCATTCAGCGATTATCGAAACGTTTGACGAAAACTATTTCTTTCTATCGATTTCTTAAGTTAAAAGTCAATGAATCACGACGCATTGGTGGTGACATTACAAATACAAACTACATTACATTACTACCAAGGTACAGAAGTTGGGAAACAATGCGCGTGATGTAAACGTGGTGGTGGTGCGCGTGGATGTGAGTAGCGAATGCACTGTTAAGGCCTGGTTATTATTATTAAGGCCCATTATGGTGGTTCCAATTTTTAAACATCATAATTTCTTTAGTTGCATTTAGATCCTTTTAAAGAGAGTAATTGCAATCACTACATAATGGTCGTTTATTTACAAACCAAAAGATTTCAAAATCGTAAATAAAATTGTTTATATTTTGAGTACATATTTATTAAAAAAATAAAACATGGATTGTGGTGTTTTTAACAAATTCCTTGAAGCAGAAGCCATGACTGAAATACGATGAACAATTAAAATGAGAAACACCACCATCCATGTAATTTTTATCTGTTTCATGTTATTCACAATCCATGTTAACATAAAATGAGAAACATCAAACACCACACAATGCAATACGAAAAGTCATACTCCTGTCTCCTGAATACGTTTTCTATATAATTTTAGCACTCCTTTTTTTTGTCAAGTAATAAATATATTTTTCCTGCACCACCAAAGAACATAAATATATTTTTCAAGTTGTAAAAAGCATTTAAAACAGATGTTATTTCTTTACTATTTGAATTTGTCAATAAAATCTTAGTGACAATATATTTTCGAGTTTATTTATCCATTTTTATATACATAAAAATAAAATATTATTTGACTCTCCTTGAACATTCATGTAATCATGTTCCATGAAGTTTAGAGGGGGCAGCCATTTCTTCTTTGTCAGCTTCTTGAAAACATCTTATTTTAAAAATATGCAAAGAGATTTATCTGGAAGAATCAAACACAGTACACAAACCCATCAATCACCAAGTCAAATCCTAAACCATTAAACTAATAAATTCCTTGTTATCTGAAACGACAAATTCCACAACTTCAAACGACAACTGTAACTTCTTCTCTATACTTAGAACTGTTCTTCGTCTGAATGTTGCCACAGATTACAGGTAAATCAATGAATATATCGTAAATATCATTGTTTAGTTCTCAAGTCAATGAGATTACTTGCGACCTACTCATACGAAAGCAACTTGCAAATGTAATGTGCTTACCACTCTTTGAAACCTTCCATATAAAGAACAACAACGGTTAATTAGATCACAAGCAAAGAAGAAAACAAGAAACAAGTTTCAAGCTTTGAGGCCAAAAAATGAAGACCCTCTTCGTTTTCCTTCTTCTTCTTCTCTGTGTTTCGGCAATCAACGTGGATCAACAAGAAGAGATCAATAAAGAACACACACAAATATCTCACAAGATTCTCTTCAAAGTCCAGCAATGGAGAACGTCCCTGAAAGAAGCAAGCGCTGCAGAACTCAAGCTATCTTCAGCAATCATCATGGCAGGAGTCTTCTGCTTCCTCGCTGCCTTGATCTCGAGCGCAGGTGGAATCGGCGGTGGAGGTTTATTCATTCCGATCATGACGATTGTCGCAGGGTTTGACTTGAAAACGGCTTCGAGCTTCTCTGCTTTCATGGTCACCGGTGGATCCATTGCTAACGTGATAAGCAATCTATTCGGTGGCAAAGCACTGCTTGATTACGATTTAGCCTTGCTTCTTGAGCCATGCATGCTTCTTGGAGTGAGTATCGGTGTCATCTGCAACAGAGTGTTACCTGAATGGCTCATCACTGTTCTTTTCGCCGTATTCCTCGCTTGGTCTAGCTTGAAGACTTGCAGAAACGGAGTCAAGTTCTGGAAGATTGAGTCCGAGGTCGCGAGAGGGAAAGCACACGCGAGACCAGAGAAAGGAGAAGGAGAAACAGAGGAGGATAGTAAGAGAGCACCTCTTCTTGAAGCTCAAGAGAACAGAAGCAAGCCAAAGGTTCCATGGACGAAACTTGGCACCTTGATTGTTGTTTGGGCGTCTTTCTTTATCGTCTATCTTCTCCGTGGGAACAAAGATGGCAAGGTAATAAAGATTTATAATTCCATTGATCTTTAATCGATTTTGTTATAGAAAAAGTGAAAGATTCTTGATATGTTATGTACAGGGAATCATAACGATAAAGCCATGTGGTGTGGAGTATTGGATTCTACTTTCACTTCAGATACCTCTTGCTTTGATTTTCACAAAGCTAGCTCTCTCAAGAAGCGATAGGGAACGATCCTCAGGCAATCAGGTACAAAATGCAATAGGTAGCTACAAATCAGTGAAATTTATTTAGATACTAAACATTATTTTATCTTACATGAGCAGAAAAATCAAGAAACTACAAGACTTGACCCTTCCACGAGGTTAATGTTCCCGGTTATGTCATTTTTAGCCGGTTTATTGGGAGGTATATTCGGTATTGGAGGTGGAATGCTTATAAGCCCTCTTCTTCTTCAAGCTGGGATACCACCACAGGTATATATATTAACAAAAAGAAAACTTCTTTCACAAGTTTTTGTCAGATTTTCTTGCAACTTTTGTAACTGAATGTATGATGGATGCAGATAACAGCAGCAACAACTTCATTCATGGTGTTCTTCTCAGCAACAATGTCTGCAGTCCAGTACTTACTACTAGGAATGCAGAACACAGAAGCAGCTTACTTGTTTGCCTTGATTTGCTTCGTTGCTTCGCTTCTCGGTCTTGTTTTGGTTCAGAAAGCTGTAGCTCAGTTTGGGAGGGCTTCCATTATAGTGTTCTCGGTTGGGACAGTGATGTCTCTGAGCACAGTCCTTATGACTAGTTTTGGAGCTCTTGATGTGTGGACTGATTACGTGGCAGGCAAGGACATGGGTTTCAAGCTGCCGTGTTAAAGACATTAGATCTTTGAATCATCCATCAACAACTGATATCTAAACAAGATCATCTGTTTCTTTTTTTCGTTTTCTTTTTTTCTTGTTTTTCGCAACAGAGACTCTGAATTGACTTTCTCCATGTAAGAGGGAGATTTGGAGCAAGATGGTATTGTAATGTAATGTTTATATGTTTTTGATTTGGGAATGTAACTTTAGTTATGACCTTAACTGGAAACAACAGTTTATGAGTCACAGTTAAGTAGCTGCTAATATCTTGTAATGTTGTGTTAAACTCTGTAAATTCTGGGCCTGTGAAGTGTGAACTAAAATATTCAGCCCATATGCATAGTACAAAGGAACATGATGACACGTGGCTACATATCAGCGGTTCAAACCATATCCAAGTTATCTAAAGTACAGTTTTGTCCGAAAACGAAACAAGCCAACAATATAGCGTATAACCAAATTCATCGCTTTCAATTTTCGTGTGTGAAAGAAAAAAAATGGCTTCGATTAGTGGCTTACGTGTCGCATCTCCTGCCGTTCTCGAAGGAAGCTTAAAGATCAACGGCTCCACCCGTCTGAACGTCTCCGGCAGAGTGGCGGTGGCTCAAAGGTCCGGAATTGTCGTCAGAGCTCATTACAGTGAAACTACTCGCCGATCAGTTATTGGACTCGTGGCTGCTGGTTTAGCTAGCAGCTCGTTTGTCCAGGTTGTCCTCGCCGATGCTGTTCCGATCAAAATTGGCCCTCCTCCGCCTCCTTCTGGTGGCCTTCGTAAGTTAACTAACTAATCTTCCAATAAGATCAACATTCTACTTTTTTATGAGATTAGGAACTTAAACGTAATGTAGGCTAGATTAAAATTTATTCGCTTATTCTAAGTTTCTAACCAAATGGTACATTGTTGTAACTTGTAAGTTGTAACCTTAAATAGTGGCCGCTAAAAATTGGAAAATAGTGTTTATCCATATTTAGGTTCGTTTAGATTTTTGATCTTAGGACTTATGGATAACTACGGATATAAAACTGAATCTGTTATGAATATGTTTGATAGGAATAAATTTCATATCAAATTCGACAGGCAATCAAAATATATCCTTAGAAGTAAAAGAAGTCCTATAGAAATATCAACTTTTCTTCAATAGTATTTATTTCTTCTAATGCAGTTTTTTTTTTTTTTTTTTTTTTTTTTTTTTTTTTTTTTTTTTAAGACAATTGTGTATTTGTTTGTTGAGCAGCTGGGACAGATAACTCAGACCAAGCAAGAGATCTAAAACTAGCGCTGAAGGAAAGATTTTATTTACAGCCGTTGCCACCAACAGAAGCTGCAGCTAGAGCCAAAGAATCTGCAAAAGAGATCATTAACGTGAAGTCTTTGATCGATAAGAAAGCTTGGCCATATGTTCAGAACGATCTCCGTCTCAGGGCTTCTTACCTTCGTTATGACCTTAACACAATCATCTCCTCCAAATCTAAGGATGAGAAGAAGAGCCTCAAGGAACTCACTGGCAAGCTTTTCGATACCATTAACAACGTAAGTTTCTCATCTAACCTTGATTAAGGTCATGGTTTCTTTTTTTTATTTACATTTTTGAAGTTTTAAAATGTGTAAATGATTGATTTCTGTGGCAGCTGGATTATGCGGCGAAGAAAAAGAGTAGTGCGGACGCTGAGAAGTACTATGCAGAGACGGTGTCTTCTTTAAACGATGTTCTTGCCAAGCTTGGTTAATGATTTTTATTTCTGGATTTTTCTTTTGTAAATCATTCTCTTGATTTTTGTCCCTAGAGTACTTTGTCGCAAATCCCTATATCCGAAATTTGTGTTTCAAGATTTTACCAAAGAATGGTGATTTCTTGAGTATTCATTGACTTTACTTCCATGGTGTGATTACTGATTACCAACTGATATTAAATTTAAATCCAATTCGCACATTTCTTCCATCAGTTCCATTTATTAAGATGTTTTGCTGTTTTAAACTGAACTTCATTTGATTAACAAAGTCATTAATTTATTTCTATTGGGCCTGAATAATGCAGACTCTCTAGGCCCATTTGGGTTTGTACTTTGTAGTTGTTTGTAAGTGTACCCTAATTCCCCGCGTCATTTCTCCGGCCACTTCTCCTTCTCCGTCGTCGTCGTCGACGACTCGCTAACTCAGTGAGTTTCGATGACAAGGCTAATTAGCCCTCGAATCGTTTCGACTTATTTATTTCATTTTCCTTTCTCTGCTAAACACTGCCTCTATATCGGAAGCAGACAGTGATTGAGTTTCTATGTAGCAAATTCTCCGGCCATGAATCTCTCCTCAGCCGCTAAGCGGCTCGCGCCGGCAATCGTTCCGTACAAGTCCCTCTCAACGGGACATTCGTCTAGATTAATCGGAGAATCTCTCCCCCGTCTCCTAACATTACTCTTCCGGTCCTGCTCTGACTCAACTCTGCTTCGCCAAGTTAAGCAAGTTCACGCCTTTCTAATCGTAAACAGAATCTCCGGCGATAGCTACATGTCCGCGAAGATTCTGGGCATGTACGCAATCTGTGGTAGCTTCTCGGATTGCGGCAAAATGTTTTACAAACTCGATTTGCATCGCAGTAGTAGCATCAGGCACTGGAATTCGATTATCGCAAGCTTCGTTCGCAAAGGTTTATCGAATCAAGCTTTGGCGTTTTACTTCAAAATGCTTTGTTATGGAGTTAGTCCTGACGTTTCCACTTTCCCTTGTCTCATCAAATGTTGCGTTGCTTTGAAGAATCTCAGAGGGATTGAGTTCTTCAGTGATAAGGTTTCTTCTCTCGGCATGGATTGTAACGAGTTCGTGGCGAGTTCTTTGATCGGAGCTTACGTTGAGCATGGAAAGATCGATGCGGCGAGTCAATTGTTTGGTAAAGTAAGTAAGAAAGATTGTGTTATATGGAATGTGATGCTTAATGGCTATGCAAAGTGTGGAGATTTCGATAGTGTTGTAAAAGGGTTTAGTGAAATGAGGATGGAGCAGATTAGTCCTAACGCTGTCACGTTTGATTGTATTTTATCGGTGTGTGCCTCTATGTCATTGATTGATCTCGGAGCTCAGCTTCATGGTCTAGCGGTTGTTTCCGGATTGGAATTTGAAGGCTCTATCAAGAACTCACTTTTATCCATGTATTCAAAAAGTGGGAGTTTTGGTGATGCGTGTAAGTTGTTTCGGATGATGTCTCGTGGTGATACGGTGACATGGAATTGCATGATCTCTGGATATGTGCAGAGTGGACTAATGGAAGAAAGTTTGGTTTGTTTCTTTGAGATGGTATCTTCAGGTGTGTTGCCTGATGCTATCACGTTTTCTAGCTTGCTTCCGTCGGTTTCGAAGCTTGAAAGCCTCGAGTACTGTAGGCAGATTCATTGCTATATTATAAGACATGGCATAACTCTGGATATCTTCTTGAAGAGTGCTCTCATTGATGCTTATTTCAAGTGTAGAGGTGTTTCAATGGCGGAGAAGATCTTTAGCCGGTGTGACTCAGTCGATGTTGGTGTGTTTACTGCTATGATCTCTGGCTATTTGCATAACGGCTTGAATGTAGACGCGTTGGAGATGTTTAGGCGGATGGTTGGTGTGAGAATGAGTCCAAATGAGGTCACTCTGGTGTCTGTTTTACCGGTTATCGGCGGTTTGTTGGCATTGAAACTCGGGAGGGAGCTTCATGGTTTTATCATCAAGAAAGGTTTTGATAAGAGGTGTAATGTTGGAAGCGCTGTTGTGGACATGTATGCTAAGTGTGGAAGAATGGATCTTGCTTTTGAGATCTTTGGGAGGCTCTCTAAGAAAGATGTTGTTGCGTGGAACTCAATGATCACAAGGTGTTCTCAGAGCGATGATCCGAGTGCGGCTATTGATGTTTTCCGTCGGATGGGAGCTTCGGGGATAGGTTTTGACTGTGTTGGTATCTCAGCTGCTCTCTCTGCTTGTGCAAGCGTACCTTCAGAGAGTTTTGGGAGAGCTATTCACGGTTTCATGGTAAAGCAAGTGAATGCTTCTGATGTGTATAGCGAGAGCACGTTGATAGACATGTATGCTAAGTGCGGAGACTTGAGATCTGCGGTGAATGTGTTTGAGAGGATGCAAGAGAAGAACATTGTTTCTTGGAATAGCATCATTGCTGCATATGGAAGCCACGGGAGGCAACAAGACTCGCTCTGCTTGTTTCGTGAGATGGTTGAAGAAAGTGGAGTTCGTCCTGATCAAATCACGTTTCTTGAGATGATCTCTACGTGTTGTCACGTTGGAGATGTGGATGAAGGTGTTCGGTTTTTCAGGTCTATGACTGAGGAATACGGGATCCAACCGCAGCAGGAGCATTACGCGTGCGTGGTGGATTTGTATGGACGAGCTGGTCGGTTAGAAGAAGCTTATGAGACAGTTAAGAGCATGCCGTTTCCTCCTGATGCAGGAGTTTGGGGAACGTTGCTTGGAGCTTGTAAGCTTCACAAGAACGTCGAGCTTGCTAAAGTCGCTTCGAGGAGGTTGATGGATTTGGATCCGAGGAATTCGGGTTATTACGTTTTGATGTCTAATGCTCATGCTAATGCTGGTGAATGGGGAAGTGTGACTGAAGTAAGAAGCGTAATGAAAGAGAGAGGAGTTGAGAAGATTCCTGGTGCTAGTTGGATTGAGATCAACAAAGTTACTCATTCGTTTGTTTCCGGCGATGGAAATCATCCTGATTTTTCACATATTCATTCTTTGCTAAGTGTACTTCTTGATGAGATGAAGCTAGAAGACTAAAGCTTGCTTGAAGATGATGATCATAGAGGAAAGAATTGTAAATACAAACGAAGTTTACAAAATCAGGTATATGTGTTTTAGTCAAGCTTATAACAATTGGGTTAAGTTATATGGAAATGTAGCTAGAATGTTTGTTTAAGCATGGCCTGTGTGTGTCTGTTCTCGTGTTGAAGCAGTTGCAGAGATATAATAAGAAACAGCGAAGAGGCCGTGAATGAAACAGAGGATCCCTCCTATGGACAGAACTCGATGGTGCGAAATGCCACAAGCTTTCCTCGATCTTGAGTTTGCCATTGTCCCTACGATCAACATGGAGAACGCAATTGCCAATATGATCCTGAAGAAACACACAGAAAAAGGATCTTAGAGTCGAAACTCTCTTCACCACAAGAAGGGTTTGCTTGCACATTGTTCTGTTTGGACTTACCAGGAGAATATCAGAGAAGCCACGGCAAGCTGTTTGTTGGCAGAGGATTTTTCAAGGTCTTGTCTTGAGACAACACAGAGACACCCACCAAGCAAATTAGCCGTGACGTGGGCTAATGCCAGAAGAACACACGCGGCTAAACCGTACTTGAAGGCTGTGTAACTCGGGTCTCTACACTCGAATATCCACATCTTCAAATGCTTCACCTGCACACATAAACAAAACAAGTTAGTGAAAAATCCTCAACTTCATGGCTGTGGTCACTCGGGTTTGTGCAATGTGTACCTTGTTCTGAGCGATTTCGGCTTCAATGCCGAGGATTCCAGCTGAAACATCCATGGCTAGGATCAAGATGCAGATGAAGAACCCTACATTTCTTGCCATTTTTTTACAATGAAACAAGTTCTTGCCTGCAACCAAAGAAGTAAAATGGATTGTTGTTGAAGTAATAATAATTCGTTCTTGTATTTATGGGCAGTCTTAGAGAGACTCTAAGTTGGAGGGAATAAGAATAAAGTTAAGCAGAAGTCTCCTTTCTTGCATTTTCTACTAAAGATCATGTTAAGAGAATAAAAGTTTAGCTGTGATCCTTGATGTAAATCTCCTTTTTCCATTAAAGTTTTAACTTTTAAAACATTTGAAAATTAAACTTATTATTCATGAGAAAATCAAAGATAATCCTTTTTGTCAAAGTACAGAGACATTAATCAAATTGTTAATGTGCAAAATGCAAATCATCAAAAATATTTTTATTGGGATGAATGCTTAATTGTTTGTTTTTCTTTTTTGGGGGGCTAATTGCTTGATTGTATGTATCATTGTGTGTGTTGTATGTGTTCTTTATTCCTCCCTTCCATGTTAGTAATGAAAACTTTTCAATATTCGGATTCTTGACAGAGCAGCCAAGCAAAGAAGAAGACGAAATCTTGCGGGTTGAAACGCTTAAATTCTCAATAAATTTGCGTTTTCCAGTCGCAGTGACCCAATAAATAAAGATGGGCTGAAAGGCCCACTTATACAGGCTTCAAACAAGACTAATCACGTCTCGTTGTCGATGACGTGTCCTCAATAAAAAGAGTAAATGGATTAAGCACAAGAAGGCGGTGATGACGTGGCACAACTCTCTAGAAGCAGCTCCATTCTTCGACTGCTTTATTTTTCAGGGATCTTATTTTCAGAGAGATGAAGAAGAAGAAGAAGGAAGAGGTGAACAGAGAAGAAGATGGCGGCTAACTACAGATGGAAAAGCTTCGACGAAAACGAAGATCGGCCGGAGAAGCCTCGCCGTTACGGTGTAACGGAAATGCGAGGTCCTCGTTACTCCGTTCTCAGCCAGAACGTTCTTCAGGTACCTACACCTCTGATCATTTCTCTACTTCTTCCGTTACTCCTAATTCCATCTCCATTTCCTAGAAAACGATCCTTAGATACTATAGTTTCCGAAGAATTGTTCACCGGAATCTGATTTTGCTTTTCACGGTCGATCGTATTGGTAGGAAATATTTGAATCGATGGGTCAATTTGTTGATGGATTAAAGTTCTCGGGAGGCTCCAACAGTTTAATCCCAAAATCATTCATCAAACAAGCCATTGAAATGGCTCATGAGCATAATGTTTATGTGAGCACCGGAGATTGGGCTGAACATACACTTCGCAGTGGCCCATCAGCTTTCAAAGAGTATGTGGAGGTAAAGCCATTCCTTAGGAAAAGTTTAGTATTGGAGAAAAATCATGTTTTTGTTTTGTTTTGTTTTGTGAGCTTAATTTGTGTTGTTATGCAGGAATGTAAGCAGTTGGGGTTTGACACCATCGAGCTGAATGCAAATTCGCTTGAGGTTCCGGAGGAAACACTTCTCCGATATGTACGTTTGATTAAGAACGGTGGTCTTAGAGCCAAACCAATGTTTGCTGTGAAATTCAACAAGTCTGATATTCCTGGTCGGAACAGAGCATTTGGGTCATATGTTGTTCCGGAGCCTCGATCAAGCGGTAAGAAACTCAAGTGTTCTTCGGTTTTGGACGAGCAGTGAGAGTTATTATCCTTGTTTTTGTTTGGCAGAGTTTGTTGAGGACATAGATCTCTTGATCAGAAAGGCTGAGAGGTGTTTAGAAGCTGGAGCAGACACGATTATGATTGACGCAGATGATGTCTGCAAATACGCAGACTCTCTCCGAGCAGACATAATCGCTAAAGTCGTAGGACGTCTTGGGATAGAGAAGACTATGTTCGAAGCATCTGATGCAAAGTTAGCTGAGTGGTTTATCAAGCGTTACGGTCCAAATGTAATTCTCCTCTCTCTATCATTTTATCAACCTTGTGTTTAAATTTTAGTTACTACTCACAAGACTCATGATGACTCTTGTTTCTTGGTTATTTTTTTTTTTCTCAGGTGAATCTTTATGTGGATCATTCTCAGATTATGGATCTCGAGTGCCTCCGTGGTCGTTATCTTGGTAAAGATCACCAATCCGTTCTCAGTTCCTCCTACTTCTTGTTTTAAGACAGTCTCTAAAGCTGTGTGAAGTTCTTTATGTATTATGTCGTATGTTTCTGATGTTATGTGTTTGTTTGATACTTGTAATAAAGTAATGCATGTAAGGCTTGTTTGTCTCGTTTGCAGTTCATTATCTTTCAAGCTATGAAACCAAGACATCAGTTCTGTAAATCATGCTTTTTCTTTATTATTTTGGTATTAACTTCTATGTAATATCTTCTTTTGATAAGACATAAATTTTCTAACAACCATATATCATCAGTAGCCTAATTTAAACTAGGTGGCATTCTTATCCATACACAACTTAATTTTCATCTCACCAAAATAGAAACTTTTGTTCTCTCTCTCTCTCTCTCTGCCACCCTAACACTAACGCATGTCATGATTGGAAATCAAATCATAGATGTCTCATAATTATATTCTACATTTAGCTTGTGGACAACAATCAAGACAAATAACACCAGTTTTCGTGGCCTTGTCATTTTATGGGATGTTGGTGGTTACAACGTTCATTTTCTGCACGAAACAATCGGTATGTGTAACGAATTGGATGGTTATAATGCTGTGAGCATTTGTTTTAGCATAACAAAAATAGTTGGAGATATGACTATAAAAACGAGGAAAATCTTGGAGACTCTTGCTCCTCCTCAAAGCAGTAATTTATCCCAAATAAAAAAATAAAATAAAGAGGAGGAGAGCAAAACACTTTCAGTGAAAGAGCGGAAACATCCTGAAAAATGGATCGTTCTTTCAGATTGTGTTTTGTTACTCTATCATTTTGTTTAGTGCTTATAACGAATGGGAAGCTTGGCTTTGCAACAGCATCAAGCATCGCCGAAGCTCCAGAGGCTTCAGAGATGGCCGAAGCTCCAGGGGTTTCTCCTGAAGAAGAAGAAGCAGAATACAATCGTATGCTTGGTTCTGTCGTCGCTGTACCTGTTTTCGTCCCTGAATTCCCGGTATGTAGCTTTATGCCTTTAACCGATTTTAGATATGTGAAGGAAAAAAAAATTAAGTTGTTTGTGATTGCTCATGTGTTCGTTAAACTTTTATGAAAAAAAAAAACAAAAACAGGTCTATGTAGTTTACTTGGGGGAAAAGAAACAAGAAGACGCTAAGTCGGTGGATAAAACACATCTTGAAATCCTGAAATCGGTTCTTGGAAGGTAACAAACGAGTGGTTGCGTTAAAGATTTTTCGTGTGTATATATTTTAGTTTCCAAGTTGGTTATCATATATATTTTTTTTCATGAATTTGAATCTTGTATTACAGCCAAGAAGCAGCCAAAAAGTCATTGGTGTACAGTTATCACCATGGATTTTCTGGCTTTGCAGCAAAGCTCACACCTGCTCAGGCAGAGATTTTGAGAAGTTATTATCATTCTTTATCATATCTCTCTTTTTTTTTTTTTTGGTTATCCATGAGTTAGTTGTTCAAAATCCGATTATTAAACCCATTTTTCTGTATTTCTATCAAACCAGATCATCCTCAAGTTGTTACATTTCTGGAAAACAAGAAACTTACGTTGCAAGCAACACGGACATGGGATTACTTGAGCCTCTTTTCAACTCCAACCTCTTCTCAAGGTCGTATCCTTCTAGACGAGAACGTTAACAACGTATCTTTACTGAAAAAAGAAAGCAAAAAAGATAAAAAGGAGAGAAAAGAAAGGAAAAGAGCCAAAAAGGCCGAAAAAGCTCTTCGAAAGGAGGCTGAAAAATGGCAAACCCAAAGTCTTCTTAACGAGGCTAACATGGGCAGTGGTGTTATCCTTGGTGTTATTGACTCTGGTATATGGTCAGAATTAAGTGCCTTCGATGACAATGGTTACGTAGCGATACCAAAAAAATGGAAAGGAGAATGCGTATCTGCGGACCAATTCTCTCCAGCAGATTGCAACAGAAAGATCATCGGAGCAAAGTACTTCGTGGACGGTCTTAACGGAGATCTCGAATATAGCGTCAACAGTACTAAAGAATACCTATCTCCTAGAGACCATAACGGCCACGGGACTGAAGTGTCCTCAATGGCCGCTGGTTCTGTCGTTTCCAAGGTGAAGTTGCCCGATGTCGCACCTGGTTCGACCATGAGAGGTGGTGCTCCAAAGGCCCATATAGCCATGTACAAGGCATGTTGGGATATCAACAAAGGAATGTGCTCGGTTGCTGATGTATGGAAAGCTTTCGATGAAGCCATTCACGACGGTGTGGATGTCTTGTCGGTTTCTATCGGTGGCGCATTCGACGACGTCTACCTTGACGCCGATATGGCGATCCCCGCGTTACACGCCGTGAATTCAGGCATCACCGTTGTTGCTCCAGCTGGTAACTACGGATCTCGATCCGGAACGGTTGTTAACGTCGCTCCATGGATATTAACCGTTGCCGCCACTACACTTGACCGGTCTTTAGTCACAGTGTTGACACATGGCAACAGAACGTACTTGGTATGTATATTTTCTGAATCTCTCTTAACAATGCAAAAAAGCCTGTTGATTGATGATAGTTACAAAAATTTAGTTTAGGATAAAAAACAATATTAATATTTCGAGTTATTAATTTATGAGTATTAATTTATAGAGTTTTTAAGTTTCTTTTTTTTATTTTTATTTTTAATTTCAGGGTGAAAGTGTGTACGCCGGACCAGAAATTGACTTCACTGATATCTTTTATACCAAGGAAGAAGCAAATTTTACTAACGCTAAGGGTAAAGTTGTCATGTTCTTCGAAGGAAACACTGATAACGGTAAGAGTCCTGAGCCAAAGCTTGTTATAGAAGGTGGTGCTGTCGGTTTAATTTATGCAAGACGCACGCCGAGTGATCGCCGTGAGGTTCCTTGTCCCGTAAACTTTCCTTGTGTCTTCTTAAATTTTGACGATGCAAACGAGTTGTATACCGACATGATGTACAAGAGGTAGATTATTCACACAAACATCAAATTTAATATCTCATCTTCTCATGCACATATATGAGAGAAACTTATTTGTTTATTTTTTGCAGCTCATCACCACCCAAGATTAAGATAAGCTCATACAAGACCATAGTTGGCGAAACCGTAGTAACTAGAGTCCCAGCTTCATCGGGAAGAGGGCCTAGTTCATTTTCACCAGCCATTCTTAAGGTTTTTTTTTCATTCATCATCTCTCTTATTAGTTATTACACACAACATCAAGATTTTATAATCGTTTCTTTTTTTCTCTCTCCGTGTATAACGCAGCCGGATATAGCAGCTCCTGGAATGACCTTGCTAACACCGAGAATACCAACAGACGAAGACACGAGAGAGTTCGAATACTCAGGAACATCAGTGGCCACTCCGGTTATTGCAGGGATCGTAGCACTTCTCAAGACTGCGCATCCTACTTGGTCTCCTGCTGCAATCAAATCAGCTATTGTCACAACAGGTTTAGTTTCTTTACAAAAATATTGTCCTCAATACGAAGAAACCAAGCAACTAAACACCAAAAACTCTCTGTGTGTCTGTGTGTTTCAGCCATGAAAACCGATCCATACGGCGGGCGTATAATTGCAGATGGAGGTAACAATAAGTTAGCCGATGCATTCGATCTCGGAGCAGGTCTTGTGAATATGGAGAAAGCCAAGAATCCTGGTCTTGTATACGACATGGACATGAATGACTACATAAACTACTTATGTTCCCAGTCTTCTTACACAGACAAGAAAGTTTCTGCGCTAGCCGGAAACGTCAATACCAAGTGTCCGGGTTCATCGGTTCTTGACATTAACTTACCCTCCATAACCATCCCAAACGTCAAGAGAAATACCATCAAGGTGACCCGAACAGTGACCAATGTTGGACCCGTTAATTCGGTTTATACGCCTGTGCTCGAGGCTCCTCACCGTTTCAACGTCACGGTTTCGCCGCAGAACCTGGTGTTTAACAATGCAACCAACAAGCTTGCGTTCACCGTGAGTGTGTCTTCGGGCCCCTACAAAACGAACACTGCGTTTTACTTTGGGAGTTTGACTTGGACTGATGGACTTCACAATGTCACAATCCCAGTCTCTTTGAGGACACGTTTCGGCGATTATTTCTTGTAAATTGACTAAACCCGATGATCTAAAAAAAAAAGTTAATGTTTAATTTTCCTGGAATACAAACAAAATCACACAGTGGAGGGTAACGTTTTTAGGGCTCATGAATATTGTGAAAAGAGAAATAGTTTGGTGTTGTTGCTTCGGGCTTAATTTGTATAATAAACTGCTATTGGGTCGCCCCTTAATTTCAAGCTTCAGTTCAATCATCAACGAAGTTGTACTAAGTTCATTGATACAGCCAATCATAAAAACCTATTTTTAGTTTCGCCGTGTGAATGTAGAAAAACAAAAAATAAATGAATGAAGAATGATGAATGAATAAAACTCCATTCTCCAAAAAATCACTTCACAAATAATTGTATAGTTACAATAATTAAGGGCAATAGAACAAAAAACGGTTGGTATGACCAATATTGACTCATAATTTCTTTTTGACAAAAATAGACTAAAATTTAACATAAAAGTGATTCATAACTTATTATTAAACTCACTCATTTAAACTTTAAACTCTAAACTCAAAGTATAGACTCTAAATCCAAAATCCAAAATCCAAACCCTAAACTTTAAAAACCAAACATGAAAACGAAAAACATAAACCCTAATTTGGAAACAAATAACCCAAACATAATATTTTAAGTTTAAATGACATTTATTTGCTAGTTCCTAGTTACTACTACTCTTTCGAATTTGGTATCTAAATCTTCTAGAATCTCAAACCCTTAAACCTAGAGCATGAATCTCAAAAAACTTTAGTGTGAAAATTTCATTAATCGAATTTCCAAGATTAGTTTCTGTGATATCATCATATTCTTTTACAATTTTTTTTTTTTTTTTTTTTTTTTTTTTTTTTTTTTTTTTTTTATCATATTTCATCATCTCTGTTCATGTTTTCCTTCTGTATTTTGTTATTTCAAATTTACATGAGATCAGAGTTTTTCGAAAGCAGTTTCTTTTCAGTAAAAGCTAAAAAAAACACCCCAGAACTAACAAGAACGAAACACAAAACTGTTAAAACTGTCTTATGGCTAAAAATGGATTTGGACGGTTACCACACATTTCCTTTTTTTGTTCATGACCCAACACTTGTTCTATTTTGGTTAATTTGCTAGTTCAGTTAAAAAAAAATATATTTTTAGCGATCATTTATTTTGAGAAAGTAGCAGCTAAAGCCATTCATGTCCGTTGGTTGTTGTGTGAGTTTTTGAAGACTATTTAACTCAATAAACATAAGAAAACAAAACATTCCTAAAGATACCCTTGTTTCTAAGAAAAGAAAAAACATTCCAAAATATAAGAAAAAAACGCATTTCTTCCCCCACAAACCCAAGAATATGGGGATTGTGAAGGGAAGTCCAAAAGCATGTGTCTTTATTGGAATCTTGTTCATTCTAAATTGCGCGTTTTGTTGCGTTCTTGCTCAAGAAAACGGCAATGAGGAAACGAAGGTCTGGTTTCTGAGTTTGTTCTTATGTTGGGGTCTCTATATTGGTTCTGGTTATGTTTGGTCAAATTGTGACTCATGATCTTTTTTTTTTTTTTTTTTTTTTTTGTCTTTCGGTAGAAATATGTAGTGTATTTAGGCGCGACGAAACACGATGATCCTGAGGTGGTCACCGAATCACACTACAGGATGTTGGAATCGGTTTTCGAAAGGTATATGATTTAAAAAAAAAAAAAAAAAAAGAGTTATTGATTTCTCATTTCTGATTGAAGATGTCTCATAGAATGGTTTCGTTTGTGTGTTTTCAATTGAATCAGCCCGGAAGCTGCTCGAAAATCCATGGTCTACACGTATCGCCATTCATTTTCCGGGTTTGCAGCCTGGCTTACAAGGTCACAAGCTAAGAATATATCAGGTTTGTTCTTTTTTACATCTTAAGAATTTTCAAGATCGCTTTTGTAAACATCTTATCTTCTCTGACACATTTTTGGATGGGTTGTGTTGTTTCCTGTCATGCATGTACCCAGACCGTCCTGATGTTTTTAGTATGGGACAAGAGTCAAAGCTTGAGATGCAAAGCACGAGGATGTACGAGTTTTTAGAGATGACACCGAATACTCCCAAAGGAATCCTCCAGGAGAGCAACATGGGAAGTGGTCTTATAATTGGTGTGCTCGACACAGGAATTTGGCCAGAGTCTGAGGCTTTCAACGACGAAGGTTATGGACCGATACCGAAACACTGGAAAGGGGAATGCGTAGCCGGAGCAGGCTTTGACCCAAAAATCCATTGCAACAAGAAGTTAATAGGAGCAAAGTACTACCTTGATAGCTGGTTCCAGAAAAACGCGCCAGCCGTCCTCGCCCCGGATGAGTTTTTGTCCCCTAGAGGTTATGGTCCACACGGAACGATGTGCGCTGCAATTTCTGCATCTTCCTTCGTGCCTAACGTTTCGTATAACGGCTTAGGACTTGGAGTCATGAGAGGTGCTGCTCCAAAGGCTCGTATAGCTATGTACAAGGTTATGTGGAATGAAGAACCTTTTGGTATGGGCAGCGCGAACCTGGTCAGGGCAATCGATGAGGCCGTAAAAGATGGTGTTGATGTACTGACGATTTCAATCGGCGCCACCCCGGCTCCTATCAAACCAGTATACGCTCTTGGGGAAGATATGGAGGTTGGAACGTTCCATGCGGTGATGAAGGGCATTCCGGTTGCAGTTGGTGGTGGTAATTCAGGCCCCGACGCTTACACTGTCACTAATACAGCTCCGTGGTTGATCTCAGTCGCTGCATCTACCCTTGACCGTGCCTATCATGTAGACATTACTTTGGGAAACAACATGACCATTGTTGTAAGTACTTTTTTTATTTTTTTATTTTTTTCTCTTTTTCAATAATCTTGGAAGCTCACTCTTGTTTTGGTTTCAGGGTATAGCTAGAAATCGGGAGGCTGTATCTGCTGATATAGTTTACGTGGAAGATTGGAAAAAACTCAGTCCTACAGGCGCTAACCCGTCGTTGGAAGGAAAAATTGTTTTAACGTTTGTGTCACAAGATTTTGATGTGGCGGGCGCTCTTAACACGATAACCTTGTCCCCGGGGGTGATAGGCGTGATCGTTGCACGATCTACTGATACCATGAGTGATTTTCCCTATTTTGTGCCAGATGTCACCGTAGACTTTGAAGCCGGGACCAAGATCCTACGGTACATGTCCACAACAAGGTATTGTTAATATCCTTTTTTTAAATTTCAATGATTGATTATATTCACATATTAAAAAAAAAAACTGATTCATTGTTTTGTTATGCCTCGCTTCTCTTTACAGTTCGCCCAGGGCTCATATAACCCGTGCTAGAACCGTCTTGGGACATCCTCTAACGACTGCGATTCCGAAATTCTCATCTAGAGGCCCTAATCCAAGTGCTCCAGCCATTCTCAAGGTGTTTTTCTTTCTTTCTTCTTCTTCAAGAATCTTGTTTCTTGTTTTCTTTCTTTCGGTTGATGACAAATAAACCATGCAGCCTGATATCGTAGCCCCCGGTATGAACATTATTGCGCATGGCTCCGGATATTATGTAGGAGATTCCCCCAAAGTTATGATAGGTCAAGGAACATCTTTTGCCACTCCGGCTATTGCCGGAATCGTCACCCTTCTCAAAGCTTTACACCCTGACTGGTCTCCTGCTATGCTCAAATCAGCTATCATGACTTCAGGTTCTTCAACATCATCTTTCGTATATACTCTAATCTTGCGGTTTCTTTTTATTTACTTGTGTACGTTTCTTTGTTATAGCGCGGACGGTCGATCCATCTGGCGACCCCATTTTCGCCGAAGGTTATCCAAGGAAGCTGGCTGATCCATTTGACATGGGTGCTGGACTCGTCAACCCGGAAAAGGCCAGAGACCCGGGGCTTGTCTACGACATGAACCTCGACGACTACGTTCACTTTTTCTGCGCCTCTGATTACCCTGAGGAAAAGATCACTCTGCTCACCGGAAAAGAGACCAAATGCCCGTCTCCCAGACCGTCTCTGCTCGACGTGAACTATCCGGCCATCACCATTCCTTATCTTGCGGGAGAAGTCACTGTTACGAGGACCGTGACCAACGTCGGACCTGTGGACTCGGTCTACAGACCCGTGATCGAGGCTCCTGAAGGTGTGAAGGTTGCTGTTGAGCCGGAGACTCTGGTGTTTAACTCGAGCACCAAGAAACTTGCGTTTAAAGTTAAGGTCACGACGACTTATAAGAGCAACACTGGTTACTATTTTGGTAGCTTTGCTTGGACTGATGGGACCCGAAATGTTAACATTCCTTTGTCTGTGAGGACTCGTGTTACCAAGTTTTCGCAGCCTTGAAAATGAATATTCCTCAATTTCGTCATCACATATTTTCCTTTTTTCTTAGTTTATATAATAATATATATGTGAAAAAAATTGTAAAACAAAAACATTAATATATATAAATATGTAATTTTTATGCTCTATGTTTGACTCTAACTGAAACCATATCAATAATAACAAACTGAGACTGAGAATCTTTCTTTCTCTCTCCATCAACAGACTTCTCTCTGCATGAGAAGCAACTATATAAGTCATGTCTTTTTAACCATTACAAAAACAAGAAAAGGAAAAACTTCTCTCTGAAAATTATATTATTAGAGAAGATGGAGAAAAACAAAATAATGGGCGGAGGAAGTATATTTCAAGAACCAGTCAGGATTAGCCGTAGGAGACAAGTAAGGAGAGAGAAGGAAGAAGATGAAGTCGATGAAAATTTCAAGTCTCCAAATCTTGAAGCAGAGAGACGTAGAAGAGAGAAGCTACATGGTCGACTTATGGCTCTGCGATCTCATGTCCCAATTGTCACCAACGTAATTCTGAATTCTCCATTTTTTTTTATTTCTGTGTGTTTCTGTGTATTAGTGTTTATTTTTGTTTTTGTTTTTGTTCAGATGACTAAAGCGAGTATTGTTGAAGATGCGATTACTTACATAGGAGAGCTTCAGAAGAACGTTGAGAATCTTTCAGAGAGGCTTCATGAAATGGAAGAAGCTCCTTGTGAGATTGCTGAAGAAGAAACGGATCAGATTATCAAATCTGAACATGAAACTTTAGATGTAAAAGAAGAGATGAAGAAACTTGGAATCGAGGTTTTTTTTAAAATATTTCTCTAAATGATTCTTGATTGTTTTTTTCTTTTTCTTTAATCCTTATTTTTTTGGTTATTTTTGACAGGAGAAAGTGCAATTGTGTAAGATTGGTGAGAGGAAGTTTTGGTTAAAGATCACAACAGAGAAGAAAGCTGGAATTTTTACTAAGTTTATGGAGGTTATGAGGTTCCTAGGATTCGAGATTATCGACATTAGTTTAACTACTTCAAGTGGAGCAATTCTTATTTGTTCCTCTGTTCAGATACTTCAAGGACTCTGTGATGGTGATTCTGTTGATCTTGAACAGACAAAGGAATTTCTGTTGGAAGTCATGAGAAGCAACCCATGAGAAGAGAACACATCTTTTAAATTTTGGATTGAATAAGGTTTTCACTGATTTACATTGTTTATTCCAGTTTAAAATGATTCAGATGAAATATAATCTTCTGTTGCAAGCCAATGAGCTTCTTCTCCTCTGTTTTTTCTTTTTCTTTTCCAAGTTCAGTATTATTTGAGGGGGCAATTTGCTGGATATCAGTATTGGGCCTTAATATTAGGTAAATGTCAATAAGCTTTTGGAAATTAGGCGGTGATACTCACGTGCCAGAGAAAGACGAAAATGGCCACAGAAATTTTAAGCGGGAAAATACAGTACGAGCCTCTTTTATCAGAGAGCCAAGCCGAATACATGTGTCTCAGCCGAACAACAATGTCCCCTCACTATCATAACCTTTAACAAATAAATATTTTGAAAATCCTGAGTTTCCCTCTAAATTGCTTTTTGTGGTCAGGAATAAGCCAAGTATTTTTTAAGGAAAAACCTAGAGACCTTCGAACTGGTCTATTTATAAAGGAAATATACCATTCCATCTCAATTTTCTCTGTTCTGTACTTTTCACAACCTACAACTATGTCTGAAAAAGAGAAAAGCGTTGCAGTAAATAAAGAGGGCCCTAGTAGTCAGGTAATTACCTAAGCTTTAACTTAGTAAATACTGTATGTGATTCTTGTACATGAATAGTTAGTTGTATTTACTCACATCGATAGGTATAAATATAGATCTGGTTTTGATAAAGATCTCTTTGAATATTGAAAAGTTTACAGAGTACAACTGCTGAATAAATCACTAACTAATCTGCTACATATGAACAGAAATCTCCACAAGATGAGGTAACTATACTCGTCGGAACATGGGTTCGCGAAACTACCGGAGCTTGGGTTTTCGAGACAGACACGCATGAAGGTTCCGGAAGTATCAATCTCTCAGACGACCTCAAGTTTCGAGATCTCGTTGATGAAGTCCGCATAAAATTGCAAATCAAAGCCGACAATGTTAGTATTAAACTCGGCTATCAGTATCCACAGTGGATGGCCATCGACGACGGTGACGGATCAACTCCGCAATATATAACCGATGATCAGGAGGTCCAGTTCTTTATCCAGATGCGACGCCAAATTGAGGAGGTCAATCTTTGCGTTACAATAACAGCTCATGTAAATGGAGTTCCCACGATTCCGACATGCAACCGCAAGATGATGGAACACTCTCCTGAAACAGAGGATATACAATCATCTAATGCTGCAGATAATGGAGGAAATTCTGAAGACGAATGGCATAAATTTGCTATATCTGAAACACCAATGACGTTTCCGGCGTTTGGCTCGTCACAGCTCATTGATCTTCCTCCCAAACACCGTCACCGTGTACAAAGTAAAGCTAAAGGAGTGTCAATTAATGAAGGAGCTTCAGCAATTCGTCTTAGAAGTCCCACGATTGCTGCTGCTGATAAAGGAAAAGGAATTGTCACAGACTATGGAAGCTCAAGTGATAGTGATGATGACGATGCCGCAGTTGTTCCATCTTTACCATCTAAAGTTCCAAAAGTTCATCTCAACAACAACAATGTGGAAGTCAGACGGAGTCTGTTTCAAGATGGAGAAAACAGTCATATGGGACCGGATAATGAAGCTGACAGTGAAGATGACGATGAGAAGAGTGACTACGAACCAGAACAAGGTCGACGCTTTAGCAGATGGGGAAGATTTGAAGATGCTCTCCATCAAATTCTTAATGATTTCAGCACTGAACCTGCTTTGTTTGGTCGTGACGCTCCACCGGTCTTCACAACCACTGAAGGAGATGGTAAGCATTTAACAAATTTAAAAGATGGAAACTATCAATACATAGAAAATAATTAGCTGAATATAGATGTGTAAGTAATCACTTACTTTTCTTAATTACCTTTATGCAGAACTAGAAGATGCTTTGGCTGATGTTCCATATGAGGGAGACAATCTATTTGTCGGAAGAGTTTTCAAATCGAAGAATGATTGCAAAATCAAAATAGCAATTCATGCTATTAATAGGCGATTTCACTTTCGAACTACTCGATCAGCCCCCAACTTCATGGTGATGAACTGCATCTCACCTTCTTGCCGTTGGAGAGTATACACTGTCCAAGTCGACAACACATGCAACTTTCAAATCAGACAAGCTACTCTCAAACACAGCTGCTCTGTAGATGCAAGAAGGAACTATCATCGCCTTGCAACAACGCAAGTTATTGGTGAATTGATGCAGAGTAAGTTCGTAGGCATTAAAAGAGGTCCAACACCTGCAGGAATACGTAAGATCCTTCTTGATGAATTTCATGTTAATGTTTCCTACTGGAAAGCGTGGAGAGCTCGTGAGATTGCAATGGAAAATGCACATGGATCTATGGCTGGAAGTTATGCTTTGATTCCAGTTTATCTCGCTCTTCTCCAAAATGCCAATCCTGGGACGATTTGCTGTCTCGAGACTGTCACAAATCCAATCGGAGGTACAAGGTTTAAATACTGTTTTGTTGCTTATGGAGCTTCTGTAGCTGGATATCAGTATATGAGGAAAGTAGTTGTCATTGATGGAACGAGCATGAAAGGAAGATACGGAGGTGTTTTACTCTCTGCATGTGCCCAAGATGCAAACTTCCAAATCTTCCCATTAGCATTTGCCATAGTTGACAGTGAGAACGATAGTGCTTGGCAATGGTTCTTGGAGAAGCTGAAGACATTTGTTCCTGATTCAGCCGATCTAGTCTTCGTCTCTGATCGCCACCAAAGTATCTACAATGGACTTGAACAAGTAAGAAAATCTTATTAATTATACAAATAATTTCATTTTAGGTAGTTCATATATTTTCAGTCAATATGCATAAGATATGATTTGCACTTGATCATTCAACCAATAAGCATTTGATAAACTCAAACATTATTTATTCGATCTAGGTTTACCCTCTTGCACATCATGCTGCTTGTATTGTACATCTGTGGAGGAACATTAGATCTGAATACAAGCCTCGTCGAGTTGCAAATCTTGTGTCTGTTGCAGCTAGAGCTTTCACTATTTCTGAGTTTAACAAAAAAATTTTGGAAATACAAAAGATAAGTCCAGGATGCGCTGCTTATCTGGTCGATATTGGTATGCAATCATTCAATTCTTTATTTATCTTATCAAAATCATTGTTATATTTCAATATACAAATAATGTTCAACTAACACCTATTATAATTAAAATTGATTTAGGATTTGAGCATTGGACTAGAGTGCATTTCAAAGGTCGAAGGTACAACATAATGGACTCCAACATTGCTGAATCATGGAATGCTGTCTTGAAGGAAGCAAGAGAATATCCTTTGATTTGTATGTTTGAATACATCCGCACATCTGTTATGAGCTGGTTTGCTATTAGGAGAGCTAAAGCAAACTCATATGAAGATACTCTGACTCCACATGTGAAGAAAATACTTGAAAACAAATTTGAAGATTCAACGAGTCTGTTCGTGCAATAAGCCAATTCGAATTTCAAGTTCAATCTCAAGAAGGTGAATGCTTCACAGTTAGATTGGTGGAGGGAACATGCTCATGTATGGAGTATCAGCAACTAGGGATTCCATGTGCTCATGCCGTAGCTGCAGCAGCAAGTATCAAGATACCAACAGAGACAATGGTTTCCAAAGCTTTTTATGGAACTTGTTGGAAACTTGGGTTTGATGAGAAGATTTACCCTGTTCCATCTGTTGGTAATGTGGAAATTGGAGAAGGTTTTAGAGGGGAATTGCTACCGCCTGATGTTAAACGTCCTGCTGGAAGGCCAAAGAAAATCCGCATTACTTCTCGTGGTGAATTCAAGGTACAGAAATCACTCTCTAATTTTCCATCTGTTTATAAATTATAAGATGTATCTAATTTACTTCCTAATCAGCGTAAGGGGAAGAAAGGAGGACGTAAATGCAGTCGTTGCCACCGTCACGGACACAACAAGGCTTCTTGCCGATATGCCATTTGATCACCACTCTGTACACATGGGGCCAACCAGCTGAGAATCCAAAAACTATCTCGTAGTAGCTTGTATTAATGAATAAGCACATATATATGTGATGTGCCAGTTACAAACTGCCTTTTTTGTGGGTTTTGGTTGTCTAAATAGAGAGTTATATTCATTCATGAAATATAACTCTATATTTAGACTTAAAAGATAAACCATATTGCCCAATGTATATATGGGTTTGCTAGTCTGTCGCAGTTTGTTACTCTTAATCCAGCTGGTTCTTTTGTTGTAAGATATTAATACCCTTTTATGTTTAATTAAACTATTATGGAATCCTCTGTTTATATTAAAACTTATGACTCAAATCGTTGATAACATATGGTACAATGAAACTTATGTCACAAAGGCGAGTACATTAAGTACAAATGAAACAAAAGAAACCATTACATTTATGAAAGATAACTCTTACATAGTAATCTTACTGAATAAGAAACCTATAATACAACCTAAAGCCAAATATAAGATGAGATTACGGATACTATAACTCCCACTGCGTAGAAGAATCTCCATGCGTCTTGCAAAATATTCATCAACCAAACCCTTAACCTTCTCTTTTAAACCATTCTCCCTATCATCGGAAACGTCTTCCCGTTTATCAAGTCTGTCCGGAATTTGTTTTAAACTTGTAGAAAGATCTTCTATCTCATCAGCAAAAGCCTCATCAACCCATTAGAAACAATGATTATCGTTGATAAGCTGAAACAAATTCAAACTCTAAAATTAGTTTTAGAAAACATTAATAACACAATTACCATAACTAATTTTTTGTCCTTTTACCTTTTTCGCCACAGCAAATGAACAACGATAATAGCGTCTGAAGGGATTTTGAGAAGATTTGGAGATAAGTTGAAAAATTTCAGCTTCGCACCAGCATTTCCTCGGAATTCCTACAACTCTTCTTCCCTCCCGAGACACAGAAACCCCACTAGAACTTCCAGAAATAGAACTCATAATTATGATCTCTTGGAAACCTTCAAAATCATACAATATATTAACAAATATCAACAATAACGAACACAATAATAAAAGCAACGAAGTATTTCACAAATTTACCTCTATATAACAGAAGCCACCGTTTTGGTCCACTTGATTTGATGGTGATAGTGAATTAGGGTTCCGTCGAGAAAGTCTCTGTTTTTTGAGAATTTTTCCAGTAAGTGAATTTTGAAGACATAAAGCAATAGAAATATGTAATAGGTGGTACTGGTTTAAACAAAACCGGGTCTACTATGTGTCTAACCGAAATTCAATTAAAATTGAAAATCCAAATAAAAATAAAAAAATTAGAAGGATGTATTACGCTTTCTATATAAATCATACAATTACAATTCGAAACCGTAAACCATTACATTTAACACTAAACAATAAACCATAGATATACAACCCTAAACCCTATACTAATAAAAACAACCCCAAAACAAATAATGCAAACCCTAAACTCTAATTTACACTTCAAGACCATTGAAGTCTATAGTCATATAGAACAACCCAAACATAAATATATTATACCCTAAAGTCTAAAACCCTAAACCCTAACAATTTAAGCAAATACCCTAAATACAAATACATAAACACTTATCTAAAACCCTAAACCCTAACCAGTCAACCCATAGAAAACAAACCCAACACATCCTAAACACTAAACCCTGCTTTGAATATTGAAATATAAATTCATTTACAACAACCCAAACATAATGTTATATACCCTAAACTACCAACCCTAAACTCTCACTATAGATATGCAACCCTAAACCCTATACCAATAATAACAACCCCAACACAAACATAATAAACCCTAAACTCGAAACATTATCTCAAGACAATTAAAGTCTAAACTCGTATAGGACAACCCAAACATAAATATAATATACCTTAAACCATGACCATGTAACCCTCAATCCTAAATATAGATACATAAACACTTATCTTAAACCCTAACCCATCAACCACTAAAAAGCAAACATACCACAAACATAAAATACACTAAACACTAAACCCTATACTCGAAACTCTAAAGATAAGCACTCAGATAACAATCAGTAACCATGTAAAACAAACAAAATACAATTTAAATATATTGAAAACAGAAAATACATTTTCTAATCCGTTATGAAGATTTACCAGAGATAGAACAAATCCATTATTATGAAACTTATTCGATACAAACTTAACCATTATTCAAATCAACTCAATTCAAAACTCATCCGAAAGAAGCAAACCAAAACAACCAAAAAAAAATATTTGATTTGGAAAATAAGAACCAAAACACTCTCTTTAGAATCAACTTCATTCCAAGGATAAGCAATCAACAGCATAACATCGAGCAGCGGTTTTGAGACTCACATCACCAAGCGAAGAACAACACTTCAACTGGTTTGTAGCATGTAGCTCCATAAGAACAAAAGAAGCAACAGCAGACAAACCTGAAATGAAAACCCAAAAACATATCAAATTAAAATATTCCAAAAATATTTGTAATAAATTATGACATCAACATTAGTCAAAAATCAATACCAATATATACACTTACCAGGGATCTCGCATAGAAAAGGAATGTCAAGCCTGTTAATCACAAATGGAGTCTTGTCTGTGGTTCCATGATCATTGTCTTCACCGACACCACATCGTAGATATGGTAACATTTCGGCAATCGGAGCTAAATAATTCCCCAATTCTTCCTCGGAAACACAGGCGAAGTTACTATCAAGGACGGTAATAGTAGCCCCTTTTAGGTCTATAGAAAGTCCAACCCAGTGAAGTTCATTAATATGAACTGGACAATACAACACTTCTGCAGCTGCTCCAACATTTAGAAGATTTCCTTCATTAAAACTAACACAGGTTGGGAACTCAAAAACATCTTTATCAGATGCTGCCAAAAACCTCAAATGCTCTTTTCTAATATTTGGAATATACTCAGGCCCAAGGAATGAAAATCGAGAACAAGAGTCATGCTCGCATCTGACCCGAGCACGACAAACTACAACCTCCATAACCTGATTATAAATACAAATCAAATAATTTTTGTACATTGTCACATACGTAAATGTAAACCACATTTCACTAGTTCAAAACAAGTGACTACTATACCTTTGACAATATCGGGTAGCTAGAACAGAAAAGAGGTTTCAAGACATCAGCATTCACAAAACTTCCATCGGATAATGGTAGCATCCTAATGGTAAATTACAGTTTATTAAAATCTAAAAATACAATAGTAAAAAAATATCTTAATTAACACTAATGTAGATAAATAAAACTTACCATTTCTTAGCAACTGCTTCCTCAAATGCAATTATCTTTTCGGTACCAGGTTCAATAAAAGGAGCAAAGCCACCGATGAGAACGATTTTAGAAGATGCTGAAATCAGTTGATCAGACACAGGGAAAACACCACCATTACCATCAATCCAACTCTCATCTTTATCTCTATTACACTTTCGACTTTTCTTCGAATGTGATTGTGAAGGATTGTATCTATCTGGACAACTTCGAGTTCGTTTGCTTAATCTCTTTTCTTTCTCATATAAAGAATCTTCTGCAGATGGCACTTTATTGACAATGGATCGCTTCAAAAAGGACAAAGACTATATTAATAATCACATACTATATAAATACGTATAACTAATCTATAACATTTACTACCTTCCCCGTAATTGATGTCTTGCCTAATTTTGTATTCAAATTTTCCAAAATATTATCGTCAGACTCATCGTCACCGACATTCTCTCCTCTTTTATGAAGACAGTCTGTTTCACTAGCTTCAGACGGGACAGCAACCTAAAAGTATACATATATCAGAAATTGCAAACCCCTCGATGTAATTAGTTAACTTTACAATGACTAGTACAATTACCTTAGATAGCGATCTTCTTTTTTCCATTTACCTTCTTGGTCGTTCCCTGTAAAACTAAATCACCAGGTTCTTTATTGGGAAAACCTTCAGCACCTAAAAAAATTATATTAATATGTCATAGAGCTAAACATAAAACGAGATACTACATCAAATAATAAAACTAGAATTGAATATAAGTAACATAAACTATATTACCATTTGAGTTATTACCGCTACATCCACCATCATTGTACCCTCCACCAGAATGCTGCTGCTGAATATCAAGTATATCTCTCTTTCTTATCTCAAAATTTTCTTCAAATTCAGATTTCAGCTTCTCCATCACTGTTTTAATATGAACTTCTAAACTTGCAGAAACACTTTTCACTATGTTTGCCGTTCTTTCCTCAAAGGTATCTACCAACTGCTTCAGAAGTGTTGAGATCTCATATGTTGTTTGCAACCCAACATCGACCTGATTAGTCCTAACAAGCCCTCTACCACCATTATCAACTTCTTCTATTACCGTAGAGTTGACCACGACATTCTTCCCTGAACACATAGTAGCAACCACATTAATAGGGGACGTTTCCTCAGCCTCCAACTCTTCATCTTCATCACCAGCAACTTCTGAAGCCTTAACACCTCCATGCCATGAATTATGTTCGAATGGAAAATCTTCCATTATCAAATTCATCAAATGTGAAACAGTGGGGTCATCTTTTTCATCAGCGAATGAAAACTTGGGATCATCCAACTGCCTTTGATCACTTATCAACGACTTTACAGAAGCCTACAATCAAACAGAGTATATGATGAGAACACATAATTAATGAATAAGTAATTTTTTAAAAAATATAAAATTACTTCAGATTAGTTACACAAACCTGACCCCTCAGATCAATTGTTTTCGCTGATACGATGTTAACTACAAACTTCTCCACTTCATCACTGTTATTATCATCACATAAAAAAGAGTACCCAGCAGCTCTTGAAGAAACTATCTCCGGACATGAAGATGCAGCAACCAGAACCATGGCATGCGCAAAGCCTTGAATTGCTGTTGTCTTCTGTACATACTGTTCTTTAGTTCTCGCCTTTGCACTCTCAACAGTTAACAAGAACGACTCCCGACCCCAAGGATAGTTGAGAAAATAGTCAACGTCAGCAACCATTTCAACAACCTCTTTCCTAATATTTGTTGATCCACTTGTAGGACACAAAATTCCTTCCACGATTAACAACAAAGCCAGACGGAAACGTGATAGAGGATCCTTATACTTCTTTCCCAATAGTAACTTATCAAGGATCCAAGCCGGTGTAGGATTATCAAAATCTCCAAACAAAGCTTCCCACATTGGACCTCTCTCCTTCTTATCCACTTTTTTCTTCTGTCGACCTTTCACAGGTTTCTGTTTTTTCTTCTTCTGTGAACTCTCAGCACCAGATACTTGACCACAATTCAAACCTGTGACTAAGGCAAATTCAGAAAGCCCATACCTAACAGGTTTTCCAGAAAATACCCACCAAAGTTCATACTTTTTCTTTGTAACCAACTGTCTCGAAAGAAGATAATGGACAAACATCACAGAGAAGATATGTCCTCCCATTTTCATAATACTCTTAAACTGAGACTCACTCAACATTTGGAGGTACTCGGCATCAAGAGCAGGCTTGATAAGTTCAACCCATCTAAGAGTGAAGTAATTGTTCACCCTTTTTCTACCAGTTGGTTCAAATCCAGTTTGAAACAATCTCTCCGGTAATCCCAACTCTTCCATTATTACTGCAGAAATTAAAACAACTATGATGATCTGATCGATATGTGAACAAAAGACAATAGTTTTTTACAACAAATAACCTAATTCAAACTGATATACGAAGATTAAATACATACAAGTCAACTATTTAATGAAGACAATTACGTATCCTGAACCATTAATCCAACAGACAACACCTACTACAAATTAACAGACATAAGGAGATCATCCCTCCAAATATTATACACATCTATTCCAATAGATAGAGCTGATAAATTTCAAGAAACAAAAGTAAAACCATTGAAACAGATGGACTAAATTGAGCTTCTCAATTTTCAGTAGCAAACACATACACCGAGATTTTCAAATATTTGGAATTGAAAAAAAAGAGAAAGAAAACCTAACCTCACACAATCGTAGGTGTTATGGAAGACAGTATCAAATCGAATTTCCTTTTCACTACAACTATTTCTCAGCAGTAACTCTCGAAATCGACAAAATCAATGGAGATCAAGATTCAGATCTGATACAGTATGGAATCGAACTCTTTTTCAGTACAACTCTTTCGCATTCAAAATTCTTGAAGTCGATAATATCGATGGAGATGAAGAGATTGGTCGGAAAACAATCCAGAGATTTTTTTTTTGGATTGCAATTTGTTTTTAAATTAATAAATTAATCAATAAGCTGAACTCAGCTGAATTCGGCGCGCCGAGAAGGAAGAGTAGAAATGAGGTGGAGGAGGTTATTTAGGTCAATATTGCATAAAATATACTGAATATAGTAACCTATCAATTGATAGTGATATATTCTTAATTTGAACCTTTTTTATGTATATCCAGTGATATTTCCCTTATTTGAGCCTTTTGGCTGATTTTAAAGAGTTCTCTTTTCCTCTTTATGTGATTATATGTGAGAAAACAGAGATTGGTTTAATTTATCTGAAACTTGTGTAGTAATTTACAATAAAAAATTAAGGTTTAGGAATCTAAGTCTGGAGTTTATTTGAGGGAGTTTTAAATATGATTGGAAAATGGATCATTTTGTGAGCAAAATTTGGGGTTTTTAAGGACAACAGATATTTGGGTTTTTGAGAGTAATAATAATAGATGAGGGATAAAAGTAATTTTCGCCATTTGTTGAGGGGCCCGACAGGCCGACACGACTCGAATCCGACGTGGCTGTACAATTGGCCTTTCTAATAAACGGGCTTCAAATGAATTAGCTATAAAATGGGCCAATTCTTCGAATGGCCACTGAATTCCTACTATTACAGAGTAAAATATTCCAGCTTTGGAAGTTGAATCTTGACGCATTCTAAAGTTTATAGAAGATAACAATATACCGTTAAACACTTTTGACTTTCCCCGCTCCACGAATAATTATGGGAATGGAGACAACACGATGAACCATTTCCCCAAGTCAAAAGACTTAAATCGCAGTAAAAAAAAAAAGACTTAAATCAAAAATCTCTATATACGCTAAGAATTTCGGTCTTAAAGATTCTATTGAACTCAAATCGTATGAAAACGAATCTAAAACTGAATAGAAGACAAAACCAGTATATGTTGTTTGGTCGATAATCTAATTGGTTAAATTACTTGTAGAGAAGTTGGTGTGTGACCTAAATCACTACAAGCCTACAAATGTTAATGTATATGAATTGACTAAATAACAATTGGTTGAGTCAAACTATATGACATGAGCACTCTTATAAGTTATAAGTATATGATGAAAGAAGATTTTGGGAATATTTCTAAAATAAAAAGAAGATCAAACCTAAACAACCCAAATGGACTCAAGTGGACGGTATGGTATGGCTTTACCCATATATTATTAATACACGCATTTGTTAATTATCATATTCAAATATCAAAAACTAATTTTAATCATATTTCTCTACCAAACTTTCTGTAAAAAACGTAACTCAATTACAGAAAAAAACGAATTCAAGCAGAAAAATCCTAAGTTACAATATCAGCAGAGGCTTGGAGCAAAAGCTGCAAACCTAAAAAAGTACAAAGTTACTTATTTTGGTTTGACCTTTGAAATCATCTTATTTATGGAACAAAGGGAGAAAAAGTTGACACGTTGCTTAAATGTGTGCACGTATCGACGTACGCGTATGCAAAAAGATGTCCGTATAGACAAACGTGGCCAGCCAACTACCCTTTTGCGATGGATTTGGTAATGTTGACTTTCTTTTTATTTTTATTTATCTTTACAATTTTATGCTGTACGTATTCATGTACCAAATAGCACAAAAAGTGAATATAAGTTTTTTTTTTTTTTTTGAGAAAAAAAAGTGAATATAAGTTTGGATGACAAAAATATCCATATTTCTATTCATAATAACGGCGACGTCATATTTGTTAAGATTTATGTACCAAAAAATGAGAGGTTTTAATTTTTTTTTTTTTGGTGAAAAAATGAGAGGGTTTAATAGAAATCGATAAAACACCAAAACAATTTCCACATAGGATGTATTTCAGGCAAGAAAAGCAAATACCAAACTTTTTTTTTTCTAATGTACAGCAAATACCAAACTTCATGATGGAATCATTAGAAATATTACAAGCTAAAGAAAGAACAAAATAATTCAAGCTTTATAACCTTAGATAATGACTTTTTAGGGTCCAAACATTTGGTTTTAAGTAATACTCAGCACATCAAACATTTTGGTAGCTGTACATTACCATCTCAATCCAAATATGATAAGAATAATAATGATAGTAACTATTTGGAAGTAACTTTTGTTTATAACCGAGAGAATAAGATCACACACTCACATGTAGACGGTTGTAATTACTAAATCAAATCAAAATATATTTTACGTAGGTTGACAAATTATGAAATATCTTTAGTTTTTTTACTTACCAAACTTCCTAGCGACTACTCTAATAACATACCTTCTTTTTGTCCCATAATGATCAAATAATTAATAGATTAAGTAGGTGTATGTGTACCGCAAATATATATTAAAATCTTGCGACTTTTTATCACAGAAAAATACTACAGCTTTGTTGTTGACTAAAACCTGATCGCCACATATAAATACAAAAATACTACATATAAATACAAACATCATTGCCTCATGCAAACTCCAACATTTCCGAAAAAACAAGAAGTAGAAAAACTAAACCAAATAGCATACGTAACCAACAAGACATGACAGAAGAATTCGAAACCGCTAGAGTTTGTACCGGAACATGGTGGTGCTCGTCCAATGGCATGTTCTCCGGCTGCTCTCTGCTACGTTCCACAGAGAATTCTATCAATATCGGTGGCTTTGAATGGCAGAACACTGATACCTTCGATGCAGAAACATATAACGAGAGCTATTTTAATACTTCCACATCCTTAAGCAATTCAAATCTTGATTCCAACTCACAAATCTATGTTTCGAATCAGTCTAACCTGTAAGTCCACATATATCATGTTTGATGCAAAATCATGATCTTGATTCTTGACCTTGTTTTTCTCTCTTTTTTTCCCAGTCATGAAGAAGAAAGATTTTATCCGATAAATAGTTTTCTAGAAGGATTGTTCGATACTAGTGAGCAACAATCCGTTACTAACTGTGCGAAACCAGAACTACTTGAGAGCTTCTTCGATGACATTTTCTTGAACGAATCAAGAATTGTATCAGCCTTTGATCACGAGAGTAGAGACACACCTGAGGAAGAAATACAAGCCTGCAAGAGTTCAACTACTTACAAGGTAGGTAAACCTATATAGTTAGTTTCTTTCATTTTATAGAAAATCTATTTGTCATCTCTTTCTGTAGATTTTGATGTTTTGTTCATTTTCAGAGAGCAAGTGAGAAAAGTAATGAACTCGAATATATTGAGTCATTACAGCCAATAAAAAGACCAAGACTGGAGACGCCATCTCAATTTCCAAGCTTCAAAGTTAGTAAAAATAGTTATTTAACGCATATCCATGCAAAAATTTATATGAGCATTTTGAATTTTCTTTCTTAATTGAAGTTCAGATTGTCTAATTAATTTTTTGGTCAAGACAAAACTGTTTTGATAGTAAATTATAGATACAGTATTTGTGATATTGGACGTTTATTTTTCAAATGCTACTAGCAATATTATTTCTAATTTTGATCCGTACGGATGATAAGGTTCGTAAAGAGAAACTAGGAGATCGGATCACCGCGCTTCAACAACTAGTTTCACCTTTTGGCAAGGTTTGTGTTCTCCATATAATCTTGTTCTATCAATTTCTCTATTAATTAGCCCTAGTTAATAAATAACTTTGTTATTGTTATTTTCTGATGTTTTCTGCAGACAGACACTGCTTCTGTCCTCCAAGATGCTATAGAGTACATCATGTTTCTTCAAGAACAAATCAGTGTAAGTTCTGACTCTCACATTAAATATTCATTATTTTCTTCTTCCTGTTATATAAATTAACTTATTGCTTTATAACCATTTAAATATAAATAGATCTCCAGTAATACACCCCTGAAATCCAAAGGATCTGGTGAACAAAAGCAGGTACTTCAGTTAGTTATCGGTTAAACGACTCTATAATTTAAAATAAATTTAAGATTTTAAGTACTTGCTTTTTGTTCTTTTGCTTATGATCATAAGATTCTTTCAATTCTAGTTTTCAGACAAAACAGAGAATAATACTCATGATGAAGATTATAGTTCAAGACAAGATCTTCGAAGCCGTGGTCTTTGTCTGATGCCGATTTCAAGTACTTTCTCCGCTTCTCCTCCGCATTTGGACACATCTACTTTCTGGAATTAAACTTGTTATAACAAAACAAAATTATAAACATACTTGAACAGTTAAACTCACAGATAGCTTTGTTCTAAGAACTGTAATGTCTGATGTTAATTTGTTTATAAAATGAGATGTCTCGTTCGGTAAATTCCTACAAATTTAGAGCTACATACATTGAGGAATGGCGGAAAAGCTTTTAAAAACTGTATGGCTTCAAGTCATAGCTTATTAGTAATAAAATGTTCGGTTAAAAAAAAAAAAAAAAAAGGAATGGCGGAAAAGTTAATTAATTTTGTGAATTTGCAGTTCTTTTACCAATCATACAATTTTATGGAATAGTAATCTATGTTTGGTAACAGCTAAAATATATATTACAATTTTTTTTGGTCTTTTCAATCATGACACATAATTTTCCCACTCTCCGTAACCGTACCAGTCAGAATCTTACTCTAATAAGATTAGGAAGACAGATTAGATGATTTTTGTTGTTAACTAAATTAGGCAATTAATATCTCAATTCTCAATCAAGGAGATTTTGTATTTAAAAATCACTTTAATAAAAAGCAGCTCCTTTTCAGTTTTCATGGTCCTCAAAGGACACGACTCTGATTTGTTGTTTTGCTAGTGTGTCCTCAAATCAAGGCATATGATTGAATAAGAAACATAAAGCAATGTATTCTTTAAGCACTATTTTCGAAAATTAAAGCAACGAGTCAATAAAAACAAACATAAACAAACTTTCTTTGCGTCAAATGAAATCATTTGTGTTTTTAAATTATTCAAACAGAGACGATAACATATGCTTTTGTTACAAGCACGCCACGATTGAAATAACAATAAAATACCCTAATTCGAGTAGACACGAAATCATGAAGTACAGTGACCGGTTTGTCCCGGTGACTGTTGGCAGTACAAAGACAGGTTTGGCTTATGGAATCATCAAAGCTCTAAAGGAGAGTAAAGACAAAATAAAATAAGATAAGATAATTTAATTTCTTGAATCCATGAATGCTTTACACAAACCAAATAAATCAATCAAAGTATCAGAATAATTGATTTTGTGAGAAACAATAGGTCTAAATGGTAACCGCTAATGTTGCTGAATGCGGAATCTGGCTGAATAAAATGAAGACTTTTTGCAGAATCTGGCTGAATAATTTGTAATATGAATGGTAACAGCTGAATGTTGCTAAATGCGGAATGTTGCTGAATGAAAAATAAATACCTAACAAATTATTTGTGTAACAGATAACAAAATATTCACCCAATTAAATTAAAAATAAATATAAAGTATATAGTTGTAAAATAACTAAATAGATAGTTAAATCAATTAAATAGTTAAAATAGAAATATTAACCGTTAAATGTTTTTAAATGCGAAATAAATAACTAACAACTTATATGTTTACTAGAATATCATAATATTTACTCATTTAAAATTAAAAATATATATTTAATAAATAAGATATGAGCAATTTACTAATAATTGTTTTTTCGTATTTGTTGGGTAATTTCTTCTCATATTGTTTGCATATAACCTAATTGTTGTTTTGATAAATTTTCAATTATTGAGAAACACCTAGTAAGCCTAATAATGTATTTGGATGTAACTAGTTTAAAAAAAATGGAATATAAGGAATCAATTTAAATGGGATAAAAAAATAGAATATAAGAAAACTGATATTTCATTCATTCATTAAAAGTATACATATACAAAATATAATAGTGTAATATTACATATTCATTAAAATAAATGATCTTATGCAACAAAAAAAGAGAGTAAAAGCTTAATGTGTTTTTTGTCATTTTGTGGGATTTACAATTATTCAATTAAAAAACAGCTATATTTGTCATATCTCACAAATCTTTTATTGTTTATTATTTTAAAACCCACATTCCTCAAACTCTTATTCTGCTGCATTCCTCAGATTCAACTGGTGTCACAAATGAAAAATTCAGCTACATTCCTCTCAATTCCTCAATTCAGCTAGCACCAGTTAGACCCAATGATTCCCACTGTTTCTGGAGATACCAACACAGTGATTCAACTAGCAAACAGTAATATATATAAATTGACTGGATCTAAAACCAACCAAAGTACTATTACTGCTTTTTCATTTGAAATTATGGGGACGATTTGAGATGATTCTTCGTACCTGAACTTGACTGTTTAAAGGCACTCTGTAATTTGTTTCCGAATCGATTCACGCAAGAATTCTTATTAGATTCAACAAAGAAGAGACTAGAAATGCTGCATGAATGATTCTTGTAAACGATTACAATTCTCTTGAAGAAGACTCATTTGTATGATCCTTTTATTTCTTTAATGTACAGAAAACAAACAAAAACCCCTAAAAAAGCATTTGCATTTTGCTTTGTTGAAAAACCTAAGACTTTTGTTTTTGTTCTTCCTTTCTTTTTTTACATGAACTACAAGACGAGAATACAACACAGAGTAAACCCAAACTTACAACAAAAACCAGACAACTATAATCCCCAAAAACAGCCACCAAAGACACAAAAACCGATCCTTTCAACATCCATTTTCACACTCCCAAAATCAAGAATCCATTGGATCCCCAAGTAAAGTATGGACTAAGTTAGTAGCATTCCTCCTGATTTTCTCACTCTCATTATCCTCCAAACCAAAGCATATCTCCACGACTCCTTCTCTCTTAACCTCATCAACAATTTCTCGGCTACAACAACACAAGCAATTGAGGATAAACAGAGAATACTGAATCCCTTTCAAACTCCCATTCCTCAAAACGTTAACCAAAACCTCAACAAAGCCACTCACTTTGCTCATTTCTTCTCTCCCTCCTCTACACTTAACCAAAAGCCCCAACACTTCCACTGCTCTCTCTAGCCCTGAATCAGCCGCTTCAACCAAAATAGGCACCGACCCACAATCCACAACCCGTTTTCGATTATCCGGAAACGAGCAGAGAGCGTAAAGAGCCGTCGCTGATTCTTTTCTCTCCCGGTCATTTCCTTGCCGGAGAAGAGAAACAAGAGCAGAGATTGCGTCAGGGTATGAGCCAATCGTGGCTTTGTTCACTTCCACAACAGCTAAACTCGTTAGCAGAGTAGCTGCAATCGCTTTGCAATCGGGTGACCCGACCCGTAATACGGCCACGATCCGTCTTATCACTCCATCGGCGACTAAACCCACTTTGTTATCATCTTCTAAACTGAGATTCAGAAGCAAAGAGAGAGACTTTTCCTGTAGAACCTGATTACCCGAGTCAACACAGTCCAGAGCCGCGCGAACCGCGCCTGACTCGGTGATTTTCCTCCGGATTGACGAGTCTCGCTTCGTGAGTCGGACGAGGCGGGTCAGAGACTCGAGCCTTGACTCGTAAGACGACGATCGAGAGACGAGAGTGGAGATTAAGGATTGGGATTGAGATTGAGACTGAGAGTGTTCTTGCTGAGTCCGAGGATGTGATTTCGTAGGGCTTACATGGGCAAAGTTTGAAATTAAGCTCCGTAGGGCGTGGTTGGGAATTAGAGAAGGGTTTTCTGATAAGGGGAGCTTGGTGATTGGGCAAGTCTGATTGCCGGAATCAATCCACCGTTGGATGGAGACCCGGTCGAAAGTATGACCCGATTGGATGATAACCGGGTCGGACATAATCTCAAGGGAGATCGGGCACCTGAAATCGCTTGGTAACTCAAACGCCATTTCCACTTAAACTCGATCAGGGTGTCAATTTCAAATGAGAAAGAGATAAGATTGCCAGAAGGTTTATAAGATTTCTGCAGGAGCAGAGCAGAGAACCTAACAAAATAAAGCGCTTACTTTTCTCCGTCTTCGAAATTTAACCGAGAGAGAGAGAGAGAGAGATGGGCTTGTGGACCGTGAAGCTTTCGCACTCGCAGCAATGACGAAATTGCCTCTTAGATTTCGTGGCCGTCCGGACGAGGGTATTTTGGGTACAGAGTATATGTTCTACAAACTTTAGGTTTCTTTGTTTTACTATTTATCTAAAACTGAAAATCTCGGGTCTAAACATGATAGCATGCATATACTTTACTTTTCCAAAGTAGAAATGCACAGCCTTGAAACTTCCAAGCATTTTCATTTCCGTTAATCCAATTAGGAAGATTATCAAACATACAATATTCTATAAGATTAATGTTATATAAGTGTTCAACTGCTTATATCATTTCTTCATTATTTACGATTTGTTGGACTAGGTTTTTTTTTGTGGTAATAATGTCAAGATTTATACCAAATTTCTGAATTTTACACTGTTGCAAGTAACTTATTGAGCGAGAAACAAAAGATATATACAACAACCCGAAACAAGAAGGGGAACAAGACAAGAAGCAAATACAACTAAGGAGGCCTTATGCAAGAGAAATAGAACTCCAAGATGGAAGGCAGAGGAGGATTCCTTGTTGGACTAGTTTTACAATCTACACCAGTTAGATGATATTAATTAGAAAAAGGAAGATGCCACATCCATGTATATATGCTGTTTCTACACACACAGTCACACACAAAAAAACATTCTTATGAATACACTTGCGTTTGAATTAAAGCTCTCGACATTGCATTAGTAAAAACTTATACAAATTTACACTTATTTAAAAATTTATGGTGGGCAATAGCACATCCCGAATTTATATATATATAAACATCTTTTGTAACAAAAAGTGTGATTTAAAAAAACAAACCAGATGACTGAACAGGTTTTTTGAGAAAGAAAGGGAGGGTATCTCATCATCATTCCATAATGCTCATACCTCTATCTCATTGAGGTCATGCTCTTCTTTGACCTAGATTTGTTTGGTTATGGCCGATTGTTTTTAACAGATTTTATGTTGTTATTTTTTGTACCGGATGAATCCGGAGACATGTTTTCTTACACGCTTTGCCATTGATCCTTCCCGAAATGGGATAATAAATTTCAAATTCAGTGATTAAAAAAAAATGTATTGTAACCAATCAGCGACCATATATTTAGTCTAGTGGCTGCAACTAGAAAAATACTCTTCCATGCTAAATTTGGCATA